ATTTCAGGTTCTCACCCTTCCGGTGTTACCTTTTCACCGCTAACCAGAATCTCAATCGAGCCTAGCCCCGCTGTAAGGTAGGCTCATCATCACACGTAGTGACTGGTCATCGGGCAGGCGGCGTGACGCGACAAGAAAACACTAAATGTTGAAACTCAAAGTAGCGGCTCTAATTAGGCTGGCATTCGACAGCACGCATTCGGCAAATGAGTCAACGGCGGCTTCCTCTCTCATGGCGAGCAATGGCGAGCGAGGTGAAGAGCAAGTACCTGGCCTGGATGGCAGGGAAGACCAGTTTGTTAGGCCCAATCACACGCAGGTGAGATAATTAGAAAAAATCACAGCGAAGGCTTGACCTGTACACAGGCGCTGCGTGAGCTGTTGCCCCTCCACAACCTACTACCACTGCAGGGTGACTTGTGAATGCACCGTACCCTAGTGCCAATCGCAAGTACACCTGCCTACGCCACCTTTGTCGCCCACCCCTCTCTTGGACGATTTCTCTCAACCCTCTTTCTCTTCCTCCCCCCTCCTCCCTCTATCCTCGAACAACCCTCGAAGTCTCTTCAACAACCCCCATTCAACTTCTCCCTTCTTCTTTTTGTCGACGAGCCCGCTCTACGCGCAAATTATTCACAATGGCTGCTGAGGAGGTAAGTCAAACAACTCTACGACGCTATCTTTCAGGGATCCTCTCGTTGCCGACTCGTTTTGCGCCCGTTCTGCGATGCGATGCGCTGTGCTGTGCTCTGCTGTGCTGTGGCCGGACACAAGTCTCCCACCCCGCACCCTGGCCTCGTGCCCCACGACAACCTTCAAATTCCAACTCGATTGAAGGTTACCGCGATCCGAAAATATGCCTGATCGCCTTTCGGCACGTTTTCGACTGAGGGAGTCACGGCTTCTGCGTGCAGGATTTTCTGCCAGAGCCCATGTGACTTCCGATTCCGAATCCCTAGCACAGCAGGGCAGACAGCAGCAACAGCGCAACTCCAGAACTTCCATCAACCTCGGGGGCGACGGCACAACATCGTTTAGTAGAGAGTCACGTACTAACACATTGTCTATAGCATGATCTCGAGTTTGACTCCGCCGATGCCGGCGCGTCTTTGACCTATCCTATGCAGTGCTCTGCTCTGCGTAAGAACGGTTTCGTCGTCATCAAGGGCCGTCCCTGCAAGATTGTCGATATGTCTACCTCCAAGACTGGCAAGCACGGTCACGCCAAGGTTCACCTTGTCGCCATCGACATCTTCACCTCCAAGAAGTACGAGGATCTGTCTCCCTCCACCCACAACATGGACGTCCCCAACGTCTCCCGCAGGGAGTACCAGCTCGTAGGTTGCGTTTTCTCTGACAGGCGGGCTAAAGCTAACATAAATAGCTTGACATCTCCGACGATGGCTTCCTGTCCCTGATGACCGATGACGGTGACACCAAGGACGACGTCAAGGTTCCCGACGGCGAAGTTGGTGACCGCATCAACAAGCTCTTCAAGGAGGAGGAGAAGGACGTCAGTAAGTAAAATTCGCAGTGCCCTTTTGGGATACCTCTAACACCGGTTGCAGATGTTGTCATTTTGACCGCCATGGGCGAGCAGGCCTGCATGGACGCCAAGGAGGCTCCCCGCGGTTAAACAAACAAAATATGACCCTTGCGCACTTTCGTCCATTGTCGTGAGCTGCCAGACATTCTTTGTCTTGTCGTTCCGACTGACAATGACTTACCATGGGACAATCGAATATCCCCGGTGTTGGGTTGATGGCATGTGAAGGCGTGTTTGGCGATGTGCGTGCAAGCATGCGCAGCGAATGATAAATGATCTTCTTATGCCTGAACTTCATTTTCCTTTGTTCACAATAAGCTCATCCACGCGCTATATAGCCGGAGGCTCGACTCAAAAAAGCAAATAAAGAAGCGAAAGGCCTCGGAGATAAAATTTCATGCCTGTACAAGAATCAAGCTCCCCAAGCGTTTAAGACGTGAATCCCATGTGTGAGTGCGAGCATCCTAGACTATGTTCCGAATGAGACCTACACACGTCTCAGCGTCTTGGTGTTGCCAGGTTAAATCGCGTTTCATGAGTAGCATATGTAGAATTTAAGAGGTATGTGGTAAGACATGTGACGATGATCGAATTCGGGCCGCCCAATTAGTTACATCTCAGACTGCCCAACTACGGCACACCAATTCCATCAGGTCTTTTCCACTGCACGAGAATTTTTCCCCACGCAACATCTCTCGCTGCTCTGTGCGACTCCTACCATGATAGAAGAGTACGTAATGTGACCCTAGGCGATGGGCTCGCAAGCGTAAATGCCGTTCACGACATTCTCCAGATCAACGACACCTTACGTATCGAGCCATCATGGACGCTCGTAGCGATAGCCGGAAGCTGCCGCGTGGCGAGCGCTGCCCACAGTGCGGCTCTCGAAAGTACTATTTGGAGAATGGCCTTCGATTCTGTGCCGCCAATGGTCATGAAATTGAGGTATATGGGCCTGAATGTATCGCACCGAAGTATTGCGGCTAACAATGTTCAGGGGTTCATCCAATTCGATATTGGGGATGAGGTGGACGCCGGGAAGATGGGCGGTGTCGTTCGGAAGGAGAAGGAGGTCCGAGAAGTTCAGAAGAAGCAGCTCACTGGTCTCGAAGGAAAGTCTCTATACCTGGAGGCTTTGCAGTTTGTGCTGAGGGCGCAAATTTCGTGGCTCATCAACGAGAAGGGACACCGGGTGGAGCTTGAAACCGTCGTGAGAGATCTCTGGGATCTGAGAATCAGAGGCTTCAGCTCGCTTGTTCCTGTGGTGGAGGACAGCGCAGGAGACGAGGGGCTGGAGATGTTCAGCTCTCAATCGCAAGGCGCGGATATCGAAGAAGCGGTGCAGACGAGCAAGCGCATGCACGACTGGGATGGGGACCAAGGGAGCGACTGGCCCCTGCCCAGAATGGTTGATACGCTTGGCTTATGCTATTTGGGGTGTCTCTTGCTGCGGATTCCAACACGCATTGGGGAAATCTTCCAATGGGCAAATGGTGGAAACATTCCGTACAGACGTATCGTGAGTCCAGCTGTTGGCGTACCGTCTAAAGAGGAAAAGCTGCTAATAGCCCTGACAGTACTACGAGCTTCCCCAAGAGATGCGGGATCGACTGCCTTCTGGATATGCTCGGGTCATCAAACTCCCTGTGCTAACGCCCCTCGAGGGTGGTCAGCTGCACCATGTAGTCCTCCATCTGGCAACCGGTTATCAGGCAAACTACGGCATGTTCTTTCCGGCTCTCAATGAGGTTCATTTGCTGGTTCAGTACGGCAAGCAGCTTGCCCTTCCACGTGGGTTGATTTTACAAGTCTGCAAAATGTCACTAACATCCTATAGTCGAAGTTGTCAGGACTGCGCGGACCCTGGCTAACGTCCTAGGAGCGGGCTTCGAGCTTCCGGTTACAAAGTCACGTACATATCCCGTTGACCACCCTGAAATTCTGGCGACCGCATTGGTGGTTGTAGCGGCCAAACTGTGGTTGCCGCTGGAAAACGGCCAAGCGCCGCAACTATCTTTGGGGAGCGCACACGCTGGGAGGTTCAGTTGGCAGAGATGGTCAGACCTGATGGGTGACCCTGAGTCAGTCCTGAGCTCTTCAACCGAACAGCCCTATCAGGATGTGACGGTCGAACAGGTCACATCTATGGATGACGCTGAGCTGGATCGCTACTTCACGCATGTAGCTGGGCTGGTGGACGACTCCAGTGAGTACATCATTGCCCCAGGACGCAAAGACTGATGTGTTACAGACGAAAATCCGTTGGCAGAGTTTTTCCCAAAGCAGCAACAGCCAGAGCCAGATGCCCCTGCTCGAGGAATGACGGGAGACGAGGTGGATACGAGGGCGAGCACCGTTCTTAGGAGCCTCCTCGAGACAGCCGCAAGCAATGATGCCGAGAGGCATGATATACGTGGTGGCTGGACGAAGCCCAAATACATATCGTACAGAACCGTCTCGGGAATGACGCCGTCAGCCAGGAAGCTGTATTCGGCCGCTGGTGAGTACGGCACCAACGCTATTCGACCCAACTAACAAGTGAAAGCCATTATAGCTGGTCTAAAGCTCGAATCCGTTGTAAGAGCCGTGCATGTGCTTGAGCAACGGGTAAGGGGATGGCGAGGCGACCCACGCGACCAAATGGTCCCTGGAGGCGACATAGGGAACAATAAGACAGCAACCTCACCATAACTACGTAATCCAATGCAAATGCATCAAGAACATCTCAATTACCGTCTCAATAATCAATTGCCAACTCCGCAGCGAATTCAGTGAGTTTCATGCGATGACGTCCCCGTCGACCGGATGACGAGGTTGAGGCCTCGCACGTGACTAGGGTTCTCAGTTTTCGCGCACTCGAGTCGCCCCACCACCAAATCGTGCGGCCAGAAAGTGTCAGGCAAATCCGGCCCTCGAAATCTCGAACTTCACATCGTCAGCGTCACCCAACAAACCGTCAAGAGTAAGTCGCCGCTGCCGCTGTTAGCATGATGAGATACTGACATTCTTAATAGTGCAGATGTAAGATACCCTTTTTCTCTCACCGCGCCCCGATCCGACCTCGCCGCACGATGAATCGACGACGATGGAGGAATGGAAGCAAACCAAACATCAATCATTGCACGACCAGGCGGACAAGGTTACTAACCTGCGATCGATAGCTTCGTGAAGACCCTGACGGGCAAGACCATCACCCTCGAGGTGGAGTCTTCCGACACCATCGACAATGTCAAGACCAAGATCCAGGACAAGGAGGGCATCCCCCCTGATCAGCAGCGCCTGATCTTCGCCGGCAAGCAGCTTGAGGATGGCCGCACCCTGTCCGACTACAACATCCAGAAGGAGTCCACTCTGCACTTGGTCCTCCGCCTGCGTGGTGGTATCATCGAGCCCTCGCTCAAGGCCCTGGCTTCCAAGTTCAACTGCGACAAGATGATCTGCCGCAAGTGCTACGTACGTGCCGCCCACCCAAAGCGATCTTCATCCCGCAGGAACGACGTTAACAGAACGCAGGCTCGTCTCCCTCCCCGTGCGACCAACTGCCGCAAGCGCAAGTGCGGTCACACCAACCAGCTCCGCCCCAAGAAGAAGCTCAAGTAGATTATTCACCATGGCATGTGGCGTCTGGGTTTTGCATTTGGGGGGTTATGGGGAGGATACTGGGCGGAAGGAAAATGCCCTCCTTTTTGTTGCAGGTCCAGGGTTGTCTTTACTAGCATCGGCAGCCTAGGCAATACGATCTGATGAATCCCATGCGATGAATTCAAATGCTGAGAAGAATCCCATAAGCTTGATGCCAGCATTTTCTTTTGACAAGACGCGGTGATGATATGGGTAACTGCTTGTCACACAAAGGCCAAGCAATCGTGAGGCGATCTTTTGGCGACGCCACAATGTGCAAAGGCGAGCCTTGGGCCTTTGATGTTATACTTCGACATAACATTCTTAAGTTCTAAACGTTCCTGACATTGTTACCTCTGTCTAGTTCTCGAAGTTAGAGGGCGAGCGAGTCGAGGTGAATACCGTGAGATTGCTCTCCTTCAGCCGGCTAAGCTCCGGATTCGGCTGCGTCTGACGACGCGGTAGGGCAGGCCAACCTGGTCAGTTGCAGCTGTCGCAGCTGTGCACCTGCATTGGCGCAATCCCCATCTTGAACAACGCCCACCGCAGCATCACCAAAAGCTCGAGCTGATCTCTTATCCTCCAGCAGCCGCTCATTACACGGAACCCTCAGTCCTGCAGAATCATGTCGAGATCGGGATCAGGATACGACGCGGTCGTGGACGTGGACGACGAGGTACGTCAGGGGTTCTCAAAGAGCTTCCTACCAGCGCTCCATGAACAAAACTTGGTTCTCTTTGAACAGACGTTAACGCGTAGCAGGGCGACCTTGGCCACACTGACCTTCAAGACGACCTCGAATTCCACGCGTCCAACTTCAACGACACCCCTGCCAACGCCCGCAAAGCGCCCTCCTCGGGGCTCCCGCCTCCCGTGACAGCATCTGGCGGCAGCTCCTCCAAGCGATTCCTCTGGACAATTTCTTTCTATGCGCAGTTCTTTGATGTCGATACCTCAGCCGTTCTGCAGCGCTGCGGGGCGGCCCTCTTCCCGCGCGCCAACTTTCTGGACGTCCTCGAGGGCAACCCCGACCTGTACGGACCTTTCTGGATCGCGACCACGGTCGTCTTGGTACTGTTCCTGGGAGGCACGATAAGCCAGTACCTCTCGCAAAACGACAAGGCGCCGTTTGCTTACGACTTTACGCTCCTCAGCGGTACGTCATGCGGGCATCTGTGACGGCGAAACGTTTGCTAATTAACTACGTACAGGCGCTGCTGGCTTGATCTACGGATACACGCTATTCATCCCGGTCGGTCTCTTCCTCGCCCTGCGCTACTTTGGCAGCGAGCTCGCCAACCTCCTCGAGTGCTGGTCTCTCTACGGCTACGCCAACCTCGTCTGGGTCGTTGTCGCCTTTGTCAGCTGGTCCCCTCTCGAGATCCTCAACTGGGCCTTTGTCATTGTCGGTTTCGGCATGTCTGTCGCGTTTCTCCTGCGCAACTTGTACCCCGTGCTCAGCGCGACAGACCGCCAGACCAGCAAGATCCTCCTTATTGTGGTGGTGATGCTGCACGCTGGCCTTGCGCTGGCCATCAAGATCCTGTTCTTTGCGCATGGGAGTCCCGTGGCCAGGGCGCCTGGGGAGGGAGGTCCGGACAAGGGTGGCGACAGCTCCAAGATGATGTTTTTCTAAACCACAAGGCGGCACCCTGTTCACAAAGCAGAAAAGGTTCCGGTTTCACTTGTACGAGATAGGCTGGTCATTATTACCTGGTAGATTGGGTGAAGGCGTTGGGCCGGATGACGTATTTTGTGTTGTACAATACCACGCAAGCCATCGTATAGGGCGTTTCATGATTATACCATCTCTTACCATTGGCAGCGTCGCGCGTTAGTTGTTCCCCCTGACAGGCTCGACCTTGCCATTGTTCTTCTCCCAGTCCAGCCAGCTCCCAGGGTACTCTCCTACGCTCTCCCACCCAGCGTGTACCGCCAGCCCAGCCGCCGACTTGGCCCTGACTCCAGCTTTGCAGTAGAACACCAGATGCGCATCCTTGGGCGGTCGCTCGAAACCGTACATGTCCTCAAAGTCCTCGTTCGAAATGTGGAAGGACTGGACCGCGGTTGTGATGGGAATGTTGATAGCGCCGGGAATACGGCCGGTCGACTGTAGCTCCGCAGGTTCGCGTACATCTGCAGCACATCCCTCTGTCAGGATTCCGTGCCGAACAAGCTGTGCATTTTGCACCTCGTGGTGTGTTGACGTACCGATCAGGTAGCTGGGCCTCCCGTCCTTGGTCTTCTTCGTCTCCATTGCCTCGACGACATCGTCATACTTGTAGATCTTGCTTTCCGGGGCGATAGGCTTGTTGATAGAGTACCATCGTAGGCCCGACACGTGAGGCCCATGGGCGGGACGAAGTGGTGAGGGCGAGGAAACGATATGCGAAGAAGCGCGGGACGCGGTGCGCAGAGCTGTCGTGGCGGTTCTGCCATTGACCGCTGCACGGAAGAGCATGCCCGTTAAGGCACGTCGAGGGGCTGCCATTGTGTGAATCTATAGGTAAGCTAGTCAAGCACAGACTAATGGACATGAACCAAGGCAGAGATGGCTGGCTGTGGGAAAGTGACGCTATATCGACGAGCTGTATCACGATGACCCGCAATTATAGCTAGTGCAGTAGCGTCATGTAGAGATGAAGGAGACAACCATCACAAATCAGGGTCTCTCCGCGCGTCAGCATTCAGGAAACTACCCGCATGTTCAAGCAGATAGCCTCTTGTTGAAAAACAGGGTCGGCCACTTGATGTCAGTTGGCCTTGAACTTTCACCTCTGCAAATATCGTTCATTGAACATGTAAATTCTGTCTTATCCTGCCGACGCCGGTACGCCCTTAAAGGTCGATTATCTATATGCCCCTGAAACAAGAATTATAATTATGTGTAGGCAGTCATCATCACGGCCGTTGAAATGATGCTCTTGACCCCGTAAGCGGTCATCACGCCGGGAGCCTGGTTGCAGACTCCTTGACCTCCTAACTGTTGTCCAACAGCTGAAACCTGGCTTCGTCTACCCAACTGTAATATATACTAGCGGCTCGCGTAGAAGACGATGCCTGCGTTCGCAAAGACAATGTCCCCCAAAATCTTCGAGCCTCTGAAATCATCATGTCGCCAAATCGTCGGTCGTTCAAGAATCACCACTTCCTCTCCTCGAAAGTAAGGGGGCAATCATCCTATCTCGCAGTCAGTAACAGATCCAGCGGGGTCCTCTGAGAGCTACTACATACCATGGGGAAAATGGTCGCAAAGACCTTGATGTCCTCGGAGATTGGTGTGGCGTGGTGCTTCCAGTCGAGCATGAGCGAGGCCTTTCCGATGAAGAGCGCCAGGTTCAGCTGGGCATACTGCTGGCCGATGCAGTAATGAGGACCGGTACCGAACACGAGGTAGTTCTTGGCGCCCTTCTCCTCGGCATCACCGCTGTAGTAACGGTCGGGATCGAAGCTATCGGGGTTCTCGTAAACTTCGGGATCGTGGAGAGCCAGGTATGTCGTCGGGATGACCATGGCACCCTTGGGCACGGTGTATGAGTCGGTGATGGGGAAGGGCTTCTTGACCGCGTAGGGGACCATGGTGACAGGAGGGCGCCAACGCAGCAGCTCGCGAACGCAAGCGCGGGTGTAGGCCAACGACTCAAGCTTGTCCATGTCGAGCTCGGCGTGAATGTCGCCGTTGCGGACCTTGAGGTTCTCCTCGCGAATGCGGTCGAGCACATCGGGGCGCTGGGCAGTGACCTGGAACAACCAGGTGGCGGCGCTGCTGGTGGCGTCTTGCGAAGCGAAGAGGAAGGTGAAGAAGGTCTGGGCAATCTCGTAGTCGCCAAACATGCGGAGGAGGGGCTGGGGCTTCTCGACGCTGTCGTCGCCCTTGGCCTGCGCCTCGCGCCACTTCTCGGACTTGAGCATCTGGTCGACCCAGCCATCCATGATGCAGCCGATCTCGCCACCAGCAGCCATGCGAGCCTTGGACTTGGCGGCGCACTTGGAGAACTCGATCATGACCATGTCGGCGGCCTTCTTTCCGTACCAGGTCTTGGTGTAGGGGATGATGATGGGGAAGTTGACAAGCTCGAGGGCTTCGGTGATGAGATAGTAGTCGTCCGAGATCTTCTTGACCATGTCATCGCTCATGTACTGGTTGACAAAGGTGCGGAGGGAGACGGCAACGATGATCTCGCGGAACTCGCCCATCCAGGGGATGGGCTTACCGCCATTGTCCTTTGTGATTTGCACAAACTTCTTGAAGTACCGGTTGTAGACATCTTGCTGACCTGGCAGGTAGGACTCGAGGGCCTTGCGGGTAAAGAGACCGTTGAGGCCCTTGCGGAAGTCAACGTGGGCCTTGCCGTCCAGGAAGACCCAGTTGTCGGCACCGAGCAGCTTGTGGGCGACATCGACGACGCAGGGCTTGACGTAGGCCGGGGAGTTGAGAACCTTGCGCGCCATGTCGCGGGTCGAGGCGATGACGACGAACTTGTGGAAGACGGAGACGCAGCTCAGGGGGCCGCTGGTCCATTTGGCGTAGTATTCCTCGAACTTGGGGTTGACGGACTGCAGGAAGGGGCCCATGAAGGGCAACTTCATGGCCGGGCCCTCGATTGAGCCCTTGCTGGTGATGTAGCTGACTGTGCAGTTGTCAGTCTCTCTGCTCGCTCGCAACATGGGCCCGAGCGTTGCGCAATGGCGCATGGGCATGGAATGGGGCATGCGACTCACCCTGATCGTACACCACGCACAAGCAGAAGAGGGTAACGAGGTACGTCCATACGCTTGTCGTCTTGAGTGTGTCGAGGAGGTAGTGAACATTGCTCTCGAAATCGATCTCGGCAAAGTTGGTGCTGGCCAACACCGAAGTGAAGGCGGACTGGGTCGCGTTGGCGGCCATCGTGGGCTCTTGGCAGGGGATGTTTTCTCTTTCAAGAGGATCGACGACGGGTGAGGACTTTGTTGTGTGCGTCGCGCAACCGCGAACTTGAAGGCCGTTCGTTGAGCTGCTGAGGCGGGACAGGCGAAGTCGTCACACGGCAAACTTGGGGAAGGAGCCAGCAAGAGGACGGCGAGCAAAGGGGATAAGGAGGCGCTGGGGAAAATAAAAAGTCAAGCGGCCCTCGCTCGCATGCACGCACGCACGCAAGGCGGGTTCGTGGAGATTGACGGACGTTGAGTTAGTAATTGAGATCAATCAAATTGGACGCTGGTCCCCTGCCACGACCCCTGCTTGATTGCCGTCAAACACCCAGCTCTACCCTATTCGGGAAGTCTTGGAAGCAAGTGTGGTGCCAAGCAGTAATTAATTACTGAGGTCTTGTGGAGGAGGTGTGCAAGGTCATTTTAGCATTTTATCCATTGCCTCAAACAATTGGGGTGCGCAATCACCGAGCTATCCATTGCGATGCAAGTCCGTCCGTCTGTGAACAATGCCCCAGCCTGGCGCGTCACTGGGCTGTCTCGGAAGTTTCTTTCTTGTCGAACGGTTGGAATATACCTATTGTGACTGTACCTGATCATCTTTATTCATGTTCTCTTTTCTCGAGTTCTCGTGGCGCCCATGATTGGCGCCCTGACAGTGTCGACCACTGCTTATTCCAGCCTAGCGCAGAGAGTGATCCCGCAATGGCGCACACTTGGGGTTCCGGCTTGGTGTGGCTCCGGATGCAGTGGTGCAGAGATATTATCAGACCACTTTTTCCTTCTCGCCCTAATGACAGAAGAAAGCAACATCGACAAACGCCCCAACGGGGAGTTCGTAGGCCCCGATCAATGCTCAGGCGGGCAGAGCACCCGCAGGCCGTCGCAGTACACGGCAAACAGGCAGGCACCTATCTGTTGTAGTCGGTGATCAGTCCATCTCGAGGACACTACCGGGTGTTACGGATATCACATTGCGCCATCTCTCTCTGCAAGTGAAACAGTTCGTCATCACCAGTGAGCTCAATGGTTATATTAGAGGTCATTGATTGACTGCGCGAAATTGTGAGCACCACTGCAGCAACTGGCCACAGAGATGCAGTGTGTACGTACGTACTTGGAGACCCCGTCATGGACGGGGCAGGCGGGCAAACTGTGCAGGAATTTGTCACAGGCCGCGCTGAGGAATGGCACGCAGCGACTCGCGCAGGGTCCGATTTCGCGACAACCCCTTTGCAAATCACAATACGTATACGCGTGGACGGCCGGGGCGGGACCTAGTTGACTGGTACAAGTACTTAAGTTAACTGTTTCCTGGCGCCACGCCAACTACAGGCAAGCTTGTTCTCCTACGAATCATCATGGCGCAACAACTTCGACGCCTGAGAGGTTGCCAGCATCCGTTGCAAAAGGGGAAGGCAATTGAGAACCAGGGTTACGTTGACGGTTGACCAAAACGTCGCACGCGCATGATGCAGTCTCGCTACGAACCCGAATACGATCGCGGGTCTCTTTAAGTCGAATTTCCCAACCTTTTTACATTTCTGTGGGTCCGGCCGACTAGCAGCGGCGATGAGCCTACGTATGAGGGCACTTCTCACCACCTTCAACAGTATCTCATGCTCACAGCAGTAGACAAATCTCCTGAGCGCTCAGTGCCTCGCCGGAGTCATTTGAGTATATGCCTGTTTTCACGCACTTGAGCCGTGCTTTTGATTACAGTACACGGCAAGTGATCGCTGCTTCCACTTACAGCCACTCCTACCTACCCTGTACTGTGAGGCAACCCGGACTCATACTTGATTCCTCATGGATACTTCATGGATCTTAAGGAGGATCGCGTATCGGAAGCCGATTACACAATCGGTGTCAGCTGTAGAAGAGCGGGTCAGACAGCAACTGCCTGGCATCGGGGTATTCTGTGGTACACACGGGGTATGGACCGAGAGATTGGGGCGAAGGGTCAATCCAGTAGGGCACAAACGATACCAGACTTGATCTTTCCGAAGACACACAAAAGGAAATATTACTTTTCTATACTCGCATAGATAGGCGTAGCATATCGTAGAGTTCTTAACGAGATATACCACATCATTCTCTTTCTGGGAACGGCAGCATATCCAAGTGTAAGAAACAAGCCATACGCACAACACTACGCCATCCCCCCTCTATTCGGTTTCTAGTATTATAACCCCATCCGAATACCCAATAACGATGAAAAGCAGGGGTGAGTCACAGGCCGGCGATAGGCAACTCTCAAGCCCGCGTAATCATGGCCTCACGATCGGGACCTGTGCCAATCCACTTGATCTAGACAGCCAATGTTAGTAACAGGCTACCACAAACAGAACAGAAAGCATACCTTGACTCCGACAAACTTCTCAATAAACTAGAACGCCCCAATGTCAGTACCTCTCTGCCTAGTCATGTGGAATATCTTACCTCCACGTAGTCTCTCGCCTTTGACGGAAGATCGTACCACGTCTTGCAGTTGGTCGTAGACTTCTGCCAGCCGGGGAACTCCTTATACACAACCTCACAGCGCTCGAGAGCGTCTAGGTCAGCGGGGTATGAAGAAAGCTCTTCCCCGTCCAATTTGTATGCGACAGCCACTTTGATGGTCTCCATGGTGTCGAGAACGTCCAGCTAGAAACCGAGGTCAGCCTGAGGCTTGAAAACAAAACGAAGGAAAGAAACTGACCTTTGTCAGGTTGATGGAGTCGTAGTAGTTCACTGAGTTGGAGTAGCGAACGATGACCAGGTCGAGCCTTCTCATCATTAGCAAGATCCAGGATTTTCCAATTTCAGACAACTCACCATCCGCATCGTCTTCTGCGGCCGGTTGATGTGCCCTGGAAAACCAGTTAGTCTTCGATGTATGACAACTCCCTTTCGAGTAGTCTAACCCATTCGTGTCCAAGCTCTTGGAGCTTCGTGCCAATCCTGTCATCTAGTTAGTCTTTGTTCCTGCTGCTTCGAGTAAGAGTGCCTTACTCTCCGGTATCTTCAGTCTTGAAGGCACCCGCTCCAACTCGGGTAGTGTCTGCCATGCCTGTTAGGATTGCATCTTGCCTTGGAAGCACTTGACTCACAAGCCTTCACGACACCGATCACCTCCGTCAAACCCCTTGGGTTCAGAGACAGGCCATTGATGATACCTGCGATGGTTGTCGAGCTCGATGTGACGAACTAAGACTGCTGTTAGCGACGTAAATCCAGATTGGATGAGGGCAGCCTACTGGATATCCTCCATGTGTAATGTCCAACATGAGCGCCTGTATTCCAGGCGGGCTGCAACCGGCCTGAGAGGGTCTCAAACCCCTTTTCCCTTTGTAGAAAACAAACTTGCACGCGCATCATAAGGTAGACGGATCCCAATACCCCCGGGAGGCAACGCAACATTGTGCATCGTGATTGCCTCTCGGGGATCCCAGAACCAACCATTACACCTTGCTCGTCGTGGCACAAGACTGTCGTTTCGACTGCCAAAGCTCAAGCAGAGGCCAGCTAGTGGTCCGTCTGGTCCAAGGTCGTCGAAACCAAGTTTGAGTTCCACCTCTGCGTCACTGCCGTTGCTTCTGTTCGAATCGGAAAAGGGGTTGAGACCACGGACCCAGTTGCACGACCCGCCAACCTGTCAGTATCAAAAAAACCGTGGAGCAGAGGGAGATCACCCACGTTTGCTCCCTCAATCAGGATATCCTTGTTATCCTTCTGAGCCTGATACATCAAGGCAGTCGAGTCGATAGTGTACTTGCGCAGCTCAGCCCGATAGGTCTCGAATCTCTTAAGCTCATCCTCCATATCGTAGACCAAAAGATCTCCGAATCGCTTGCGATAGCCTTGTTCGAGCTGACGTAGCTTTCTCTCAAAGAGCTCGGGGTTGAAAATCTCGGCAAGGCGGATTCCGTTCCGCTATATGAAGTGTTAGTGCCATTGAGAAATCCAAAGGCGAGATACTAACCGCATGCTTGCACGCATACGTAGGGCCAATGCCGCGCCTGGTCGTTCCAATCTGGCGCGCTGGAGATCGTCAGCTATAAGTAGGGTCAGAGGAAAAGATGTACTACCTCCGAGCTCGACCTCCTCAAGGCCGTCGACAGCCACGTGCAGGTCCAGCACAATGTTGCAGCGGTCAGAGACCAGGAGCTTCTCGCGGACATCCTTCAATCCCTTGTCCTCCAGTTCCTGGAGCTCCTTGAAGAAACTCGGCCTATGCACAGCATCAGCATCTCGGTGGATGATGTGTAAGAAATTGTCCGGCTGGCCAAGGCGCACGATTCGAAGGGGCGGCTCGCAGCCAGCAGGACGTGGTGGTGGTCGGAAAGGGGGGCATGAATACTGACGCGTAGAAGACCACGTCGGCACCAATCAGGTTCATACTGTTCAGTGCATTAGTATTGATACAGAATGGGCGTTGGCAGGGAAATTACCACGACGGGTTGATCAAACCGGACGGGAGCAGGTGAAAGCTAAGGATTGTCAACATCGTTGGCGAATATTGGATCGTAATGTCTTCGTATGCGCGTACCTGTAGGAGACTCCATTGGCGCTACTCTGGTTAGCAATTGGATCTCATTGCGCACGTGCTAGCAAGGTTCCTGTAGACTCACACAATTTGATGACCAGCGTTGTGTCCTCCGGCAGCGCGGGCGCACAGCTGGGCCTTGGGCGCGAGGATATCGGTCAATTTCCCCTTCTGTAGCAATTCGTCAGAGCTCGATCGGATTGGAGTATTGTATCTAGAGAGGTAGGGAACGTACGCCTTCGTCACCTGGATGAATCACATCGAGTTAGTATACGACACTTTGCTCTCGTGGCCGATACCAGTTGCGAGGGAGGATATTGAGAACACGTACCAAACTGCGCCCCCATAACCACAGTGATAGTCATGATGATAGTTTTGCTGCGAACCAGAACGCAGTCTTTACCTAGGTAGTTGGTGCTGTGGAAAAGACCAGAAAGTGTCACGACCCTGCGATATCGCTGGGGAAAGCCTTGGTGGGGTGGGTGGGAGGAAAATGTGCCTCACCCAAGTTATTCCGTACCTGAAGCTTGCGCTGTAGCACGTGACGACCCGAGGCGCCCTCATTTATTGGTGACTCATGGGGATGCAGAGAAGAACCATTCATTCAATTCACACCACTACGAACGACACATGTCGAGCGTGCTTTATGCACACATTATGTGCTCAGCCGACCTTCCATCCATGGATGGGTTTGCGCGCGATGTTGCCAGTGCCCCTCATCGCGACGACGTGATGTACCTGTCGCGCAGAGTGCCCCGCGACGGTGACGTAGCTGGGCGCCTTTGCTTACCTGGTAGGACCGCCGACCACACCCTTCCTGCAAGAATCTTATCACAACGTACCGAGCTAGAGCGAAAGAGTCCCATTACACATCAGCTTCTGTAGCTTGCAAGTGGGGTGGGATTATGCGCTACGATCTGACCGAGACCTTGTTTCATGCTGACGAGGCAATGTCATGTGTGAGGAGGTTCACTTGTAGCGTTGATGCCTCGGACCTTTAAAGCGAGCCGCTGCCTGACAGTCCCCACGTCTCTCCTTCATCATCATCAACAACATCTCATACAACCAACCCATCACATTTGCCAACGCCTTTTCAGTAAGACAACAACAGTCAATATGCCTTCCTACATTGTACGTCGAGGACAGCCTCTTCGCCAAGCCTTTTAAACACAGCTAATCGTCACAAAGGTCACCTGCAAGGAGGATGCCAGCCCCGAGCAAGTCGAGGAGTATGTACACCTGCGAAAAGAGCCACATCCATCACATTATACTTACGCACCCTAAACAGGGTCAAGAAGCACACCAAGGACCAGGGCGGCAAGATTGGCCACGAGTACAGCATCATCAAGGGCTTCTCGTAAGATAGAGCGCTCCCCCGAGGTTCCGCGCGCACGCTGACACCCAAGCAGGGTCACCTTTGACAACGACGCCGTGACCACCCTTGAGAGCCACCCACACGTCAAGAATGTCGAGGCCGACGGTGTCATGAAGACTCAATAAGCGTGGCATCCGCAGAGGACATGGCTGCGCGACGACGTCTGCAGCAAAGGGATGGGATAGACATGCTCCTACCTCTAGTTGAATCTAGCCAGCACAATCTATGTCTCTACCTATAAGACTTGCCGTCGGCGAGAGTTCTTCTGAATCGCATGACTATCTACGTACTACGTACTACCCAGGGTAATCTCTAAAAGCTCCATATCTCACCCCGCCTGGCGGACGGGTGAGGGATCGGGACATGGACTGATGTGCCTGGTCGGCTACCCACGGAGGTCTACCTTACAGGGAGTCAGTGGACGCTTCAGTGGGCACCATCTATCCGTTAGCGCCTGATTTCCCCACGAACCGACCCACTGGCAGCTGGCTGGACTCCAGCCCCAACTTCATGATGCCAATGCCATTGTGACCCGGACTTGCAACGTCCACCACTGCTTGGTCCCAATTGTAGTCCCAGTTCCCAGACGCACCCGCACGCGCGCGATTGCTGAATTGCCATGCTGAGATGAACATCATTGCCAGACCAGGGCCAAGGCTCTTCCGTCTCCCTCCCCTCCGTCGCATCGCGCAGCCATGGTCGTCCCCTCGAACGCTTGCGACGCACACCCGCGGCGGCAGCAGCCACAGCAGCACCGACTATGAAGTCACAGACGCCGACATCAGGACGCTCGCCAGCAAGCACCTCCATCCGCTCAGTCTCGCGGATCTCGTCAAACACGGCCGACCGCCGCTGTCCGAACAGTCCCTCCTCTCCTCCGCCAACTTCGCCCTGTCCCTCCTGCCCATCCGTCTCGCGCATCGTCTCCAAGCGCTGCGGAACCTCCCGTACATTGTCGTCTCGAACCCGAACATATCAAAAATCTACGATACCTATATAAAGTCCCTCTCTATCCTACTGCCGTACTGGCACAATGCGGCCCAGGGTCGGCCCATTGCCACGCTCGAAGAGGAGATTCGCTTCACCAACACCCTCGCCCAGCTCGTCGCTCAGCACACCGACACCATCCCCATCCTCGCCCGGGGCTTCCTCGAATGCAAGCGCTACATATCCCCCGCGGAAGTGACGCGTTTCCTCGACGAGCATCTTCGCGCACGGATCGGCACGCGGTTGGTGGCGGAGCAGCACATCGCCCTACACTTCTCCTCGCAACCACACTGGGATCCCGAGGCCAGCCCGACGCCGTGTCCCGAGTATCCTTCGTTCGTAGGTGTCATTGACACGGCTCTGCGGCCCGCCACCGTGGTCGAGTCGTGCGCTGGCTTTGTGGCGGATATTTGCGAGCTCCGCTACGGCGTGCGGCCTCTGCTGTACATCGATGGTCAGCCAGACGCCACCTTTGCCTCCGTGCCCATGCACCTCGAATACATTGTGACGGAGATGCTCAAGAATGCTTTCCGGGCGACCATTGAGAACAAGTCCAAGGAGCCGGTTGTTGTCACCATTGCGCCCGAGCCACCGCTGCCGGAGACCGAAATCCTCAACATCAAGGGCCCCGACAAGGAGATCGGGCCCTTTCGCAACGATGCCATCCGTCCGTTGGACGACAACGCGCCTGGTGTGACTATCAGGATACGAGATCGAGGTGGTGGCATACCACCGCATGTGTTGCCGAACATTTGGTCGTATTCCTTCACCACATTCTCCGACGAAGACGAGATGCCTGGATCCAGCGGCTCGGACGGCCTTCACGCGCTGTCGAATGCTGGCTCGGGCGTCAGCTCCATCGCTGGCTTGGGCTACGGACTGCCTCTAAGCAGAGCATATGCGGAATATTTTGGTGGCGGTATCGCTGTAGAGAGCTTATACAGATGGGGCACCGATGTCTACCTACGCCTCAAAGGGATTGGAAAGATCGACGACAAGAAATAATGTCCGACTCCAGAAACACAGAGTGGACCGATGATGGTAGAGCAATGAGGTGCTGGGAAGCAGATATCTGTAGGCTTGAAATGTCATTATTACTGGGGTATCCAAGATAGATGTTCCCTATATTACCATATTGCGACACACACAGATGCGATGCTACAGACCCAAAGAAACCAGGGCAAATAGTATTGCCAGAGATGCCCAGTCCAAAATCAAACAGACGAATGGCCGCCTTCGCTGTCCCAAGTCAAAACGCCTTCCCAGCACAAACTCTTTCTAGATTGCCCACGCCATGTAGTATTACAGCTTCTGCAGCTCATTGTCGATCTGCCGATCGAGGAATGTCCTGCGCTCACCGACAAGGTCTGTCCCGAGCCTCTGCTCGACAAGGGCACGGAGCTGCTTCTTGGTCACCGAGTCGAGGTCAACGTCCCGCATCGTGATTTGGATGCACTCCACAATCATGGCATCGTCCGGGCCACTGTTGCCACGCTGAAAGTCGAACGAAGGCGTCGACTGCATGGCCTCGGGGACCATGGGCGAGCGGCGGCCGCCTCCGTAGCCCATCACCGCAGAGGCGCGGACGGAGGGCGACGTGCCTTGCGCGGCGGGATAGTCCTGGTAGGGTGATTGGTGGCGGTTGACGTCGTGGATGCCGGTGCCCAGGGACATCATCGATTGGCGATTCTGCATCAACGGCTGGTCCTGGTAGTTGCTCATCGTAGTAGGCGCCCTCGTGTGCGCTCCAAACGCAGCGGGTGACTGGGGAGGCATGTATGTATTGCGAGCAGGGATGCCCGTGAGCACTGAGCCCTGGGGACCAGCCGAGTACACAGACTTCATCTCATCCATTTCGTACTGATCGATAGCAGATGACTCTTCGCGGGTGCCACGACGTCCTGGCAAGCTGTTCATGGCGGCGTAGTCGTCCCATCGCTGTAGCGGGATCGACCGAGGATCAAAGATCTCATCCTCCACGGCAACGACTTGCTTCGTGCCCTTTTCTCCGATAACGATGCGTGTGTTGCCCCAGCTGAAGTTATCCATGTTCCAGAAGGAATAAACTGGCAGGATGAAGGAGTAGATCGGGAACGCAAGCAAGTAGAAGATCATCCATCCAATGTGCTGCCATTGCCTCTTCAGGATGAAGATCAGTGCCTGCAGACCGTAGACAGCAGCAAGCATGATGAGCGTGATTATTGGGAATGGACCGGTGTGACTGGCCACTCTGTAAATCAAGTATGCAAGGTAGACGCACGTGGACGGCAAGATGATGGTGCCGAACAGATCAACAAAGACCACGAAACGCATGCCGAAGCAGCAAAAGCCGCACATCTCCTTGAGACGCATCAGCTCGGCCAAGTTGTGAATAGTGGAGTTGATCCAGCGGCGACGCTGCGAAAGCAGAACGCTCCACGACTCGGGTGCGGCCGTCTTGCACTGGGCAGCTGCGACGAATTTGAAGGACATGAAGGGGAAGTGCTTGGTCATCAGTGTCGTCAAGTAACGATCCTCACCGAGGGACAGCAAGTTCTTCTTGTGGAGGGTATCCACGTCGCAGACACTGTATTCGTTGATGACGGCGTCGGAGATGATGAGAGGCTTGCCCTTATCCGCGCTTCGGAGTCGGTACATGCAGAAACTGTGATTCATCAGTAAGGGCGTGTGTTAGATTTCGTTGTGCTTGCCACTTACCAACCGGGCAGACAAGTAACACTGCCGAAAAGCGACTCAAAAGCCTTGGACAAGTGGTGGGAGATGAAGTACTCGTAAACTTGGATCATGGTCCACCACGACTTCTCGTCATTCTCCAGACTGGTCTCGCCGCAAATACCAGCAATCTTAGCGTTGTTGGAGCAAGCTGCCACGAGACGGGTCAGGGAGTCCTCAGCAACGCTTGTGTCGGCGTCCACCATGAAGAGGTATTCGTACAGCTCGGGATCCACGCCGATGATGTTGTTGATTTGATGGAACATCTCAAGCTCCAGAGGGCTCATGGGCGCGCGATGATGCACACGGTTGAGGAAGCTCATGAGCAGGATCTGAGAATCACGCTTGCCGCGGTTACCTGGCTTGGCCTTGGCCTGCTCTGATTCCTTGCCGACCTTGACTACAACCATGTAAGGCACGACGTTGCCTTCGTACTCGTAGAGGCCAGAGTATACCTTGCCATAGTTGAGCTGATCGCTGCCGGGTCCTACGGATTTGAAGGGCAGCGCAGGGGGGTCAACCTTGGGATCGACGCCGAGAATGTCCAGGACGATCTTGGGCGTGGGACGGTCATTGCCCTGACCGACAATGACACCATCGCAGATTACACAGATGAGCTTTCTCTTGTTGTCGTACTGGAGAGCAGTGAGAGAGTCGAGGGCCTTGCGGAGTGAATCTTCGCCTTCCGTATAAGCAGGCACTTGGCAGATGACAAACTTGTCTTGCGCTGCTGGTCGGCGTTTCGAGCCGAACTGAAGCGCCGCCACGAACTTGACCAGGATGACGGCACACATGATGATGGCGAATGCCAGCAAGAACCAATTGTTGACCGTGCAGCGGGGAGACTCGCGGAAATCCGTGCGGCCCTTGTAGAACAGACTGTCGATGCAGTCCCAGGTGTAGAGGATGTTGGCCCGCTCGGTCTCGTTGGTGCTAGCCCTAGCTTCGTCGAGGACAACGTCGACCAGTTTCTTGATGTTCTTGCCAGGATTGTCCGCGAAGATATCCGTGATTTTCTCATTCAGGAACTGATACGTGTCCACGCCCGGCAGTTGGTCGAGCGTATAGAAGTAATCCGTCAAGTCGAAGATTCGTTCGTCATACCGGGCCCACATGTGCTGCTCGTCTTGACCCTCGGATTTGACTTTGCTTGTCGAGTACACCAAATCACCCTTGTAGAACTCCTTGATGGCTGGCTTGAAGTTGGTGTTGTACCAATCCTCATTGCTGAGCGCACTGTCGTGGTAAGGGCTGTTCGCTCCGGAAGTATGGACCGCAAAGCCATACTCGGGCGCATTGGTCGCATTAATCAAAAGAGTCGTCGTCTTGCCGATACCCAGATTAGGGCAAGCCAAGCTCAGGGGAGGGATAATGTAGCGATCCATATCAAGGCCAGCCAAGGGCATCATTCTGTCACTGGTTGTTTTGATGTTGGAGTCACTGTGTTGACGTCGCCAGAAATCCGTTAGGTCATACACCTTGCCATGGTGGCTGACCCAGAAATCCTTCTCGCCTTGATGCGTGGCGACCTCCTTGCGATTCCAAGCCTTGTCGAAGTTGGGGCAGAGAAGCTGGCCCAACCCAACAATCCAGAAAACGATGGCTGCGTTCAGTACGGCGATGAGGAAGAAAATGACGAGCTTCTCTCGCCAAGCCATCCGAACATCTGGCCGTTTCATACGACCGATGAAGCGAAGCATGAAGGACGGAATCCACCACGTGAGACACCACACCAGTGTAGCCCAAACGCGGCGGCGGAGAGGTAGCTCCTTGGTTTCGAATTTTTTATTTCTGGCCAGTTCGGGATCGACCATGCCGGTGAACTCGCCAGCTTCATTGTAAAAGACGTCGCCCTTGAATGTATCGCCCTTGCTGCCCAGGCCATAGTCACCAGCCTGGGCACTGTTCACTGCGGCTGTGGGAGCGACAGAGGCTGCTCCGTACGGATGCTGGCTTCTTGTGATCGAGCTCAAGTTGCCCTGGCTCATGTTGCGACCATGACCAAGTTGGAAGTTGCTGTCACCAAAGACGTTGTCGTTCACCGGGGGGTGAGGGAAATAGCCACTGCCATTGTTGGAGTAGCCGGTGTCAAACCCGGTGTTGAAGGGGTTCTCGACTGCCGGCTGGTCCTCCATAGGCTGCAGGTCGAGGCTGCTCTCCGCCTCCCACCAAGCACCCTCACAAATCCAGACGCGCTCCTTTCCGATGAAGACCTCGCCGTTGCTCCAGCCTCTCTCAAGCATCCAGCTTTCAATGCCATCTCGGCCGTCTTGACAGCCAAGGGACTCGTAACGCTTGACAAATTCGTCGGCGTCGAAATCAGCAGTGAAGTCGAGGGCACGGTTGCGACGATTAGCCCACTCGGGAAGCCTCCATGACCTGAGCTGGCGCGATACGACGCCAGCGGACCATGCCGATGTTGCGGAAGGCAGGGTGGCGATTTTGGCAGGCTCGTCGTCCGTCGGATGAATCGACAAATGGTACCAGACACGGCTGGATGCCAACAGGTTGGGAAGATCGAGGCGACCTGCCCTGCCGAGATTTATGCCCTCCCCATCCACAGGGAACAGCAGTTTCTTCACAAAAGCATCCTCGTCAGCTGCGTACGCCATCTTCTCAAGAACGACCTCTCGTTTCTCGAGCTCTAGTTGCCTTTGTCTTCCATCAGGGCCGGTCATGATACCGAGATCTGGCGCAACCTCGGAAACCGCTTGCTGCATCTCGCGGAGGACGGATGAGCCGGCAGGGGGAACCTCTAATCCGTCTTGAATGATCTCGGCGTTGATGCCTTGGGTATCATCAAAGACAGATCGCATAGCCAAGGCCTTGCCAAGGGTCGGCTCAGGTACTTCCACGACAGTGATTGAAACCGTATCTTCGTTCTCGTCAATGGAGCAGACAGAGGTCTGTGAGTCCAGTGCCTCTTCTCCGTCTCTGATGCGTGCAACCTGCGCGCTGATCGTCTCGTTCGCTTTGGAGATGACCCAATCCACGAGCGATTCATACAGACCGCCGACCAATGTACGGCGGTCTTCCGTGCTGCACTGGTTGAGCAGCACATCAGGCTCCATACCCAGCAAACCACCGACATCTTCACAAATCTCCTCCAAAGCATCGCCGTCAATATTGTAATCCAACGTGTTTCCCAACTTGAGCAGACCAGCTAGGGTGGAAATGAAGTTGCGGTGCGCGGCGCCCTTTATCCCGACGTCTTTGAGAGCCTGGCGGAAGTCGTCGGCGGCTGCTGCATCGTCCGCAGTCGGCAGGAAGGAAGGGTTGTCGTAGGTCCCAGATCGAGCAAGCAAGGTGTAGTGAGAGGGATGCTTCAAGCCGAGGAACTCTCTTTCGGCAGGGGTCGAGGCCGCGGTGAGAAGATAGTAGAAGACGTCGAAAGCTCGGTACCCAGCGGCTTGGGGAACGTTGAGCAGGCCCTTTTCAGTATCAAGCCCACCCTGAGACAGGGAAATGGAGGCTCCGGCGAAATGGCCAGTCAGTGACAAGGTCAATGATACATTCAAAGCGACCTCCCGAGGCAGTGAAGGGTTGTGAGGCGTGACGCAGCGTATGAAAGGTCGCACGACCTCCAGACCCTTGAAGACGCTGGACGGAACGGTGAAAGGGAAGCTCGACAGGAAGGGTACGAGAACCGAAGGAGTGGATTCGTGAAGGGATCTGTGGTCGATTAGCAAGAAGAGGAGACCTCAGAACAGGTGACGTACCCCAAGACAACGCAACCATCCTCGGCGCGGCGGCGAGCATGCTCCCAGGCTCGAGCAGCGAGCGAGGAGTCGACTGTTGGACCATGTTGAACGGCCGTCAGCCACGTGTTGACCACGAGGCTTGTACTTGCCTCCAGCTCATGAGGTCTCGACGACAGATAAATGTTGTGAACAGAATTGAGGAGGGTTGTGGTCGACACCTGGGCTGTTTGGGGACCAGAGCCTTGAGGACGATGAGACTCGGAGGTCATCGAGAACAGCGACATTCTGTTCGACATGTTGCCGAAAGATTGAATCGCGATGTCCTCGAAGGACGACGATTACTCTGCTCCTGAACGACTGATCTTGGTGTAAGGTCAAGCACGAGTATTAGGGCTCTGCGTAATTCTCTCGTAGTCCGGTAGGTATGTGAAGACAGTTTGCTCGTGACTCGCGCCTAATTGAGAAGAGGCTGTTCAGAATGCCGGATCTTGAGGTGCGGGAGACGAGGATCGACGCGTTTCGAAGGATACAGGTTCGAATGTGAAAAGAATAGCGCTCGAATGAAGTGATTATGGATGTAGAACTGCAAGGGCTACCAAAGCGAGTGAGGCAGGCCTGCGTAGAACGAGAGGCGTGAGGTGAGGACAAGCGATAAACCAAGAAAGCGTCCTTGACAGGACAGGAGACGACCTATGCAAGATGTCTGGGTGTTGTTGCTCCTATCCCCGTCCACGAAGAAATGCCCTTGGCAAGCTGCCAGCAATAACTGAGCGCGACGGGTCAGCGCTATGCGCACTGTGCTGGTTCGGGGGCCGCCGGACAGAACCCAGTGTAGGGGTCATTCGTGGGTCAGGGAAACAGGGGGCCCTGTTGATCAGTGAATCTGATCAACCTGGCCGATGGCAATTAGCAACAAATACGGTACTGTGTCACCTACAGCGTGCACTGCAATTCAGGCTCGCAACGGGTACGTAGTTAGTATGTTTCAAGGCACCAGGCTTGTGAGCCGGCTCTATGCAAGGAGAGAACGCGCCTAGAAATTTGCTTTGGTTACTGTTTTGACACGTAGTGAGAATTATACGTGTCTACTTGAGCTGAACTCGTGAGCGAGAACTGGATGGATGCCCTTCGCTGGTCTGTCGCTACTCCGTACATTCGACACCTCGTTCGACATGGACCGCGGGCCAGCCTCAAGCTTCCACAGCACTGTGCGACTCCATTCGCTGACCCCGTTCTCGGAATGGGGGGGCGGAGACGTGGGCAATGGGCTGTGTTGGGAATACGAGACGCTGTGCAGCGCATGCAGTCGAGGGTCGATGCGTGGAAAATTTTGGCTGGCGATCTTGGAGTCGAGAACGTTTGTGCAGATGCTTGGCTCCGCAGACCTCGTCGCTCGCCCCCAAGTTCTGAGATGACTTTCACAACGATAGGCGAGGCATTGTTGTGAGTTTTCGAGCAAACCCGTGGAAGCGCGTACGCACAGTGTAGGCTTGAATCGTGAAGGGGACTGGGGTGAGACTGGCATGATGGGGGAGTAAGTGCCCGAAATACTGCCATAGTGCACGTGAAACACGGGTCGGAGGAGAGGAGAATGTTGTGTAATTAGTACCTAGTACGACCCGGCATCTTGAAATCGGGTTTGCCGATGCAATGGCTCACGACATTTCGGGTCTCACACAGCATGTGTGATGATGTCGAGGAAGCGGAAGCCTTTTTCTCACCAGAACCACTTTCATCGATGCCTGACAATTACGCTTTCTCCATGGACCCGTTCCACAGACAGACTGCTCTTCAAATGTCTGATGGATCATGAGGTCAGTAGATCCTCTAATTATTTTTAGCAGGTACTGCACTCATTAAATACGGGCTGGCGGTGCAACGCACTGTACGCGCTCATCATCATGCCGAAGCTCCAGTCCAGTGGGGCCGAGCACCAGCGCGCTGCGCACGCCGCAGGCCCAGCGCCCGGCATGCCAAGCATCGCACCCTCCCACCTCCAGTCGGGTCGAGAGCTCGCTCGCAGCCGGCTGATACGATGCGCCTAGTCCTAGTCTAGCTTAGCCCCGCCTGGCAACCGCGTGCTAAAAGGAGCTATGCTCAGCGAAATGTCAAGGCTCAACTCAACCTCTGGAACACGAGGATTGTTCGCGGCAGCAGCTACGCCTCACCATATGGATGTTGTGTACAGACAAGAACCCAGCGTCCGTGTCCGTATCGGTGCCCTGTTGTACGTCGTGCGATTGTGTCTGGACTTCATGATAGATCAGTGGATGGGGAGAAAAAAAGCATCCGGTACTAGCCAGGGCGGGCTCCCTTTTGTGTACACAGGCGCGTACCTATTTACGGTGATAACCTCCAGCAAGCCACACGAGCGCTTGCCAATCAGTCGTAGTGCCAAGCCCACCGAATGTCTCTTGTGATTGCTTTGCTGATGTTGTCCTTGCTGTCCCCGGAACGTGAATTTGACGCGAGGGATACCAGCTGTCTGAGAGTTCAAGATGTCTTTTTTCCAGCGCTGACTCTGAGTACTAGTAGTACATGTATCTCAGAGTTTCACCTTCGCCGGGCCTTTGATGAGCTTCACAGAAGAACAACCACTCTACTGTTCTGTCTACTTCCAGCTAGGAGGAATTACCCTATCTAATCCTCTTAATAGATCATCGTCTCCCAGCGCCTTTGTTACCAAAGTTAGAGTTTGTGAGCACCGCATGCTGGGGCATAAACCAGATCCACTAATAATTACATCTCGAACCCCCCTGACGGTCAAGTACCCTGTCCGACTGGAATCTGGTACAGTGCGAATATCACCGGAGCTGATCGTCAGGAAAACAAAGCCCCCTGCCCTGCCCTGCCTGGCCAGCCAGAAAGTCATCGCCGTCCAGACTCACTCACTTCTGTGCTGTCACAAGCCTGGACACCATTTTCCCTCCTCTTGCGGTGTCTTCCCTATTCTGCAATCGACATTCATTCGTTTTCCTTGTGGCTGTTCATCGTTCGTTCGCGCCTCTGCTCACTATTTCCTTCCATTCGCTACACTAAGGTAGGCAGTGGTCGCCCTCCATCTACCTAGCCCTTAATTCCCACCACGACGACGAACAAGACTACGCCGACTGCACGATTTCGACAGACCGTTCGCTTGCCTCGTCGTACGCGGGAGAGCCAGTCTCTGGCATCTCACCCACCATGGCTCTGAACCTGCCCACTGTCAGCAGCGGCAACGGAGGAGCCCATACGCAGCCTTCGTTGCCCTCGCTGCCGGCCCATTTACAGTCCGACACGCATCTAACAGGACATTTGGCGAGTCGCTTCCACGTCTCTCATCCGACCGCGAGGCTTTCGTCTCATGCCTTGATTTCTCTCAACACCTATACATCCTCCAGCAAAGGTCCTGATGGCGGTAAAGAGGGCAGTGCTCAAGGGGGCGCTGAGGACCTGGCAAACAGGGCCTGGCTGCGACTAGGGCACCGCTCCGAATCCCAAACTGCAGTTTTCTTGTGAGTCCTGGAGAAGAGTCCCTTGTGTGTCGCCCGCTGATCAGTTAGGGGTGAATCTGGATCAGGCAAATCTACCTTGCGAAATCATTTCTTGTCGGCTATCCTCGCTAAATCTTCGACTCCCCTGTCCACCAAGCTTTCTCTGGCAGCCTATGTTTTCGACACATTGACTACGACCAAGACTGCCACAACGCCAACTGCCTCCAAAGCTGGCCTGTTCTACGAGCTTCAATATGACACTGCCAGCACAACCAACCCGACGTTGATCGGTGGTAAACTGTTAGACCACAGATTCGAACGAAGCCGCGTCACAGATGTGCCCACCGGAGAGCGTAATTTCCACGTGCTTTACTACCTACTTGCCGGCACAAGTGAGGCTGAGAAGTCGCATCTCGGCCTAGACTTTGGCAATCATCCTGGCGCGCGTGATCAGCGCTGGAAGTATCTCGGTCACCCTACTCAGCTCAAGGTGGGCATCAACGATGCCGAGGGCTTCCAGGTCTTCAAGGATGCTCTGCGCAAGCTGGAGTTCCCACGTAGCGAGATTGCTGAGATCTGCCAGATCCTGGCCAGTATCCTTCACATTGGTCAGCTTGAGTTCGCCGCCGAGAACGATACAAGCGCCAACGGCAACGAAAGTGGCGGCTTCTCCCATGAAGGCGGCAACTCCTATACGGGTGTCAAGAACAAGGAGGCGCTAACGACCGTTGCTGCGTTCTTGGGGGTCAACGCTCAGGACCTCCAGAGGACATTGGGTTACAAGAGCAAGGTCATCAGCAAGGAGCGTGTCACCGTCATGCTGGATCCCCAAGGCGCCCGATCCCACGCGAACGAGCTTTCTCGGACGCTTTATTCTCTGCTCGTGGCATGGATCATCGAGAACATCAACCAGCGTGTCTGCGCACATGAGGAGTCCATCGCCAATACCGTCTCCATTGTTGATTTCCCTGGCTTTGCCCAACAATCTTCAACACTCTCGTCGCTGGATCAGCTACTCAACAATGCAGCAGTCGAGTCCGTTTACAACATGACACTGCAGTACTTCTTCGACCGCAAAGCTGAACTCCTCGAGTCCGAGGAAGTCAATGTTCCCGCCACTAGCTACTTTGACAATACCGATACTGTGAGGGGCTTGCTCAAGCCTGGAAACGGTCTCCTGAGTATCCTCGATGACCAGACCCGTCGCAATCGATCCGACATGCAGTTCCTGGAGTCCTTGCGTAAGCGTTTTGAAGGCAAGAACCCTTCCATCGAGGTTGGATCAGCCCACGCCAAGCTTCCCGGAAGCAGTTTCATGACCGAGAACACGGCCGCGACCTTCACAGTCAAGCACTTCGCCGGCGAGGTCGACTACCCTATCCGGGGCCTTGTGGAGGAGAATGGCGAAATCATCTCGGGCGACATTTTGAACCTGGTCAAGACCAGCAAGAGCGATTTCGTCAACAAATTATTCGGCCAGGATGCATTGAAGACGGTGACGCACCCCAATGAGCGCACGACCATCATGCAGGCCACCATCAGCTCGAAGCCGACGCGTGCTCCCAGTGTGGCGTCCCGCAAGGCGACTCGAAGCAGAGCTCCTGCTGCGTACCGCCGGAAGCAACTCCAAGCACTGGAAACGGTCGAGGCCACGAGCGACGGGGGCGAGTCAGGTCACGGCGGCCACAACAAGACTGCTTCAGAGCAAGGAGCCTCTGGCCAGTTCCTATCTTCACTTGACAACGTTCGGCGCGTCTTGGCCGATCCCAACATGAACGCCTACTTTGTATTCTGTCTCAAACCAAACGACCGTCGCATCGCCAACCAGTTTGATAGCAAGTGTGTACGCACGCAGATGCAAACATTCGGCATTGCAGAGATCAGCCAGAGGCTTCGCATCGCCGACTTTAGCATTTTCCTGCCTTTCAGCGAGTTCCTTGGTCTCACGGACTCGGAAACCATGCTGGTCGGGAGCGAGCGTGAGCGTGCCGAGGTCACCATTGAGGAAAAGCGATGGCCTCAGAACGAGGTTCATGTCGGTTCCACTGGCGTCTTTCTCAGCGAGCGCTGTTGGCTCGAGATTGCCCAGCTCAGTGAGGCTAATTCATCCTCTGGCCGTTATGGTCTGAATCCATCCGACACTGGGGATGGTCTCACCCCAGGCGAGCTTGCGCCCTATGGTGCCTCCAAGGAGCAGCTGGTATCTTCCGGAACCACGCCCCTGATGTATGGCGAGAAGAACCGAGCTGGTTATTTCCCTGCGGGCGATGATACGCGATCCGAAGCCGGCGTCTCGGCCTTTGGTGCCGGCGACATGTTCAAGAACTTCGACACGCGCGAGCAGATGGCTGAACGAGGCAACGAGAAGTCCTTGGTTGAGGTCCAGGAATACAAGGACAGCCCCAGCCGCAAACGCTGGGTATTCATGGTCTACCTCTTCACCTGGTTCATCCCTGACTTTCTCATCCGCTGGATCGGACGCATGCCCCGCAAGGACGTGCGCATGGCATGGCGAGAGAAGGTGGCCATCAACATGCTCATCTGGCTTCTGTGTGGCGTAGCCATCTTCTTCATCGTTCTGTTTCCCATGCTCATCTGCCCTCGCCAATATGTCTACAGCGCGGCTGAATTGTCCTCATACGATGGCGAGGACGGTAGTGGGGGTGCCTATGTGTCCATTCGTGGCAACGTCTTCGATCTCAAGGCGTTTGCCCCTCGCCATTATCCCCCATATATCACGGAAAAGACCCTTCTCGACTACGCTGGCATGGACGTGAGTGACTTGTTCCCCATGCAAGTCTCTGCACTGTGCCATGGCAAGGACGGGCAGATCAACCCAGCCGTCACCCTGGACTACAAGAACACGAACATGACCGGTCAGCCCGCTTACGCACAAGTTGACGAGACCTTCACCTATCACGACTTCCGCTACTATACAAATGACACACGGAATGATTGGTACCTGGAGCAAATGACGGTGCTCAGGGCTAACTATCGCAAAGGTGCGATCGGATACTCTCCTCAGTATGTCAAGACCTTGGCATCGCAGAAGAGACAGTCCATCGCGATTCTGAAGGGCCGTGTATACGACCTGACAGCTTACCTCGCGGGTGGCTATAAGATGAAGTTCAAGCCGACAGACAGCAAGAAAACCATAGACGAAGCGGACAACCAAGGGGCCACGAGCTTCATGCAACCGGCAGTCGAGGAGCTTTTTCAAATGAGGTCAGGAAGCGATATCAGCCAGTATTGGGATTCGCTCACTTTGACCGACGCTCAGAAGGTGGACATGACCCGCTGCCTCGATCATCTCTTCTACGTTGGAGATGTTGACACCCGCAACTCGGTCCGTTGTCAGTTTTCCGAGTATCTCGTCCTCGCCATCTCAATCATGCTTGCCTGCGTTATCGCCTTCAAGTTCTTCGCGGCACTGCAGTTTGGTGGCAAGAACGTGCCCGAGAATTTGGACAAGTTTGTCATCTGTCAGATCCCTGCGTATACCGAGGACGAGGACTCTCTGCGCCGTGCCATCGATTCGGCCGCCAGGATGCGCTACGATGATAAGCGTAAACTGCTGTGCGTTGTCTGCGACGGTATGATCATCGGTCAAGGCAACGACAGGTCCACCCCTCGCATTGTCCTTGACATCCTTGGTGTTTCTGAGCAAGTTGACCCCGAGCCACTGAGCTTTGAATCGCTTGGCGAGGGTCTGAAGCAGCATAACATGGGCAAGGTCTACTCGGGTCTGTACGAAGTCCAGGGCCATATTGTCCCTTTTATGGTCATCGTCAAGGTTGGCAAGCCTTCCGAGGTTTCTCGTCCTGGCAACCGTGGCAAGCGTGACTCGCAGATGCTCGTCATGCGCTTCCTCAACCGCGTCCACTACAACCTCGCCATGAGCCCTCTGGAGTTGGAAATGTACCACCAGATCCGCAACATCATTGGTGTCAACCCGACTTTCTACGAGTTCATGTTCCAGATCGATGCTGACACCGTCGTCGCTCCTGATTCCGCCACTCGCATGGTCTCTTCATTCATGGATGATACACGCCTCATCGCTGTCTGTGGTGAGACGGCTCTGACCAACGCCAAATCATCCTTCATCACCATGATCCAGGTTTACGAGTACTGGATCTCGCACAATCTGTCCAAGGCTTTCGAGAGTCTGTTCGGTTCCGTCACATGTTTGCCTGGATGTTTCACCATGTACCGTATTCGCGCCGCCGAGACGGGGAAGCCACTCTTCGTCAGCCGCGAGGTCGTCGAGAACTATGCCACAATTCGCGTCGATACACTGCACATGAAGAACCTGTTGCACCTGGGCGAGGATCGATACCTCACCACCTTGCTCCTCAAGTTCCACCCCAAGTACAAGACCAAGTACAACCACAACGCACATGCCTGGACCATCGCACCCGACTCCTGGGCTGTCTTCATGTCTCAACGCCGTCGCTGGATCAACTCTACTGTGCACAACTTGATTGAGCTGATTCCCATGTCGCAACTCTGTGGTTTCTGCTGCTTCAGTATGCGATTCGTCGTCTTCATTGATCTGCTCAGCACAATTGTGCAGCCTGTCACTGTTGCCTACATCGGATATTTAATCTATCGCATCATTGACAGTCCGTCTAGCATTCCGATCACAGCCTTCATCCTGCTCGGAGCTGTGTATGGTCTGCAGGCCATTATCTTCATCTTGCGTCGCAAGTGGGAAATGGTCGGTTGGATGATTCTTTATATTCTGGCGATCCCCGTTTTTAGTTTCGCCTTGCCGCTGTATTCTTTCTGGAACATGGATGACTTCAACTGGGGTAACACACGTGTCGTTGCTGGCGAAAAGGGAAAGAAAGTCATCGTCACGGACGAGGGCAAGTTCGACCCTGCATCCATCCCTCGCAAGAAGTGGGAGGACTACCAGGCCGAGCTGTGGGAGACGCAGACCGGCACCGGCAAGGACGATACTCGTTCCGAAGTGTCGGGATACAGCTACGGCACCAAGGCACAAGGTGTCGTGTCCGAGTATCAGTACTATCCTAGCCGTCCCGGGTCGTTGGCTGGCTACGCTCACCAGAACCCCTACGACACCAGGAACAACTCGCGCATGTCGCTGGCGACATCTGAGGTCGGCCTGAACAATATTCGCATGAGCACGTTCAGCCAGTCTCAGTTCTTCTCCTCTGATGAACAAGCGGATCTGCCTAGCGACGATGCGCTGTTGGCGGAGATCCGCGAGATCCTGCGCACGGCGGACTTGATGACCGTCACAAAGAAGGCCATCAAACTTGAGCTTGAGAATCGCTTTGGTGTCGGTCTCGACGCAAAGAGGCAATACATCAACAGTGGTGAGTAAATCTGGCTCTTGATCTATTTTTGATGATACTAATACATCCCAGCCACCGAGGCCATCCTGTCCGGCCAGCTGTAATGTTGCGGCCTGAGACTTTCTCTCATATCGTCATACTTTGGGTCTTCTACACTTTTATAATTTGGGATACTAATCTTGGGATACTACATTGGCGACAGCGTCACCTTGTCTTTCCACCCCCGTGTACTGGCTACGATGCCAAAATCTCTTGTTGACTGGGCGATCTGTTGGTTTATAGCATAATATGGGGATTTGGGCCGTTTGGGAAAGGTAGCATTGATTTATGTGCATTGGGCTTGGGTTTTCACATCTAGGACCTAATCAAAACAGCACGCTCTGAGCTTTACATTACTAGTGGCGTTGTATATCTTCCTCACAGTGATAGAGCAACGTCCTCTTCCTCCTATGGCAAAGCCTCTATAAGTTTGTGCACACCACCTTTGCTCCACGCTTCCACTCTTGCCTGGTCGCAAGTATCCCAAATCCTGCGCATCAAGGCCGAGAGCACAGCTTTTTCCTCTCGCTCACAAGCAGCCCGCTGTGCCACGAGCCAGCTGATGATGCCAAATCTCGTCGTGAGCGTCGTGCTTCCGCCTTCGATGCACGTTGCTCTATAGACAACCCTCAATATCCTGGTCCGTAGGTTTGTGCGAAGATACGGGTTGGCCCCAAGCACCAAGATCTTCTCGAACCATTTCCTCTTGTGGAAGACGCTGAGGTCGGACGCGCGGCGCAGGGCATCGAGGAGATATGTCAACAACCAGGTGATCTCAGTATAATACCTGTCGTCCTCGGACGGCTCGCCGTGGAGGATGTCATGGGCGAGGGGTAGCTTGTCGGCCGGCCACATGGGGCTTCGTGTGAGGAAGGTGTTCACTTTCGGGTACAGCGGGTGTAGGGGGTTGCGCAGCACTTCGATGGCGTGGGTCGCAAACGCGGTGAACGCGGACGGCACCGGGCCCGCATCCACGTGTGGTCTTGATGACTCGGCGAGTTCGGACAGAAGAAGCCAGACCTGCTCCTTCTCCTCGTACGAAGACTCCTTGAGTCGGGCGGCGAGCTTGAGGATGTTGGTGAGCGCCTCCTTGCGGATGCTTGTGTGGGGTGAGGAGAGCAGGAGCACGAGTTTCGTGGCGTGGGCGTCTTCGATGAGGTCCTCGGCGTTCTTGGTAGACCATTTTGTGAGGGCGGAGGTATCCTCCTCTTCGGGAATGGGGATGTTGAGAATTTCCTCGAGTTGGGAGGCGTCTATTGACGAGGTGTTGGTGATGGGCTTGGTTTTCGTGGTGCTGTCGCTGTCGTCCATGACTTTGTGCGCCTTGAGAGCCTCGAGATCCGCTTTGCCACCTAGCGGTCTTGACTCAAGGTCTGCTTCTGAAAGTTGCCCTTGCACCTGCTTGTAGATGGCATGGACCAATGTGCTGTTCTCTTTGGATTTGGCGGCGGCGTTGAAGAAGAGGATGAGAAAGTTGGCCAGCGAAGCTTTCCCCTTGGACTCGGACGATGCCGTGATAAATCGTAGTTGCTCGGCAAGCGTCACATTGAGAAGACTTATTTCTTCCGAGGCCACTTGCTCATCGTGCTCATACGTCTCGAGGAGCTCGAGGTATCTGATCGGAGTGGACGCGCATCGGTTGATGCAGTTGTCGAGGAACGGCCAAATGGGGGACATGTCAGTGACCTGGTCGTTGTTCACAGCACATCGCAGCGCTTGTAGCAACGGGCGGAGGCCTGCCTTCTTTGACACAATCTGAGATTCCAGGGCAATAGTGTTGAGGACCCGTCTGATTTGATCCGAGGGGGTGTTCTGACTGTCACTGCAGAGGACTTGCAACAAGGCTGTAAACGGTAGCGTGTTTGCGCCACTGGGCTTGTTGAACCATCGCATGCCAGGAGAGTGACTGGCAATCGACACGAGGTTCTCCAGCTCCATGACGCCAAAGGCCTTGGCATCTGCTGTCGTCTCCTCGTGGTCGAGCTTCCCCAGTACGTCTACCAGCAGAGGTGAGACGTCGAAATTGGCAGCCAAGGCGACGCGAGGGACAACCTCGTAGTATAACCGCAACAACCGACTGCCCAGGGTCTTGTGGAGAAGATTCTCGGCTGGCACAGATCTGTACATGCGGACGATTTCTTTCATGTCGGGGATTCGCTGGCAGAAGCCGTCGATCAGCTTCTTTGACGATTCGATCCAGAGGGCGTCGCTGGTGCGTGTGGCGCCTTGGAGCATGCTGAGGACCTTTTCGAGCTTCTCCAGAGCAAGGACCAGGATCCTCGTCGCAAAGAACGATGTGAGGTTCGAGCCTGGTTCAAGGCATCTGATGAGTGCTTTGCGGTCGATCGGCAAGGGGATGATGTTGGCCAACAAGATGGAGACTGGTGGTGGCGCTGCCGAGTATTTTGACCTGTCTCCGAAATACTCGGGGATGGGAATTTGCATCGTATTGAACAGGCAGGCAGCATAGCCGATCCAGGTCATTGATAATTTGGGCGCGAAGCTGAAATCGCGATTGCTGAGGAAGAAGTCGGCAATGAGCTCAGGGGCCGCGTTGAAGATGGTGATGAGTAGCTCGCTATGTTTGAGGCTGGACCAGGGCCGCAACTTCTGCGTGAACTCTGATAGCACGTAATTGTACACAGGGACATCTTTGCTGTATCGATCCTCAGCTATGGCGCCCTCGAGATTCCCAAGCTTGGACTTTCGGGTATTGCTAGACTCGTCGTCGGATGGCCTGGGATACAGCCCGGTCGAGGGGTAGAGGACACCAGCTCCGGGGGTTGTGCACACGTAGACTAGAAACGCATGCGCCTTATCTGCGACAGCGGCCCTCTCCTCTTCGGGGATGGCATTGGTCCCGTAGCTGTACAAGGCGAGTATGCGCCACAACGTTTTGGTGTTGAAGTTGCGAAGTTTTGCTTCTCGTGATATGTTGTCGTCCGAGAGGACGTAGTTCTGCAAGGTATTGAGAATGTCCAGAACCAAGTACGGCGGGTCGTTGCGGATCGTATAGGTGAGATGCGATATGAGCTCCCTCTGCGTCATAAGCTCCTTGCGGCCGTCCGAATGTAGGTATTTCAAGCAAGCCAGGAGGAACTTGACGGCATTGGTCCTGACAGACGTCTTTTTAGCATCTTCAATACCATCCCCTGAATGCCCGATTTCTAGGTTACGGCCTAGTGCGGTGAAAGTCGACTGTCGCGCTCTGAAGATTCTCTTGGCAAAGGCTCCGCCGTCGAGCGTGACGGCCTCTCTAAGCAGACGCAATGTGGGAGATATAATGAAGCCCTTTCCCTTTTCCACCGACAAGTTCTTTGACAGCGATTTGAGTTGCCTTTCCTGGATCAATGTTTGACAGATCCCCAGTCCGTGGGATACCATCTTCAGAGACCCTGAGAGAGTCGATAGCACGAGGGCCAGAACTACGGCCACCGATGACATGACCCCGTCATTGTTGACTTGGGCCGCAAACGACCACATCTCCATGATGTCGTTGAGAAACACTGCATCCTCGCCTGTCTGTCGTGGCTTACTCGCCTCGAGGTATTCGTAGAGGATCTGAAGTTTGTCATTGTCGTCGCTTTCGCTCGCATGGATGTCGTCCAAGAGTCTCTTGAATGATTGCAGGCCTAAAAAACAGGTCAGTCGACAATCTCGTCTCGTGGTGCAAGTGGAATACGTACCATGCCTTGCTCGACCTAGATCCTGGTCGAAACTCAGCAGTGTGCGCAGCTGATCGCTTGAGTACACATCTTCGCCAGCGGGGACTTCGTGGGTGATCTTCTGGCGCTTGCGAAAGGCGGCTGCCCCGTCATCTATGTTGCCGCCTCGTTTGGACATTGTGGACGCCTGGATTTGGATGATACTTGGCCTGACGCTGGCTCGGGCGCGAAGCGGCTCGTGACACAACTTTCTTGAGATTTTGGTATTCTGCCACCCCAGACCGCCAATCCCACTTTACGGATTAGGCATGGTAGAAGATCAGCTTGGCTTGCACTTTGATCACCAAAGTCAATTCAACTGACCACCTGCATCGATCACCTTAGAAGTAATAACATCCATTAATTCAAATCTGCCTGAGATTCGTGTGGACTTGGCGTCTAATGTTCGAGAACCCCAGAGGAACCGACTTCTCCATGAACCATCGACTTCTCATCCGGTAGCGCCGTTTTTGTCACCCATTGCTCCTTCCCTCCCCACCACTGGTGAAGAACGCCTCAGCCTCCATCTCCAAGTGAGACAGACATGAGGATCGTGACCAATCCCACCATCATCGGCCACCGTCCTTATCGTCACCTAGTCAGCCGTCCTTCCAAGCCCCCAGCTTCCCCCGACGAACACCTTCCGTTACCCGTTCCATAATGGGCGATGCAACAGCGCCATAGCCGCGTGAGCTGTGAGGGCTCGTTCACCACAAGGCTTGCCCTCAAGCATGTGAAGGGTGGCAAGGAAAGCGCAGCACCAAGCTCGTGTCATACGATACGACACCTGCGGACATCTCAACTCGACTTGTTGGCCCACTGCAGACTGGCTCCTCGCGTCATGTGAATACTACGTACGTAAGACGTGACTGCTGACAGACAGCCAGGGCAACAAACTCTGAATTATTCTTAGCAGTGTCGCCATCCGCGAGTAATGGGACCCAGACACGCATCGCCGGGCGTTCTCTTGTTTGACGCGATGAAAACAATGCGTGGCAAGGCGAGTACAGTGTACGTCCAGCATCGCGGTCCCCGAAGACGAATGAGTCGCGCTTGGGCGCCGACGCGCCCGTCACAGCAGCGGCCCAACGGGGTAAGAAACGTCTTCCATTTCGAGTAACGGGCTGTCCAGACACGGCAACATCCAACAGGCAGGCCTCGGGCGCTGGGCTGTTGCTGTCTGGATCGTGTCGCGTTTGGGGATGCTCGCCCATTGCCAAGTGGTAGGTTCGTCTCGCGCGCATCCAATAGTCTGGCGGTCACACATTGCTGCTCGCTCCTGTCAGAGATGGCGCTGGCCAATGCCGACGAACCACGAGGCAACATTGGGACGCATCTGCGGCAGCCGTGAGATTTCTTCGTAAAGGCCATCCGAGGCCAACGACTCGCTGGCTGCGTTCGGTGCTGCTACCAAGGGGTGGGTGCGCCGTGGGTCCCTGCAATTTCTAGTGTGCAGCGCCAGCCATCCATGATGCCAATCCGCATGCGCGCCCACATTGACAAGCACGGCGAGAAGCATAGGCTGCGCAGCCAAAGCACCGCTACGCGCCGACTGGCCGGCATGAACGACTCCTCAACCTATCACGGGCCCGGACCCAGACCTCCATCAGACAAAGACATACAGATCTAGAGGTACTTGGGTGACGATGGCTGTACTTGCTTGTCTTTTTTAGGTTACGGCTGATTGCCTCTCATTTGCCCGAGCATCGATGAATGGATCGTTGCTTGCTTGCCTGCTTGCTTGCTGGGTGCCATTATCTAAGATGGCCGCCGCGCTGGTCACTCGCAGTCTTGAGGTCATGAGCCAGCTCTCCTCTTCTTCTTTTATCATCTTCACATCCAGGAGTCGCGGGCTCTATTTGCATTTTCTTTGCTCGGTGGTTCTCGTCGATATAATATAGGTCTGCGCAATCGGTTGGGGTGACACGGGCTCATTCACCTCTTTGCGCTACCACTTACACCACCACGCACACAATCACAGTCCACCGCCCTTGTTCATCATATCTGGTGACCAGGTGCCTCCACAGCACTGGTTCATGCGGTGGTAAACACTCTTTCATTGCTCGTTTTTGTTTATACCCCGTGAACCGCTGGTCGTTCATCCTGTCTTTCCCCCATTTCCTTTCTATCAGAGCGACTTACATCCCACCTCTTGCGCCGCTGCACACTCTCGACATTATATCCTCGTTCCGGCATGCAACACTATACACGAACGGGATACCTATCGCTGCAGCATGACAAGCCCTCCCTCCGACGTTGATGGCTCATCTTCGTGGCTCAAAGCGATATCACAATGTTGCGCGCCGTTGACATCCTGCTTTGGTCGACGTCGTAGTAAGTTCACGTCTCTTACTGCTGCTTCTATATCTTGGCCCTTGGGCAGGTCTAGCGATCAGGATTTGCTGATCGCCAAAGGCGACGAGAAGAGCACTCGGGCCATGTTCGAAAAGCTGCCTGGTCAGACACCTCGCTCAGGCATGACCGGCCCCAGGCCAGTGTCTCCGACAGCGGCGAGAGAGAAGCTGCGCAAAGGCTTCGGGCACAAGAAGCGGCATCGCTCAGATGGATCAGCGCGTCGACTTTTGATCTCGGGACCCAGCGACTTCCGACATATTCAGTCAGAATCTTTTCAGGTTCCCTCGGCTTGTACCGCGACTCAGCTTCGACCTAATCCTCCACTGCGACGATCATTTCGGCCTCTGGAGCTGAGTATCTACAGACCAGACAACTCCATGTCACCCATCCTGCCGCATTTTGAGTTCCCCTCAATTGCGGCGCCTGAGGCAGCACAGCTGCACGAGAGGTTGGATGATGAGTATGAGCTGGTCAGACAAAAGAGCAATTCTTCGACCCCGTTCCATCTGCCAAGGAAGCAGGTTGGCGGCAAAAGTCCCTCGATAGCTTCAGAACAGGGTGTGCCGGCCATCCCTGCTAGATCCAAGGAGCGCACGAGGGCGCATACGTCGCCTGAGATTGAGATTATCAAAGCACGTGTGGCAGGTGCCCTCAACGAGATGGAGGCCCTGCAAAAGCAGATTGACGATGTCATTGAGAGGCAGAGCCTCCACATAAGCAGTCGGCCCTCGACAGCTCATAGTATGAGTTGCACAGTGAACGGTGAGCGGGATTCCAACCTTTAGGTACTGGAACTGACTGACTGATCAAGTAGATGTCGAGCCGATGCCAGCAGTCCCGGCCTTGCCCCCTTTAGCCCCTTCGTTCGCTGCGCGCCTCAACGACATTGATAGGCCTTCGACTGCACCACTGCGAACAGAGTCGCAGATCATCAACCGATCCCAAGAGTTTGGGGACATGACGGCTGCCAGCACGCCCACACGTCCGCAGCCCGACGATCACCCTCTCCCGCCCCCTTTACCACTAGTCCTTCGGCCACCTCTGCGGAAGAAGAAGTCATTCTCTCGCGTGTCCACGTGGTTGTTTCCCAGTGGACATCACACGCGAGATGTCAGTCTGGACTCCATCACCAACCAGCCCCGGCCCATCAAGGGCACCGAGGGTTTCTATCAGTGCGTCGCCCCAAACGGCGGCGGCGGCGGTCGTCACTCGCTCGACAGTGTCGGAACAGTCACGACGTGGGACTCTGACGAGGAGCAAAGGACGGTTCCGACCACTTGGTCCCCGGGAAGCACGCCGGTGACGAAGATGGACGGCGGCCCATTGGAGAGGTCCACTACCTTTGGAAAATCTGGGAGCGTCGCGCGGGTTTGAACAAAGGGTTAGGATACCAAGAGGCGTCAAAGGTCGGTTCTGTTTTTTTTTTGTTCACCGAGATACCATTTGTGGGAGGATGCGCGTGCAGTGCATGCGCTTTATAGACATGACAGCTGGAAAAGGGGCTTGGTTGTTTGGGCTCGGGGCACTATCTAATGAGCACCTTTTCTGTTGTTCGGGACAAATCGAGTTGCAGCGAAGCTTTGAAATGAGTACAATGAGCGGCGTTATTCGCTGCGATACCGGGCAACACTTATTCCCAGAAATCAGTGAGCTATAATTCAATCAGGGTTCGCCTTTTTTGAATCGTCGTATGTAATCTGATCCTTGTCTCGTCATGGATACAAGTTGCAACGCCCCAGGTCACATCGCCGCCCAGCTCCTTTCTCACACTTGAATGGGTTTTGCCTCAGGCATCCACCTCTGAGTTACATCTTCAACCACGCAACGACCCGTGCGCGCACTCTTCCGATGCCTTGAACAACTCGAATATTATCAGTCGGCGCAAGCCTAAGTTTTGTGTTTTCGGCGTGGTTCTGCGCCATCTCACAGGATCGGCGGTGCTGTCGCAACAGCCCACAGCAACAGAACACTAGCGACCCGTCACCCGCATATGTTGAAGACCATTATCACTGTTCGCTACAATCGGGAAAGATGATGGCACAACTGCGCAAGGTTTTGCCTAAGAATGGCTACCACTACAGTCAGATCACAGAACATGACTCGCCCACGCACCCAGCCAGTGCCCGTCGAGGACCTGGGGGTCTTTGGAGCGAGCGACGACGGAGACCTGTGATCGTTATATGTACCGCAATCCTCGCGATACTCTCTTTAGTGCTATTCTTCAGGTGAACTCTCATTTCAATTTACCCACCGGATTTGAAACGCTAACAACGCCAAAGGGGTCCTAGCAATGGCAATGGATGCGAGAAGCAAGGCGCTTGCCGGAAGACCTCACCCAAGTTATGGGGGCAATACTCCCCCTTTTTCTCAGTGCCATCAGACATCAGTCCCGCGGTGCCTTCAGGTTGTGAGATCACGCATGTCTCCTTGCTTGCCCGCCATGGCGCGAGGTATCCCACGGAGCACAAGTCGATCCTGTACAGTGATCTCATCAAACGTATTCAGGAGGACGTGTCTCGATATGGCGCTGGCCTAGAATTTCTGCAAGACTACGAATACAATCTCGGGGCAGACCAGCTCACCTTCTATGGCGAGCAGCAACTCGTCAACATGGGGCATGACTTTTACCAGCGTTACCAAGCATTGAGCGACAAAGAGGATCCATTCATTCGAGCTGCTGGCTCGGAGAGGGTCATTGCATCGGCAGAGAAATTTATAGAAGGGCTCTACAAAGACACAGGGCGAGACGAGGACGCAGCAAGGGAGGGTATTCTCGTTGTCCCGGAGGAGGACGGCTACAACAACACGTTGAACCACGGGAACTGTCCAACTTTTGAAGACGGGCCTTCTTCGGAGCTCAGCCACGAGAAGCAAGAAGTTTGGAAGCAGATTTTCGTGCCCCCTATCCGAGACAGACTGAACGCGAAGATGCCAGGGGCAAACCTGTCGCTCGACGAAACGATCTTCATGATGGACATGTGCCCATTCAGTACTGTGGCGGACTATCACGATGAAAAGTCTCGATTCTGCTGGCTCTTCTCAGAGGAAGAGTGGCGGAGCTACGACTACTTCGAGACGCTGGACAAGTGGTACGGCTACGGCACGGGAAACCCTCTTGGGGCGACGCAGGGGGTTGGTTATGTCAACGAGCTCATCGCCCGGCTGACTGGCAAGTCTGTGGACGATGAAACCTCGACCAATTCGACGCTCGACGGGTCCGCGGAGACGTTCCCCCTCGACAGGAAGCTGTACGCCGACTTCAGCCACGACAACACCATGTCATCCATCTATGCGACCCTGGGCCTGTATAACGACACCGGCGTCATGCCCGTCAACCATCGCCTCCCACCAGTGGAGACGCGTGGCTTTTCTGCTGCGTGGACCGTCCCCTTTGCTGCGCGCATGAGCGTTGAAAAGATGCGTTGCGACGCGGCGCCCGACGAGGAGGAAGAGCTGGTGTGGGTGCTGGTCAACGACCGTGTGGTCCCCCTCACCCACTGCGCAGCAGACAAGCTGGGGCGGTGCAGCTTGGGAGACTTCGTCGAGGGCCTATCGTTTGCGAGAAGTGGTGGGCAGTGGGATCAATGTTTCAGAGATACCTGAAGAACTTGGCTAGGAACTTGAGTGAGAGGGGGAGGTGGCGGATGCCGGGAATAGAATCATGACGACAGAAGGCGCGTGAAACGCCGGGCCTGATGACTGAATGTGAATGGCTCCGTTGGGGCTGAATGAAGCCAGAGTGCCTTGGAGCAAGGCGAAGACCAGTGATGGGAACGGAGGTTGAGACCTGCATCTTATATACAGACAGTGTGATGGTACGGTGGCAGTCATTTCTGTGCACTGTGGAGGCTGACCTAGGGTAGCTCAAATTCCCTCTATTATTAGAATGCCCAGCACAGGGCTCTGATCTGGACAGATTAATTTGCTCACCCATCACAGTAACTCGGCAGCATCATGCACGCCTATCAATAGCACCTGCCATTTTAGCGTCTCACTAATGTACGCACTACGTACATACGCCTAGAGCCTACCTTAACGTTAGAGCTTGCGTCCCCGAACCTGGAGTCCGGACTGTATGTGGCGGCCGTCGCGGATCTGCCTAAATTGACCAACATCATCATCAACCAACCTTCACTGCCCAGTTCCTATCTACAACGCCGCCATCCTGCCTGTCTCAAGACAGACACGCCAATCGCGTCGCTGTATGACCGACAAAAACACCTAGGACACACCCTCATTGCGACGTTCTTCAGCGAGTATGGTCAATACGGCAGGCGGCATCGTCATTGCCGTCGTGGTCATCCTCCTCGCTGCGGCGGTAGGCTGGATTGTGTTCACGCAGCTACGTGCGCGAAGACTGGGTGTGAGTGCTTCTTCCTCTTTGATTGCAGCTCGCGGGCCAGCGAGCTACGTCGCGACGCATCGCATTTTCTCGCCTGCGCAATGAACTGACATAGTTGCAGCTTCCACCTCCAGGACTCAACGACTACCTCCCATGGAAACAATCGACAAACTCCTCCTTTGCCGGCGGGCCCCCTCGCCCTGCGCCTGGTGGCATCGTCGGCTGGTTCAACGACCGCGTCCGCGCTTTTAAGAACCGAAACAACCGCTCCGCGACAGGCGCCTACGAACAGCCCCTCGCCGCTGGGGGCGCCGGTCCTCAACGAGGTTTTGGGCCACTTGACCCGGACGAGGCATGGGATTCGCGCGTCGGACCTGAGGCCGACAGATACTACGAGGAAAGAGCCGACACGAGCTATGGCGGCGGCAGCTACAGCATGAACCTTGCCGGTCCGTACGGGCGGGACCACGACGATGATGCGGAGGAGCGCGGCCGGAGCGGTCGCAGGGAAGGCGACAGAAACCCGTTCGATGATGACCACGAGGCTAACAGCTTGCGCGGCGTGAGCCCACGACCGATGGATGGAGCGGGTGGCAGGGCGAGTGTGGACACGCGGAGGTCGGCGTTCCGCGAAGATGTCTAGGATCTTTCTGACGAAGAACGGGACTCGTCATCTCCAGTACCGTGCGGCAGGGGGCATGGGGAAACCCTCGCTTGGCCACTCTAGACAGGGCACGATGATCACGAGCCGGACGCTGCAGCGGAGGAATGGAGATTGACGCGAGGTCAAGCTATGCCATTGGTGTTCTCCGGACTTGAACCAAGTGGTCGGTCAATGGGCTGATCTTGGAGGTTCTGAGGAAGAGGGTGAAAGTTGGGGTTTGGTGTGTTTCTTTTCGTTGGAGTGCACTGCGGTGCACTTTGTTCAATAGGGCATCATGAACAGGCAGGAGTCGGCGTTTCCTGGTCATTGCCTCACACAAATATACCTAGAGTATACAATTACTTACACGAACGATCCCTATGTGTCAATCTCTTTAAATAGCTTGCATGTGGAGGAGAGCGAAGGCAAGGTAAAACAGCCAGTTGTTCCCCCACGTTGGCACTGGAGCTGCCCCGCCATCATGCTCCTGCTACAGGTACATGACTGTCTATGCCCCTCCTCCACTCTCTTCCTTTCAAGATCCACGACAAACCACCTCAACCCAAGTCAGACCTGTTTGGTCAAACACATTCGAAATGGGCGACCTCGACCTCCAAGCCATCCACGATGAGATGGTCTCCATCGCCTACGCCGCCGGCGCCATGATGCTCGAGGCCAACCCACAAGACATCGATCAAGGGACAAAGCTCAACTGTACGAAACCCTTCCCTCCCCAGAGACGCTGGGCACGAACGTAGCTGATTCGTTTCCATGAAAAAAAAGCCGTCGACATTGTCACAGAGACCGACCAGGCCGTTGAGAAAATGGTCTCCTCTCGCCTCTCCGGTGCCTTTCCCAACATTGCCTTTATGGGCGAGGAGACATACACACCCGGCGCACGCATCGGTCCCGAGCCTACCTTTGTCGTGGACCCGATCGATGGCACGACCAACTTTATCCACTCCTTCCCCAACGCGTGCATCTCGCTGGGCTTGAGCGTCGAGAGGGAGCCCGTGGTGGGTGTCATCTACAACCCCTGGCAGGACCTCCTCTTCACGGGGATCAAAGGGCGAGGGGCGTACATGACGAGGATCAAGGGTTCTACGCCGCGGCAGCTGCCGTTGGCCAAGACGCCCAGGGGTCTCGACGGTCTCGACAGCGCTCTGATTGCGGTGGAATGGGGCTCCAGCCGCGATGGTCCCAACTTTGACCTCAAGACCAAGGTCTTTAGCAAGCTGGCCGCCAGCAAGGAGACGGGGGGCGCCATGTGCCACTCGCTCCGCAGCCTGGGAAGCGCGGCGCTGAACCTGGCCAGCGTGGCGGCAGGGCAGATGGACGCCTACTGGGAAGGCGGGTGCTGGGCTTGGGATGTCTGCGCGGGCTGGTGTATACTCAAGGAAGCCGGGGGCATGATGGTCAGCGGAAACCCGGGTAACTGGGAGCCTGCGCTGGAGGAGAGGGTGTATCTCGCCGTCAGGGGGGCGCCCACCGGGCAGAAGGAGTTTGTCGAGGAGTTTTGGGGTGTCATGGGCGATGGGGCGATGGATTACAAGGTATAGATATAGACCGTGGAAAGACACCATGACGTTCTAGTACACATGTGGGACATTGCCATTGAACTGTGCGGATACGCAGGAGGTATCGCATTGCAGTGTTGCCTACAAGCAGAGGTATCGACATTGTTTTAAACCATTCCCGTCAACCTTCCCATGATGGACCGCGGAATCCCAAACGCCGGTAGTCGTCAAAGCATAGACATGCATGTGCTTCTTCTTCTTCTTTGATTTTGAAAGCCAGTGCCCCCACCATCTCTTACGCCTCAGACGTGGCGGGCTCCTTGTTGTCCACCTTCTTGGCGGCGGGCTGCTCGGCAGCACCGCCGTCCTCCTCGCGTGCGCGCTTGTTGCCGTTCTCGCTTGTCTGGATACGGGGCTTGGCACTAGACTCTGTGTTAGCTGGGGCATCAACTGTCGTGCTGTCGGGGGCTACTTGCTCGTTCTCGCTGGATTTCTGCGCGCCCTCCTCACGCTTCTCGGCGTTGCGATCGCCATCGCGGCCACCATCACGACGGTCATCGTCGCGGCGATCACGACCACCCCGGCCGCCTCGGCCACCACGACCGCCCCGACCCCGTCCGCCGCGCCCGCCGCGTCCACCACGGAAGCCGTTCCTCTGGTCGTTGTCACGGCGCTGCTTCCAGTTATCGCGGTCGCGGGGTCCACCGTTGGCCTTGCCCTCTTTCCCTTCAAAGAATTTCTTGGGCTGACTGTTGCTGGGTTCCAGCTTGCCCTGGCGAATCAGATCGCTCTTCTCGTCGCAGTAGGCCTTCTTGGACATGATCTTGAGGTCGTGCCCCTCCCACTGCGGCGCGGGGGTGGTCTCGATGAACTTCTTGGCCGTCTCCTCGTCGATAAAGGTCACAAAAACGGAACCCTTGAAGAAGCTCTCGTCTGTACGACGGAGCTTGAGACCCTTGACCTCGCCAAACTTGGCAAAGAAACTCTCCAGGTCGAACTGGGTGGTGGGGGTCTCGTCTCCAAAGCCCTTGACGTAGACGGTGGCGGCCTCGTTCTTGCCGCGGCCCTGGTTGGGCTGGTAAGGCTTCTTCCTCTTGACGGTCTCCTCGCCCTCCTTGTCGCCCTCGACGTCGAGAAATGTGCTGTCCTTGAGGGCGGCGACAACGGCGCTGTAGGGTTGGAACACGCGCATGCGCTTGAAGGAGTGGATCTTGGCGATCGGAATGGGCTTGTTCTCCGCACCCTGCGCCTGCTCCCACATGAACTTATCCTGGGGAAAGTTCCAGTCGCCAAAGTAGAACTCGACTTGCTTGCGGATGGCGACGGGGTCGTCGGTCACCCCGCGGGCCGAGGGATCGAACTTGCGGTTCTTGGAGGGGTCGTCGTAGTTGATCTTGCCCTTGGTCTTGAGCATTTTCGTCGAGTCGTCCTCCTCTGCGGCCGGCTTTGCCTCTGTCGCGGCCTCTTCTTGGGCTTGCTCCTTGGCGGGCTCTTGAGCAGCTTCGGTGGTGGTGGCAGTGGTAGTGGTCTCCACGGGCTTCTGCTCCTCGACCTGGGGGGCCTGAGCCTCGACGGGCTTGGTGGCCTCGGCGTCGCTCATCTTCGCGGCTATGTGTGGTGAGAGTAGCTAGTGATGCGACTGCGAATCAAGTCAATTGAGTGTCCGCGCGCGTTGTGGTGGTTGTGAGCACAGAAGCCGTGGGCTGACTTGGAACTGTCGTCGCCCAGCGTAAAAAAAGTTGGTGGCGGGGCAAAGAGTCACCGGCGTCGATTGCGGCGCTGGCGTGCTGAACAGGCAGTAATGGGGTAGAACTTACAGCAGTGACGAGTAAATGGAACTGTTAACAACGCTCTCTCGCTTCTTGGGCGTATTGTTTGCAAGAAGGCAGATTGGGATAGAATGGCTGAGGTATTGACTGGAGTGGCAGAAAAAAAGGTAAGGATCGAATACTGGCGCGACTGGTAACTGACCGCCCGCTTGTTGGCCGCTCTTGTGCTTTGCAGTTTCTGCCCCACCTTCCCGCGGCGGGTCACTGCAGCGTCTCCACAAGCGCCAGATGATGAGACTAAAAAGGTCAAGACTCAAGAGACGGATATCCCAAGTTTCTCATAGTGATGAAGCCAATTCGAGGTTTTGAATAGCATTTCCCGAACCAGAGTTTGTATACACTAGGCCCCGATCTGCCGCTGCCGAGTCTGGACCGATGAGCGTGGTTGTTCTAACCAACCGGCTGTCTACGCTCATCATCACACACGCATCATTGATCACTCGGTTTAATAAAGTCTCAGCAGATAGCATCGCGGAAACCATGTCTCTTCCACAGTAGCAAGCTCGAGCTCGACTATCTGGCGCATCTTGCCAGGGGCGCGCCCACTCACACACGTTAATCGTTGACGCCACTGGATGTCGGCATTGGTGGTGTTAGCATGGGACAAACACTTGGCAAAATGCTAAGCTGAACACTCTGTTCAAACCTTAATAATACTCCGTACGTATAGATGTTGGAACATGAATTACCTTCACAAGGCAAGCACCGTTCTTTTCATCTCACCAAGCGCCCTTGCTCGCCCTAGGCTACTACCGGCCATCTAGGGTAGGCAAGTTTGGCCGCTATTTCACAATGGTGACATCATCTCAAGATCCGGAAAAGCGTCGCGGGCTAAGATGGCTTAGGAGAGACCTTAGCAAGGAATCCGTGATCGCGCTCAGTTTTCGTGGCCGAAAACCTGGAAGAGCTAGCAGTCTAGTCTAGACCTCGACAATCCCTCGGCCATCGAGTTCCAACACGCAGACCTGAGCTCCAAAGCCCTCTCCCACGATCATGGACATTTGATCATGCCCCGTGCTCGCCAGCATCACCGACAATTCAAATCAACACGCTCTTTACCACCAGAAAATCCCTCACAATGAGATATCCCACACCAAGCTCAACGCGCAACCTAGCCAAGCTTCGCGCATCTCTCACGCGATATAATGCGGTCCCAGCACCGACGACGGCAGTGCGGCAGCAGCCAAGACATGGCTTCTTCACTGCTGCCAAGCGCAATGCGCGCGCTGCCGCATCGCGGTCCTCCAAACCCCTGGCGGCGGCGTTCACTGGCATGTTTATTTGGTGGCTTTATCCGTCAGAAGACTTTGCACAATTGTCAGACGACCCAAAGAAATTGCAAGTCAACAAACAGGGTAGGATCGAGAGGAAAGGGTCCGCGGAGAAGGACGACAACAATGATGGAAGCGACCAGTCGGCATGGACCAACTTTGCGCACCGCTTCGAGTCTTTCACGATAGTGACTGACCTCGAATGGTCAGCCTTGTCCGACACGTTGGCCGATCTCATCCTGCCGGACTGGTCAAAGATGATTCCCGGTTACATTCGGAAACTCCAACGGGAACTGTCCATGTCGCCCGGCTCTCTGGCAGATGAGATCTGGAGAGAAGCCCACGATCCGCTGGTCAACCCTGAGATCCGCTACACGGCCGAGGTGCGTGTCTCACAAGAACTTTGTAACGAAGAGAAGGAGTTCCTATCGCGGCGCAAGAGAGTTATCCGGATGGCTCTGGCGCGGTATCTCGACCTCAAGGAGGAGGAGATCCATCCTGACGATATCCCGACCATTGCCATGTGCGGCTCGGGCGGCGGCCTACGAGCCTTGATTGCTGGCACAGGTTCACTGCTGGCTACGGAGGAGGATGGATTGTTCGACTGCGTCACTTATACCTCAGGGGTCAGCGGCTCCTGTTGGCTCCAAACTTTATATCTATCCTCCTTCACAAAGGGCCGTATCGCGGGTCTGGTGGAACACCTGAAAGCGAGAGCTTCGACACATATCGCCTACCCCCCTGTCGCCTTCCAGTCGCTGGTCTCGATGCCCACCAGCAAATATCTCCTTAGTGGCATGGTGGAGAAGCTCAAGGGCGACCCCAAGGCGGACTTTGGACTTGTTGATGTCTATGGCGTACTGCTTGCTGCGCGGTACCTAATTCCCAAGGGTGACCTGGCGGTCAACGAGCGGGACTTCAAGTTCTCCAACCAGCGAGACTACGTCAAGTACGGCCAGAACCCAATGCCCATCTACACTGCTGTCCGCCATGAGATCCCCAATCCCACACCCTCGAGCCCTACACAATCCGACGTAGCAAAGGAAGAAGCAAAGCAGGAAGCATGGTTCCAGTGGTTCGAGCTTACGCCATACGAGTTCTTCTGCGAGGAGTTTGGCGCCGGCATCCCGACCTGGGCATTGGGCCGCCGCTTCAACAACGGGAAAGATGTACCTCCCGAGCATGGGTTTCATCTACCCGAGATCAGAGTGCCCTTGCTTCTGGGCATCTTCGGGAGCGCGTTCTGCGCAACCCTCAAGCACTACTACCAGGAGATACAGCCGTTGGTGCGCAGCATGACCGGCTTCAGCGCCCTCGACGAGATGATCTCGGGGAAAAGCGATGACCTCAGCAAGGTCCACCCCATTGAGCCTGCCAGCATCCCCAACTTCGCCTACCAGATGCGAGGCAAGCTTCCCAAGACCACGCCGGAGAGCATCTACGACAACCCTTATCTTCAGCTGATGGACGCCGGCATGTCTAACAATCTACCCATCTACCCTCTCCTACGGCCAGGACGCAACGTGGACGTTCTCATTACGTTTGACGCATCGGCAGACGTCAAGACAGACAACTGGCTGTCGGTGGCAGACGGGTATGCCAGGCAGCGCAATATCCAAGGCTGGCCTGTTGGTGTCGGTTGGCCTCGTCGAGGAGAGTCCCCCGCTCAAGCTGCAAAGGACCTGGAGGACGCGCAAGCCAAGTCGGCCCGGGATGCGCAGCATCGTGTGGGCGAAGCACAAGCAGACCAGAAGCACATGCAGCAAGAAGTCCAGCAAGATGGCTACGTGGCAAAAGAGTCCAACGACAATGCCAAGAATGAACATGGGGAGGACGAGGCCAGTGATCTCGGCCATTGCACCATCTGGGTCGGAACTACACAGGAGCGCTCGTCGTCACCGCCGCCGCCCTCCAAAGCTATCACTGCGCCTGACACGTGGAAGATTATGGAGCCAGACGCCGGCATCGCAGTGGTCTATCTGCCATTGGTGGCCAACGAGAAGGTGCCCGGCGTGTCACCAGGCACCTCGGACTACTTGAGCACCTGGAATTTTGTATACACCCCGGAGCAGATCGACAACGTCGTCCAGCTGGCCCGCGCCAACTACGACGAGGGCAAGGAGCAGATCCGGTCGACAGTGAGAGCCGTGTACGAGAGGAAGAAGAAGCTTCGCGAGGAGGCCGAACAGCAGAGCAGGCAAGAGACATACCAAGCACTGGTCAGACGGGGCGAGAAGGCCTTCCGTAAGGCCGGAGACCAATTCAGCTGAGCCGCACGTGCCCCGTGCGGAAACACGTATATATATTCAGAGACCATGATGATATAAAATAAAGATCCAAGCGCTCCTTTGTCGGCACTCTCTCCTTGCTCTACAATGTATTTATACAGATTTGACATGCTCCGGTATCCCCATGCACCGTGCAAAATGCCCGACGGCTAGATCTTCTCACATCTTGTTGTTGTACACACACACACATGACCTTGTCGTTCCCGTCGTGATTCTTTATGTGATCACCTCACCACAATCAATGTGTGGCGCCCTCCATTTCGCCGCGCCCTTCTTGAACATATCGCTGGGCACCCGTACTTTATTCCCAGGGCTGTAGAGGTACCACGCCTTCAGCGAGGCCATGGCCGCCTTCTTCCTCGCCATCTGCAGACTCGACCCTGCACCCTCGCCGAGCTTCTCCTTGCCGCTGTAGATGCCGACCAGGAAGACGGGCGTGCGCGACATGCGACCCGTCTCGGACTCGAGGCGCGCAATCGGCGCCTCGAACCCCTCGCGCTTGCAGAGCAGGGACAGCTCGCGCAGGGGGTTGACGAATTTGAAGAGCGTGCCCATCTCGAGCTGGCGGCTCAGAATGTGCGACTCGACGAACTGCTTGGCGGCTTCGCGGCCGCTGTGGCTGTAGATGGCCCCGACCAGCGCCTGGGCGAACGAGGCAAACGCGTGGTTCTCCCACTGCTCAATCTTCTGGGGACCGTTGTGGACGTCGAGGTCGCCTGCCCTGCGGTCGAACCCTGACAGCTCCTCCCGGGTGAGGTAACCACCCCAGTTCTCCCCGGGCACGATCCTGGTGGGCTCCCACTGCAGCAGACCCGGGTCGACCTCGGGGCCGGGGGCATGTGCGGCCTCGGCGCCCCATCGCCTGGCCATCTCGCCAAGCGATTCGGGGCCGACGTAGCCTCGCAGTGCCTGGTACATGACGCCCATGGGCAGACGGGGCCACTTGCAGAGCAGGTACTCGGTGACGTGGTAGTTGATGATCGAGACGCCGAGGACGGCCAGGCTCTTGTTGTTGGCGCCGTGGTCTCTGTTGGCGGACGGGGTGATGAGAGCGCGGGCGAGGGTGGGGAGAGGAAGGGTCTTTGGTAGAGAGAGACGGGCGTGGAGGGCGGAGAGTTTAGGGGATATCCTCGATCGGCTGCTGCTGGGGCCGCCGGCGCCGCCGTCCAGGCTCGATGTCATGTTCGCCGGTATCGCCGTCGTCTCGGCGGGGGACGTTTCGGTCTCGAGGCATCGCAATTGGCACTGGTGCAGGAATGGTCGTCTAGGGGGTAGAGGTGCGCTGGCGGCACGAGCCTGGAGCAGTTGCCCTGCGTTCCATCGTGAGGGCCGTAACCGCTTCATTTGAATGGTCGAATGTGCTACACGGAGAAAAAGAAAATGGTACAGAATCTAGGCCAGCACAGATGGCCTCGAATGGCCGGGGGTCGGTACGTGGTCGGGATGTCGTTGACGTTGGCTGGAGCTGCAGGTCGAGTCGAGATGCACTTTCGCGAAAAAGTTCTGCGGCCGCGTTCTGGGACTGGGAGTCGTGTGAGCCTGGCCTGGCTGGCTGGCTGGCTGGCTGGCTCAGGCTAGGCTCAGGGTGCGTGGCTGGTGCAGATTGGAGTGTGGCTTGAGCGCCGGAAGATCCTCGGACCGCACCAATTGGCAATGCACGGCATCAACGTCGCTGGGCGAAGGAAGGTTCTTGGGTCGTCAATCACCAATCGAACCGAATCTCCCCAAACGGCCATTCAAGAGCAGTCAAAATGGTAAGCCAAACTATTCCTGATCAATTGAAGGCACATTACTGACTCTCCCAGGGCGGCGGTGGCAAGATCCCGTAAGTCGAAACGCGCAGACATCTTCTCCTACTCTGTCCGAGCGAACCCTCACCTTTGGCGAAAAGATACCCCAAGCATGTCTGGTCACCGGCTGGTGGCTGGTACGCACAGCCCGCCAACTGGCGCATGAACACCATCATCGCCGGCGCCACCATGTTCTCCATCGTGGCCGTGGCATGGAACTTTAGCGCTGGCAGAGAGACCTGGGCGCGCAAACCCGAGGATGGATGGTACCCCAGCCGGTAGTGAGTTCTCCCGTGAGCACCTTTGGCTGCGCTCCATCCAAGGCTAACACGCAGCAGCTGGTCGAAAGATTTGCAGAAGTACGACGCGCAGGACCGAGCGGCTGAGGCGAAGAAGGAATAGACGACTCGGTATGGGGGAGCCAAGTGTATAGATCAACGCCATGACACATTCCATCTGTTACAATCCACCAGGTTCGCTCACAGTCGCAATTGTGCGCATATCGCTCGACCGATTGCCTGTTGCTGCGCCGTCAGGGGCTCAGTGGGTTGGTAACCCTTGACGACTGCTGGGGCTTGCTGCACATGGTCTTGTCTGTGGCACCAGAACGACGCAAAGGCGCGGCCGCTTCAAGTACTGCTTAACCGTGCCGTGAGCGAGACCTCGCAATGCCCTATGCACGCATGCGGTGTTGGCATCCTGTGGTTGGACCGCCAAGCTCTCTCCGTCTCTTGCGGTTCGTGAGCTACCGATGTGCAGCTCCATTTCCATTTCGCAATGTGATGCCATGCCCTTTGCACCAGCACCAACAAGCCTTTCCACTGCAGCACACCCAAATTCAAGGTCTAGACTGTTTGGACATGTAGAGTTAACCTTGGGCTATAATCATTAGTAATCATCAGGTCCCACAACGTGGGGATGATTGAGTGTGTCGAAGATCGACTGATTCACTCGCTCCGTGATCGGGAGCAACGAGCTGATCATGGGTGCATCTGATGTATGCGAAAACGTGGCTCCGCGCATAGATAGTTAGCTGACAATAGAATCTTGTGGAGGCACAAGAATGAGACGACTTTAGTCTACATCCCCGCGTGTTCATCGTGGCCGCCCTCACCGCGACCTTGCTATTGCTAGCGAACTGGCTCACGCCTGGTTCAGTTCGTGACCAGCGTCTGTGACTGCGTCATCCCCCAAGGAACGACATGGAACCTTGATCGACTTTCGGCAGTCCGCACCCTGCCGTCTTTGACACCGGTGCCTGTCACTATTCAGGCATTTCTTCATACGACTCCCAATTCGACTGAATCATTAACCTTTCGGCTTTCCCAACCTGCTCCTGACCGCTCCCCTCGCACGTAACGCAACGCAAGGTACCTTGTACCTTGGTTGGTAATTGACGTAGAGGCGACAGCTCCGAGCCCCAGCCTGAGGACGCCCATCCATCAACGACTCCATCGTACAACCTTGCTTAATTACCTACCACTGCTGCTCCTTGTCCTCCCTCTACTACTTTGCGACTGGCTGGCAACCTTGCCTACCTTATTAGCTGCCTGCAACCCCGTACGATACGCAGCTGCATTTCGGACGCAGTCAGCGACTCGACCAGCGAAACACCGCTTACCTGGTATCACTTGGCCCTACAACCACGACGAGCAGCAGGCGCGATCCGTGCGACTGGCCTCGATCCCGTTTCCTTGGACATCCCAGCGACGACCATCTGTATTCGTTCAGCGTTTCCTTCGTCGCATCGCCTCGTCGGTCCCACAGACCAGCCGAGGCACCTGGAACAACTGCCCACTGTGGCTGCCCGAGCATTTCGCATCGCGGGCCTTGCTGTTGGACTCGGCTTGAGCGCACTTGCAGCATATCAGCAGGGCCAGCCACAGCAGGACCAAGCTCGGCATATGGCGTCTCGCGGTGATGGCCAGTCGCGCGGCCGTCTGGATGCCACGGGTGACAGAGAGGTAGTTTTCTGTCACGCCTGCTCCAACGAGTGGTACCGCGACCAGCATGGCTTGATCTGCCCGCAGTGCGAGGGGGATATTATCGAAATCGTGAGTTATTGCCAGCGAACATACTGACTGACCGGAATCTAACCATGCACACAGGTTAGTCCCGAGAACGACCCTCGTGAACCTCTCCACGACCCTCCGCCATCGTCGCCTCCGCCCGATCGATCCCAGCAGCGGCAGGGTGCCTACGACTCTGACCCCGACGAGGCTGATATCGAGGAGCACTTGCAGGGCCAAGACGGGTTTCACTACCATCGCAATACCCGAACTGGGCAGCAAGGACAACATCACGATCCCGAGATGGAGCCGGTGCTCAACCGCTTCCTGGACATGATCAGCGGCTTTGGCGGCGGCGGTCGCATGCCCCATGTGCATGGTCACAATGGGAATCTGGACGAGGCCATGTCCGACAATGCTGGCGATGGTCAGAATACCGATTCGGATCAAGGCCGTGCCCACCATCCGCACCACCACCATCACCACCACCACGTTCATCGCCGGCAGCACGGCTTCGCCACGTCAAATTTGGGCCCAAACGCGACAGTTCACCGTGTTGTCAGCAACATCGGTGGAGGTGGCGGCACTGCTAGCTTTACTATCTACACGAGAACAGCCGTTCCGCGTACGGGAGACGACGGAATGTGGGGTGATCAAGGCTTCCAACAGTATGTGTGACTCTTGATCTCATCTTGTCGAACCCTTGCTGACAGCACTAGGCATTTCAACAACATATTAGAGAATATGGGGCCGCCCCGTGGGGCCCAGCAAGACCAGGACTCCGACTCAAACATCGGAGGAGGAGGCCCTGCCATGGGGCCTGGGCCCGGTGACTTTATCGCCAGTCTACAAAGAATGATTGCCCTTATCGACCCGGCCAATGCCGCGGTTGGAGATGCGGTATACTCACAGGAAGCTTTGGACAGAATCATCTCCAATCTCATGGAGAACAACTCGAGCTCCAACGCGGCTCCACCAGCTACAGACGAGGCGCTGGCCAAGTTGGATCGCAAGCCAGTCAGCAAGGAGATGCTGGCCCAGGAAACAAAGACGGAATGCTCCATTTGCATCGACGATCTCGTCGAGGGCGACATGGCGCTGTTTCTACCCTGCAAGCATTGGTTTCACGAGAAATGCGTCGTGATGTGGCTCAAGGAGCACAACACCTGCCCCATATGCCGCACGCCTATTGAGAAGCGCGAGTCTGGAGCTGGTGGAAGCAACGACAGCAACACTGGTAGTCGATCGGCCAACACATCATTCAACGATCCTGGTTCCAGTTCCCAAGCGCCAAACGCTGGGGTGAGGACTTACCTGAGCTGGCTAGGCGGCGGCGGTCCATCCAGCAGCAACATAGGCACACCAACTGGCCATGCGTCGGGTCAGTCTCCCATACCCAGTCCCAGTGCTCGACCCCCAAGCCAAAGCCAGAGTCGGCTCAACGAGGCTATGCGGAGTATATCGGCAAGACAGACTGCGCAGCGGGACCGTGACCGAGACACAGGCTCCTCAACTAGCCTCAGCTTTGACACGTCGTCCATGCAAAGACGCAACTCCATGTCCCCGACCAGTTCCCGTGCATTCCCCGCGTCGTCGTCTCGGATTAGGCAGAGGAGTCCGTCGCGAGGCAGCGGCAACTGGGCGACGGCTGATGAAGAGTCAGCCTCGCAATCTGCTCGTTCTGGTGGCGACGGTGGCAGTGGCGGACCATTGAGCTGGATCCGCGGCCGTCTCGGTGGCAACGGACCCTCCCGTGATGCAAGGCCGTCGTAGGAACGGGAAGTCTTTCGCGCACGGGACGAACACGCATAGGCCACGAGCCGATCAGCTTCCCAACACACATCATTAGCATAACCTGGCGTCTCGGACGGCAACTACTCTCTATTTACTACCCCCCCTTACTGGCTGACGCCTCTGCTCATCTTTCTACCACGGAGGGGGTCTTTCTTCTTCCTAGCTGATGATAGCAATACCACCACGCCGGGGGTAATAACCCGGCGGGACTCTCACGAGCGTACCAGGAGCATCTATCAGAAATGAGACAGCGACGAGAGCAAGAAACGGCCTCTTTCCATATAGCGTGTTTGCGTAGGGAATGTTGGACTAGGCAGTCAGTCAGTCTACCTAAAGCATGAACAGAGTATTATGGGATAGTTTCTTCGAAGGACCATACACTGCCTTGCAAAGAATGGAGAATAGCATTGAAAAGATACCCGGAATGCCACATGTCCCTTTTCACGTGTTTGCTGATGTCTCAAGATGAACCGAGACCGGGTGGTGCGAGAGACATAGGCTGTCAAGGCGAATGGGACAGGATAATCATGCGTCTATTATTGTTGACCAGCCAAGCGTATAACTAACGAAGAAGGTATATCATCATCACCGCCATCCATATTCCAGAAAAGACCCACAAACCCAGCATCATCAGAGAGCCCGGCATGTGCAAGCGCTCCAGAGGAAGCAAAACCTTGAGGGCAAAAGCAGCAAGACTTGTATGAACCGTGTAAGAAGGAAAAAGGACAAAAGGAAAGAGGTATCTTTACGCGCGCAAATGCCAGGGGCGTATACGTGTTGTTGGGGTGGGTACTGTGGCGGCCGTGTCGTCGTCGTGATTACGCTCGCGCGTAGAAGAAAAAGGGTCCCAAAAGGGGGGACGTCTTTGTTCGCAACTCTAGTCCTGGAAGAACTTGATAATCTGCTGCAGGTCGCGCAGGCCCACGCCGTGCTTGGGGTAGCAAATGTACACCTCCTCGCCGAGCGCACCAAACTTGGACCGGAAATCGGCCTTTTTGCGGAGTCCGAGGCTGTCGACGATGGAGTTGTACGTGCTGGCCAGGAAGCGCGCGCGGATGCCGTGCAAGTGCTCGCCGGGGGTGAGCTTCTCGGACACGCCGACGCCAAAGGTGACCTGGCCCGTGACGCTGGACAAGGCGTACTCGACGAGGACCTCGATGGCCCCGTTGACCGAGTTGGGGAAGTCGAGCGCCCACTTGACCTGCCAGCCGTGACGGGGGGCCAGCTGGGCCAGGACAACCATGGCGAGGACCTTGCCCTCCTTCTCCGCGGCAAAATACCGACGGTGAGCTGAGTCGACCCACGGACGGACCTCGGTCAGGTGGACCTGCTTGCCCTTGGTGTTGCGCGCGCTCTTCCACTCCTCAATGGCGGGATCGGCACGCTTGATAAAGTCGGCGTCGAGCATGACTTCGTGGATCTTGACACCCTCGCGCTCGACGCGACGGGCCTTGGGGCCCACCGTGGACTTGTGCTTGTCCGTGTCGACGCGCTGCTCCTCGGTGCACGAAAGCGTGCGCCAGCCGAGCTCGGAAGCGAGGATGTGCTGCACGTCGTACGACACGAGCATCCAGACAGGCGTGAGCTTGAGTTCGCCAGTGACAAACTTGACAAATGCCTGGCAGATTTCCGTGTACTGCTTCTTATCGCAGAGCGGGTCGCCAGTGACCATGATGAACTTGTCCTGCTTGACGTAGCCCACAGCGGCGCCGGTGGGGTGACGCCAGAGCTCGAATCGGTCATCGAGCCAGGACGTGTTGGAGGCATCGCCGTAGTTGGCGATGAGCTTCTCCAGCTCCGGCATCGTGTCGTTGGGGTGAGGCTTTGTGGTATCCGCCTCGGGGTGTGGCAGACCGGGTGTCCGCTCCGGAAGCGACTTGGGATCGCGGTGGAAGAGCGACGCGTAACGCACATCGCCCAGCTCGAGCATCCAGGCGACAATGCGCTCCAGACCGAGACCGGCACCGGCATGAGGGGGTGCGCCAAGCTCAAAGGCGAGCAGGTAGTCCTCCATGCCATCCTCGGACATGCCGCTGGCGAGCATGTTGGTGCGGAGCTCCTGGAGATCGTGGATACGCTGGCCGCCGGAGCAAATCTCCTGGCCACGGATGAAAATGTCAAACGAACGGGTCCAGTCGCGGTCCTCGGTGTCGCGGTGCGTGTAAAAGGGTCGGGCGTTTGCTGGGAACTTGTCGAGCACGTAGTAATCGGTGCCGTACTTTTCGCGGACCAGCTCGCCAAGGCGCATCTCATCAGGGGTGGACAAGTCCTCGTCTGCCACGTCGCGACCATCGTCGCGGAGCATCTGAAGACCGTCGCGGAAGTCGAGGATCAGAGTCTCATCGAGCCACTTGAATTCCTTGCTTGGCCAGCGAGACTGGAGGATCTCAATCTCGGGTAGCGAGTACACGGCCTCAAAGACCGACTTGAGGAAGTCGTCGATGACCCAGATGACCTCATGGTAATCTTTCTCAATGGCCATCTCAATGTCGAGGCCGGTGTACTCGGTCAAGTGACGATGAGTGTTTGAGTTTTCCGCACGGAACACAGGGCCGACCTCGAAGACACGGCGGAAATCGGCGGAAATGGCCATCTGTTTTGCCAGCTGGGGGGACTGAGCCAAGAACGCTTGACGACCAAAGTAGTTGACCTTGAAGACAGCAGCGCCGCTCTCGGTGGCCGCGGGTTGGAGCTTGGGGGTGTTGATCTCGACGAAGCCTTTGTCCTCGAGAGTCTCGCGGAACTTGCGCGTGACGATGGATCGAACACGGAAGAGCACCTGGTTGGAAGGGTGACGGAGGTCCAGAATGCGAGCATTCATACGGTTGCGAAGGGTCTCGGGGGGCTTGTAGTTGCTAAAAGGAGCATTGCCGGCGGGGTTCACGAGATGGATGGACTTGATGTCCACTTCGATACCAGCGTGCGAGGCTGAGCGAATAGGCTCAGGGGGTTCCTTGAGGATACCATGAATCTGGACCAGAGACTCGGGGTGTAGTTGCTTGACCCATTTGATCATCTCTGGGTCCTCCCGTGAGAGGACACCCTGCACTGAGTGTGTCTGATCGCGGAGGAGCAGGAAGTCCAGGAGCTTCGACATGGGCCTCTGTGCGTGGATGCGGGCGCGGAAGTCGACCTCGGTGCCGACAGGGAACCGATCCAGCTGAGCAATCGTGTTAAGCTCACCAGGGTGGATTGCCATGTCGCTGCGCCCGCTGTCCATGGAGCGCCTGCTCCTGTCGACGGAGGAGTTCCTGCCGGGCCCCTTGTCCATCGAGGATCTAGCTGACATGATGTCGACACTGGACCTAGTAGAGTTCTTGGGCAGCTCGACGCCGCTGTCGTTCATCTTGGCCAGAAGCTTGCGATGCTCCGGAATGGCCGAGGCGAGGGTTGGGGTGCTGCTAGTGGCCTCGGTAGGGCTGAGGGGACCGAAAGTGGTCGGTGTCGTCGTGGACGAGGTGTCAAGCGGGTTGCTGCTGATGTTGCTGCGTGGCGTCTCTGTCGCGGTCGTGACGGACGGAGCCGTGTTCGTGCTGGCGGCATCGCTTGGCTTGTTGTGCTGGGTCAGATCACCCGTCTCGGGTTGGTTGGAGACGGTCGAATGGTGCTCCTGCTGAGCAGCGTCGCCCTTGAGGCTCTTGCTGGATCTGTCCTTACGACGGACCCCGAGAGCCTCTGCAACAGCAGCGAGACCGCTTCCGCCGGCCATTGTGAGTCCGAGGGGGAGATCAGACCGGACGTTGTTCGCTCGGCTGAGGCGGGATGAGGGACGAGTGTGAATGTGTCAGAGTTGGGCTATGCCAGGTCGAGGCGAGAGACCAGGAAGTCGAGTCGAAACCAGCAAGTAATGACAATGATGAATCTGTTGACGAGGTGACAACAGTCAGAGATTGTTATGCTGCAATGCTGCTTGAACCGGCTGTCTGTACACGGGGAGGGGTCAGCGGATACCCTTGGGAAAAGTCAAATGTGGCGGGCGAGCCAGCCATGCGGGAGAGAGACTGGAGCTGTCCAGGATCAATGGATGATTGATAAGGAACTGGAATGGACTGGACAGGGCGGGTTTCTGGAGCAAATGTCCGGTTCGGCGCTGTCACAAGCGTGGCCAAAAATAAGCGCTGCTGCTAGCGTGTCCGCGAAGAAGTACCTGCGCAGTACTTGCCTGACTTGTGACGTGCGAGGGGTAAGTCATGTAAGCACGGCAGCCGTCGACTTACTCGGAAGTACGGATACGGACCTCGCAGAGAGTCATGTACCTGTGCCAGGACTGCGGGCGTTGGACGAGGTGCGCGTCGCAATCGGGAGAACGAGACACGCTGAGCTGAAGAGATGGAAAAGAGGACTTTTCAAGGTACGATCACAAAAGAAGAGCTGGCGCGCTGGGGGTTATAACGTAAAGTTGGGCCGGGAGGCTTCAGGGCAGGGAACGGATTGAGGTCAGGACAGGGCCTAGCCTGGCGTGGCATGGCGGGGATAATGACTGGCATAGGTAGTGGCACTGACATCCCGGACTGGAACCGCCGGAACCTGCTGGGCGCGCTAGCTGCGGGACCGCTCGGCTTGCTTCGCATCTGTCCAGTCCTTCTTCCAAGTACCGGAAGGTACCCAATGTCGTAGCAAGTATAACGGAGGGCATTACGAATACTATTTTCACTTTTCAGTGGTCCAATGGGCGTGCACATGACTGGCAATGCTGGACTTATGACTCTCCAGTTCTCTCTGAGGATGGACTTGGACACGGGCATTTCATCCCGTCGGAAGCCTCGCGAGCCTCTCTTCAAGCCAATGGTACAAGTGGATCCCAAGGGCCATGTCGAGCTGGGTTTACTCCGTACTGCATATGCCAATTTCAAGGCCATCATGATTGAAATCACACGCTGTGTTTCACTGCGGGTTTTCTCGTCACCAGGACGAAGATACCGAGATGCGAATAGATCGACTGGCTCGCGGCGCACATCCATTCCTCGGCCCTCCGAGTGTGGCTGCCAGCAGGGAACATGGGCGGGCAGTCCTGTTACTGTGGCTTGACCGCCGCTTCCCCTGCGGCGCCAATGTTCCAAGGACGTACGTATCGAACGACCACCCTGCTTCTGATGCTTTCTGCACCTTACATTCCGGAGCTTCAGGTCCGATAAGAATTGCGGCTCATTTGACATCTGTGTAAAACACTGGTGCGTAAACGGCTCAGTCCCTGGCAACCTGCTGCCCCAGGGCCATGGCTGACGTCAAGGGGGGACCTGCAGTTGTCGATGGCTCGATGGGGTTCGATGCTCGATTGCCCTTTTGGCAGACGTCATGGCAGCTAAATAGGCTTGCCTGGCTGGGCTTTTATTATTGTTAGAGAACCCCACGCCGGGCTTGGGACTCCAGTGGCCTTCGAATCCCGGCTCCAGTCCCGTCTGAGCCTCTTGGACGCAGCGCTACCCGCTAGCCGTACAGTAATCGTTCGAGATGTCTTCCACGCCCAGTAAGGAACGGAATCCATTATTTAGTCTGTCTGGCCGTATAGGGAGCCATAGACTAGCCTCTAGAATGAAGCCGTGCACTGCCTACTAGGTGGTGCCAATGACGGCGCCGCCAGGCACATAGTCCCCAATTCCACGTGAGCGACATGGGAGCAGCAGGCTGCTAGGATCCGATCTGCCCCCACCACCCATCCTAAGCTCACCTACTTAACTCTTCCCATTGTCGTCTATGATGGCGTGACACCTATGAGACTCCTGACGATCTTTATAGACGAACGCATCCTTCACATCTCATCAGCCAGCCAATCGTTCGATTACGGGCGACCGCCTCTTGTTCGTTATCGCGCTCTCTTCTCTTGGCTGTTTATCTCTTTGGAATCCTGTCCAGACTCGCCCTCATTCGCCAATCCTGTTCATTTCTCCATACATCAACCAGGGCAATCACGCGGTGTACACGTTGAACGACAATCCCTGAACGGCTCACGTGCGACTCCAAGTCTGCCTCTGTTCTGCTCTCCCGTGGTACTGTGTTATTAGTCCTCGACCGCGCCGAATTCAGCGTCGCCGCCTCTGGGACTCCGCTCAAGGCGACACCCTCCCAGACACCGGGCCTCCCTGCGCATGGAGCTGGAACCACCCTCCGATGCCAACCCGACAAAACCGGAGCCTCCTGGCTATGTGAATCCCCTCGAATCCAGCTCGCGCTGGTACCTGAACGCCCGAGCCCAAGTCATTCGATATGCTGCCAGCGTCGGCTTCAGCATCGCCAATCGCACCGAGCCAACTGCCCCCGCGCCGACACGCGAAGTCTATCTCGATTCGACAATCTCCATGCACAAGGGTCGCGAGAAAATCAAAGTCGAAGTCTGGGAGCCGCCCAAGGCGAGCGCGGGAGGCCGCGCTGCAGTGATTAATTTCCACGGAGGAGGATGGATTCTGGGGCAGGGAACAGACGACGCTCGCTGGGCCGCCGGTTTGATGACGGACCTCGACGCTGTTGTCTTCACCGTCAACTATCGTCTGGCGCCCTCCCATCCATTCCCCACGCCGGTGGAGGACTGCATGGACGCAATCTGTCAGATTACACAGCGAGCTGACGAATTCGGCATCGACCCCTGCAAAATCATCTTGTCGGGCTTCTCCGCAGGTGCCACCAACACGCTGGCGTCGTGGCTCTGTCTGCACGATCCTGATCGCTTCGGGTACCACCTACCGTCCAAGCCACCCAAACTGGCTGGCCTCGTCATGTTTTACCCAGTTCTCGATTGGACCATTACGAGACCGATGAAGCGCCAGACGTGTGCGCGCCCCGACCTGACTCTACCAAAGGGGCTAACAGACCTCATCGATGCCTCATATGTGTACCCGCCTCTGCCTCGCGAGAAGCGGACCGATCCTCGGTTATCGCCAGGCCTCATGCCCGATTCCCTGCTCAAGGACATACCACCGGTCCACCTCGTCGTATGCGAATATGACATGTTGTTGGCCGAAGGGAAAGCTTTTGCCAGGAGACTGAGCGTACTCGACAAACCATTCACGTTTCGTCTTGTCGAAGGCGAGCAGCATGGCTGGGACAATCCACCGCCCATGGCACCCAAGGAGAGCGTTCACGTGGAATATGGCGAAGCGATCAACGCCATCGCATCCTGGCTTGGGACCAAGCGGGAGACCGACTCGGAGTCGATGAAGTCGATGAAGACGAAGCGACCTATCCTCAAACGACCATCATATCTGGCTTCCTTTAGGTCCAGAACCGCACGATAGGGACAGACCCCCCAGGCCCCACCACGCGGAGACCGGTCAGATGCCGTGTCGTTGCGCTAGACATTCCTGTCGGCGCATTGGCATCTACTACCTCAACAATAGTCTATTCGAAGGCATCAACGGTCAAGGCGGCATGGTGGTTTGGGGGGGTGCGCGGGACGCGCGATATTTCGTGATGCTAGAGAACAATTATAATGAACATCACGTCATCAAAAGGGTATCCTTGTTCGTGCGCATGTGATTATGGAGATGAATCTCGTGTTTATTGTATCTTAAGCGGTAAAACGTGTCCTGTCAGCCAACAAAGTTCACCACTACTACCACTTGGCCTCCTTGCTGTCAAGGAAGCCCTTGAGGATGCCAACCACCTTCTCCAACGCCATCAGGTACGCCCGCATCTCAACCTTGACCTTCTCCTGGTCGTTGCCGAGCTTGGCGTAGAAGTTCTGGCGGTAGGGGGTCGCACTCATGGCCGCGCTGAAGATGGGCTTGACCATGAAGCTGTGGTGGGGCTTGAGCGTGCTTCCGTAGGCGGCGCGGAACGAGTCGGCGAGTTCCTCGGATTCCTTGGCGATGTTGGAGGACAGACCGATGCAGGTGAACTCGAGGCCACTGGAACACAGTATTGTTAGTCGGGTCGGGATAGGGAGGCTTGACCGCCAGAGGGAACTCGTGGAACGAACCGGACAAGCCAGAGCAGACCCTCGGTGGCCGTGTGCTTCTTCGTGGCGAGCTCGTTCCTGACCAGGTCCTGGATCGTGGTCGATTCGGCAGGGGCAGCGAGCTGGCGGTCGCGGACCTTCTGTAGGGGACGTGTCAGCTCTGAAAGGGAGGTGGAAATCATCGAGGGTCCATGGGCGGACGAACCTTGATGTTGCCGTTCAGGTCACTCTTGACAGGGGAGAAGGCAACGCCGCCGAGAATATCTGGTGCTCTAGTTAGTTCCACCCATTGTCAGAAACGTGTCCCGATGGATATTCGCACCAAAGATTGTGGTCAGGGACTCGGCAGCGTCGAGGAACTCGGTGGTGGCGATGGCATTGTCCTTGTCGGCGTCAATGGGGACGTCGACAAACGACCTCTTGAAGGTCTGGACGATGGTGCCGTCGGGAGGGATGACAGGAGCAGACATGATGTGATGATTTGCTTTGCGATGGATGGATGCTCTGAATGGCGATTTGGGAGGAAAAGCAAAGATGGCGGTCAGGGTTCAATGAAGCTCTGGCTGGAGCTGACTACCTGGTACTAGCTCAGCCCATTCAGACGCCTGACAGTGGTGGCCCCGTCGCGGTGGCTAATTACTGGCTCAAGCCTCAACGCCCTTACACAGCACGGCCATTGAGGGGAAGAGGGGTTGCCTGAACGATAGAGGGGTTATTATGGCGTTCGGGGCACAAATGAGGGGGTTCCACCTTGTGGTACCTGATGCTTGTGAGGACCGGAATGCTGCTCGCACTACTTGTCTCCGATGAACTAATTGAACCCGCCAGGTGGTGAGATGAACAAATCCCACGCACCTCGGATGAATACACGGACAGAAACGCGGGTTCTCCGCAGCGAGAGCCACGCTGTCGTCCTCCGATATTCAGTTCAGTTGAGGCTCAACGATCCGCTCCATGAACTGACGTCATTAGTGGCAGCCCTTTAAGCCTGGGACGATGGCTTGATGCATTCATTTTAATGTACTCCGTACTCACTTATGAGTTAATTAGATTCGTCGAGCTAATCACGTTCATGCATGCATGGCGGGAGACTTGCTCGCATACGGCACGGTTCATCATTGGGACTATTACGCGGCCCTCGTCACTGTTCATGTAACCCCCAGTCAGTCCGTCTCACGATACGCAGCCGAGAACAAGTTTAAGAAAGCTGGGCAGATCGGAAGCCGACCCCACCACGCAGTAGACGTCCTAATTCGGGTAGCAAGAAGAACCCATGCCTCTCCAGTCTCCGGAACGATTTGCCATGAAGAAGCTTGGCTGTTATTAATTTGCGTGATCAGCTGTTCTCGTTTGGGGCCATGCGCTTCAGCTTATTAGGTGCTAGCCCTCCCTCCCCCCTTTAGCCTTTGCCTATGACATCTTCTAAGCACCCAAACCAACAAAACTTAGCTCCCTCGAGTCGAATGTCATTTTGGCTCTGGTGATGGTGTAACGGACGGTCCGGGTTCACTTGTTCAGATTATCAAACTGCCAGATCTGTTGCTGACATTCCTGTCCTTCCCGCGAGCGTTACAGCTGGTGCCATCAGCCACGAGGTACCTTTAGTTCCTTACTGCAACTTGCGCGAGCGTGTTGGCCCAGCCAGCATACCTTGTACACCATGGCAAATCACAAAGAAGAGGACGGCGACAGCCATAGCTTTCTGCATGACCTGAAAGAGAAGCTCCAGGGCACCAAACTCCACGACGCCAAAATCAGTCTACATCACAAGCGGTACGCGATGCCCACGCATGGTCCTTATTCTATGAGTCTTGTGTGAATAAATACGCTGACATGATATCTTCTCATCCAGAAATCAGATTGGCAAGCTCGGAAACCTGGTAAGAAGAACAGATGGAGCTGGTGGCCGCCGTTCATTTTACTCACTGTTGTGCAGTTCAACGCGAATCATCGTCACGACGAGGAGCACGAGCAGCGGTGCGACGAGAAGCGCTCAAAAATCTGCGAGTCGCATCGCTTTGACTCTTACTTTCCCGAGCGTGAGGGAAATCTGATCAAGTGGTACGTCGACGGCCGCGATTACTTCTGGGCGGTCTCGGTGGCTCTGGAGCAGGCAAAGGAGGTCATTTACATTGAAGACTGGTGGCTCTCGCCCGAGCTCTTCCTACGTCGCCCTCCCTATCACAAGCAGGAATACCGCCTGGACCAAGTCCTCAAAAAGAAGGCCGAAGAGGGCGTCAAGATCTTTGTTATTGTCTACAAGGAGGTCGAGGCGGCCCTGACGTGCAACTCCCTGCACACCAAACATGCGCTGCAGGCGCTGTGTCCCGAGGGCACACCCGGGCATGGCAACATTAGGATCCTGAGACACCCGGACCACAACCCGTTCGAGAACGCCGCGGATTCCACAATGTACTGGGCGCACCATGAGAAGTTCATCATCATCGACTACGCAATGGCCTTTATCGGCGGGCTGGATCTGTGCTTCGGGCGATGGGACGCCAACCAACACCCCCTGGCGGACGTGCACCCCGAGGGCGTTGTCAACGAGGTGTGGCCTGGACAGGACTTTAACAATAACCGTGTCATGGACTTCCAAAAGGTCGAAGATTGGCAGCAGAACGAGCTGAGCAAGGCCGAGTACGGCCGCATGCCGTGGCATGACGTTTCTATGGGTGTCGTTGGGCCGTGCGTATACGATATTGCCGAGCACTTTGTCTTGCGGTGGAACTTTGTCAAGCGTGACAAGTACAAGCGCGATGAGAGATACGACTGGATTGTGCTCGAGGGCCGCCAGGGCGAGGACGAGGACCTCATTGGCGTCCAGCGGCCCAAGCATCCGGTCGGAGACTACGTACAGCATCCCCTCACGCCCCTGAGCTCGAAGAACTTGGATAACAGGGGCACCGTCAAAGCACAACTGGTGCGCTCCAGCGCGGATTGGTCCAGTGGCATTCTGACGGATCACTCCATCCAGAATGCTTATGCCGACACGATTCGCAAAGCGCAACACTTTGTGTACATTGAGAACCAGTTCTTCATCACGGCCACGAGCGACCAGCAGGCGCCCATCACTAACACCATTGGTGCCGCCATCGTCGACGCCGTACTTCGCGCAGCCCAAGAAGACCGCAAGTTCAGGATCATCATTCTCATCCCGGCCATCCCGGGCTTTGCCGGTGATCTACGTGACGACGCAGCAGCCGGTACGCGTGCGATTATGGATTACCAGTACAAGTCCATCTGCCGTGGCGAACACTCCATCTTTGAGAAGATCAAGGCCCAGAATGTTGATCCGACCCAGTACATCTTCTTCTTCAACCTCCGTTCCTATGATCGTTTGAACAAGACGCCGCAGCTCGTGGAGACGGAGCAGAAGACCGGCATCAGCTACCAGCAGGTTCAGCGTGCTGAGGCCGAGGAGATTATGGCCGAGGGCATTCACGGTACCATCGATGCGGCGGACAATGAGCGCGACGAGCACATGGGGGGACTCAAGACACAGAAGAAGGGAATGGACGACCAATCCATCAAGGAGGCCATAGCGGCCAAAGAGAAGTTCGAATCTGCACGGCCCGAAGGCCCCGTTGTCACGAACACCTCTGTCGCGCATTACGCCATGAATGTGGAAGGGTCTATCCTGGACGAGCCTTGGGACGAGAACAAGCCCGAGTCTGAAGTCGAGAACTACGTACAGGAGGAGCTGTACATTCACAGCAAGCTTCTGATTGCCGATGACCGCATTGTCATCTGCGGTTCCAGCAACCTGAACGACCGCAGTCAGCTTGGTTATCACGACAGCGAGCTCAGCATCGTCATGGAAGACACGCGGACCATCACCAGCGTCATGGATGGCGTGCAGTACGAGGCAGGCTACCATGCCGCCACGCTGCGCCGCTACCTGTGGCGTGAGCACTTGGGCTTGCTCCCACCGCAGGACCTGGATGCGAATGACGATATCAACGCACTCCCGCCAACGGTGAACCCGGAGAACAACATTCACGACGACGTGGAGAGCTACAAATTTGTCGAGGATCCTCTCAGCGAGGATCTCTGGAAAATGTGGACTGAGCAGGCCGACAAGAACACCATGCTGTTCCGTCACCTGTTCCACTCCGACCCTGATGACCATAGTACGTTGCGCCGCATACCGGTGAGATCCTTTGCTAACAGGCTACGTAGTCAAAACATTCGAGGACTATGACCGATACCTGCCGCCCCGTGGCGTCAAGTCAGGTCACATCTTTGACCAGTTCATCCCGCCAAAGGACGTGCGCGAGAAGCTGAGCCAGATCAAGGGGCATTTGGTCTGGTTCCCGCTCCAGTTCCTCCAGGATGCCGAGATGGCTGAAAGGGGTCTGCAGGTCAACGCGCTCACGGAGAGTATCTTTACCTGATGGGAGGAATGACATGAGTGATGATGAAGGCGTTGGGGCGTTTCCCTGCTGGGTGAAGGTCGTTACAGGCTTTCTTTCTTCTTGCCTAGTGCCGAACAAAACAATGATAATGCTGAGAAACGAGACGTGTGTGCGTGCCGGACCGTCCCCCGCGCGGCAAGCAATGAAATCTCGAGAACCAATGTAATCCCGTACGCGAGGAGTTGTGATGAGACTCGTGAACGCGGGTTGGCCAATGGGAACGTCTAGATGGCCACCCGCAAGGGGTGAGTAGATGTCACCTGCATAAGCTCCGTCTTGGTGTTGCGGTAATACTACGTACTCGAAGAGACCATGGCACCCTCATGTGCGGTTTTTTGATTGCGGGCAGCGTTTGCTGTGCTCGCGCCAAAGCATGAAGTGAGGTTGTGAGGAACTTACCATGCTGGACGTGTAGCCCCTTTGTCCAAGCATGCGCATCTCGACCCCATTCCGTGGTTTGGAGCGATTCATCATACATGCTGCCCCTCTACTAAGCCCTCGCTTCTACCAAGACACAATCGAAGAATCTCGACTCCAGTCGCTTGTCAGAAACTCAACGGTGGACAGGCGCCTGCCATGCGATGATGCGAGATGCTGTGGATAAGGTAGGAGATCATAGGATGATAGGACCCTTCTGTGAGACCCACTTCCTACTTGTCACGGTCATGGTCGTCTCAGGCTCTCAGCAAGATAAACTAAGGTAAAGTAGCGCTGTGGCCGCCACTAATAGCCGGCGCCTGCTCCCACCAATGCAGGTTGCCAGACAAGTTGACAACAGCCTGGAACAGCCATTTGAACATCAGTCGCAGCTACCAACTTGAAGCCATATTAATATTAATTAACAAGTTGCTCACTTCAGTTCCTGCTTGCCTTGGGTAACCCGACTCAGCATTGCAGCCTAACCGCCGGGCCTACGTCATCTCCATCCCTGGTCTGGCCTGAGCGTCTGGAAGCTCCTGCCTCATCGCTCGCTACAGCCTACAGCCACTACAGCACCCCGCTTCGACCCGATCCGACACATTCAGGCTCGAGGACTGGAGTCGAGGCCTCGACCAGCGGTGACCAAGGTAGCACATCACTTACTAACCCAACTTCACCCTTTCGCAGACCCTGACAGGTGATCATCGACTTTGCAAGGCTCTGTCACGGCGCCACCCAGAGCCTTGTTGTCGCGTACCTGCGCCGGACCAGCCATTCCCCTCCTCTTGACGTTTCCGTCGCACCCCACGCTCCGCAACGCGACGTCCAGGTCGCATACACGGCGACCTCCCGAGCCCTCTTCCTGCGCGCGGCGCGCACGACCAACCCCTCCATCATCGATAGTAGCTGCATCTGCACCTAGCCGGCGCTGCTTTGGAGAAGTCAACGACAGCTTCCAGCCTCGCCGTTGTTGACCAGACTGTCAACTGCCCGAGATGGCGCAGTCCCCCATGCTTTCGGTGCCTCTCAAGGCAACCAACGAGATTGATTGGGTCGCGCCTCTCAAGTCCTACATAAGCAACACCTATGGAGACGATCCAGAGAGATATGCCGAGGAATGTGCTACCTTGAACCGCCTGAGGCAAGACATGCGCGGTGCGAGCAAGGAGAGTACCTCTGGGCGGGACATGCTCTATCGATATTATGGTCAATTAGAGCTCCTGGATCTGCGCTTCCCCGTGGATGAGAATCATATCAAGATCTCCTTCACATGGTAAGGCCCTCCATTGCGGTCGTTCTGCGTACATTGCCTTTCTGACCAGCGCTAGGTTCGATGCCTTTACACACAAACCGACGTCTCAATACTCGCTGGCCTTCGAAAAGGCGTCCATCATATTCAACATCTCTGCGGTTCTGTCATGCCATGCTGCGTTCCAAAATCGGTCGGACGAGTCGTCGCTCAAGACCGCCTACCATTCCTTACAAGCCTCGGCCGGCATGTTCACTTATATCAACGAGAACTTTCTCCACGCCCCATCAAACGATTTGAGCCGCGACACAGTAAAGGCATTGATCAATATCATGCTAGCGCAAGCGCAGGAGATCTTCTTGGAGAAGCAAGTCGCCGACAAGAAAAAGGTGGGCTTGCTGGCGAAACTTGCGGCGCAAGCGGGATACCTATACACCCAAGCCCTAGAAGGGGCTCAGGAGAACGTCAACAAGGGTATCTTCGAGAAAGTGTGGTTGATGTTTATCCAGGTTCGTAAATTCGGGACCAAATGGGCTTGCGCAGTACTGACAATCGCAGGTCAAAATGAACCTCTTGCTGTCCATGGCTCAATACTATCAGGGCATTGCAGACGATGAAGCTGGCCAATACGGCGTATCAGTGTCTCGCTTCCAAGTCGCTGACTACTTGGCGAAAGAGGCCAACAAGCTTGCAAAGACGTTCCCCAGCGTGCCGTCGCCCAATTCGAATCTCAGCGCAGACACCGCCGGGCAGCTCCAGAACATAGCGAGCAGGCATTGCTCCACCGTTCAAGAGAGGCTGGCAGAAGCGGCAAAGGACAACGACTATATCTATCATCACACAGTCCCTGCGGAGGCGACTCTTGAAGCTATTGCCAAGCTCCCGGCCGCGAAGCCGATACCCGTCTCTGAGCTATACGCAGGCCAAGATATCAGTAGGATCACCGGACCCGATCTCTTCTCAAAGATTGTGCCCATGGCTGTCACCGAGTCCGCCAGTCTGTACGATGAGGAGAAGGCCAAGCTTATACGTGCCGAGACTGAAAAGGTTGACACAGCTAACGGGGAAATGGCGGCCAGCCTGGACTACCTGCGTCTCCCCGGCGCATTACAAGTGTTGAAAGGCGGCTTCGATCAGGATATTCTCCCAGACGAGGACTTTCGGCAGTGGTGCGATGATGTTGCGACGCACGAGAACCCCAGCACCATCTTCGAATCGCTCCGAACCAACAAAGAATGGATCGTGAGTACACTAGACAGATGCTCCAAACAGCTCGACATGGAGGAGAGTGTGTGTGAGAAGATGCGATCCAAGCACGAGAGCGAATGGACGCAGCAGCCCAGCTCAGCGCTCACAACAACCCTTCGGGGCGACATTCGCAGCTACAGGCAGGCCTTGGAGGAGGCCCTGCGCAGTGACGGCCAGCTCTCGGCCAAGCTGCGCCAGAATGAGGCCGATTTTGAGGAGATGCGTCGGGCGGCGCAAGACGGCGAGGTGGACGGGCTGTTCCAGAGGGCAGTCGCACAGGTACGGGGCGCCCAAGCTAGCAGCCCGGGCGGCATTCAGCCCAACCTGCTCGATGATGATTTCGAAGAGGAGGGTACAAGCGTAGTGGACCAAATCGCCAAGGTAGAGGACACTTTGAAGAAGCTCAACCTCGTCAAGCGCGAGCGCAATCAGGTATTGAAGGACCTCAAAGACAAGGTATGTTTGTGAACTGCGCCATATCAAAGATCCGAGACTGACAGATCAGGTTCACCATGACGATATCTCGCAAATACTCATTCTCAACAAGAAAATGTCAAACTACGAGACCCAGCTCTTCCAACAGGAGCTCGAGAAGTTCCGGCCACACCAGAACCGACTCTTGCAGGCAAACCACAAACAGTCGGCACTCATGAAGGAATTGACGGCCACTTTCAACGCCCTCTTGCAGGACAAGCGTGTTCGTTCTGAGCAGAGCAAGTACGAGGCGATCCAGAAGCAGAGGTCGACAGTGATCAACCGGTACAAGCGGGCGTACCAAGAATTCCTTGACTTGACGTCGGGACTATACAGCGCCAAGAACTGGTACAATGAGATGAAGGAGACGGTGGAGAGCCTCGAGAAGAACGTGGAGTCGTTTGTCAACAACAGGAGGTCGGAGGGTGCGCAGCTTCTCAACCAGATTGAGCAGTCGCAGGCTTCGAACAAATCAGCGCAGGCAGAGCTCGAGCAAGAGAGAATGCGAGGCCTGATGGAGCGTATGTCGATGGGCGACCAGTCCCGAACCCCTCCGCAACTGCCGCCGCAACCTGGACAGCAACAACGCCAGAGGCCGACGCCGCCGGCTCTGTTCCAGTCCGGGCAGGCCCCAAGATATGGGCAGTCCACGTACCAAGGACAGTACCAGATGCCCACATCGCCACCGCCGAACCAGCCTCCTCAGCAAGCGTACCAGGGATACACAAGCCCGCCGCCACAAACGTACGGACAGCCGCCTTCTAGTACATATGGGCAAGCGAGCTATAACCCGAGTCAATACGGACGCACGCCCGGCCCAACATCGCCTCCTCCGAACCAGACATCTTTCGGTATGCAGGCAATGCGTGGTCCAGCCTCACCGGCGCCTCATCAAACATCATTTGGCCAGCCGCATCACCAAGCTCATCAGAGCTACAACACGTACGGTGTACCGCAGACGCCGCAACAAACCCAGGGCGGATACGTTCCTCCAGGTTTCGTTCCGCCTCCGCCGCCCCCTGGGCCTCCACCTCTAGGTCCGCAGCAGACAGTACATTACGGTCAGTCCCAACCGGGGCAGCAAGGTTATGGCCATGGACCGCAGAGTGCGCATCCACAAAGCGCGCACCCTGGCAGCGCACACCCGCAGTCAGCACAGCAACAGGCCCCTGATCCGTGGGCGGGGCTCAATGCATGGAAGTAGACGCAAATTCAACGCATTTGACATAGAATGGGGAGGCATTGCATGATTTCAATGAGAGCGTCCATACGAAGCATTTGCATGTTGACAATTGGTGAAAGTGAAGAAACGCGTGGGTACAGGGTAGTTGTCCTGCGCTTGACAAATTGGCACGCTGCGATTTGCTCGTCATCCATGGAACTGACGGCTGGCTGAATCCCGAGGCTCGGGGGCTTCTCGATCTCGTGTCCAATCACGTTTCTCAATTGGCTATGCAGGCCACGTTGTATGGGGCAAGGAGATATGGCGGAGGAGTGAGGTTGGGGGCGTGATGCCGTACTCAGCAGCCGTAGCGCGTTGCGGGGATTGAGCTAGCTGCATCGGAGCACCATCATCGAGAAGGCGATTCCGACGGATATCGACGGATAGTATCCGAGGCATTCGACTCTTATTTGAACCTGACCTCCCTCGCTTCAACCCTAACCGACCAATTCCTGGGTGGTAGATAAGACTCTCGCTCTGGTGTTCTCAGACACACCACCGGTACATCATAGTCAAGGCAGCGATCCCGGACTCACGACGTTGAGCTCAGACGCCACAGCGCCCGGACGAAAGGGATCATGACGCTCTCAGGGAACGACGTTGCCAAACACAACGACGCAAAGTCGTGCTGGGTGATTGTGCATGTAATACAGACGCCTTTCGTGAGCCCGATGGCCGAGACAGACAAAGACTGATGAGCAACTAGGGCAAAGCGTACGATGTGACGGACTTCCTGCCAGAGCACCCTGGCGGCTCCAAGATCATCCTCAAATATGCTGGCAAGGATGCCACCGAGGAGTATGACCCAATCCACCCCCCGGATACGCTGGACAAGTATCTCGACAAGTCCAAGCACCTCGGCCCCGTCAACATGGACACAGTCGCCAAGGAGGTCATGCAGGAAGACCCCGACGAGGTGGAGAGACAGCAGCGCGTTGCGCAGAAGCCGCTCCTCGAGCAGTGCTACAACCTGCACGACTTTGAGGCCGTCGCGAGGCGGGTCATGAAGAGGACGGCGTGGGGCTACTACTCGAGTGCGGCCGACGATGAAATTGTGAGTCTATATCTAATGTCTTCTCCCTCTACCTACTAGAGCCCCGTCTAACGACCGTCCCAGACGATGCGCGAGAACCACTCTGCGTTTCACCGCATTTGGTTCCGTCCCCGGGTCCTCGTGGACGTGGAAAAGGTAGATTTCAGCACCAAGATGCTCGGCACGCCATGCAGTATCCCCATCTACATCACCGCCACGGCCCTCGGCAAGCTGGGCAATCCCGAGGGCGAGGTCGTCCTCACCCGCGCGGCGCACAAGCACGAGGTCATCCAGATGATCCCGACCCTCGCGTCCTGCTCGTTTGACGAGATTGTCGACGCGCGGCAGGGCGACCAGGTGCAGTGGCTGCAACTCTACGTCAACAAGGACCGCGAGATCACCAAGAAGATCATACAGCACGCCGAGAAGAGGGGGTGCAAGGGCCTCTTCATCACCGTCGACGCGCCGCAGCTCGGACGTAGGGAGAAGGACATGCGCTCTAAGTTTACCGATCCTGGCAGCAACGTGCAGAGTGGCTCGACGACGGACACGTCGCAGGGCGCGGCGCGTGCCATCTCCTCCTTCATCGACCCGAGTCTCAGCTGGAAGGACATTCCCTGGTTTCAGAGTGTCACCAAGATGCCCATCATCCTCAAGGGCGTGCAGCGCGTGGAGGACGTGCTCAAGGCTGTGGAGGCCGGCGTGCAGGGTGTGGTGCTGTCGAACCACGGCGGTCGGCAGCTCGACTTTGCCAGGTCGGCTGTCGAGATTCTCGCCGAGACAATGCCCGTCCTGCGCGAGAGGGGCCTCGAGAACAAGATTGAGATCTTTGTCGACGGCGGCATCAGGCGCGCCACGGACATTATCAAGTGCCTGTGCCTCGGCGCTACCGGTGTGGGCATTGGCCGGCCCTTCCTGTACGCCATGAGCGCGTACGGACAGCCTGGCGTCGACAGGGCGATTCAGCTGCTCAAGGACGAGATGGAGATGAACATGCGTCTGATCGGCTGCACAAAGGTGTCCGAGTTGCATCCCGAGCTGCTCGATACCAGGGCGTTGAGTGTTCACGCAACGACACCTGTTGATCATCTGTCAGGGGCGGTATACGATCCCCTGGCGGTGCCGGCCCAGCGGCCAAAGGGCCCGCCTGTCAAGGCCAGGCTGTAAACGAAGCTAAGCTTCCGGCTGTATGTATTTCATTATGTTTGGTAGACGCCATTGCAATGCTCCTAGTCCATGATACGTCGTTATATAACTCTCTGTCCCTACCTACAGACCCCGGAGGAACTCCTGCAGAGACATTGGTTTCCGCACTGCATTGTTCATACCTTCGTGGTACGTCACCCAGACCTTCCTCTCTTCCTTCCTGGCTCTCTTTTGCGCGTTGATGTCCAGCTCGGCCAGTGGCCGTGCCTCGATCACGCGACCAAAGAAATCCTTCTTCACAATGGTCGCCGTCTTGGCATCACTCATGATGTGATCCATGTTCTCCTTGTTGTGCATAGGCAGACTCGGCGTCACGGCAGCGGGCCCTCCGCCTTGCAGGAAGCGTGCCTGACGAGCAGCAGCGTCGCGCTGGGCAAGTGTTCGTTGCAACTCCTGGTCCAGCACTTGTCGGACGGCAAAGCGGACCGGCGCTTGCGAGGATAGTAGATTGGAAGCTGTGTCAAAGGCCGAGAGCGCGTCGAGGTCACTGCACGTATCCATCATTAGCATATATCATCCAGAGAAAGGGGGTTCCTGTGAAGTGTTGGTACGTACGGTTCCATGCGATACACATATTGCGGCGTGCGGCTGTTGAGCGCTTCACCCTCAACCTTGCCCTTGTGCAGAGCAATGCCCACCTCAGCGAGCACCTCTGCTGCTCTCTTCACCATGGCCTTTTCACTTTCCTTGCGGATGGTCGCGGTCGTGCCGGTGCTGCCACCCACTACGACGGGCTTCACCTCGGGCGAGACAATCCTTGTGAGGTAAGGGAGAAATTCGGTGGCCACGTCTTCAGCGCTGCGAAATGCACGGCCCAGTGTGGGCGTGAGCTGGGCCTGTATGGCCTGTAGTTGTGCGCGGTTGTGCTTCTCTGCTTCGTGAGCTTCGTAATCTGCCCTGGGCCCGGAGAATGGAACAGGCGGCGCCGTGCTCTCCTCCGCCGACTCGCCCCAGCGCTTGTCGTACCCCTGACCAACGATATGCCTCTTTGGCGAGGCAAACAAATGGTGGCATGCCAGCACCGGCTGCCCCAGGTACGGCGCCAGCTCCCACTCTTGACTGGCATACAGCCTCCCCTGACAAGCGTCATGGAAATGCAGCCAGTCGTACGCCTGATTTGGTTTCGTTAAGTAGCTGTCGTCGTTGAACTCCCGGTTGGGATACTCAGCGAAGATCTCTGCGAGTATGTACCCAATCTCGCCACTCGTATCGACCATCTCCCGGAGACGCTCCATCGAGTACTTCTTCTGCTGCTCGCCGAATCCCAATTCCGTTGTCGGCTGCTCATGCTTGTGCTGGATTGCCTCCATCCTCACTACAGGTTTGGGAAACCCACCTCCCTCTTGGAAGATGCGGCTGACAATGTCCTTGGAGCTTCCGCGGCCGAGACCGCGTGCTCCCGCCGCACCGCTGGCGAGGTCGGGCAAGATGTGCTTTTCGATCCACTGGCGCGTCAGACGGTCCTGGCCGCTCGCGTTGGCTGCACGGAAACGTCCCGCAGCCCATTCGCCAACGACCATGACACCGCGAAGATCTCCCTCGACGGTGCTCTGAGCACCTTTTTTCGCATCGGCACCGGTTCCCATGCCCCACGCAGCCTCACAGAGCTTGCGGGAGGCATCCTTGTCACAAGGAATGGCCTCTTTGTCAAAGATGGCTCTCAGACGACCGACAACAGCGTCCAGGGACGGGCGTCCGACGTGGATGACCTCTGCCAGGTTCGACTGTCGTAAGGGCCTCAGCGATGGCGCGTATACATCATTACAGATGAGAACAAGAGGGCGCATCTGTCGAAAGTCGTCCCCCTTTTTCTTCTTGCGCCCCTGGGACGCCCACGAGTTGCCGCCGGTATTCGCATTCTTCTGATCCAGCATGACAAGGTCGATCAAGGCTTTGACAAAGCCACCTTCGCCGGAAACCCCTGAACCCGTGACCACGCCGTCCACCTCGTCGACGATAACGCAGACCGGCTTGGCGGGCTTCTGGCCAGCCCCGGCCGTTTTCGTATTGGTCACGGTCTTGACGCTCTCTGTGCCCAGGCTGGTCCTGATGCGATTCTTGACAACGTCGCGACTACGGTCGTCACTGGCATTGACTTCGAGGACCTCGTATCCAGCTTGCTTTGCGCACACGTGCGCCAATGTGGTCTTTCCTAACCCGGGTGGCCCCGTCAGCATGAGGATCTTCCTGTGTGGTTTCTCCTCTTCCTGCTGTTGCTGCTGCTGTGCTCCAGGCCGCTTGGCAGTGACAGGTTTGGCCTTGGCCGCGCCAGGGAAGACCACGGGGTCCCATCTTTTCAACCATCGCAGGACGTTTCTGTTTGTGCCGTCGTCGCCGCAAAGGTCCATGAAATTCTTCGCCCGGTATTTCTCCGTCCACAACAAATGTTTCCTAGATTTCTTCCCGCTGGGTGCTGCTTCCACAGTTGGGAGAACCTCTCTCGTCGGCGCGGGCTGTCCAGCAGGCGTGGCGTCGATCTCTGCCTGTGCTGTCTTCATGAGATTGTGGATATCAATACCGTAGTATGCCCTTTTCGCACGACCTTCTTTTATCTTTGTCCGTGCAGCTGCCATCTGCTCGAAGGATTGGGCTTCCGAGGTCTGGCGTTCCTTTACGTGTAGCGACCTGCCCGTGCAGGTGTTGATGGTATAGGAGCTGGGTGCCAGAGTGTCGAGGAAGGATTTTGTGAAGAGTGCGCGCCCTTGCGTCCAGGCCGGACCAGAGTCGCGAGAGTCTACATCGTCGATAGGCGATTGGGCATTGCGGCGCTCAGTTTCGAGATCCAGCGAGATTGTGTTCTGATCGGGTTTCTCGAGCATTCGCCTCTTGGGGGAGGGTTCTTCGCGTGTTGCATCCTGTTCTGCGGGTACTGGTTCGTCCTCTGAGTCTGATTCCGAGTCTTCGGTGATAAAGGGTCCGGATGCTCGAGCTTTGGGTTTGCTGGATCGATCCTCATGGGGTCTATCCCGCTTGCTGGCTGGTGGCACGCCAGCAACTGGCACTGATGCTTCGACGGCAAGCATATTTCGAGGTTTGGCGGGGGGATCCGATTCAATGGCTGGTGGTCGGACTTGATACGCATTCAAAGCATGTTCGGTCGGCTCAAGTTTCGCTGGAAATCAATAGTTGAATGTGGGGTTTGGTAGATGGTGAATATCCAAGTCCTCTGGTAGTGGTGAAGCAGCGCGCCTCGCGTTTAGTGCTGTGTGAGACGCGTCGCGCGTCTGAACTGCCCCACGTTAAAGCCGGCCATCGCCTCGTAAGAAAGCTGAGTCAGCACATCTACCAGGTAGATTCCGGACTAAGGATGCCCCGTTCTTCCGAGTCGCCAAATTTTTGGAGACCAACGAGTAACGACACAGCACGCGACAATACGCCTGGCTGCTCAGCAAGGAGAGGACCAATTCATTCTTTACCTGTCGACACGGTCGACCTCCCCACGCCACAATGCGCAGACCGGCAAGGTACCTCAATTTGAGGCGACCCGTAAGTTCCATTCATGCCCTTGAGGGATCCTTGCGATCCTTGGCCCTGCCCCATTGTGATCAAAGGAGGCTGATCCAAGACAGAAACTTCGCCTGTCATGGAACAAGCACAATCTATACAACATCGCCAAAGGCGTCGGCACCGTCGACATGTCGCGTGCCACGATGCGAACCTTTTTCCAGCAGAAGTGGGAGGCCAAATCGACGACGCGCGGTTATCACGGCGAGCACATACCTGAGAAGAAATGGAAGCGCATGTTCACACGGCAGCTCGCCTCTGTTGTCGAAATGAACCCGCGCTACCTCGCAGAGCACGACGGTTCAGAGCAGGCCACCGGCCGTGGATCGGGCATGGGAGCACGCCAGGTGGCGGCCGACGACTATGCGACGTGGTTCCCCCGTGGGTATCGGCAGGATGAGGTGGGACACTTTTTATCGATCAAGAGCAAATCACAGATCACTCGTGAGATGGAGCTGGAGCACGGCAACATTACACCTCTCATGCAGATGACCTACGCACCGGTGGAGCGGAGGTTGGACATGGCTGTTTTCCGGTCGCTGTTCGCAACCAGTATCCGTCAAGCGAGGTTGATGGTCGTCCACGGTGCTGTGACGGTCAATGGCAAGAAGGTGAGCTAACCAGGCAGTGACAAGATAACGGGCGCTGACTAGGATACAGATGGTGTACCCTGCCTATCGTCTTAACCCCGGCGATATGTTCCAGGTTGACGTGGGCAAAGTCCTCTCCGCAGTCAGCAAACAAAAGAACCCTGAGACGAAGCTCGAAACAGCCAAGGTCGTCAAGATGCTCAAGAACAACCAGAAACTCTACGACAGTATGGAGAAGCGGTTGCGAGTATGGAACGACCAATTCGAGGAGACCGTCAACCCCAAAACGACAGAGGTGAATGAGGACGGTGAAGAGAAGCCCGCTTTCGACGAAGCCAAGGTCATCAAAAAGTTCCGCTACGCCATCTATTCACAAGGAAAGGGCAAAGAAGGCGCAGCAGCAGCGGAGGCTCAGACCGAGACCCCGGCCGAAGGTGCTGAGGAGGCGGCTGTAGAGGGCGCAGAGGTTGGCGAGAGTGCGGCCGAGCCCAGCGCAGAGAGGCTACTGTCCAACGAGGAGGGTCAGGAACTCAAGAGGCTCAAGCTCGAGACCGCATTGATCGATGCCAAGCTTCTGATCCGCGATCAGAGCGAGAAGACCGACCCCCTCTGGCGGGAGTTTAAACTGCGAAGCTTCAAGGACCAAGTGGGGCGCGCGCTGGACATTGATACATCAGCAGGGACGAGCGCCAAGGAGCTCATCAGCCAGCTGGAAACCAACATGAAGAGCTTGAGCATGCTACACGACGAGAAGTCGCAGAGCTCTCAGGCTGCCCAGGCACCCGGGCAGAAGACACCACGGCAGTTCGCCCAGAAGGCCCTGTGGCTCTCGGGACACACATCTGATAGCGACGTCGCCGTCTCCGTCGGCCTGGACAGGCTATCGGTCAAGGAATTCAAGGACCTCGCGAGGTTGCTCCGCTCCGATGCCGAGAACCCCATTGACGAGCACAAGCCCTACCCCACGCCCTGGGCGCCTCGGCCGTTCATGAAGCCGTTCGTCTTTGTGCCGCGTTATCTCGAGGTCAACCACACCACGTGCTCTGCCGTGTACCTGCGTCACCCCGTGGCGAGGAAGGGCATGGGTGAGGTGCCAACGCCGTTCAACTTCTTTACCAACCAGCTGGCACACAACTGGTATGTCGGCCGGGGGTCGAAGCATGCTACCATGTAAGATTTTCAGGGGTGCTGGGTGGCTGTATATTAGACGTGTTGTATAATTGTACAAAAGCGCGACAGCGGCGATTGTACGTTGAGAAGCAGGGACTTTCTCATATATCCATGGATGTCTTGGATGTGCGTCTCTCAAACATTGAAATACGACATCCCGATGCGTGTCTGGCCATTTAGTTGTTTGTGTTCAAGTAGAATCGAACGACGTGATAAGACAGTTTCAGTGTACGTCACTACCATTGCCTACCCTGTACCACCCTTTCACGTTTTCCCCTCAAGATCGAACGTTATCAGACCTCACCATCCATTTGTCACTCACTTCCTGGCACGTACAATTTCCATCTACATGCTCTGTACGGAGCCTTGAAATGTGAGATCTGAACGCATTTCACTGCCAGGTACATTTATGTGTACAGCCATTCTCCTCTTTCACCCGAACAGCCTGCTGCTGAGCATGAACAGGCCAGGCCATCGCAGGGATTGCGCTCTTCATCCGAGCGATTACTTTCGAGACTACCCCTAAATCCCTAAGACCCGTCATTACTCGTCAGCCACGGGATTTGGGAAGATTTACAGTCCCTTGGCCCAACCGCAAGGGCTCACGGGTAACATGAACAACGTCGGCAGTGGCGCCGGCGCTGCTGATGGCAACCAGAGTGACTGGTCGCGAGCCCTGCATCATCCACAACCAGCCTCGTCTGCCAGCGCAGACACTTCTGCGGCTTCGGCACCCAGCAAGAAGAAGCCGTCTCGCCGACGAACGGGCGCCTCCAGCCCCAAGAGACGATGCGTCAGTACTGCCTGTATCGCGTGCCGCAAGCGCAAGTCCAAGTGCGATGGCGCGGTCCCGAGCTGCGCAGCCTGCGCGAGCGTGTACGGCACAGAGTGCGTCTATGATCCCAACTCGGACCATCGGCGAAAGGGCGTGTACAAGGACAAGGCCGACAGCATGAAGGCGCGCAACTCCACCCTGCAGATCTTGATCGAGGCGATCCTGAACGCATCAGAGGACGAGGCGTTTGACATTGTCAGGAAGATTAGGACGTGCGATAGTCTTGACTCGGTGGCAGAGGGTCTTCTAACTCAAGGTCCTGAGAATGACCAGATGCCCTCCGAAGGGTCCGACGACGACGTGGATGGCGACGCTCGTGCTGCTGAGACCGGAAACGCCATTGATGGTGAGAGGGCGCTCGCCCGCAAGATGGGCGAGCTGCGTCTGGAGAATGGATCGGTGCGCTTCATTGGCGGGACGTCGCATCTCATCTATCTCAGTGATCCCCAAAGCGGCCTGAACGACGAGCCCCTGGCTGACGAGTGTGATCCTGGGGCGGACGCTGTTGCGACCTGGACACGCGTGACGGACGACGCGCCCCTCATCAGTATGCTCATCAACAAGTACTTCAACTACCACTACCCTTACTTCACGACGCTGTCCCGGAAAATGTTTGAGAGGGACTTCCTCAAAGGAAGCCTGGAGGTTGCGCGGGAACAGAGACAGGGGGCGACTGTCCACTGCTCTGCGTTGCTCGTTAACGCCATGCTCGCGCTGGGCTGCCACTTCACAGACGTGCCGGGCGCCTATGCAGTCCCCGGGGACAGTCGCACAAAAGGCGACCATTTCTTCGCGGAAGCCAAGCGCCTCATCATCGAGAATGGCGAGTACGAGCGACCTCGGCTGGTGACGGTGCAGGCCCTGGCGCTCATGTCCGTCCGCGAAGCCGGCTGCGCGCGGGAAGCCAAGGGCTGGGTCTACAGCGGCATGAGCTTTCGCATGGCGCAGGACATTGGGCTGAATCTGGAGATTGACAACATGGAAAGGGAGAGAATGCCGGAGCACGAGGTTGATGCCCGGCGGATCACGTTCTGGGGCTGCTTCCAGTTCGACAAGGTCTGGTCCAACTATCTCGGGCGCTTGCCGCAGTTGCCAAAGGGCTCCTTCAACGTGGCCAAGTTCGACGTGTTCCCGGAGGAGGATGCTGAGATGTGGTCGCCCTTCCCGGACACTGGGTTCGACGACGAGTGGGCGCAGCCGGCACGCACCAGAGCAGTGGCTCTGCAACTGTCCGAGCTCTCTGAGATTAGCAGCGATCTCTTGATCTTCTTCTACCATCCCAACCACATTGGCCGGTCAAGCGGCAAGGCCGTCGAGTTAAAGAAGCTGAGCGAGCTGCATCGGCGGCTTGAAGAGTGGCGGCAGAAGCTGCCCAAGGAGTTGGAGGCCAAGGAAGGCCAGCTGCCCAATGTCATCCTCATGCAGTAAGTGGTGGCCACCATTCCACAGCACGAAACTAGTCGTGATACTAACCATGGTTTAGTATGTTCTTTCATCTGCAGTACATTCACCTCTTCCGGCCATTCCTCAAATACGCTCCCTCAGCCTCCCCTCTGCCAGTCCACGTATCACCTCGCCGCATCTGCACAGCCAACGCGGGCGCCATATCGAAGCTCATGCGGCTGTACAAAAAGACGTGGAACATGCGGCAAATCTGTAACATTGCCGTGTACATGACGCACTCGGCGTGTACCATTCACCTGCTGAACCTGCCCGAGCGTACGGCCCGTCGAGATATCATCCACGGTGTGAAACACCTCGAAGAGATCGCGGAGGACTGGCCGTGTGCTCGTCGTACGCTGTGTATCCTCAGCGTCCTGGCTCGCAAGTGGGGATGCGAGTTGCCCGAAGACGCGGCATTCGTCTTGCAAAGGACAGACGAGAAATACGGATACTACAGCACGTCTGAAGTGCCGTCACCTCATGCGCAGCAGGGAAGGGCGGCAAACACTTTCGAAAGGGGTTCCGCGCCACGTGGTGGCCACGCCAGGGTGAATAGTCCTTCGAGACAACTCCCTCAGCAGGTGTTGACTCAGCAGGCACAGGGTCAACCTGTAGAGGCTTGTGTGAGCTTGAATCCCCAGGTCGAGGCGTTGGTGCAGCAACACCGCCAATCGCAACCACAGTCACCTCAGGCACAAGTCTTGCCTCACGACATGGGGTTCTCTACGCCATCACCATTGGCGTCTTGGCCTACGGGACTGTCGCCAGTCAACGATGCCCGCTACGCTGGATTCGCTGCGAACACGCGCACGCCGGAGGACCAGGAGCTGCCAGCTGGAGCGGCCATGGCAGCAAGTCGACCTCAAATGTCTCCGACAGGTGTGAGCATCGACGGCCACGACTGGTTTCTCAACGACAGCGCTCGTTGGCAACAGAGCTTTGAGACCTGGGACCTGGGCGCTGGCGGACCTATGCCCCCCGGCCAGCCTGACGCCGCAGGCGGTGTCTACGTCTTTGGGGATGTCACTGGTGGCGGTGTCATACCAGATGGTGGGCAGGGCCAGCCTCAGCAGCGATCAGCACAGCATGGTGACGAGGCTGAGGGCGTCTTCGACGGCCTGGGGGCTTCGCTGAACGGCGGCGGGTGGCTGCCTGGTTTGGACTGATGGATGGACGAAGGTCAGGGGATTTCCGATGGAATGTAGGAACGCAACATGCAGTGCCGGTGTAATTCATGACGACACGAAAAGTACAAGAAAAGATACCTCTTTGCTACTGAATATACATACGTTCTTCAAGGCTGTGAGAATAATGAGCAGAATTGGAGAATCCAGGTTGTTCCCCGACACCAAGATTCGGTCTGATACCTTCCTGGTAGATCCGTGGGTCGGTCTCCAGAGTGGACAGGACAGTGACCGGTTCGCCTCCCGGTCTGAATGTCGATCTATTCTGTAAATAGCTGGACCCTTGAAGACAAGACATGTCAGTTTCGATTATCATATGCCCCATTGGCATGCTCGTTTGGAACGTTTGCATCGCGGACGCAGGACCCATGCGGGGAGGCCCAGACTCATTCTACCCCAGAGACCCTGAAAGCTTGTCTACACTGAATGTGACCAAAGATCCTCTCGCCATGCGGAAGGGGGGCCTCAGGCTACGACAGTACGTGCGTACCCCATGGGGCTCGCCCACTGGGTGGCCAGGCAGACGTAGGAGGGTCGTATCTTCGCCGATGTTGGGGAAGATGGCCTCTTAATATGTATGAGCGTTATCATTGGTAGCCTTGAAGGGGCAGTGTCATTGAGCGATCCTTGATGGCGGTGTCCTGTTTCAGTGCTGAGTTCTCTCGGACCAAGGGAAGATTAACAAGGTACGTAGTGTATTATTAAGTACTGACCAATACTTCTCAAGTTCTCAATGCGGTCCTAGGTCAATAGCTGGCGTTACATCAGGGTCATCTCTACGCGGCCAGAGATGAATTGCAAATTACGGTTAGACTTTGGACCACACTCCTCTGAGCTTTCAATGAACATGAACCCGAAGTGTGCCAGCACCGTTCTCCTTGTCTTGCGTGGACTCTGTGGGCTACAGCTCAAGATAGTTGTACGTACTCAGCACCGATGAAAATCGCGGCGGAACTGTGTTGCCACGTCTTCGAGCCTGTTCACCCTCCACCACATGGATTGACACTGCAAGTACCTACGTATACGGAGTCACTGTTGCGTCTCAGATCCGGATCGTCGCATGAGCTATTCAATGCAGCATGATGAGATGCATCTTGGGAGCTGAGCGTAGACGGGTGATCGAGCCAGGGGGCGGCTAACCCCATGAAACGGAGGACATCATATTACGTCCTCGACTTGTTGGTGAACGGGCAGACCGCAGCCGTCTGACGGTCTCTGACTCTCTCCCCAAGGCACGCAGGGACCCCTGCTCTCCATGTGAGTGCCCTGCTGAGCGATTGGTGCAAAATCAAGATCGGGGCTTCTCCGCATGGACAGTCGGCCCGCACTCCGACGTTGATCGAAACGTGTGGTGGTTTGGGTTAGCGTGGGGTTCGAGTTGGGGAATGAATCACCAGGAGTCAGGAGTCCAGGACTCGGGAGCCGTCATCCCTCACCGAACCGCAAGCGGACGTGGCCAGGAGACGTCGAGGGCGCGTCGATCGTCGGTGAGAGGCGCTGTCTGGCTGGGCGGGGAGACACTGCGCGAGATTCAGCGGTGTCAGTGCATCAGATCGATCAGCTGACTGCGCACAAAACATGGAGGCTCTGTTGGAACTTGGAAGGGAAGGCGCGAGAGTACGGATAGAGAAGCTAGATTGGAAGCAGCCACCGATGGCGGCTTGAAATTGGGGGAAGGAGCAGGAGCCAGAGCAACACGGTCAGCCACCCTGTAATTAGCTTCAACTTCTTTGTGCGCCTTTTTGTTGACGAATCCATGTCTCAGCTTGGCTGGAATCGCAAGCTCATCCCCGCAAGATGCTCGCCGTGTCGCCCATGCTCATCGCTCCCTGTTGAGCGCGCCGATCTCCTCTCCACGTCAGCATTGTGCCCGCTTGAGTGGTCGAACGCTGGACCCTGGCCTCGGGAGTCTGGAGTCTGGACTACCCCGGATGAGGACTGGAAACGCGTGAGGCGCGGCGGAAATTCCGCGTTGATGCTAACAAACAGCGCGCTCCTCTTGCTTGCCTCGATCGACCACCTGCCTAATACCTGTCTTCCGAGCCCGTCATCGCGGCAGTCCTCGATTTACGAGGCGTCCACTTGGGTCTAACTCTAACCTAAGTCAAAATCGAAAGTATTCCCCGGGACAATCGACAGCCTAACCCATGCGCAAAACTACTGCACAGTATGTAGCATTGGCCGACGTACCCCACACTCTCGACTGGCGACGCGAGTCGCGCCGATGGCGGCCATGGATTGTCGGGCGAGTGTCCGGCGGACACGGGACACGAGCAGGGTTCGTTCGTGTTGGCCGCATCCCCCGGCTTGCGTCAAATATTAATGCAATCTTCACCCATCGTCATGGGCAGGGCCGTCGCGGAATCAGACGTCCGTCTGTCTCGGGATGTCGAGCACATCTGTGTGCTTTTCGTGCCATGCTCGAGCTCAATCGATGTCGTGGAAACGACGTCCTGGATCCGATCGAGTCTCTGGCGCCAAAGCGGAAAAAAACCCTCAGCAACGGACTGCCACGGGGCACACCACTTGGTCTATATTTTAGTCTCCGTGCCCACGCAGAGGCGCACCAGTCCCGTTCAAGCTTTTTCTCGGACAGGACGCTCCACCTCCACCTCGACGATGTACTTCCTCCACACGGCCGACGCCTCGTTGCTACTCTCCACTCCGCGCTTTTTGAGTTGCTGCAGCATTGTCACACTGGCTAGCGGGGTTGGCTGCTGGACAAAGAACTCGTTGCCTTCTCCTCACGAGCCATACTGCCGTAGCTTATGTACTCCTGCAGGCTCCAAGCCTCCAAAACAAGGATCCCCAAGAACGGCCCTGTCCGGACCCCGGAGCCCTGAAATTATGTAGTGGCAATTCGACGGTTCGACCCTCCTGGAGGCTGGACGCTGGAGTCGTCCGGGGGTTCGACTCGATCAGGGCAACCCCAGTCCTTCCCCCGTGGTCTTGGCTAGCAGCCTTGGCAGCCCAGACCTTTTGGTCACTCGGATGGGGAACCTCGCCTGGGCCTGGCTTGCCAAAGTCCCTCCTGGGAAGAATATTACCAGAAAGCCGCCCACCTCGCCCCCCTCTCGGGATCTCTTCACTGTCCAAGGCCGACCTTGCCTGTTTCTGTGAGCCACACGTATAGACACGATTTACGACACGAGACGACGTTTATGATCACTTTTCCACACTGCCAAGAAGGCACTCGACATCGACCTGCCCGACACTCGCCTGTACATATTGTAGTTTCGAATCACAGCTCTTCCCTGAACCGAGGCGCAACAGCACAGCGACCTTAGCCTAGGCATAAGCATACGACAGGAAGCCGCTATTTCTTCACACCTCCCCGTCTGCACAAGCCAAGATGCTGTCAAATCCTTTGCAGAGGTACTCGCCGTACCAGAACATGTCTCAGCCTGGCCTCGTCTCCAATGGACATTCCCAGCAGACGCTGGCGCACAACAACGGCGTTGAACACATGGGACAGACTACGCAATACGGCCTACACCAAATTCACCACAACATGGGGCCCCAAAGTCCTCCGCTGACCAGACAGACGCCTGGTCCGAAGAATCGACAGCAATCGTTCAGCTCCGCGCGAGGAAGCGCCAGCGGGCAGGTGAGGCGACGAATCAGTAGAGCCTGCGACCAGTGCAACCAGCTACGGACAAAGTGCGATGGACAGAACCCTTGCGCTCACTGTACAGAGTTCGGCCTGGGATGCGAGTACGCTCGCGAGCGCAAGAAGCGCGGCAAGGCCTCCAGAAAAGACCTGGCTGCCCGTGCTGCGGCCGAGGCCGTGCAGGGCAAAGCACCCCCGGGGCAGACAGGAGACCGAGACCACTCCTCCACGGCATCGACGGTCAACGGCAAGACAGACGCCTCGAGTAGGGGTTCGCCACAGAGAATGGACGACGAGCGAGCACTCACGGCCAACGAAGCCAACAACAACCCATCTTCGAGCGGGCTCAGGGGGTTTGACCAAATAGAACAGCACGCGAGCAATGGCCCTTCCAACATGAAGCCTGACGGCCACAACGGCGAGACGCCTCGAGCACTGGAGATGAACGGATATACCGCCATGACTCCACAAGGATACGACCGATCAGACATGAATGGGCAAATGATGGGGGCGCGCTCCTTTGGACAGAATCACGGCGTGATGTCTGCGTATCCGGACTTGCCGTACCCAATGCAGGGACAGAGCCCTCCAGGCTATCATGGTCACAATGCGGGCTTCCGCATCGGTGCAAGTCCCATGACTGGCTATCCCATGGGAGCGGCCACCAGCGCGTCGCCAGGCTGGGGCATGCCATTCCCCTCGCCACCGGCGCATTTCGGGAACGTGCACGTGGGCCAGAATCAAAACAACATCAACACGTCCAATGTCCGGTATCCTGTCCTCGAACCATTGCTGCCCCATCTGGCGGGGGTATTACCGGTGGGACTGGCGTGCGACCTGATTGATCTTTACTTTGCGTCCTCATCGTCGGCGCAGATGCATCCCATGTCGCCTTATGTGCTAGGCTTCGTCTTCCGCAAAAGGGCCTTTCTTCACCCAACCCGGCCCAGGCGGTGCCAGCCCGCTCTGCTTGCCAGCATGCTCTGGGTGGCCGCACAGACGAGTGATTCGACCTTCCTTACGAGTGTGCCGTCGGCTCGCAGCAAGACGTGCCAAAAGCTTCTCGAACTCACTGTCAACTTGCTGAATCCGCTCATCCACGTACCTTCTGGCCACCCGTCACCCGGTGCCAGTCCAGCCGCCGACGGTGTCGCTCTTGGTGGGCTGGGCGTCGCTCTGCCTGGCTCCATGAGCATGGATGCTTTGACGGGCGAGTCGGGAGCCTTTGGGGCAGCCGGCAACCTCGACGACGTGATCACCTACATTCACTTGGCCACGGTGGTCTCGGCGAGCGAGTACAAGGGCGCCAGCCTGCGGTGGTGGAATGCGGCCTGGTCTCTGGCACGAGAGCTCAAGCTCGGCCGTGAGCTCCCGCCGGGTGCTCCAGGGATGGACGCGGAGATTGACGGCGATACCGACGGACTGGACGAGCACGACATTCAGCGATACAACCCCAACGTGGTGTCCGAGGAGGAGCGCGAGGAGCGGCGACGGATATGGTGGCTTGTCTACACTGTCGACAGGCACTTGGCATTGTGCTACAATCGACCCCTGTTCCTGTTGGACGTAGAGTGCGACGGGTTGAAGCAGCCCCTCGACGAGCTCGTCTGGCAACGAGGCGACTTTGGCAGCCTAGACAGCGTTCACGACCCCAATGGGCTAGGCATGTCCGAGGCCGACGCCCGACCTCGAGGACCCGGGTTCCAATGCCACGGCCACAGCATCTTTGGATACTTTTTGCCACTCATGACGATCCTGGGCGAGATTGTCGATTTGCACCACGCGAGGAATCACCCTCGGTTTGGCATCGGGTTCCGTTCCGCGGGCGAGTGGGATGATCAGGCCGCCGAGATCACGAGACATCTGGAAACGTACGAACACAGCCTCAAGATGTTTGAGCAGCAACACCTACCAAAGCCGGTCTCCGACGACAAGAACGAGTTCCACGACGCGGGCGAGCACCTCGGGGCCGGTGGTGAGGCCCCATCACCGTCAATCCACTCGGCTCATACCAACGGCTCGGGCCGCATGACAGAGAGCGACATCCAGACCAAGATTGTCGTTGCGTATGGCACGCACGTCATGCACGTCCTGCACATCCTGCTCGCTGGAAAGTGGGATCCCATCAACCTCATCGACGACCAGGACCTGTGGATCTCGACGCAAGGGTTTATCACGGCCACGGGCCATGCGGTGTCTGCCGCCGAGGCCATCAACCAGATACTGGAGTTCGACCCCGGGCTGGAGTTTATGCCCTTCTTCTTTGGCGTCTACCTCTTGCAGGGCTCGTTCCTGTTGCTGCTCATTGCCGACAAGTTGCAGGCCGAGGCATCGCCGAGCGTGGTCCGCGCCTGCGAGACGATTGTACGAGCTCACGAGGCGTGCGTCGTCACGCTCAATACAGAGTACCAGGTACGTCCATGGGTCGTGCGGGTTGGTGATTGGGAATGGTTGATGCTAACCTTGTGCAGAGGAATTTCAGCCGAGTGATGCGCAGTGCGCTCGCACAAGTGCGCGGACGAGTTCCCGAAGACCTCAACGAGCAGCACCAGCGCCGGCGAGAGCTGCTGGCATTATATAGATGGACGGGCGACGGCACCGGTCTCGCCCTGTGAAAAGGAGAGGTACGATTACGGCGCGGTAGCTGAGGTGATATTGAAATCGGACGGGCTCGGCGTTTGGGTTTGCATCTTAGGGGTTGCTGGGCAATTGGCGATTATGGCGAGGGCTGGAGCCACGAATACAAACAATTCATCTCCCCGTCTCGACGACGTCTTCTTTGGCTTGAGGTTGGATACATGGCACTGTCAGTACCAAGGCTGGTTCAGCAGTACTGTTTGCGCTTCCATGGCCATCATACGTCGCACATGGATGCTCGGGCAACAGCAAACATACCATTCCTGGAGCATCCGCGCAGGCTGAGCGTGTATCGTTGCGTCTCAGATGAGAGTGCTCGACTGTTACAAGGCCGGCGGTGTCGCATCCGTTGATGATTCAGAGCCATCGCTTCAAGAGGCATTGTCACGCGTGGTGACCTGCAAAGGGCTGACCTGACAATAGGCCGAGGAAGGACCAGCAGATGGGCAATCAAATCAAGGCAACAATCGCTTGTTGGGGGATTCTCTTCACCTGACAGCTCGTCAGTATTGGAACCAACCCTATTGCCGTCATACGTCGTCTCTGACCGCCTGACGGTTCGTCCAATGTTGCGATGGCGCACGCCGCGGCGTCCACTGCCTTGATGCTCGCCTCGTCGACGACCGACTGACCTCGAATCATGATGTGCACCATCAGTTGATCCGGATTCAGCCAGCTCGCGCCGTTTCAAGGGGGTTCACTTCGTTTGTCATTCGCCTAATGTGCTTGATGGGGACTGAACGGGGGCCAGGCTGTGATTCAGAGGGAGATGCCACGCAGTGAGGCGGCGCCCGCAAACTTGGGACACTTACTCACCGTTGACCCTTCTCACGAGGCTGCAGCTGGCCTATTTATACCACGAGACCTGGGACCCTGGGACTCACTGGTACACCAACGTCGACGATCTCGCTCGTGTTGTGGTACTTTCCAAGCGTGGCATCCAGCAGCACGGCAGCTTACTACATTGATCCGTCTACTTACTCATCCTACAGAGCTCAGCTGATTTGACATGGCTGGTGGTCATCATCACCACCATAACGGTGGGTCGTCGTCGAAGCGTCCACGCTCTTCCACTGGCGACATGAACATCAACAACAACAACAACAACAACGACCAAGGGGGCAGTTCCAAGAGACAGCGGACCGAGACCCATGCTCAGGATGCGCAGCCCCTGGATCCCTTGGGGTATCCCAATGTCGACGCCTTTGGTCATCCGCAGCTAGACTACAACAACTATGTCGCCCCCATGGCCACCATGCAACAGTATAATATGCCACCCCCAACAGCGGCAGCGACATCGGCTGGCAACAACCCAGCCGCTCCCAACGGCGTCTCTTCCTACGGTGCCGCCTACCAAGGACCCCTCCCGGCGAATGCGACTCGATCCACCCGCAGCGGCCTCAGGATCGGCGCCCTGACTCTCGAGGAAGCCCAGCTCGCCATCCCCGGGCACCTGTCGCCTGAAGACAAGGCTGCCCTCAAGGCCCGCCTGCAGGACGAGCTCAACCGGCAGCGCGCCCATCCGCCGGCCCTGCCTCGCTCCGAAATCCCCGATCTGCCCCCCAAGGAGTTCATGCCCGAGTACAAAAAGATCGAGGAGCACTTTGCACCCGCGCTCAAGGCCCGCATCCGGACCTTCAACGCACGCGTCTCCGAGGAGCTGCGGAACATTGATCGCCGGCGCAACAACCAGGCGGCCAAGAAGTCACGCGAGACCCGACTCGAGGCCCTCCGCCTCACGCGGGACATGCTGAACAAGAAGACGGCCGAGTGCGACTGGCTCCGCCTCAAGGTACTGCAGCTCCAGGGCGACCCGAAAGAGTACGACGCCCTGCCGGGCCAGACCCGGCGCCGGCTCATCGAGACGGTCGAGACGCGCGTCCGCGAGGTCGACCAGGCCTACGCCGAGGAGAAGAAGCAGGAGGAGAGCCGCAAGCGGGCCCAGCGCACGCGCCTGCGCGCCGAGGCCCGCGAGATCGAGGCGATGGCGCCCGACCACTTTCTGAACGAGATTGTGCCGCCCGAGGAGGCGCTCACGGCCATCATCGGCGAAGACGGCACGTATATCGACAAGGGACAGGAGGAGGAGGACGGCGAGGGGGAGCAGCAGGAGCAGCAGCAGGTGTATGGAGATGGTGGCGGCGTCCTGGACGAGCATGTGTTGGAGCGGACGCTGTATGGAGGAGGGCACAATGGTCACACTATGTGACTGTGCGCTTGCGATTGACCTGCTGGTGATTATTTTATGGTGTTTGACAGAGATTGATTCTGGGGGGCCAGGCGCGGTGGCATATTTGTTCTTGGGCGAGATTCTGAGTTTTGGGCCAGAAATTGGGAGAGACACATCATGGCATATGGCATTCATCAAGGCCACACGGGACTGTCACTGGGCTATGGATTTGGTACGAAGGCGTTATAGGATTGCTATACTTGGGAAAAATTACCTCTTGCTCCAAGCTACTCGGGGCCCAGGGCGAGAATCATTGATATTGGGAGTTTCATGTCTGTTCTGGGTGACTTCCTGTTTCTTCAAGTTGACGTACAGGCGATGATGCATTTGTATCTTGATCCGCAGCCTTGCGCAGATGCATCTCAATGTCCTCTTCCTCACCGTGGAGGGCATCGCTCAAGCACGCACGGACAAAGACGGCGAGCAGTGTGATGATCAGGAGCCTGCAGGGTGTCAGTCGCATGTTTTCCCCTCTGTTGTCAAGGATCTTACCAATCGACAGCGGCCATGACCGTGCTCGCAATCAAAGCAACATAGAAGCGCTTCCAAAAGAAACCATCGCCCTCCCGCGAAGATGACCTGTCGCCCCAGTCCTTCAGCCACTCGACCTTCTTCACCTGGTCCGCCAGTCTGGCCTCCCACACCCAGCAATCGAGCCAGAAGACTGAGTTGATGCCCAGCAAGACGACAAATCCGAGTCGGTAGTAGAATCTGCCACCCTTGGACGTGTGTTCCATGACCAGCATGGTCGTGACGATGGCCAAGGTCAGGGCGCCGGAGAAGTAGACGATGTTGGCGGCGTCGTTGACGAGGAACGACCAGTCCTCATGGTGCAGGCTCGCGTTATAGGCTGTCGTACCCACAGCGCCGGCCGTGACGAGTAGTATGGCGATGCGCAGGTAGACGAGCCATCCTGGCAGCGAGGGGACGGACATTGTGTTGAAGCATGCCATGATGGGGGAGTTTATGCCCTACCGTAGTATTCGTGCAAATGAGTGAACTGCCATTTTCCCCAGCACGGCGAGAATTGTAGACAGAAGATGCCTTCTTATTACATCTTCCTACGAGACTCGTCAGCGGGTGCTGTGCCCCGTTGCACAAACCTCCGTGTGGACAGTGTCCAGTCGTTACGCGTCAGATCACTTGGCGTGCGCATGAGACGCTGGCAATGTCAGCAGCCAAGGCATTGGCAGAGATGCCCAGAGACGCCCAGTTTACATCTGTTGATGTGTCGCGCGTGTCGTCGTCGCTCGGACGACGAGTTGAGGTCATGAGGCGGATGATCACTTGACGCAGGGAGTGTCCGTCGCCTCCATCACCGTAGGGCTGCAGGTGCACGAGTTTCGCACGTGTCCCGGCCGAGTGAGCATGGAAATATTAGGACGAGCACTCCTGAATTTTATTCACATTTCTTCTAACTGCGTACGCGCAGTGGGTGGGAGCAGCTGCTACAGTCAAATAGTGATCCGGCTTCCAGTCTTCACCAGGTGCGAGCACAGTAAGCCCAGTATCTTTATGTTAGGTAGTTCATATCATCTCGGATCTAGTAGTCATGTCATCAGCCGTCTATCCCCTCGAATGCACCAGCCGCCCGCGAACCCAAACCCTGGCCGTGTTGCGGTCGTCGCCAGAGTACACCCACTTGGCCATCTTCTCCTCCCAGTCCTCCCACCCAAACACATCCACGTTACCACCGTCGCCTATCTCCTCCTCTTCTCCTTCAGGCACGTTCCGGAACTGCACGAGCTGCGCGTCCCAGGCCATGCCCTCCTCAAAAGCACCCACCTTACCCTCGAGCCCAACGCACTGGGCGCCGCCCCTCGTAGCCAGATACAGAACCTCCTCCACGCTCAGCTTGTCCTCGTCGTCCTCCGTACTCATACAGACATGCCGACTCACGAGCGCCGCCTGGCGCGCCGCCTCAAGGACGGACGGCGAGTAACCACCCGACACGTCCGTGCCCAGACCAACATCGACACCATGCCGCCACAGCCAGCGGATACGCGCCGTCCCGCTGCTGAGCGACGAGTTGCTGCACGGGCAGTGGGCGACCTTGCTCTGCCGGGCCGCGATGGCGCGCGCCTCCCGCTCCGAGAGGTGGATGCCGTGCGCGAGGATCGTCCGGGGCGTGAGCAGGTCGTGCTGGTCGTACACGTCCGTGTAGTCCTCGTACCCCGGGAACAGCTCCTTGACGAGCTCGACCTCGCCCTTGTTCTCGGAAATGTGCGTCTGCACGTGTAGATCCTTCTCTCTCGCCAACGCGCCTAGCCCACGCATCGAGTCTGATGTGCAACTGGGCGCGAACCGTGGCGTGAGGATCGGGCGCACGAGGGCATCGTCTCCGTTGCCCTTCAGCTGCTGGATGTACTCGATGCACGCTTTTGTGTTTTGGAGGCCCTCCTCGGCAGACTCGTCGCGGTAAAAGTCGGGGCAGAGATCTGGTCGGTCCATGCAGACGCGTCCAACCAGCGCACGCTGTCCCAGGTCGAAGCAGAGCTTGGCGAGGAGGTTGGTCGCGTCCACGTCAATGGTCGCATAGTACGCCGCCGTCGTCGTGCCATGCGCCAGCGTCCGCTTCACGCAGGCTGTGTAGACGCGCTGGGCGCGCGCGAGGTCCTTGAGGGACGACTCGAGCGGGAAGGTGTACTTCTTTAGCCAGGCGAGGAGGGTGGATTTGCCAAAGATGCCGGCATTGGGGTATTGCGAGGCGTGAATGTGCGTGTCTTTCCTTGTCAGCTGGACTGTCTCTTGAACTCATGAAGGGGGGGTGTCTTACCGATGAAGCCTGGGAAGAAGAAGCCACCTGGTGGACTGCGTGTCACATTCACGCTGCTCTCATCCCAGCCCAGGGACGTGATCAAGGCTGACAAGTCCTTAGCAGGACCCTTTTTGGCAATGATGCCATTCTCGTCAATGAGAAGCACCGTCTCATGGGCATATTCAAGCTCGGCCTTTGTTTTGCTGTGGATAAAGGTGCCGACAAATGCTTGTCTGGTGAGGGCCATTGTGGGTGCCGGGTAGGTCAAAGAACGCAAACGGGGAGGGGACAGAAACGAGCGAAGTCCCGCGACGAGGGTGGCCTTCTTCTATAGAAAGGAGCGGATAGATGTTATGAGATAAGAGAAACACGCCCCTTTCTTGTCTGCTATTCCTATGGCAGTGTACAACGGACAGCGTAGTCAGAGACTCGGAGTAAAGTAGGTCGGGCGCGGGCGCCGCTTCCCCCACTCTTTAGCTCAACAAGATCGCGGTGCTCGCCGCCGGCCGAATCGCTCTCTCACGGACGACATTCACTTGACTTGGAGTCTTGGACAAATGCAGGGATGGATCAGCAGGAGATAAGAGCAAAGAAATTGTCATCATAACTACCAACAAGTCTGTCAAACGCCGCTCTAGGATCTATCAAATGCCCGCATATCATAACAACCATCATCTCGAACAACCCCAATGTCCGCTGCCGTATAAAATTGTCTCTTCTTCCCACTGCCCAGCCAGCTAGCCCTTACGCACCCCTCGCGGGGCCCTCGTAGTCGCCGCTGCTGCTCTCACTGCCAGCCTGCCCGTTGGGGCCGTCCTCCTGCGTGTACTTGTCCCAGTTGGCCAGCACCGCGCCGATCTTGGGCGAGTTGGTCAGCTTGTACACGTCCTCAAAGTACTCCTTGGTCAACGCAAACGGCTTGGCCGTCACGTTGGGAATGTACTTGCCCACCAGCTTGGACGGGTCAATGGTCGTCTTGTTGATCTTCTTCATCAGGAAGGATCGGAAGGGCTTGACGCCTGACCGCAAAAAGGTCGAGTGGAACGGCACGTCGATGCCCTTGAGAGGGATCGTCGCGAAGCCACGCTCCAGCTCCAGGGGCTGCGGCTTCTTGAGCGTCTTCTCGGCACACCCGCGCACAATCTCGCGCAGCGCGCCCTTGGCCTCCTCAATGTTGCTGCGCATCTCCTCAATGTCAATCTGCTGCATCTTGAGGAAGTTGGTCACGCCCGCCAGCGTGTCCAGCGCACGCAGGTCACCCGCGCACACGTACTGCATGTTGGCAATGTTGTAGTTGACAATCTCCAACAGCCAGCCCGTCTCGTCCGCAATGTTGCTCACCACAAACTCGAGAGCCTCCTCGGTGAAGCTCTTGGAGATGCGGCTCGGGTTTACCGCGCACATGGAGTAGTTGGACCGTCCACTCGCGTCACGCTCCACGGCTACCTGCATGGTCAGACCACGGTAGAAGACAACAGACACCAGACTCTCAATGGGCATGACGTCGGCCAGAGCGGCCAACGCAGAGTACTCGCCCAGCGAGTGGCCGGCGAATGTGCTGTCGCGAGGAACCAGACCCTTGGACTTCATGTCCTCGAAGCTGGCCTTCTCCATCAGCGTCAGCGCAGGCTGCGTGAACTGCGTCGCCGACAGGAGACCCGTGGGCGAGCGGTATGTGTACGAGGTCGTGCTCTCGCTGATCTCCTTGAAGATGCGCTCCGACTTGATGGAGCCGTCGGCCGCAACCGTCTCAAAGGTCATCGCCATGTAGTTCTGGCGGATGGCCTTACCGCGAGGGCCACCAAAGTGGATGGTAAGCTCCTTGGGGTTGTTCTTGACAATGTTGGTGATGGAGAAGCCGTAGTTGTCGAGCAGGTACTTGTCCGCGCGGTCCCACACCTCCTTGGCGACAGGACTGCTGGCGTACAGCTCCATGCCCATGCCCTGCTCCTGCGAGCCCTGGCCGGTGAAGACGTAGGCGGTCACGGGCTGCTCAATCTCAGCCTCGGCCAGGAGGACCTTGTCCTCGGTCTCCTTGTTGCTGGCCTCGATCTTGATGAGCTTGCGTCCAGAGACCATGCCAACATGCTGCAGCTTGACCTGAATGTCGTCGTTGGGCAGCACCATGCCTGTCAGCGAGGCGTGGAAGCTGCGGACGCGGCCAATGTTGTTCTCCGCCGCCCAGGTCTCGACGAGACTGCGGACGGCAGCGCTCGAGTACATGCCGTGCGTGATGGTGCCGGGCAGGGACGCGTAGCTGGAGAAGACGCGGGACACGTGGATGGGGTTGTAGTCGCCCGACACACGCGCGTACTTCTCGTTGGAGGCAGGGGCGCGGAGCTGCAGAGGCGTGCGGCCGCTCAGCGGGATGGCGTTCTCAAAGTTGAGGGGCTGGTCCAGAGGGCTGCCGTTGCGCTCCAGGTAGTCGAGCACAGGGTTGCCGTGTGACTCGCCCGCCTCGTAGTCGACGCTGGCCACCTGGATGACCTCCTTGGTGGGGAGCTCAAGCAGGACTTGACCGCGTGTCTCCACACTGCTGTAGACGTCCTTGTTCTTGAAGCGAACCAAGCTCTGCAGACGGAAGGTCAGGGTCTGACCGAGGAGCTCCATCTCGCTCGGCACCTCGTCAGCGTTGAACCACTGCTTGGAGCGGAGCACGGCGACATCGCGAGTGGTGGCGAGATGAACCTGGATGGGGGTCTCCACCTTGCGCTGGAACGTGTTCTCGTAGTCGGTGTACGTGCCGCGGTACAGGAACTGGGAGGTGACCTCCATGACGGGCTCGTTGTCACGGACGAGGGTACCGCAGACCTCCACCATCTTGCCAGATTCCTGGTTGATGATGGCGTTGATCTGAGCAGTCGTAGTGACCTCGTCACCCTTCTTGAGGGGCTCGGCACCCGGGATCATGCGGAACCCGTTGGACAGGTGAACCAGCTTGAGCAGGTCACCGTCAATGGTACGAGGGAAAATGGGCTTGGTGATCGCCTTCCAGCCCACGACAATAGCAAAGTCCATGGGGGCATAGACCGTCTTGCCGGGGCGGTCCACAAAGGCCTCGCCGGTGTTGCCAACGGCATGCACAAAGTCTTTAATGTCCTCGCCGGTGATGGTAGTCTTGCCACCGTCAAATTTGCTGGTGACAACGGCGTCAAGGTCAAGCACCTCGTTGCCGAACCACGCCCGCCAGTAGAATTCCTTGATGCGGTCGTTGCGACCTTCCATGACTTCGTGGATCGGAGCGTAGCCAGCCTCAGGGTTGTAGGTGAACTTGAGGGGCAGCGACACTGGCTCGCCCAGAGCAGTGGTATCCTTGACCAGGTTGACCTGGATCTCATTCTTGCCTACCAGCTTGACCTCGATGACAGTCACGTACTGGTTGTGGCGAGGCTGCTCCTTGACGATAATGCTCGTCCTGGATGGGTCGTTGGGGTGGTGAATCTCAACAAACAAGCCACGGGTAGGAGCAAAGATGCGTCGGAGAGGGTTGGTCTGGAACTTCTGGCCCTGCACAACCACGTCCGAGTTGAGAAGTGCGTGCCTCCAGTTGCGGTTGGGACCAGCCAAGAGGGTCAGCCAGGCGTCGAGCTCCGGCATCACGGCGGTCACCGAAGAGGAGAGGCGGTAGGTGTGCTTCTCAGCATCCTGGCTGACCGTCAAGCTGTCGATATCCAAAGGAACTTCGGACTCGACTAGCTTGCCACCAAAGTACTCAAGGGTGGGAATCGACGAGGCATCGCCATTGTAGTAGTCCCTGACGAGGAAGTCAATGTGGGCGTTCTGGATGCCGTCAAGAATATCCTTGATGGGCTCGTCAAGAACAGTAGAGAACTTGGCGGCAGTCGGTCCCTGAAGGATACAGGTACGACCAACGTCCTGGCCAATGACGGCGTCGAGATCCTCAGACTGCCACAGAGAATCCTTCTTGAAGAAGAACTCAAAGTTGTCATCCAGCGCGGGAATGAAGGTCACAGGCTTCTGACCAGGGCGCGAGCAGAGCAGCAAGAAATGCTGCACATCCTGAGCGTTGATGATCTGGGTGTCGGCCTCAGGGTAGTGGGAGAGGATACGGTCGACGGCTTCGTACGGCTCGTCGAGATCAGCGTAGCTCTGGAGCAGAGAAGGCTTGCTAGAGCCACTTGTGAAGCGCTCCTCGACGCGGTGGATGAAGTCACCAGTCAACCGAGCGAACGAAGGGTCGATCCAGCGAGACTGGTGCTTGACGTAGAGAAGGTCGACCAGGCGGCGAGCGACCTCGGCATAGGTCATGTCCTCGAGGTCGACTGCTTGACCAGCCTTGTTGCAGCCGAACCAGACCTTCTGGAAGTCATCATTCAGCTTCTTGATGATGTATTCGCGGTTCTTCTTGAGTTCAGGCACACGCTTCTCCTTGGGCAGGGCGAAGATCTTCTTATCCATCTCGGCCCAGAAGCGCACACCACGGGTAGCAAGCTTGTGGATAGGCTCACCCATCTCGGAGCGAACAGTGATGACACCACCGGCAGGGCCCTTGTATGTCTGTTCCCACTGGTCATCCTCCAGACCTGGAGCGTCGACAATTGCCTGCTTGGCACTCTTGCTCGTATGGGCCTCCTTGGCGACCATCATGCGGCTACCGAACAGGGTACCGTCAAATGGCATGGGGGGATAGCCGTACTTCTTAGACCACTCACCGGTGAGGTAAGGGTAGGTGTCATCGGCGCCACCGAAGCCACTGCCAGCAACAAGGATGATGTTCTCCTGGCGACGGATGCGACCATACATTTGCAGCACGGGCTGGTGGAAATCCTCAAAGGAATGGTGACCACCGCCACGGCCACCTGTCCATTGGAGAATGACAGGGAACGTGGGGTTCGCCTTGGCAATGTTGATGACGGACTGGATGGCATCACCTGATCCAGGCTTGAAGGAGATGTGCTTCAGACCAAGGGTCTCAATGTACTCCTGGGCGACCTCAATGGAAGGAACACCGGCACCGATCGTGAGACCTTCAATGGGCACACCCTCGGCACGCAGACGGCCAAGGAGGGGAATCTGCCAGCCCATTGCGCGGGGGTTCACGTAGATCAGGTTGACAGTGATACCACGACCAGCAGGGATGGCGCCCTCGATCTTGACCAGCGCCTCGGTCATGCGCTTGGCGTTGAAGTAACCACCACCGCCAAGCTCAATGTGGTAGCCGGCGTTCATGGTCGCAGCAACAAAGTCCCAAGGCACCGTGCACGGGGTCATACCGGCCACCATGACGGGGGCGATGCCAAGGAGTCGACTCATGCGAGTGTCGACATAGGTGGTGCCGCTCGATGTCTTGACCAGGCGAGGCTTGTATTCCTTCACCCAGTCAATGGCATACTTGACGGCGTGCTCCTCGTCCCTGTCGAAGATCTCTGGCTTGTACCCGACCTCTGTGATGGTTCCGTCGATGGAACCGGCGAGGATGACACGGACGCCAGTACCTTCCTTGTTACGGCTGGTCAAGACACCCAAGCCGGAGATACCGCCAGGGCCAAAGTCCAGGATATGGGTTGCCTCTTGGAAGACTGTAGCGGCTTCCCAATTGACGGGGTCGCGGGTGATAAGGCGGATCAGGCAAGGAACAATGTTGCCCTGGACCTGCTCACGGAGATCCCTGCCCGTGTTGGTGTCGAACACTGGGACGGCCAGGGCGGAAGCATCAATGCTGATGTTCTTGAGGTCCTCGTCAATCATAGCAGTTGCCTCAGACAGGTACTTGCTGTGGAAGGGGGCAGTGATGGGGAGGAACCGGTTCGAGAACCGGATCTTGCGCTCAGTGTAAGGGATCCTGGTCTGGTCCAGGCCTGTGGGCGCTTTAACCTTGCGCAACTGCGAGTTCAGACCGTATAGTGATGTGGGAGGGCCTGTGACGACCATGTTGCGCGGGCTGTTGACGAGGGAGATGCTGATGTGGCGATCAGCGGGAAGATACTGGTTGGTGGCATCAATGTGCTTTTGCACCTCTTCCCTGGACAAATCTCGGATGCTCAACATGGGCGTGGGTGTGCCCTCGCCATTGTCCTGCGACTCCTGAAGCATGGTAGGGGTCATGGAGGTGACGGGGAATGCCTGTTGGCTCCTGGCACCGATCCAGAACAAGATTGTGAGGGTCGATGCCACGATCTCGCGCCACGACTCCCAAGAGCCAGCAGCAGCAGTGGCAGCGGCCATGACGATACCCTGCGAATGACCGGTAGTACCGGCAGTCCTCTCGCGCAGGACTCCAGGGTCTACGCCGAGGACCTTGCAGGTGATTTCGTAGTGGGCCATCTGGACGAGACCGATCAGGGGAAAGCTGACGGGCGCGGAGATGAGATAATCAACATCGGGCGTCGAGTCTGGTGCATGGAGCCAGCTCATAATATCCAAGCCCTTGGCATAGATCTGCTCAGCACCTGGGTGGTTCGAGAGGCTCTGTAGTCGCTCGGCGGAGGCTGTGATGAGTTCGCTCACAAAGCTGGGGTAAGTTTTGTAAAGCTCGCGGAGCTCCTCAAAGTACTCCTCGATGTTGCCCTGGCCGCCAAAGATGGTGTAGACCTTTGCGGCTCCCTCATCAGCGGCTCTGAACAGCGCTGACTCGTGAGGTCGAATGTTTCTGTTGGACACAGCACGAGCCGCGTAGTAGCTGCGCACGACCTCAAGCTTTTTCGACTCGATGCCGGGAAGCGTGGCAGCTAGCGCATGCACCTCGTTGCCATGCAGGAAAGCGCGCTCGAACTCGTTCAGGACGATTTTGAGGACCTCCTCGTACGATCCCGAGTCATCGTCCTCGCCTTCCTCTACCTCGAAGGCAACGAAGCCCAGGTAGCGAGCAACGAGCTCGGCGACGGATGAAGGCTCATCATCTTGCGCAAGCTCGTCGGTGGCTGGTGGTAAGCTGGCGAGAAAGCGCTCTTTGAGCTGAGCTGCGTGGAAGTGCAGATTTGTGGGAATGAGGAAAGATGTGTCGAGAGACCCGTGGGAAAGAGTCAACGGTCGCAGCGAGGCGTTGGATCTGGGAGTAGAGATGCCCGTCTGGGGGCCAGTCCCGGTGCCGTACATGTTGGTTTGCGAGGAGGGGGGGTATCGTCAAGTCTGCGGGGAGAGGAACGGTCAGTGAAGGCGCAGGAGGAGGCTCGGGAAGGAATGCGCACCTCAATCGTATAGCACAGAGTGATCTTGGACGCTCCTTTCAGCCAAGGGAAAGGCGCAAAGTCGGTTCGTAACTCTGACAGGCCGCAATGGCTCGAAACACGCCCCGAAGATGGGTGAACCCGGGGGAATTAGTACAGGCAAAGAGGAATGGCAGCGTCTAGTCAAGTCCACCTCCCGTAGGTTTGGAGATGAGCTCTTGCACGCTGGTCTGAAGGAAGGAAGAATAGGAAAAATTAAAGAGACGATCTCGTGATGTTCATGGGAGATCTCTGGGGAGGGGAGGATGAGGTTGTGGTTGAGAGTGGCAGGATGACAAGCGGTGGGAAATTTTGGTGGAGGTTGATGGGTGGACCTGGCTAGGTGACGGAATAACCAGCACAGGCACCTTGCGCTTCAAGTGGCGTGTTGACCAGACCTTGACAACTGCTCTCGTCCCGGGTTGGACAAATTACGGCACCGGATGGGCTGGAACCATCCACATTAGCTTCATGATACAACTATCCGGAAACACCTCAGCGATGTATTAGACGACTTGCTGTAGCCACAGCAGCCGCAACGTACCGTTGGTGGCCGAAAAATCAGTTCTGTTGGGGATGGTTCGGTTGGCTGGCGAGAAAGAGGTGACCCCCTCCAGCTATTTTTTGGTGGCCGGTTGCAGCTCCACGGTCCACCAGGCTTCATCAGGGGTCCAGCGTCCACTGTGTGCATCCATCAATGTGGGCAGGGGGGGTTGGAGCTCCATTTTTCTCCCTCTCGGGTGTCTTTTTGGGGTCCGGACGAAGGGGTCTGTACCTGGCGCGTTCTACTGTAGGTAAGCATACTCGGGGTACCTACCAGTCAATGATTCGGTTCAAGTTCTAGGCTGGAGATAGAGGGGGGTCTCTGGCAGTCTTACATGTCCGAGTGTCTGCATCGAGGTGAGCATCACCAACTTCAAGCAGCTCAAATCTTACCTTGCACTGAGCGCTGTCTCCATCCCACTTGATGCAGTGGCAGCACACAGGGACCACGACCCACTAGGAGCTTATCGATAGGATTGCCTGCATCCTGCAATAGCCCGGTCCTGCGGGCGGACACACTGCAGTAAACCACTTTACCGATACATATCAACAAGTTGAACATCAACAATAGTGCACCCTCACTGTGCAGCTTGTGCTATTAAATTGCCAGGTCTCTAAAGAACTCTGCAGTTAAACTGGCTGACTGTCTTGAGATGCAGTATCAAGGCACTTCTGATAAGACCTTGACTACTGATAGCTCTCCCGGCTCTCAAGCTGTGAGGTTCCGAACCCTGGCAGGGGTGCGGCAGCCAGGGACTGGACCCAGACTCCGGAAGCCTCCCGTCATTACGCAGCTGCGGCGGTCTTCATGTTGGAGGCCACTGGTCAGCCCATCCGAGTTCTGGCTACGTATCTATTACAAGTAGATTCCAGAAAAGATGCTCACACCACCATCAGCTCGTGCCGTCCGGATAGTGATGCATGGCTTATCATGGACCGATAAGAAAACAGGTTCAATGAAGCATGAGCCCCTTTTGAGGGATGGGGGTTCACGATGATGCCCCAAAAAAACCCGACATCGATTCGGGATCCCGGGGAATGAGAAGCCTAGAAGGCACGCTCAAAGACACGCTTGACCTAAAAAATACTAGCGTCCCATATGGTTGAGAAGGGGTGCCACGGCTTTTGGAGGGGCATGCAGGCTGCGCAGGCCGCTGTCGCTCAGCGGGACACCACGGCCAGCTGCGGTCTGGAAGGCGGTGACGCCTGTTGAACTCGTTCAGGGTCGCGCCTGGCATGGGCGAATATTTTTCTGGTGGTGCTACAGCTCGCCAGACCGCCACCTGTGATTGGCTGGCCTCGTTCAACAATCAACTTTCATGCTCCACCGACTGGACCATCACCGGTTTGACTTGTCCTAACAATTCCGTACTGCCTCTGGGCGACCAACCTTGACTCGACCATTCCGTCGCCCACCTTCGTTCGTTTACTCCTACTCGAACTTCCTTCCCCTCCATAGTTCATCCCCCATCCTGTCAAGCTCTCGTCGGTGGTCGAACAGCACATACTTTCTTCACCTGTTGCTGGCGATTGCTCTTCTGTAATATCTGCTTTAATACCCGCCTATAATTCGACCACTACGGGCCTCGCATCCCCATTTCGCGAGTGCCATTGCGCTTCGCAGACAAGTCTCACCGAGGAGACCGTCTCCCCCGAGTGTCATTGAGTTGACAGCTCGTCACGAAAGCCCACTACGACTTCCTCAAACCCGAACGATCGATATCCTATAGTACCGCCATCATGCGTCCCGAAGTGGAGCAGGAACTGTCTCACACCCTGCTCATTGAGCTGCTGGCATATCAGTTCGCCTCGCCCGTGAGATGGATTGAGACCCAGGATGTCTTCCTAGCCGAGAAGACCGCTGAGCGCGTGGTCGAAATTGGTCCAGCTGACACCTTGGGTGTTATGGCCAAGCGCACGCTAGCCTCAAAGTATGAAGCCTACGATGCCGCAAAGTCCGTTCAACGTCAAATTTTGTGCTACAACAAGGATGTCAAAGAGATCTACTACGATGTTGATCCTATCGAGGAAGAGCCAGAGCCAGCGGAAGGTGCCCCGGCTGACGCTCCTGCTGCTGCTGCCTCCTCAGCAGCTGCTTCGGCCGCCGCAGCTGCGCCTCCGCCCCCTGGCGCAGGGCCAGCAGAAAAGGTACCAGACGAGCCTGTTCAGGCCGTCGACATTGTACGCGCTCTTATTGCGCAGAAGCTCAAGAAGCCTCTTCTTGAGGTGCCTCTGAGCAAGGCCATCAAGGATCTCGTGGGCGGTAAGCTGACTTGGTACCGACAATTCGAATCAGGACACTAACATGCACACAGGCAAGTCCACCCTCCAGAACGAGATTCTGGGTGATTTGGGCAAGGAATTTGGTTCTACCCCCGAAAAGCCCGAGGACACGCCTCTGGACGAACTCGGTGCGTCCATGCAAGCCACCTTCGACGGCAATCTGGGCAAGCAATCGCAATCGCTCATTGCGCGCCTGATTTCCTCCAAGATGCCTGGAGGGTTCAACATCACAACCGCCCGCAAGTACTTGGAAACAAGATGGGGCCTTGCTTCTGGACGTCAAGACGGTGTCCTGCTACTGGCATTGACCGCGGAGCCTGCCGCTCGTCTAGGCTCGGATGCTGACGCCAAGGCCTTCTTGGACGATATGGCCAACAAATACGCCGCCAATGCCGGCATCAGTCTCACAACGGCATCATCAGGAGCTTCCGCGGGAGGCTCGGGTGGCGGCATGATGATGGATCCCGCCGCGATCGATGCTCTCACCAAGGATCAAAGGGCTCTGTTCAAGCAGCAGCTTGAACTGTTTGCTCGCTATCTCAAGATCGACCTGCGTTCTGGAGACAAGGCGCACCTGGAGTCTCAAAAGTCGGAGAAGATTCTTCAAGCCCAGCTTGACTTGTGGACCACTGAGCACGGTGAATTCTACGCCTCAGGTATTGAGCCCGTTTTCAGTCCTCTCAAGGCTCGTACATACGATTCATCATGGAATTGGGCTCGCCAAGATGCTCTGAGCATGTACTACGACATCATCTTTGGCCGCCTCCAGGCCGTCGACCGCGAGATCGTGAGCCAGTGCATTCGCATCATGAACCGCTCCAACCCCAAGCTGTTGGACTTCATGCAGTATCATATCGACAACTGTCCCACTGAGCGCGGCGAGACTTACAAGCTTGCCAAGGAGCTCGGGCAGATGCTGATTGAGAACTGCAAGGATGTTCTCAATGTTTCTCCTGTGTATAAAGATGTTGCTGTCCCCACCGGCCCTCGCACGACTGTGGACGCGCGTGGCAACATGAACTTTGAGGAGGCCCCCCGTGCGAGCTGCCGTAAGCTCGAGCATTACGTTCAGCAGATGGCTGAGGGTGGCAAGATCTCCGAGTACGGCAACCGCACCAAGGTGCAGAACGACCTCCAGCGCATCTATAAGCTCATCAAGCAGCAACACAAGATGTCCAAAACCTCGCAATTGGAGATCAAAAGTCTGTACGGTGACGTTCTCCGCTCGCTCTCGATGAATGAGAGCCAGATCCTCCAGGAGAAGAACGGCAAGAGCAGGAAGATCAAGGGTGTCACCAACAACAAGGGCAAGGTCGAGACTATCCCATTCCTGCATCTCAAGAAGAAGGGTCTTCACGGCTGGGACTACAGCAAGAGGCTTACTGCCTCATACCTCAACTGCTTGGAGGATGCCGCCAAATCTGGCGTTTCCTACTCTGGCAAGCACGTCCTCATGACTGGTGCCGGCGCTGGCTCCATTGGTGCAGAGGTCCTCCAGGGCCTCGTCAGCGGTGGTGCCAAGGTTGTTGTCACCACTAGTCGCTTCTCCCGCGAAGTCACCGAGTACTACCAGTCCATGTACTCGCGTTACGGCTCTCGCGGCTCGCAGATCGTCGTTGTGCCCTTCAACCAAGGTAGCAAGCAGGATGTTGAGGCCTTGGTTGAGTACATCTACGATTCCAAGACTGGTCTTGGATGGGACCTTGACTTCATCGTCCCCTTTGCTGCCATTTCCGAGAACGGCCGCCAGATTGACAGCATTGACTCGCGCTCCGAGCTGGCGCATCGCATCATGCTGACCAACTTGATCCGCCTTCTCGGTGCCGTCAAGGCTCAGAAGACGGAGCGCGGCTTTGAGACTCGTCCTGCCCAGGTTGTCTTGCCACTGTCCCCCAACCACGGCACTTTCGGTAACGATGGTCTGTACTCTGAGTCGAAGCTTGCTCTGGAGACGCTCTTCAACCGTTGGTACTCCGAGAGCTGGGCCAACTACCTCACCATCTGCGGTGCTGTCATTGGCTGGACCCGTGGTACCGGTCTTATGTCTGGCAACAACATTGTAGCGGAAGGTGTCGAGGCCTTTGGAGTCCGTACCTTTTCGCAACAGGAGATGGCCTTCAACTTGCTCGGTCTCATGTCGCCAGCTATTGTTGACCTTTGCCAGGTTGAGCCAGTATTTGCTGATCTCAACGGTGGCCTGCAGTTCATTCCCAACCTGAACGAGGCCATGACCAAGCTCCGCAAGGATATCATGGAGACAAGCGAGGTCCGCAAGGCTGTCACCAAGGAGAGCGCCATCGAGAACACCATTGTACACGGCGCCGATTCCGAGATGCTGTACAAGAAGAAGACCATTGACCCCCGCGCCAACATCAAGTTCGACTTCCCTCCTCTGCCTGACTGGAAGACCGAGGTCGCTCCTCACAACGAGACCCTGAAGGGTATGGTTGACTTGGAAAAGGTTGTGGTTGTTACTGGTTTTGCTGAAGTTGGCCCTTGGGGTAACTCGCGCACCCGTTGGGAAATGGAAGCCTATGGCGAGTTCTCCCTCGAGGGTTGCGTCGAAATGGCTTGGATCATGGGCCTCATCAAGAACCACAATGGTCCCATCAAGGGTAAGCCTTATGCTGGCTGGGTCGATGCCAAGTCTGGCGAGCCAGTCGACGACAAGGATATCAAGCAGAAGTACGAGAAGTATATTCTCGAGCACTCTGGTATCCGTCTGATCGAGCCTGAGCTGTTCGATGGTTACGACCCCAACAACAAGCAGCTACTGCATGAGGTTGTTATCGAGGAGGATCTCGAGCCTTTTGAGGCTTCCAAGGAGACCGCCGACGAGTTCAGGCGCGAGCATGGCGACAAGGTCGAGGTCTTTGAGATCCCTGAGAGCGGCGAGTACACCATCCGCCTCAAGAAGGGAGCTGCCCTTTGGATCCCCAAGGCCCTTCGTTTCGACCGCCTGGTCGCCGGACAGATCCCCACTGGCTGGGATGCCAAGCGCTACGGTATCCCCGAGGACATCATCTCCCAGGTGGACCCAGTCTCCCTGTTCCTCCTGGTCTCCACTGCTGAGGCCCTACTGTCCAGCGGTATTACCGATCCTTATGAGTTCTACAAGTACGTCCACGTGTCGGAAGTCGGCAACTGTGTCGGTTCCGGTATGGGTGGTGCTGCTGCACTACGTGGTATGCACAAGGACCGCTTCCTGGACAAGCCTCTGCAGAACGATATTCTCCAGGAGTCCTTCATCAACACCATGGCTGCCTGGGTTAACATGCTGCTGCTCTCCTCCTCGGGTCCCATCAAGACCCCCGTCGGTGCCTGCGCCACTGCCGTTGAGTCCGTGGACATTGGCTACGAGACCATCATGGAAGGCAAGGCCCGCGTCTGCCTGGTCGGCGGTTTCGATGACTTTGGCGAGGAGGGTTCGTACGAGTTCGCCAACATGAAGGCAACCAGCAACACAGTCGACGAGTTTGCGCATGGCCGTACTCCCAAGGAGATGTCGCGTCCCACCACCACTACCAGGAACGGTTTCATGGAGTCGCAGGGCTGCGGTATGCAGGTCATCATGACTGCCAAGCTTGCCTTGGACATGGGTGTCCCCATCCATGGTATCCTTGCCCTGACCACGACTGCCTCTGACAAGATCGGTCGTTCAGTGCCCGCTCCCGGTCAAGGTGTGCTGACCACTGCCCGTGAGCACGCCGGCAAGTTCCCCTCGCCTCTGCTCGACATCAACTACCGCCGCCGCCAAATCGAGCGCCGCAAGAAGAACATCAAGCAGTGGCAAGAGGACGAGCTTGAGTATGTGTGGGATGAGGTCCAGGCTATGAAGGCCCAGGGCGCCGACTTTGATGAGTCTGAGTACGCACAGGACCGCATTGCCCACATTGAGAAGGAGGCGGCCCGTCAAGAGAAGGAGTTGCTGCGCAGCATGGGCAACAACTTCTGGAAGAGTGATCCTAGCATCGCGCCGTTGCGTGGTGCGCTTGCTACATGGGGTCTGACAATTGACGACCTCGATGTCGCCTCCTTCCACGGTACCTCTACCAAGGCGAACGACAAGAACGAGTCATCGGTTATTTGCCAACAACTCCGTCATCTTGGTCGCTCCAAGGGTAACGCAGTGATGGGTATCTTCCAGAAGTACCTGACTGGTCACCCCAAGGGTGCTGCTGGCGCCTGGATGATGAACGGCTGCCTGCAAGTGCTCAACTCTGGTATTGTACCAGGCAACCGCAATGCCGACAACGTCGACCCCATCATGGAGGACTTTGACCTTATCGTCTACCCGAGCCGCACCCTCCAGACCGACGGCATCAAGGCCTTCTCCGTCACCTCTTTCGGTTTCGGTCAGAAGGGCGCGCAGGCCATCGGCATCCACCCCAAGTACCTCTTTGCCACGCTTGACGAGGCAACGTACAGCTCGTACTGCGCCAAGGTTGATGCTCGTCAGAAGAAGGCTTATCGCTACTTCCACAACGGCTTGATCAACAACACGCTCTTCGTTGCCAAGGCCAACTCGCCTTATAATGATCAGCAGCTCAGCAGCGTCTTGCTTAACCCCGATGCCAGGGTATCCAAGGATGCCAAGTCATCTGAGCTTACATTCGCCTCCAACTTCATGAAGCAGTCCGAGAAGCAGGTCACGTCGGCTCGTGCGAGCGAGACCCAGCAGGTCATGGAGGCACTAGCACAGAAGGTTACCAACAAGAACAGCCAGGTTGGTGTTGATGTCGAGGACATCTCCTCGATCAACATCGACAACGAGACGTTTGTGGAGCGCAACTTCACTGCCAACGAGATTGCCTACTGCCAGAAGGCGCCCAGCCCCCAGAGCTCGTTTGCTGGCAGGTGGAGTGCCAAGGAGGCTGTGTTCAAGTCTCTGGGTGTTGCCAGCAAGGGCGCTGGTGCCGCCATGAAGGAGATTGAGATTCTCAAGGACGATGAGACTGGTGCACCAATGGTCCGCGTAAGTTCTCTTCACTAGCTCATGACGGGGAATCCCACTAACAGTGCTTAGCTCCGTGGTGAGGCTGCTGCCGCCGCCAAGAAGGCTGGTGTTCAAGACATTACGCTTTCCATCTCTCACTCGGATAGTCAGGCTATTGCTGTGGCTGTCGCCAACTTTTAGACACTGCGTTTCGGGGGGCTAGATGTATACAAATGATAGATTTAGGGGGGTTTCTCTGGTGTGGCGTTCCGCGAACTGGTTGTGTTGAGGACAGAAGGCGATGTACTGGTTCACAAGCATCTGATCTACGCCGATGTAATTACGCAGCATGAGGAGGAAAGCGATTTTATAGATTCCACGTTCTAAAGCTTCCTGTGCTTGACGCTTTGTGCCCTGGATGATTTGTTTTGCAAAACCTCCCCCGACAAGAGCCTTGCCGGTTCGCCAGCCTATTTGAGGCTCGAAACAGCAGACACGCTGCTCCCTCGCCGGTATACCACATGCGATAGCGGCGGTTCGTCCACATGTGCCTGTCACCGGGGTATGGCTCGAATCCTATTGTGAACTCGTGTCGCTCATTGTCCCCTGCCACCTCGTCCTCGCCCACGGCCGCCACCACGACCACGTCCACCTCTGTCGCCACCGCCGCGACCGCCGTGATCCCCTCTTGACTGACCGCCGCCTCTGCCGCCTCGGAAACCGCCGGATTGGTTTTTCTGTTGTTCGCTCACAATGTCGACAATTTCGTCGGGCACCCGAAGGTATTTGATCTGGGGCACACAGCGTTAGTCTCCAGCGCCATTGATTGTCCAGTCGTTGAGCATGGTTGCGCACATTGTTGCCTTTGACGTATACTTCTGGTAACCGCACAAACTTGTCGCCCTCCTGGTCTCGTGTCAGTAGCTGCCGCTTCCCAGAAAGACATGGGGTCAACGCACGGGACTTGTTTGCACGACTTCTTTGAGCGTCAGGTTCATCCAGTTGTCGCAGTTAACGAGGTGACCGTTCAGCGTCTCGCCATTCTTCAGCTCCACGAGCATCGGGTGCCCTTGGGCTGCGTTGAGTAGACCGAGGGGTAACTATGCGCGACGCTGGTCAGCTTCCGGGCTGTGCTTGCTCTGAGGCGCATGCGCGATTGGTCTCGTACCATGTTCGATTTGCCCAGCAGCTTGTGTGGCGTGCGCTGGAGCTTTCGGTTTGGGGTGTGGGCGAGAGTGGAAGGTGATGATGTCTTTGGCTTGATGGACTTGGGACCGTGTTTGCGTTGAGGACCCCGCCATGTGCATCGCCCCGCTTGTAGATACTACACTTGACTTACCCTGTAGCCATTAGTGCGACGATTTCGAGCGGAAGGCTTCCGCACAGCTTGCTCATTGCAACCACCTGGAAATTTGAGGAAACGCGCGAACGAACTCCTGCTCAGATCTCCCTCCCATCAGGTCACTCTCTGTTGGTGTACACGCACGCGATGAGAGGCGCACAGGTGGTCAATGATGGCTTATGGCGCTGTCTTTGCCCTTCCTTCGACCAGAGATTGCTCCAGACCTCTGTGCGATCCTTTACGACGCGACGATATGCTCGAAATTCGACGCAACACACAGCGCGACGACCATGGACGCAACAGCGCCATGTAGCGAAGCAACTGTACTCCACAGCCGCTTCTGTGGAAACGAACTCGGGTGAACATGCAGATCAACCGCCTACAACGCAGCAGCCTGCCGAGACCTTGGAGCCATCTGGATCCGAGAACCAACAAGAGCCGTTGCCCGTCGAACGGGTCGAAGACCCTTCTGCCATCAAGGTGCTCCTGAAGGTGAAGAGGCTGTTCCCCGACGAGCTCTGCGAGTCTTCGGTTGACGACATCCTTGGTGCACTGGAACGATTGCGGAAAAGACCAGATATGGAACGCTTCAGCAGCCAGGACATACCAAGCCAGGCCGTCAATCGACATGAGCGCACCATGAAGCTCATTACACATCTCATCCAGCGACGGAAGTATCCTCCGTCCTTGTTCATATATGAGTGCGTCATGGACGCCATGGTGGAGGCCCAGGTTTCCACGTTTGCGGTACGCAAGCTGCTCAAGGAGATGGAGCGTAACGACATTCCGCCATCCGAGTACCTGCTCAACAGCGTCTTGCTGTTTCTGACAATACATCCGGACTATGCGTTGCGGTCGCAAGTGCTCGACACCTTGGAGCGCCAATGGCATGCGATCAGTGACGATGCGCGTGCCTACGTGCTTGTTGCGATGCTGCGCGAGGGACAGTTTGAGCTCGCCTACGATGGCTTCGTCTCGGACCTGGAATCGGGCAAGACCTTTGAGCCCTGGGTCTATGACATCTTCGTCGTCGTGTTTGGGCACGAGGGCTTCCTGGACGAGATGCTGGACTTGGCTGCCAAACGCAGGGCCATTACCGCGCAGGACGATGCAGGCACTTTCAATCTGCTCTACTTTACCCTCGATGTGTGCAGTAGCGCCTCGCACTACTCAGGCACGGTCTGGTCCTGGTTGGCTGGGATGAAGGACGACAAGACGGTGCCTTCGGATGGTATGTTGGAGAACGTGCTCGCTACGGCAGCCAGACATGGAGATGCAACACTCGCAGCCGAGGTACACAGCATGATCTCGAGACGCACCCGCATCCACATCCACCACTACGACGCGCTTGTCGAGGCCTTTGCCGGGAGTCAGAATGTTGAGGGTGTCCTGCGCGTGATGGAGATTATGCACGACAATGGCCTGCCGATCTCACGGAAAACCGCCTTGCCACTGACAGAGCTCCTTTGCGCTCAGCCCAAGCTGATCCCAGAGGTGGAAGATGTCATGCGGGAGATTGCACAGAAGCGCGACAGCGGTCGCATTGCTGGGGATATCGTCGACCTCGTGCTTGAAGCCAAGGCCAAATCCACAGGGGCCGAATCGGCTATCGCGCTGTACGAAGAGGCCTTGGCATTGACAGGGCGCAAGCCCTCTGTGGCAACGATTCAAGACATGATTGTCTACAGCAAAGAGGAGGAGTGTAGGTCTCGCTTCCTGGACGACTACAAAAGCCGCGCGACAGAGTTGTCGGGCTCCAAGATATGGCGCAAGAGCCACGCGGTCAAGCTGTTGCAAGCCTTCCTCAAGCACGGAGACCTCGATCTGACATTCTCGCATCTCAACAACTGGCTGGAGCACAAGACAACTAGCGAACCCGATCTCCCTGCGCACTCGCTGCGTCTCCTGACGCATGCTGCATCCGAAGCGCATGACAGGAGGATAGTGGTCACGTATGACCACTACCGTCGCCTCGGGAACCAAGATGCCTTGGAGATCATCAAAGCGACCGTCGACAGAGTCAAGCCGCAAAAGCCAGAAACATTTCAAGACGGAGAGCCAAGTCTATGAAGTGTTCTGCCATATGGAGTGGGCCATAGCTCATCCTCGTCAAGAGAGCGCTTAGACCTGAAACGGGCCTACAACGATGGAGCTCATCTTCGGTCGATAGGGCTGCCATGTGCATGACACCTTGGGGCTGTTTCTTCAAAGACCTATCTCCGGCGCTCCTTCCGCTGGCTGATTATTGAGCAATATGTGGATCGGCCTGCGGGCGGCACCTGTACATAATCCAAGTGGGCCGAAGGTTCCGGCATTTGAGGCTTTGTGCTATAATATTATTTGGCGAATGACAATTGATCTTGGGGAGTCATAGTTCTCGCACGTCAGAGCCAAGCGGGACATTTATGCCATGTTTTGCTTGCAATTGTCAGCATCCCTATCGGGCGATTCGTGCACATAAAAGTCGAGCATTACACTCGGGCTCATTGTCATGGACAGATTACCACGTGGTCAGGCTTTGACTGTGCGAACTGCGCTACTGTATCTCAGAATCATCTAAATGATGAGGACTGGTTTCCTACGGCAGAGGCGGAACCTCTCCCAAGATACGTGTTGGTGACAGCAACTCACCGGCATAGAGTCATCATGGTCAGCCCTAGTCCCCGAGCCCAACATGAAGCTACAGGTCCGTGTCGCTTGCCGACGCAGATTGTTTCTTCTACGGGAGCTTGGTAAGCTTCGGAGTTTGTTATAGTCTTTTAGTCCACCCCACAGGACCATGGCGGTTGCAACATATGGTTAAGCCCAAGAGCTCAATCGTCCGATAGGTCCGATTCCGAAGGAACTGCCAGGAGCCTCGAACTCTGCAGAGCTTATGCCGAATATTAATCAATGATCAATTAATAAGCGTCATGTTCCGCGCAAAGGTAGACGGCTCTTCGCTATAGGTGGTCTTGGAACGGGCGGCAGGCTGAAGCATATATAATACTCCTGTTCTGCACTCCGTCCTATGCAGATACGTATCAAAGACAGAAGTCTACTTGAGCTGTTGACGCCTTCTCTCACGTACAATTACGGACATATGGTATCTGCTTGAACAGCTCATTGCTCTTCCAAGATACGACGCCTTGTCTGGACCACCGCCACAATGACAATCGCAGATCTTGTTCGAGAAGCCCCTTTTGGGCAGCTTGTTCGCTTCCTCACAAAGGACAAGTACTTTCAATATCCTGAGGAGAAGCCTGGATTCCAACTCCCCGAGTGCTGGGTCGATCTCATGAACAACCCAGATCTACCACTTCCCTCCCCTAACCAAGAGCGCTCGTTGTCCGCGGACGACACTGAGCACAAGCGTCGGCCTGATATCGAGAACCCGAGCCCAAGCAACAATAATGAGAAGACCGAGTCGTCAGAAGGTGATCAATCGACCCCCTCTGGCCCAATTCAACCCCAGCAACAACAAGAGCAAGAAGGGGGGGATGAACCTACGCCCCTGGAACAAAGGACGAGCCGCCTTAGTCTACGCCGCACCGCAACGAGCGTCTCTTCGCGGCAGTTTACCAGCGAGCGTCTCCGGGAGGAAGAGATACAGGCGCTGGAGAGGACAGAGACGATCCCCATCGTGCCAAAACGAACCCGCGACGGCGCCATCCTGGTGGACTGGTACTATAGCGACGACGTCGCCAACCCGCACAACTGGAGCAATCGCAAGCGTGCGGCTGTGACGACCATCATCTGTCTCTACACGTTTGTCGTGTACACGTCATCGGCCATCTACACCTCCTCCGAGCCCGAGATCCAGCGCGTCTTTGGCGTGAGCAAAGTCAAGGCGGCTCTCGGCCTGTCTCTGTACGTTCTGGGATACGGCGTAGGTCCGCTCATCTTCTCGCCCCTGAGCGAGATTCCCATCATAGGACGCAACCCAATCTACATGTCGACCATGTGGCTGTTTGTCATCCTGACCATCCCCACGGCGTTTGCGCAGAACTACGCTGGCCTCATGGTGCTGCGTTTCCTGACGGGCTTCTTTGGCTCGCCTTGTCTGGCCTCGGGCGGTGCCAGCATGGGCGACATGTACAGCCTCATCTCCCTCCCCTATGCGCTCATGGCTTGGGTCGCGGCAGCCTACTGTGGACGTACGTATTGGCATCGCGAGGCGCCTCCCCTTCCATCCGGCCTTTGGCTAACTATCATATAGCCGCCCTCGGTCCTCTGCTCTCTGGCTTCGCCGTCCCCGCCAAGTCCTGGCGCTGGTCCCTCTTCGAGTCCATCTGGGCCGCCGCCCCCATCGCCATCGTCATGTTCTTCTTCCTCCCCGAGACGAGCACGCCCAACCTCCTGCTCCGTCGCGCGAAGCGTCTCCGCAAGCTCACGGGGAACCAGCGCTTCATGTCGCAGAGCGAGATTGACCAGCGCAACATGCGCTTCCGGCACGTCCTCGTCGACGCCATCATCAAGCCCATGGAGATCACCATCAAGGATCCCGCCGTCCTCTTCGTCCAGGTCTACACCGCCATCATCTACGGCATCTACTACTCCTTCTTCGAGGTCTTCCCCCTCGTCTACCCCGTCTACTACGGCATGAACCTCGGCGAGATTGGCCTCGTCTTCCTCTGCATCCTCGTCTCGTGCGCCCTCGGCATCGCCATCTACGGCGGCTACCTGTACTTTCACCAGAACCCCCAGATCGTCCGCTACGGCATGCCCGCCCAGGAGGCCCGTCTCATCCCGGCGCTGCCCGCCTCGTTCGGTCCCACCATCGGCCTGTTCCTGTTCGCCTGGACCTCCCGCGCCAGCATCCACTGGATCGTCCCCACGATTGGCATCACCATCTACGGTGCCACCGTCTTCATCGTCATGCAGTGCATATTCGTCTACATCCCCCTCAGCTACCCGCAGTACGCAGCCAGTCTTTTCGCAGGCAACGACTTCTTCCGGAGCGCCCTCGCCGCCGGCAGCATTCTGTTCGCGGAGCCCCTTTTCCACAACCTCGGCGTGGCCAAAGGCACCAGTCTGCTGGGTGGGCTGAGTGTGATTGGTATCATCGGTATCTGGCTGCTGTACTACTATGGCGCTACCCTCCGCTCCAGGAGCAAGTTTGCCATTTCGTCGACGGAGACCTTTTAGGCGATGGTCAGGTTATTAATGATGGGATGATTCACGAGAGGCCCTCGCACGTCAGGGTCCGACATCGTCTCGTTCCGTCAGAAGTGTGGTGCATCGGCAGAACAACTAATTGGATATCTTGGCGATTAAATAGCTATTACTCTTCTTGTTAGACAACATGTATAGTCAGCCAGCCGGCCAGGTTCCCTTCAATCCTCACGTCCGTCCCCAAGTTCTGTACAATGAAAACTCTCCTCGCTCATTTGGGTACTCTCATCGTCATGGATAGAACCAACGCACTCGCTCGACAATCAAAGTTATAGATGTAGACTCAGACCCACCCTGAGCCATCGGATCCGTAGTTATTCTCCGATCCACCAAAGTAACTCCAAGACCCCTGGCTGCCTACTTGCTGCTGCTGCTGGTGGCCTGGTTGTGTTTGGGTGGCGTAGCCTGCGCGCCCGCGGTTCTGAGCGTTGGCCCGCATGTCAAAGTTGCTCAGAGAGGCCGAGTCGGTGGTGGGCTGCCCGTAAGAGCCCGAGCCGCCGAACCCGCTCGCTCGGTCATGTGGTTGCGAAGATCGACTCGAGTCAGACCATGGCCCGGCTGTCGATCCTTGGCTGTTGTACGTAGGGGCCATGGTGGTGGCAGCGTTCATAGACATTGTCGTGGCGCCACCTCGACCCATATCAAACGGAGGGTAGGACGTCGATGTAGTTGCTGCCGTGGTGCGCTCTTGTTGCGAGTATGGCTCATATGCAATGCGGTGGCTGGCATCGTTTGCAGCTGCATTGTTGCCTACATACCGACCATAATCGTTGTATGCTGACGAGGCTACCAGGTCATTATTCGGCGGCGGCGCAGCTTGCTGGATTGGTTGAGTAGCCCCAGGTGGTGGGTACGCACGACTCAAAGCATCGGCGTTGGGGGTCCTGCTTTGGGCTCTCTGGCCTTGTTGAGACATGGCACGTTGCTGTTGCTGCGCTTGGAAAGGCGATCGCCGCGCCTGTGCCTGTATGGCGGCCATCATCTGAGGCGACTGCTGGGGTTGTGCTGGCGTGGCGCTGTTGCTGTGGGCAGGCTGCGCTGCATTGTCTCGCAGTTGTGGCGAGTTCGTTGACATGCGTGTGTTCGATTGCCTGGCTTGTTGCTGTCCTCCCATGGCTTGCTGCGCCAGACTTGGTGACATTGTGCTGTTGTTATTGTTCTTGTTGTTGCTGTTGTTACCAGTGGCCGCGTTGTTCCCAGCCATCCAATTTGAACCGCTGCCAACAGCTGCTGCCCCATGGCCGCCCGAGCCTTGCGGCAAGCTTTGTCGGGAGGAGCTGCCAGCAGATGTCTTGAGACGGTGACGGCCCTTCCCTGGCGACGCCGTCTTTGCAGAAGCCATCACGTTGCCTGAGGTGGTGTTCAATGATGATTCAGGCAAGGTGGGATTAGCACTCTGTGCCATGTTCAAGTTCGCCCCAGAATCAAAATAACCCTGCTGGTCGTGGCCGTGATGACGATCCACGCTCGGCGTCAACATATCAGCTACTGGCATTTGGTTGTAAGAAGACGCATCAGCTGCCGCGACCGCAGCATGTGAAGCGTCGCCTTGTTGACGGCTCCCATCAGTGCCAGCGTGCTCGGCAATATTAGTCTCATCGCCCCCCTCCTCGTCTTCTTCGTCATCCTCGTCTTCTCCTTCCTCGATGGTGATCACGGGTCCTGATTTTCTGGAGACCGGCTTCTGAGGTGGATATTCGCATGGCTGTCCCTCTGATAGACACTCTGAGCAGCTCGGCCGCTCCTTGGGGCATTTGACTCTCCGGGTCTTGCAAGAAAGGCACGATAGTCTCGACTTGCCCAATTTTCTCTGGGACTTTGAAGGCGTCTCGTTAGATCCGTGCACCGTAGTCTGGTCGCCATTAGCTGCCTTGGGTGTCGGTTTGCTCTTGCGGCCGCTCTTTGTGGTTTTGGCATCAGGGGCCAGCTCTTTGCTGGTCGTTGGTCCACTGGGTGTGGCCTGCTGCGCCTGCTCAGTGCTGCCGTCTGAAGACGGCTTGTCCTTGTTGCTTGGGTGAATGATCTGCAACCTTTCTGCACCATACTTTGCCAGCATCTGCACAGAGTCCTGTTGTAAGGCTGGCGATTGGTTACTAAAGATGTTCATCTGGTCAACTGACAGCGAGTCAGGATTGACACCATGATCCGACAAAAGCTTCCTAGCAATGGCCAACCGTCGCGCAGCTTCCTCAGGGGATATGTTGAATGGCAACAAGCCTGTCGCTGGCGCAGGCGGTGCTGCTTGTGAAGACTGCGCATAGCTACCCCAGTTCTGGTCGCCTTGCTCGTTCGGCATCTGCGCCCCAGGATAGTCTGGCGGCATGACGGCTTCTCCGGCTGGGCCTGCCGCAGACTCCTCAGCAGCCTTCTTCTTCTTCTTCTTCTTCTTCTTCTTGTGACGCTTCTTAGGCCGCTCGCCGTCGGCACCAGCCTCTCCCTCGGCTGGAGCACCACGCTTCTTCTTCCGTCGTGTCTCCTGGCCCTCGCCCCTTGGCTCCCTCGGTGTCTTTTGCTTCAGCTTCTTCTTCTGTTCCTTAGCTTGAAGCTTTTGCTGTTGCTGACGCTCGTAGCCAGGTCCAAACACTCTCTCGGGGGTCGGGTAGACCTTGCTGAGCTCTTCCACAGTCTTGTGGAGGAGCGTATGGTCGTACTTCACACTGATGCATCCATTGTTCCGATTGAAAGCTATCGTGATCGAGCCGCGGCAGTCAAACGCAGGACGGCTCATCAGGACTGGGTCGGGTTCGCGCAGGGTACAGTCTCCAATGACAGCCGTTGTAGGATTCTTCGCATTCTGTCGGGTCCAGTGCTGGAGTGAAGCTTTGCAGATGTAACTGAATGTCCAGCCGCTTGAGCCCCTCGAAAGATCTCGCAACATCCAAGTGCTGTGATCGCGTGAACTGAGAGCTCCGATTATGTGCTTCGCTACCGCCCGCTGCAACACCGGGTTGTCGGATTGATTCATGATCGTTTCGCTTGCTTGCACTAGGCGCGTCGTGGTTCCCCCAGTCGGGTCTGCAGACAGGGTAGCTGAGCGCACGCCTCCCAACGATGGATCGACGCTGTTTAGACCCTCCAACGCATCGTTTTCGCTCTCTGTCAGACTCAAATCGAATTGCGCCGAGCTGCTGAGCTCCAAATTCGAGGTGACGTGGTCTGCTCGGGTCTCGTTCGTGTTCTCGTCAAGAATCGCTTGCAGCTTGTCGGCAAGCTCGTCGGCCGACGCGCATTGTTTCTTCTTGGAAGGTTTGGCGCTCGTGTCGGTGCTGACTCCGAAACTAGCCAAAAAGTCTGCCATTTTCACCGGCGACGGCGACTCGACTCCAGAAGAACTGCGTGGTGTTCGCGCGTCAGCTCCGAGCTGGACTGCGCGTCTCGCCCGACGCAACAGACCCTCGAGATACCTCGCGGACCCAGGCTCCTGTCCAGGTGACTGAGTCGATCGGCGCGACGAGGTTCCCGCTGGCGTGAATGGCTCACAAAGGCGACTGCAATCGTCGGTGGACGCGACCAGGCGGTGTTGTGGAGTGATTGGGGGGGCAGGCGGCGTGGCGCATAGCGCCTTCCTCTTGGGTGTGCTTCCCTCGCTTCTGGATGACGGCGTGAGCATTTCAAGTTGGGATGTGCACATGAAAGAGGAAGGAATGAGGCGACAGAGTCTTCTTAATTTGTTCAAAGACTGCCTATAGATTCGCATTTTGCACACGATATCAGCTTAAAGCGTGAAGTGACAGGCAAGTGAGGACAGCCTTGACCACGCGAACCTCAGATGCAGCTGACGGGCTCGCTCGCCGTCGAACCAGGTACAGTGACAGTGCATTGTAAAGTATGAGTATTGCTTCTTGGAGGCTCTGAGCTTCTCGCATAGCCATTTATCACAACCTGCCATGAGCTGTGACTATGGCAGTCGCCAGTGCAAACACCAGCGGAACTCAGTCGAGCAGCGAAAATAAACGTTTGGGGTATATAGACTTTACTTTGGCTGAACCTTCCATCAAACAATAGGCACGATGGCCGAGTGGTTAAGGCGTTCGGCTGCTATTAAGCAAATCAACCGGATGGGTTCGCCCGCGCGTGTTCGAATCACGTTCGTGTCGTTTCTTTTTGCTGTTTTGCCTCCTGGGGCATAGACGGTGTACAAGTACAACGTCATTTTAATTTTTGGGATGCAGCAGTGCCTTGTTCCTTCGACTAAAAGTTCACCAAACTCCAAACCTTTGTTTCCTACCAGGTCCGTTAGCTAGTTGCCCGTTGTCCTCTCCTAGAGCAAGATACTTCAGCCGACTATAATATTGCAAGTGAGCTTGCTTAGGATACAACAGATGCCCTGCCTTTCTGCCCTGTCTTATAGGATGTGTGGTTCATTGGGGTCTCTTTCACGGAAAGTGAGTTGCATCTGATAGTCTACATACATGTGGATTCAATGAAGTCCTCCATCTCCAGATACTACGCTGGAAGCAACAGGCCAAAGTTATTGTAGAACAGTGCAAGATAGTTCAGTGAAAAAGAACATGATGACAGCTTGAAAAATGAATTTGTCGATCTCAACTGAATGCCATGATACTCGCAGCCTGTTGCCCATTGCCTAGTACTCCAACAGCTATGCTATCCTCGAGGTCGTTTCCACGTCAATCAACCCTGCTCCATGGTAGTAGATTGCTACAACAGCCGGGGAAGGATCCGAGAAAGTCTAGGTTTCAACGGACATCTGAGCATGCCTCGATTCGACAAGAGGGCATGAACAGTAACCCTTTCCCATGAAGACATTAGGCTTCCAGCTGCCTGTTCACTTGCGTGATGACGGATTCCAGATTGCTCTTAGTTGGTTGCCCGACTCACATCCTTGTCATGCCAGAAGGCAGGCCAGTTGTGCAGCCATTGATCGTTATAATGCATTGTTGACAAAACTATGGGTGTCAGGAAAGCTTTTCCACCCATTGTTCCACTCTCTCCACGAGATCCAGCTTCCTACCCGAGGTGCTCAACCCCTTTGCCTCTAAAATGTCTTTTAACTGGGCGACAGTCATCTTGACAATGCCGCCGCTCTCCACTGCGGATTTTAGCTGGGGGAGGGTCAACCCAGACGTCGAGGGTTTATCTGGACCACCGCGGGCCTTCTTGGACGCTGGGCGTTCAGGCAATTCGCTGTCTGCTTCACGCTTCACAGCTCTGGTTGCCTGCGCATTCTTGGCATCTCGCTCCAACGTCTCTTGCCATTCCTCTAAATAGCCCCCGGCTCGTTTGCTGATTGCCTTGTACTTGGGCTCTGTCGCATCCTCAGCCTTCTCGGGGACCTCCTCCTCCAAGGCAAGGGCTTGCAAGATCTTGTAGTGCCACTGCAGTGCCGGGTTGGGATACTTGGTCGGGTTGTACATCGCTTTCGGCAGCTGCAGTTGCTGCACGATGACGCGCATTTGTGTCTGTAGCTCGTCTGAGCTCCGCGCAAACCCGTCTGATTCCTTGATGCCCCTCAAATCATCGGCAAAGGGCAGCGGATATATCCAAAGGCCTGACGGCAGGTAGGGCGTTCCGCAGTCGTCATCCGCCTGCTCCCTTGACGGCATGATTGCTGCCAAGATTGGTTGCGCATTGGCCCGCGTGATGCACCAGGCAACGCCGACTTTGTCGTCTTTCAGGAGCTTCTGCCACAGTGCGGTATACACACGCGTCGAGCCGACATAGTCCTCCTCGCTTGGGAAGATGAACGTACTCTTCTTGACGCTAGCCCACAAAGGAATGGTACTCCGTGGCTTGAAACCGATGATGCGGATGACAGGCGAGCCGAAATCTCGCAGCTTCTTCTGTTCTTCGGGGCTAAAGCATACGTACTCGCCACCGAACTTGTATGCTTTTTTGATATCGGTCTTTCCCACTGTGCGAGCGCTGTCCTCGGCCACCCTCGTCGTTTCACCCACCGCAATCTGTGGCTTTTCGCCGTCCAGCCAGATGTAGCAGGTGCGCGCGGGTGTCTGTCGGTGAAGTACATTGTACCCCTTGACGGAGATTCGCAGTCCGGGCGCAATCTCGAATGGGAGATTGGAGAAAAGAGATCTCTTGGCGGTTTGTTTTGAGTTGATATTGGAAATGAGGGAGTTCAAGAGCGTCAGTCCGTCTCCTGATTTGGAAGACCGAACCTCTGACATGTTGGCTTCGCCCGCGAGAGGGTCTTGGTAGATAATGTCCTGACAAGGTCAATCCAGCACAGACAACCAACGACCGCCCGACTTACATCGTAGAACTTCTCGATGCGAAACGTGTTACCTCCACGAGTGATGGGGAAAAGATCGATAGTGACACCCAAGTCGTACAAATCTTTGGCTCGCACTGCAGCTGCTTGGCGGGCATCTTTACTTGAGGAGTGTGGGTTGTCGTTGTCCGTCACGATGAACAAACGACGACTTCCAAAGTTAGCTGCTTTAGTGGTGAAGATCTGGTTCGCGCAAAACAGCACGTTTGACATGGAGACCTGTTCCTCCGATGGTTTCAAGACTTCGTCCTCGTCCTCCCCTTCCTCCACAAGAGCCTTCAGTGCCTTCACGTCCTCGGCCGCAGGTATATCCAGGTCAGTGAAGAGATAGCAATGAGGATACCCTAAGCCGCTACTACCGTCGCCATCGTCATGGAATTTGGATTTTTCGGTGCCGAATAGCAAAATGCCCATCATGTCTTTTGGGTTTGAAATGATGCGCTGCTCCATGAGATGGTAGGCACATTTCAGCGCTGCTTGGACCGGACTGTCTCGGTCCGCTTTCTTAGAGTCTGATGCTGGCGGAGGTTGTAGGATAGATGTGCTAACATCGATAGCGATCAAGATTGCATCCTTTTGCGCTTTGTAGCTCTGTGGTGTGTAAGTGATTGCGCGTCTCACATAAGTAGCGGGCCACCAACTGTCTCATCGATTTCCTGGTCTTCCTCATCCTCCTCCGGGCGCTTCCAGGAATTGTCTTCGTTGGCCATCTTGGTGTCAGTTCATCAATCAATGTGATGAGAAGGACTGTAAGATTCACATCGTGAGATGGTGAATTCAGATGCATTTCCGCCAAGGCGTGTCAGAGCTAGGCAACAAGCACGCGCCAAGCCAACTGGGGTCGCGGGAGCTGGCGCGAGATCACGTGGTCTATGACACACGGCTTACTCTTGGGAAGCGACGATTGGCAGACGTGCTTGCTAAGGGTGACTTCTGTTAACGCGTTCTGATGCTAGCTCTATCAAGTATCTCCGAAACGATGATCCTCGATGCCGACGGCAGCTCGTGAAAGCACCGATCAGTCCACCTCGGAGGTCCAGAAATCCGCGACTGCATCATCGAAGGAGCGCCATTCCGGTCTTTTCCAATTTTCTCAACAACTCGCGCTACTTGCCAGAGGACACCTTCTCGACACGTGCAACACTCTAGAATACCTTTGACGGCTCACCGCACGGTATTTTGCCGCCATGGCGTTCCGCTTGCCGTCACAGATGCCCAGGCGCATCTGCGCAAGCAAGTCGTCCAGTTTCGGCCTTTCTCAGCTGAGCAGCAGAGCTCGCGGCCTGGCAACTGTGGTACCACCGGTGACACAAGATGCGACCGGATCCAAGGGACCAACAGCCATGGTGTTCATGAACATGGGTGGGCCGCAAACCACAGATCAAGTCGGGGACTTTCTAAGTCGACTCTTTGTAAGCCATTGCAATCACTACAGACCTATTGCTCGCTCAGCTAACCCACCAAAGTCAGACGGTGACCTGATTCCCCTTGGAAGACTGCAGTCCTACATCGGCCCCTTATTGTCGAAGCGAAGGACACCGAAGATCCAGAAGCAGTACAGCGACATCGGCGGCGGTTCACCTATCCGCAAATGGTCCGAGTACCAGAACGAAGAAATGTGCAAGATTCTCGACAAGATCTCCCCCGAGACCGCGCCGCACAAGCCGTACGTCGCGTTTCGCTACGCCAACCCCTTGACGGAGCACATGTACCAGCAACTTCTAGACGACGGCTTCGGAAAAGGGCGCGGTGGGCGTGCCGTGGCCTTTACCCAATATCCTCAGTATTCCTGCTCGACAACGGGCAGCAGTCTCAATGAACTGTGGAAGTGGAGGCACAGGCTGGAGTCCAAGCACAATGGAGGCGAGGGGGCGATCAATTGGAGCGTTATCGACAGGTGGCCTGTGCACCACGGTCTCGTCGAGGCTTTCGCCCAGCACATTGAGGCCAAGCTGGCGGAATACCCTGAGGAACGACGGAAGGATGTTGTGCTCCTGTTCTCAGCGCACAGTCTGCCCATGTCTGTGGTCAACCGCGGAGATCCGTACCCAGCAGAGGTCGCGGCGACAGTGTACGCTGTCATGCAGCGCCTCAAGTTCTCCAACCCATACCGCCTTTGCTGGCAGTCTCAGGTCGGGCCGTCGGCATGGTTGGGTCCTCAGACATCCGACACGGTTGAAAACTTTATCAAAAAGGGCCAAAAGGATCTGGTTCTGATCCCTATTGCGTTCACGTCGGACCACATCGAGACACTGTACGAATTGGACCTGGAAGTCATCGGCGAGTCTGGCCATGCGGACACGGTGAAGCGAGCTGAGAGTCTGAATGGCAGCCCAGTCTTCATCGAAGCTCTGGCTGATATTGCCAAGAACCATCTGGCCAGTGGGGAGTCATGCTCGCCGCAAATGGGGCTGCGATGCCCTGCCTGTACGAGCGAGAGATGCGCTGTTACAAAAGAGTTCTTCGCTGGCAAGCAAGCGCAATCGTATCCTGGCGATAAGGTGCTGGCCCAGTAGTGTCAGCTCATAGACTGTACAATTATTGTTTCGTAAGACGAAAATACATGTAGCGCCTTTGTGTATCAATATGGCTTGGAATATGTCGATGCTGTTCCCTGTTCTTAATGCTCGTAGCCAGCTATCCGAGGCGTTGTCACATTTATTGTTGGCTTCGCATTGCCGGTGAAACAAATAGGCAATGCACTGCTGATCTTCCCAATCCATAGTTGAATGGAATTCTGCATCGAGTTTCCGAAGAAGCTCACCATGAAACAATAATACAATTGCACAATTACAGTCACGATCAGACCAACGCGACTTGTGGGTAACGCAACCCCTGGCTTACCCTGAACGATCCGTGACACTGAGAGCTACCCATATGTCCGAAAATTGCTGCAGAACAAGGACTCAGGAGATCGGTGTAGATTCTTTAGAAATGTGCCGTTTTGTTTTAAAAATATTTAGCAAACCGCTCCGATTGCCAAGCAGCTGCCATGTTTCGAGGCCAGTTATAAGTCTTGGATCTGATGATACTTTCAAATGTTGCTCCATCTCGCACAGTGAGGAAGAAGAAACGAGTATTGCTCATGTGACACCAGAAAAGCGACACCGCAAATGCTGAAATCGGACAATCCAAGAACAGACCATTTTTGCACCATTGAGTTATTGTGACCAAGGAGTTAACAGCTCAAGACAAACAAGTTGAGGCCTGACGAGCCTATCTCTATCTAGATTAAGTCATGGCAGTGATCAGATGCCGACGGACAACCAAGAGCTCTTTACCCGAAATGTACTAGCTTCAAGTGAGGGACCTTGCGCTTGGGCCGTGAAACTGGCCCAAGCTTCCCGTGGCTCAACGTGCCAAATGCCAATGCCCGGACGAGGGTGATGGGACATTAACGGCGCAACGGCGCACCTTCTCTAATGCGTCCAGCCGTTTACGAAAATGTGTCTTAAGTTCGATAACATTCCGTGACTCTGAACGTGGCTGGCGAAGCAGCCGTCTCTCCGTTCGTTACGGAAATTCCTAACTTGGTCTCCCAAAGATTTCGTATTACGGGCAGAACATGATTGCAACGAATGGGGAGCCACCCTCCGCTGGCATTTGATCCCCATGGCAGTGGAGCTCGTGGAGACTAGCCAGAAAAGGATTAGCTTCCCTTGAACCCCTTTTGCTGGAGGAGCAGATCCCAAGACAGGGCAGACAAAAGTTTTGCAATTGACTGCAGAATAGCAGTGTAAAGCGTGAAGATATTTCTGTCGCCCTCTCTCATCTCCTGTCACACTGCAGTACAAAATTTCCCCTTTTCCCCCTGCCGACGGCTGCCCCAGTCCCAGCACAGCACGCTGCACTAATTACTGCTCTTCTGTATTACGGTACGTATCCAGGCACCACCTCACGCCAGCCCCGTCCGCCCAGGTGCCACTGTGCCAGTCTGGCCAGCCCGACCCAGGCCTTCGACTGGCCGCCCCCTGCCTGCCCCTAAACTTTCCAGCCAGAGTGCCTTCATACCTGACCTCACCTTTCCCAGACTTCTCTTCCCGTCGCCCTTTATCCCACCGTCCATCATTGGTATTTCCCCTTCGTCGGCTTCGACTTGTGCGCCTTTCACCAGGCGTCTTTGCTCGACCGTTCTTTCCTGGCCTACTCTGCTTTTTGCGATTCGACTTGGACGACGCCAATACACGCGTCCCTACGCTCACTCGGTACGTTATCCTTAAATCTGGTGTTGAGAGTGCAAAGTGCCTAGAGTAGGCTTTTGGACACGAGTCGCTACGTTCGCAAGCTTCCATCGAAGCTGCAGTATCGCGTCGCTGCGATCTGACTTGGCTTTCTTGGAAGCTTTCAAAGTGAACGTAGCGCTCCGTACTAGCATCGTTATGCCTCTCCTGAACAGCTCCTGCATTGAGAACCTGCTAACATTGGATCCGCAGACATCGCGCTTTCCTACAAGCTTATTCCACCAGACCGGCCGACCGCTCTTTGTACATCAATATGGGTAAGATGACACCTTCTCCTTTTCCCCCATCCGGAACACGCGTGCCACAGTATCAGACGACACGAGCAGAGGGGAACTGGGCAGGAGAGACCGTGACCCATCCACAACGACAGCACCATCCGACGACGTCGACTTCCTGATGCTTCTCGATCCGTCTTCCACTGCCGGCAGCTTGTCAACAATACGCCTCCACTCGTTTGGAACATCATCTAAACCTGCTCGGGTTGTCGCTGTTGGTCACATAATCCATTTCTCTCTGCACACAACACCATAGGAATTCACAACGGGCCACTCAAGTCTCTCTGCAAGTCTTGTCATCAGCCATGAACAACTTGGTGAATCACGTCAAGGCAAGGACTCGCAGCATCCAATTCGACAGGGGCATGTTCAGCCTGGACTCGGCGCTATCACCTCCAAGATCGCAGCCTAGATCCAACACACGGACGAGCAGTGAACCCGCTCCTCAAGGCATCATGAGGCCTGCGACCCCGTGTCGACTACCTCCAAACACCGTTCGAGGGTATAAGAGCATGCTCGACGTGGAAAATGCGTCAAACATAAAGGCCACAGATTCGGTGTCAATGGATGAGCTGCACCCTTCAGTGCAAGCCAAAGCTGTCCAACGCCGGGAACAAAGTACTTCAGATTCCTCTGCCGGCACAAGTACCGTTGCGACCAGCCAAGCTACCCAACGCCGGGATCAAAACACCTCAGATTCCTCCGCCGGCACAGGCTCCTTTGCTACCAGACAGGCTGCTCAACGCCGCAAGGAAAATACGTCGGATTCTTCTGCCGATACAGGCTCCGTTGTGACCGGACAAGATACCATGGACAGTGTTTCCGAGAAAGGCCGCAGTTGGACGCACACTACTTCATTTTATCATCACAAAATCATGACGCGCCCTCGGTATTGCATTGATGCTAACTTGAACTCCCTCATAGCTTCTGACGGCCCTCCCGCTGTGGCTCCAGCCTCACCCACCAGCGACGACATTATGGAGTCGGTCCAGGGTGTGCCTGTGAGCGACCCTACGACCCTCTCTGTCGCGCACACACCGGCTGCCGAGGCCAAGAACATTGTCCGCCGGAAGTTGACTGGCTACGTCGGTTTCGCCAACCTCCCGAACCAATGGCACCGTAAGAGTGTGCGCAAGGGCTTCAACTTCAACGTTATGGTTGTTGGCGAGTCTGGCCTGGGCAAATCCACTCTGGTCAACACCCTCTTCAACACCTCCCTGTACCCTCCCAAGGAGCGCAAGGGCCCTAGCCTCGACATCATTCCCAAGACCGTTACCATCCAGTCCATCAGCGCCGACATTGAGGAGGCTGGCGTTCGTCTCCGCCTCACTGTCGTTGATACCCCAGGATTTGGTGACTTTGTCAACAACGACGAATCATGGCGCCCCATTGTCGACAACATCGAGCAGCGCTTTGACGCGTACCTCGATGCCGAGAACAAGGTGAACCGCATGAACATTATTGACAACCGCATCCACGCCTGCGTGTTCTTCATTCAGCCCACTGGACACTCGCTCAAGCCCCTTGACATTGAGGTCATGCGCCGCCTGCACACCAAGGTCAACCTGATCCCTGTCATTGCCAAGTCGGATACCCTCACAGATGAAGAGATTGCGAGCTTCAAGGCGAGGATCCTCTCTGACATCAAGTACCATGGCATCCAGATCTTCGAGGGCCCCCGATACGAGCTCGACGACGAGGAGACCATTGCCGAGAATAACGAGATCATGTCCAAGGTCCCCTTTGCAGTTGTTGGTGCTACCAACGAGCTGCAGACTCCCGACGGCCGCAAGATCCGCGGCCGCGAGTACCCATGGGGTATCATTGAAGTCGACAATGAGGAGCACTGCGACTTCGTCAAGCTGCGCCAGATGCTCATCCGCACTCACATGGAGGAGCTCAAGGAGCACACCAACAACCTCCTGTACGAGAACTACCGTACCGACAAGCTGATCGCTATGGGTGTCTCCCAGGACCCCAGTGTGTTCAAGGAGGTCAACCCTGCCGTCAAGCAGGAGGAGGAGCGCGCCCTGCACGAGCAGAAGCTCGCCAAGATGGAGGCCGAGATGAAGATGGTCTTCCAGCAGAAGGTCGCCGAGAAGGAGAGCAAGCTCAAGCAATCGGAGGAGGAGCTGTACGCCCGTCACCGCGAGATGAAGGAGCAGCTCGAGCGCCAGCGCCTGGAGCTCGAAGACAAGAAGCAGCGCATCGAGAGCGGTCGACCACTGGAGAAGGAGGGCAAGCGCAAGGGCTTCTCCTTGCGATAAACGCCTTCGTCCATTGCTCCCACTCTCTACGATCAATGCCTCTGTTTTTGCAATGATGCCGATACAATACCAGCTCGACGCACTCACTCTTCTTTATTCATTTTTGTTTTCCTCGCCTCTCTTCGCCCTCATCCTCTTAATCGCACGGCTCACATAATCACATGACGGAGAAGAAAACCACTGCTAGGATGATGAACGCTTTGTCACAGGCTACGGAGAGGCCGCACTTTCAACGCCTGCCTGCCTGCCTGCCTGCCTGCCACGCCACAAGACATGGCCCGTGCCTCATTCTCCCCTCGGAACACACATGGGCATGTGAACCTGAGCGATTTGCATCAGCCGGTCTTTGGAGAGAGGCGATGGCTAGGGTTTCCGGTCGAACACGGGTCTCATTGTTGACGAGATCCCCTTGGCGCGATGTCTACATGTGTCGATACACACACTCATATACATGGTTTCCTTGTTTTGTTTTCTTCTCTTTTACTGTCTCTCTAATAAATATGGATTGCGAGGCGAGGGACTCGGCCGGCGGGCGAATTAACACCTCTGGACCGCTGGCGGACGGGGAGAGGACGAGAAAAAAACTGTTGTACTTTAGCTGCGAGATGGAATGGTGGGCACGTTCCGGTAGCAGACGTCTAGGCTGCGTTTTTCCTAGCTAGTTTGATTTATCTGTTTGCTTGACGATTTTACATGGTTCCCAGTGTGGTGACAGGATATTTGTACCAGTCGCAAATAGTAGTGTCTCAACTCCGCGCAACGCCGTTCCCAACAATTCGATCCCTTACCGTACAATCAGCTACGCTATGCAACTCCTTCTCTGAGTTTTGTCGAGGCTCTGGACTGGATTATCTCTTCTTGGCGTTCCTCATGATGAAGGCGCCTACAACACCAGCTGCAATACCGACACCGCTCAGGATCGCCACACCCATGAGTCCTTCCTTTGCGACCTTGTCGTCAATGAGCTGTCGCAAGTTCGCTGCCTGCATATTGCTGGGTTCTCTCTCCAGCAGGAGGTCATTGTATCGTCGGGCATCCGCGAACGAGCCGAGTTTGTAGTTGCCAAGGGCAAGGTAGTAGAGGCATTCCCTGCGTCGCTCTGGGGAGTGACGGAAGATGTCCGACAGCAGGCGGACGCCGAGTTGCTGGTCGTTGCGGTTCGTTGATTTCACGAGTCCCTGTGCCACGTGAAAGAGGCGTGGTCAGTTTTTGGGCCAGCATTTGGGGGGACCGAGGGGATGTGTACGAACCCATGCGTAGTTGAACTTTGTCTGTATGCCGACCATTTCGCCTTCCTTCTCATATTGACTGCGGAGCACGTCGAGCTCGCTGGAGTTGAGCGGCCTGCGACAGATGGGTTAGTATGGCTCTTTGGCGTGGTGGTGGGACATCGGACGTACGTCTCTGCGTCGAGAGCGTCTGGTTCTGTCAGCTTGGATGTTCTTTGGGGGGTAAAAGTTTGGTCGACATACATGGGAGTTCGGCGACCATTATGGCGTCTTGGAGCGTTTGATTCGTAAAATTGATGTGGTGAGGGAGACAGTTTGTCGCAAAGCGAGATGGAATATGGCCGAGGAACTTGGAACTGCTGGTCTGGTTTGATGGCAATCGTCATGTGGCTGAAGCTCCTTACCAGGTTCGGTCGTTGGCACGTGTGGCGACTGTGGCGCAGCCGCTAGCTTGGTCGGCAGAACTGGTGAGGGTAATCCTCGGCAAGCTGAGCTGGACCTTAATTAGGCGACGCGATTGTTGACTATCGCCGGGGTGATGTGGGGGTCTGTCAACACTGATTCTGGTCACACTGACACCACACGACCATCTATTTCCGCGACTACGGAAGCCTTATTAAACTTTGTACTCATCGAAGCGCGTGTGCTACTCTTCACACTTGCGAACGCCATCATGCTTCTCTCAGAGGAGCCCGCGACGGTATGTCTGGAGCCCCGGGTCACTATGCACTTCTGACGCCAGAACAGCTCATCCACCACACAATCAACAACTTCAACATCCAACCCGACAAACTTGCCATTGCCCGCGTCACAGAATCTCTGTCCACACTACAACAAGCACGCGACCTGCGTATTCGCGAAGCTGAGTCTGCGCTGAAGAAACTCAGTCGGCAGCTCAACACACTCTCCTCGCAGCACGACGACCTCGTCCAATCGCACTCGGCCAACGACCACGCCTCACGAATCGCGACCCTCGACACCCAAAAGTTCAGGACCGCCAAGGCGGCCAGCGACGCCGAGATTGAGGCAGAGCGCCTCGCCCAGCAAGCCGCCGACCTCAACGCGCGGTTGCAGGAGCTTGAGCTGCAGGGTGTGGAGGGGGACGAGTCGACGAGGCGACGAGATGCCGTGGACGACGAAGTCCTGCTGCGACTCAAGGTCTACCGTAGTCTGGGCATCGACATTGAGCGTGATGGCGGCGAAGCGGGCGAGTGGGGGAGGGCGGTTGTGCGGAACGACAGGAAGGGCGATGTGCATGTGGTGAACATGGACAAGAAGTTCTCGCGGTACTTTTACGCCAACTACTTCTGGTCGACTCTCTGAGGGGGCGAGGAGGCTTCGAGGTAGCGGTTCTGTTGGCGTTTTGGCGGGCGTTTGGGCACAATTATACCAGGGCGTCATTTGGAATCATGAGGATATGAATATGTCTTATACTGCTTTGTCTCTCGAGTGCACGTCGTGATTCATTGTCATTATGCATTGGGTGTCTTGCGGTGACCCATTCCCACTATGTACGGAGTACATACATGCTGAGTAGCAACAGCTTCTTGGCACTGGTGCGGTAGACAGAGGTTGGGGGTGTTGAGGCGCAATTTGAACGTCCGCTGTCTACAGGCAACGTGGCCGAGTGGTATTAAGGCGATGCCCTGCTATCTCCACGTAGCATAGGCATTGGGTTCGCCCGCGTAGGTTCGAATCCTGCCGTTGTCGTTTTTGCCCATCTGGAACCAGGACGCATCTCTTTTTGGCCGGATAATGTATCTGAAGCCACGGGCAGTATTTTCTTTCTTCAGTCCAAACCTTGATCTGTTCCTGTAGCGGTCTTTTATTAATATTCTTGCGACGACAAGATGGCCAAAGTTCTCGGGACAGAGTCTCATTTTTGGCTTGTGGAAACCGGTTATGCAGGGGAATCTGATTTGCGGAGCACCTATGAACGGCGAGTCGGTAGACACAAACATCAACAGGACGAAGCAAAGCAAGTGAGACGTCCAGTCCATTGTGCAGGCTACTCTTGTTTGCCCCATCGTGAACCTAGCCTAGCTAGACATTGATGTGATCAGTGGGATCAACCCCTCTTGGCGGGCATAGGCGAGGTATTGCGGCTCAGAGCAAAGTACCCGTCGACCTGCAGCCCGCCCCCTCGAATGCCCGTCGGCGTCCTCGCCCTCGAGCTGTTGGGCGACATGCCAACCCTTGGACTCCTGCGCTTCATCACGAGGTACCCCTCCGTACCCGGCGTCGTCGGCCCTGCACTCGGTGTACGGTGGTGATGAGTGTGCGAGCTCGTCGGTCGCGGGTTCACGGTGACCCAGGGATCATCCTTTCCTTCCTGCGTACCGTGGCTGACGCGCCAGCCGCCTATGCCTTCGTAGTCTCTGTCCGGACCTAGGGAGGGGATGAGGCCCAGGCTTGTGGGCGGGTCGGAAACGGTGGAGGAGGCGACGGAGGAGCGGCGACGCCTGTGGTGGTGCCTTTTGGCTAGCGAGGTAGAGAGTACCGGTGAGCTCAGCGGGAGAGGTGTGATGGGCTTGGCGGCAGTCTGGATCTGTGACCGTGGGAGGAGATAGAGCGCCAAGTCGACGTAGATGAGCAGGGCGCGGATGATGAGCACGCTGAAGGCGAAGATGGTGGTGAACGTTGCGAATACGGCGAGAGGTATGGATGCACACAGAATGGAAGGGAGGACGAGCAGCGACAATGGACTGAACCCCATTTTTGAATGATTCACATTTTTCGCACGAGTATCACGAGATGGGAAACGTGGTGTCGCTCTGGGTTCGTTGTTGGAATGTCTGTCGGACAGGCGGCGCGAGAGTTGGCACGTGAAAGTCGTCACTCTTGCTCGTACCTCATGTTCCGATGGGGTCGAGGCCACTGAAGCCACACACCACCGTCTTTCAACCGCCTACTACTGTCGCATTCCTTTGACAAGCCGTCCCGTCTCATGCAATTGGTTAGAGATGCATGTGTCCGCTGTATTGTTTGACCTCGACAATACGCTGTTTGATCACGTGCACTCGCTTCACCAGGCATTGATCTCATGCCGGGCGTCCTTTGAGGAGCTGCAGCCATTCAGCCCGGCGCAGCTTGCCGAAGCGTACTGGAGAGGGCACGATAGGGCCTACGCGAAACACGTGGCTCGGGAGATCACTATACAGCAGACGGACATTGTCAAGGTCAAGCTGTTCTACAAGTATCTTGGTCTTGCTGAGCCACGCTCACGCTGGGTCCGCGATGAGTTTCGCAGAATCTACAAGCCCGCCTATCGCGACTCGAGACGCGCTGTCGCAGGGTCGAAAGACATATTGAGGACGCTGAGAGCGCATGGGAAGAAGGTTGGCGTGGTGACGAATGGGGAGCACAGTGAGCAGATGGATAAAATCGAGATCCTTGGGCTCGCTGAATTGGTGGACTGCGTCGTCACGTCGGGGGAGATGGGATATTCCAAGCCCGACATGAGGATATTCCAGCACGCGCTGGTCAAGTTGAACGTGCAGCGCTCCGAGACGGTCATGGTGGGAGATTCGGTGCAGGCAGATGTCAAGGGAGCCATTGCAGCGGGTTTTGCTGGTGTGTTCCTCTTTGCACCCGAGGCGCGCGAAGATATCCGGGAAGTCTTTGGCCGTAAAGTGCCCGTATTGAGGACCATGGGGGATCTGTTGACACATCTCGAATTGGAATCTGGGGCGCAGGTTATATCCGGGGAATCGGGGATGGATGGCCAAGTGCCGCCGGAGCCGAAGACAGCTCAACCGGAGCCGAGCTCCACGCACAGCATCTCAGGCTTGAGAAGTTGAGCTACCGAACGAAGCAATGCACGTATAAACTCAATGTTTCGATGAGAGAAAATTTAACGAGCTAATTAGCTCTGCAAGTGGAGTACCTAAATTCCAGGAGCTTTGTCAAGTTGTCACTGCTTTTCTCCAGCGTCGTGACTAAACTCAAGCTCGGACGCTGATGCACGTGGGCCACTTAGACCCTGACTGACATCATTGTCCAGCCTCACGAATCAGCAACATAGAATTCTCCTCAACCAAGCTTCACCCGTCGGCCAGTCTAGTCATGTCGGAAACTGAGAGGCACAATGGCGACGCTTTCCCCTGGCATCTTGGCGTCTGCGACGCGCACTGCCATCCGACAGACACCTTGTCCTCCATGAGCTCGGATCCGATATGCAAAGCCCGCTACCTCACTGCCATGGCAACAAGAGCTCAGGACCAGCATCTCGTCGACTCAGCCGCCAAGGATCACCCTGAGACTATCATACCTTGCTTCGGGTGGCATCCTTGGTTCGCACACCTGCTGTATGACGATACATCTGATGAGCCAACGTACGCACCAGCCAAACATGGCAACGACGAGGGCAAGGCCAAGGAGGAGCACTACAGAAAGATCCTGACACCGAACTCTTCTTCCTTGGATATACAGCAGGAATTCATAGAATCTCTACCGAGTCCCACGCCGCTCTCGGACCTGATCAGCCAGACGAGGGAGTACCTCTTAAAACATCCCACGGCGCTGGTGGGAGAGATTGGGCTGGACAAGGCCTTTCGTCTCCCGCAGCCCTGGTCCACCGACCAGCGCGATGGGTCCCTGACTCCCGGAGGCCGAGAAGGGCGGCCCCTATCGCCTTACAGAGTCCGAGTCGAGCACCAGATTGCCATTCTCAGGGCGCAGCTCCATCTCGCCGGCGAGCTCCGTCGGGGTGTCAGCGTGCACGGCGTCCAGGTGCACGGCGTCCTGCTGGATGCCATAGCCGCCACATGGAAGGGCCACGAGAGGGTGGTGCTCTCGAAGCGGCAGATGCACAAGATCACAATGGGCGAGGAGGAGCCACCGACGCCCCCTTCTTCCTCGGACGCAGAGGCGCCCAAGCCCTTCCCGCCACGGATCTGCCTCCACTCGTACAGCGCGTCGGTAGAGGTGTTGAAGCAGTGGCTGGACCCTAGCATCCCTGCGGATATATACTTTTCCTTCTCGGTCGCGGTCAATCTGAGTACCAAGAGTACGAGGAACAAGATCCGGCAGGTGATTCAGGGGGTGCCGGAGGAGAGGATCTTGGTGGAGAGTGACCTGCACAAGGCCGGGGAGGACATGGAGAGCGCGTTGGTGGAGATGTATACGCTTGTGTGTGAGACCAAGGGGTGGACGATTGAAGATGGCGTGAAGAGGATACGGCAGAATTACGAAGCATTCATAGGATTAGGGCTAGATGAGCGATAGCGAGCCTGTCTAACAAATGAGAAGATCGTATACTAGCGTGAACGGAACATGTCAAGTGTTATAACTTGCAGTAGAATCATCGAGTTCCGATGCCGTTTCATTACTACCATCAACTGGCCTCATCATTACAGGGACTTGCTTCGAGACGAAAAAACACCAGACGCCAAGTCAACCCTAGTCATTACTCATTACTTCGCCCAGTACCCCAGCCGGTCGCTACTAGTTTGAGGGGTGGTCTGCGGATAGCCGTTCCCACCAGGGGTATATCGAAATCCATCCGCAACCATGCTCCCCTCGGCCGTGTCACTCTCATAGGATGGTGGTGGAGCGTCATCTTCCTCCCAGTGCGGCCGCCGCCGGTCGTCAAAGGACGCTCGTCCTCTCCCTTCCTCGATGGCCACTAGACTCTCCACCATGTCGGCAGCCTCTCTGAAACCTGCAATGTCGGCTTCCAGTGTAGTCTGCTGCTCCTCGCCGGCGGTCCTCAGATCTCGGCCCTGCGGCGTGGAGGACTCCTTCTCCGCGAGACCAAACACGCCGCAGAAGAGTTTCTGGAGAAACCCCTTGAAGGCGCGACGTCGATTCGCAACGCGGGCTAGGCGTTCCTCGCAGGATTCACGGTGGTACGGGAGCCGTTGGATGTCGGAGGAAACGTAGCGTCTCGCACCGAGGACAGCGATGCCCAGGAACGAGAAGATAGTGAACGCTAGGGCCGCGATAGACATGGTCATGAGGAGATCTTGCTCAGGGGCGGGCTTTTGCTGTTGGTTAGCACCTTGTCGCTCTCATCGGAGCCGCAGGACGGCGGTGGGAACTCACAATGAAGCGTGCCGATGACGGGGTGGGCGAGGCTGCGCGGGTAGTTGTGAGGGGCCTCATCATCTTCGTCGGTAGCTCAGCGAGGGTCATTGTCGAAACGGGTTTCTGCGTCGTGGGTCGGGGGCGGAGGGTGTAGAGGTGGCTGGCCTTGGACTGGACATCTTCCACAACGCCGTGTAGCAAGCAACGCCATCCGCTGCATTTCTTCTCCCCCTCTTTCTTATTCTTGAGCTGCATCGACTGCTCAGATGCGCCTTTCCTGGCGTCGACCGTGTCCTCAGCGAGGTTCTGCTCGGGCAAGGACAGTTGGGCGGGTATCCAGACCTTCCAATCCTCAACCTCATCCTCGCTGAATCCACGCACAATCTCTTCATCAATGGTCAAGATGGAGTCCCACTGCCCACCAGTCTTCTCAAAGAAGGTCCATGGTTCACTGCCATCTGCGATGACATGCGTCACCTTGGTGTGGTCGAGGATCACTGTCATGGACCAAGAGTCCCCGTCCCCTGTATCCGTCTCCAGGTGAGCTTCCAAGGAGCCCCATTCAGGGTTACATTGCATTGACCAATGAGTGAGGGTAAGGGCGGCATGGTTGGGAAGTCTGATGGAAGCAGTGCCGTCGAGTTCTTCTTGAAAGGAAGTTCGTTCTGTCAAGGGCTGGCTGAACAACTGCACGCGCGAGGCATTGCACAGATCGTTTGTAGGTAGGACATCAACACGAACGATCTGTTGATTGGGGCATCAGCATCAGCACGATCGAGGTCTCCATATTCAGGAGACCATTGGCAGCCGGTTGACTACCTATCCAGGGCAAAACTGACCTCAAGCTCAGCGCCAGCGCCAGGCACCGGAACGAACGCAGCAGAATGTTCTAGCCCTGGAGTCATCAGCGTCTGCCTCACATAATTCTTTCGTCAATCGACAGACATACCTAGCACATGTTCGGGACCAATAGACGCTGCCCCAGCCAGCGACGCAATCCCCGCCACGACGACGGTGAGGCCGCGTAGCATGTTCAAGTATCACGTCCACAGCCAGGCAGTCAGTCAGTGCGTACGTAACGAATAGGCTACCGCCGTGCGCGCGTGAGCAATGGACAGAGAATTCAATGGCAACAGGAAGATCCCTTCTGCTGGGTAAGGTGCCCGAGGCAGAAAGAGAAGGGAATGAGTGAATGGGCGGGACAATGGGGTGGAAGCCTAGCAGTGCGCGAACGGTTCCGCGTAGAGGCTGAGCAGCTCCAAGCTGACAGTTGCATGCAGGCCAGTCTCGAGGCTGGTCGTTCACTTAAATTGAAGCACTCTGCATGGTCGCGTTCTCCAGTCCCAGACGAAGACCTACAGGCATTCTGTTCTCATCGAAGAAACCACCTGTCCTCTCATGGTAGAGAATTGTCCTCGACTTGATGGAGGACTGAAGGTGCCGTCGTGCCGCTCTCCGAGTGCAAAGTGCAGTGCAGAGTCCCGGGCCAGGAACTAGGCGGGGCGATTAGATGTGATGACGACCATGAGCCAATCAGAGTAAAGGGGCCCTGTCACTGCTGACGACTCCAGCCCTGTCGGGCAGGAGCTTCCCAAGGCAGTCGCATTGGAGCTCCAGTCACCTCAAATTCTCAACTCACCATCTTCATCGCTTTCAGGCCACGTCGCTCACATCATCCAAAGGCTGCCTGTATTATTCATGTTCGTATTTTTTGGTATCTATTTCATTAATTACATTTCAATCTAATTTGCATTTTCCCGTCTATAATGTCTCGAAGTCGTTCAAAACCAGCAATGCAATAACCAGTACACGAACTTGCCTACTCCGTACGGCAGGCCAACCCAACGCCCGCTAAAACACCACGTCCTTCAACGGGTACGTGTGGTGACTCAGATCCAGAAAGTACCTGTCCTTATGCTCATGGAAATACCGATGCAGCGCCCGCACCTTGTTGTCGGAGAGCAACTGATACAGGTCCCGGACGGTCTGCTCCTTGCCGATCCAGTAGTGCCGGACGAACACGCCGTTGCACCCGGCGCCGCCATTCTTCCCTGGCATGCCGTTGCCATCCTGGCAGCTGATGGCCCGCAGGTCTTTGTGCGAATCGTAGTCGTAACGCACGTAGTTGCCAAACGCGGCCTGCTCGTGCGCCCAGTCGTACGCCCACTGCGTGCAGCCTGCGTACTTGCCCCTCTCGGTAGGGCAGTCCAGCCAGCGCTGGAAGAGCTCCTGCGTCCTCTTGCTCTTCTGGGCGATGCTGAAGCCCGTGTTCCACATCACCCAGCCCTTGGCGTCGTTGTTGCGCTCCGAATGCGGATCCTCGGCCATGGCGATGAGCGTCCGTGGCGTGATCTCCCACAGGCTGAAGAGCCACTCGAGCGGGACTTGCACGTAGTTGAAGATGGCATCCGCGTCGAGGAAGACGACAAAGTCGTATGTCTTGAGGGCCTCCTGCTCAATTGGCACCTTGACCCACGTCTGGTGTCGATCCTGGAACTCGGGGGCGCGAACGAGACGGTAGTCGTACCCGTGGATCAGGGCGTAGTGGAAGTGGTTGATGATGCCAGCCGTGCGAGGCTTGATGTTATCTGGCGTCAGCGGTGTCCGCGTGCCGAGCATTGAGCCCCTAGAGGTATCCAGCCGGGTGTCGACGTCGATGATGAGGACCTTCTTGCCTAGCGGCGCCCAGCGATGCGCATCTTTGGGAATGTCGTAGTGGCGGTCATCGAGCGTGTCGAAATGCGTCTCGTTGAGAGGATGGATCATGCCTTGCCACGCTTCTGGTATGGTTACGGATAAATCCTCCCCTGGCGTCGACTCGGTGAAGATGGACCACGTCCTACTCCAGAGTTGTTAGCAATGCGCTCTCGTACATGTTGATGAGGCGATGCCAAGAGAGGATACGTATCGCATCCGTGTATCATTGATCGCCGTCGGGATGTAGGCGTCTCAGGGACCATCTTCCCCCCACACACCCCTACGCACGCACGCTGCCAAGACTCAAGACACACGCTGCCAAGGACACCAAAACCCAACCACCAGACATTTATGAGCTTGCACTTACTGCCAAGGCGCGCCCCGGTGACGCCCAAATCCGGCATATAGATGGATTGTCGACACATAGAGGACTATCGTCACGGCAATCGACACCGACGCCAGGCAGAACCGAAGAAAGGGGTTGGTCGGGTACGACCACACGGTCATGATGGCGGTAGAGGAGGAGGAGGAGGAGGAGGAGGAGGAGGAGGAAGCACAGCCATGTACGTGTTGCAAGTCACCACTCGCATCCCAAAACAACAGAGGCCACCCACGCGAGGAAAAGGGAAACTCTGCCTTCTTATGAAGGGTTCCTGTCAGGCTGCCTACCTTACAGTGGCCCTTCTAGACTCGCACTGCCGCTCCCGGTTCGGGTCTGGGAGCCGCGGGCTTGCGAGCTACGTATCCAAGGGCGGCGACATGGACCCAGCTGAGATCTAGTACTGCTATTCCTTAGCGCCATGGAACGGTTGGAACCATTGTACAAGGTCTGAGGCAAACAGATTCTCCTGTTCACAGTCCATCCCACGCAATCTCATGAAAAGCGCGCGCTCGTATCGGAGGGCTGGCTCACCCGCATTCCTGCGCAGTCGGCCCTACGAGGCATTGATGATCTACATTATTACATACGTACCTGTTTGATAGGGACCAAAGACAAGACCGCTTTCGTCGAGTGGCGTGCTTCAGGTGGCTTGCCCGGCACCACATCCGTCATTGTACGCTGAAGTGAGACACTGTCTCTGCTAATGATTCGGTCCAAGGCGGGAAAGTGCCGGGCCCTTGGGCTCGCTCGTCTTGTTGATGCTGACTGCGGAATGGCAAAATCTAGCTCGGATGCCTCTGATGGCCCTCGACAAGAGTCAAGGTCAGGCAACTAGTACTAGATACAGACACATGCACAACAAATTCCAGAGGGTTCCTGCGCAGAGGCCATTGATGTCTTGAAGACATCCGAGACCTTGTACTTTCCACACAACCAACTGGGACTGGTTTACACGCGGGCGGCCGGCTAGATGCTTGCTTGCGTGCGCGCGTCAGCCATCCATCATCGGTTCATGGCACGGGAAGACTGGGAGGCCTATTCATTGATTCATTACGCGTCCTCGAGTCACCAGAAAGGCCCACAATTGACTTTGCTCCCGCATGCGAAAGCCTAGACCTTTTGTCCAGTCGGATATGGACGCACATAGGGTCATCTCGGCATGGAAACGCCGCGCGGGGACCCGCCCAGACAGCTAAATAAGGGAAAAGAAGCTTTCATCGTGGTTGGTCTGCCCTGGGCGTATTTACGTAGTATTACTCTTACTATTAATTTTGAGCCTTTGCTACTTTTCTCCCGCCTCGGCGTGCTCTTTTATGCTGCTATAATTGAATACGGAGTCACACTGTCAGTGGAGTGAGCTCGTGTTAAACCGCAACGCGTTCTACTTGTAGCATGTTGTAAAGAAAAGATACAATCTTCATTGAGTACGGCCATATACAATATATAATGATCAGAATCAGGCCATGGACATTCTTCGTGACGAAGCTCCGCCCCCTGTCTGAAATTTGGCATTCACGCAACCTCGCATGTACGCAGTAGATTTCCGTAGCGTCGAGTTGGAAAGCAAACTCAGCATCCTACTTGAGCAGGTCTTTCAAAACCGATACGCGGGACTCGGCCACATCCGACTCTTTGCCCATAATCTCCATAATGGCTACCATCTTCTCTATTGGTTGTTAGCTGGTGCTCTCTCCAGAAGTAACGTCGTACTCACCAATGTCGTCCCGGCCCCTTGCATACAGCGGATCCTTATACGCCAGCTGACGATCTCCGTCCGTCTTCTCGACTTCTTGCAGCGCGTTTCCGATGCACATTGCCTCGAGAAAGGCCCGGTGGTTGAACACCCACCAAACCCGTGCTTCCTGCTCGAGCAGCTCCCAGAGCATGAAGAACGCCGTGATGGCGTCATGCGCAGACTCGAGCACGAGCCTCAGATTGACACTCGACTCTGGGCAGTCGGACGCGTGCACGAGCATCAGGTTGTGGTGGTAGTTGCTGAAGAGGAAGAGGGTCTGCCGCACGACGCGAGGCTTCTCGTTGACCAGCCTCGCCAGCTGGTCCGCGTCCCAAGAGCGGAAGCTGTCGGGGAAGGACCTGTAGACGGAGCGAAATTCGCCAATGATCTTGGATTTGGCCCGTGCCGTGGGGCATATGGGCATGTCGAGTGAACGCTGCGAGCAGATTGTCTCCTGCACCAGGTTGGCGAGGGTCCACGACGCGCGAATGTAGGCAATATCGGTGGGATCACTGAGCGCAATGGAGGAGCTGTCATCCAAATCCTCCACCTTGACATCCGTGTGTGTGGCCGACGGCGGCAGAGACAAGAGGACGACGAGGAATGTATCTTGCAGCAGGACTGCCTGCCACAGCTTGCGCCTCTGCTGCTTCTCGAAGGGCGTCGCGTCTGGTGTCACAATGTTGGGGTCGCGATGGAGACCCATGGCATAGGCCTGTCGCACCAGGACTCCCGCAAACGCCCACCCATCTGAGGCATGGTTGTCGTTGATGAGGAAGTAGGTGATCAGCACCATGGTCTGGATCGACGTGATGGACGCTGTGCTGAGGTACGAGAACATGCGCAGGGCCTGGTTGCTCGCCGACGCGTAGAACTCGGCCGAGTGCTTACGCTCCGAGATGGTAGTGCCAGTGCCAAACTGGAACTGCGTCCCAAGCGCAAAGATGACGAGCATCAACCCAATGAACGATGCATCCGCCACGACCTTTGCCTCATCTGACAGCTGCCAAAAGTGTTCGTACTCGGCGTAAAAGGTCTGGCGGTGAATCATGGGGTACACTGGATCGACGCACTCGAAATACCGCTCCAGCAGGACGTCGGCCTGGTACTTGTGAGGTAGCACAGCGACAACCTCGGCCAGGCCACCACCGCAGGTCCAGTAATTGGCAAAGGGATGCTCAGCGCCGACACCAAAGACGTTGCTCGCCTTGGGCACCGAGTACGGGACGTGGCTGAGAAGACCAGTGGACCCTGAGACAGGTCCTCGGTCTGCTAGGTTGGGAACGGGGGCTGAGCCGTAGGTGCCAGGCTGGTTCTTTGGGGGTTTTGTGATGCGCCGGCCATTTGTCGCAGCCGCATTCGTCTTTCTGGAGAGAAGTTTCAGTCGCCGGTGATATCTTGAAGCTGGATCCAACTTACTCGATGAGATTAGCCCTCTCCGCATAGACGCAGGGCGTCTGTCTTCGCACACCTGGGAGCGGTTAGTTCACGGTACTCTCACAGAGCAAGTTGCTCTTCTACTTACAGGCTGTGCAGTGAGGACGCCCGCGATCACACTGGGGAGCATTAATATCGGTGTTTCGGGTGTGGCCATTGCCTCACTGACCTTGGTTTTCCTGTCGACGCATTCTTGACACGACAGAGTCGGCTTGTTGCGTTTCTGCTTCTTTCTCGCATGCTCCTGCCCTCCGTCGAGCTCGAGCTTGATCTCGCTGTGGTGGTGATCGTCCTGCGCCCCATTCCGCTCTCGGTAGACACCGTCACTATCTGCCAGGGCGTCTGGCCTGGATGGCCGCCGCATGTACGAACCAAAGTGCATCGGCTGTGTGTCCTGTGGCGACGGGAAGGAGCCCTGGCTGGTAGCCGAGCTAGGCGTCAAGGCTGAGGCGGCATGACCTGGGGTGCCATAGGGGTAAGGTTGAGGGTGAGCGTGAGGGTGAGCGGCAACTGGCACTGGCGGAAGGCCGGGCTGCTGGGAGTGTGGTGGCGCGGGCTGGCTGTATAGACTGGGATACGGCTGTTGAACGATAACTGGTGGTGGTGGTGGTGGAGGTTGCTGTTGGCCATGACCGCGTCGCAAGTCCATGCTCGACCGACGACAGGCCCTTCCCCGGATTGATTGGCGATTGCCAAGGCGTGATGTGCTCCCACTTCCCAGCACCGGGAATAATCAGGCGTTGAAGGTTGTCACTTGTGCAGCTCTCGGTAAGAAGGAGTCGGGCTGCAGGACAAGCCGCGGATCTGTCGGATGGGGATGCAATTGGTGCAGCGGATTGGGCTACAAAGGCCCGGGCGCCTGGCTTGTCACCTGGGAGTAAGCAGTGCGTTCGGCTTTGTGGACGACCAACTGTGCATGTCAGTCAACGATTGATGGGCGCACTGCACGGGCTGGTTGGCATGTCTCGGAGCCACCGTAGGTAGTACCAGGTTCGTGGGAATAAGAGGGGAATCTGTTGAGGTTGATCCTCCATTGCGGGATTGGGAGGCTGGAGCATTGGAGCCTCCTCCATCCGATCTGCTGACCGACGAGAGACTGGACTGGACCTTGGCATCATGTTCGGATCCGCCTTCTGCTTTCGTCACGCGCGTCTCGACGAGTGTCATTGGTTGCCGGGAGCGAGCCAGGCCCGATACGGTTAGCGGCCACCACATACCGAGAGACTTCTCACAAGAACCTGCGATAACAGCATTCAGCGGCTGCAGTGATATTCAAAGGTAGATAGTAATGATATTGGTCACTTGTAGATACTTGAGAGACTCCAGGACAAGCCGTTGTCCGCCAATTGAATCCGTGTGGTAAGGTATTCGCATATAATGTCTTGAGCAGTCCGTATTCCAAATGCAAGCGGCGAGCAAAGGTCTTCGTCCATGTTTGCATTGTCAGGGGGCACATACAAAGTAATCAGCCACTTTTGAAATTTTTTAGAAATTGTAAGAACAGCCAATATGCGAGCTTGCTCATATCTAAATCATACTTTGTTGCGGCTTGCCTCAACATAGTCCCCCGGGCAGTTGAGCTGCTCCCCCAATCGTGGTTCAGGGTAGTTGGAACAGAGCTGTCACGCGTTCCACGGTGCCAGGTTGCCAGCGACACTGACTGGAAGTCCCCCTGTACCGGCTGGCAAGGAATACAGAACAGAAATTCATGTCAAGCGACACGAACGACCTCCAATTGTTCGTAGTGCGATGTATTTCTGCGCTGTTGACACCTCAGTGCGCAAGAAGTGGTCAAGAACATACCTACCCACATGCAGCTATCGCGCCGCGCCAGCAACATCATGAATCATCACGCCATGACCTCAGTTCAGTTCTTCGCCGGAGCTCAACCAGCCCCCCCTTCCCGTCTAGCACCATCTGCTCTTAAAGTTAAGCTTACCACCTCTCATGAACGCCCCGACTCTCGCCTTACGACGCACATCACAAATACGGCATCATCTCCTCCACACCACGAGTGCAATGGCCGAGACTGCCCGCTCTCCGGCGCCATGGCGCGCCAGCTTCCTTGCCCACGTCAAGGACATGGACGAGCCGTCTTTCAACCTGAGCACCCTGCACCGCATTGACGACACGACAATCGTGCCGCGGTCGCGCACGGTGATTTACAGAGGCATGTGGGCCGACATGCCCGTCAACTCCAAGAACCAGGCCGAGCTCAACCCAAAGGGGTTCGAGAGCGACCTACCCACCCTCACCACTGACGCGCGCATGGAGAAGGTGCCCGAGATGCTCAATTCGGGACGGGATAATGGCAAGGAGCCGATGCAAAGCGGCAAGGGCGGGCCCATTGAGGCCGTGTTCTGGTGCTCCAAGGCGAAGACACAGTGGCGCCTACGAGGACATTCCTACATCATCGGTCCGGACATTGGGAGTGATGCGGCGGCACCTGTACGCGCCGCCGTCGAGAGGCACATGCGCGGATCCGGCAACGAGTTCAGTTTTACACGCGAGCTGACGGCGCATTTTGGCAACTTGTCGCCCATGATGAGGGGGACATTTCGCAATCCGCCACCGGGGACGCCCTTGAGCGAGACGCTGTCTGCAGGAGAGGCCCTGGGCCAAAAGGTGGAGGATCTGGACGACGCGGTTGCGAGGAAGAACTTTCGGGTGGTGATTATCGTGCCCGAGGAGGTGGACCAGGTGGACCTGTCCGATCCAGAGCGAGTGAGGAGGTGGAGCTACATGCATGTGGGCGAGGGCACTGCCGGGTCGTGGAAGATCACTGAGACGTGGCCGTGAGGCGTGTCCGTGATTGCGCCACGAGACTGAGTGAGCGTACGGATAGCGGCGCGCAATACACGTTCGCGATGAGCCCCCATCGTTTTCTCGAGACTCGCCCCAGTCGCAAAATAGAACAGAGTTTGCGTGGCTCATGTCGTGGCCCCATCGACTGACTCTGTCTTCATCTGGCCGAATTTATTAGGTTCGCCGGACTGATCTGGATGTCCGTAGGGGACGGCACAAGAAGAGAAGCATTGGCGCGAACGCCGAAATGTAATCTGATCGACCCAATTATTTGTGGTGTCCAGCGACTTCAGCCTGGCGTATAGAGAACGCGTTAGCATGTGATGATTCATCCCCCATCAGGGTCGTCATGTCCACGGCTTGGAGACGGTTTTGCGCTCGTGTTAACTTCCTGCATTCGCAGCCTTAAATACATAGGAGAGGCCAGGTCTATGATTGTAAATTTGCGATCAGGATGCAGGAGTAGGATCCCGAGGGTCAGAGGGACACCCGTCGGCACTGCAAAGTGATTTACATGCCGTCGCAAGGGCGATCTGCCAAGGCCATCTCATCGCCTCGGCAGCCCATCCTTCCGCGCCACCCGCATTTAAGCATTAAGGTTAAATGTGGTGACGATGGGGGATTGGGGGTCCCGATCAGAGGGACGGACCAATGCGACGCCGTCGTCTCTGCCCCGCTGTGTCCCTCCGTGAGACCGTGACGTTGACACTGGACAGCGCACTCGGCTATTTGGTGATGCCCGAGTCAGGGGGGAGATCTGAGAGGGTCTCGCCGACCACATGCGCGTCCCCCCCGACCCTCAAGCTTTGACTCGTCTCGTGTCAGTCTGGTGCTTGGCCATACTAGTATATGTAGGGTCCATGACAGCTGGAATTGGCTTCCGTAGCCTGGAGGGTCGTCACCAGAGTTCACAGTCCAGACTGCGCTTGTGGAAACAAGCTTTGATGCCCAGAGCGGCTCCATGTTCTGTTACTCCATGTTTAGAAACCACCTATGCTCCATGTCGTATACAGTCGATCCCTGCGCCGGCTGCTCACCCTGCCGTCTTGGCCTCCGTCAAGGTAGAATGGCTATGCCTCTTTCGTACATGTAGTCAACTACCTCTACACTGAGCTTTGCTTACCTTACCTCTTTGTCATCTCCGGGATGGCTAGGACATGTGGATGTCGTGAGCGTCGCGACCCGGGGTCTCAGTTGCTTCTCCATGCGCGCTAATTCAATGGGGACTGGATGAAGGCGCAGCAACTGCACGGACTAGATGCCATGGTCATTGAAATGCGTGGATGAGAGTACAGGAGAGACGGGTATAAGAGGCCAGAGCGTGCCCGTATCTCAAACTGAGCTTCTTATCCTCACTCGTCTCATTCCCAACTCCAAGTCAAACAACCTCCTGCTCCCATCACCGTTCACACAAACCTGCCCCCCAACCCGCCAACATGAAGACTGCCGCTGTTCTCACCATGGCCTTCGCTGCCGCCACCCAGGCCACCCCTATCCTCAACTTGGGCAAGGGCAATGACAACAAGGGCGGGCTTCTCGGCGGGCTCCTGGACTTGAACCTTGACCTTGACCTTGGCTCAGGCTCCAACCTCGACCTCGAGGAGGGTGGCAAGAAGGGTGGTCTTGACCTTGACTTGGACCTGGACGTCGATCTCGACCTCGACCTTGACCTGGGCCTCTGCGGCAAGAAGACCAAGTACTTCACCTCTGCCTACAAGGTGCTCGCCACCCCCGACCAGGTCGTCAACTCGATGAACGAGAAGACAGGCGGCCTCAAGGGCGCCAAGGGCCTGTACACGTTTGGCATCAACTCGGACGAGGATGTCATCTGCTACAAGATCATCCTGACGGGCTTTGAGGGCGAGTACCAGTCGCCCGCCAACACGGCCACCCACATCCATCAGGCGGACAAGGGCATGTCCGGTCCTCCCCGGTACGTCTGCCAAACTCTTTGACGCCAGATGGATTTGATCGCAATGACTGACTGTGCCTTTGCAGGATTGCCTTCCCCAACCCCCAGGGTGACAAGATCCGCGTGTCCAAGGGCTGCCTTCAGGGACCCTTTACGACGGGTGTCATTGCCAATGGCCAGGATACTGGCGTCGGCTTCACCCTCAAGCAGATCGAGGCGGACCCGACAAACTTCAACGCTGACGTGCACTCGTCCCTGGCCGTGCCAGGTGCTGTCCGCGGCCAGCTCAAGCACTAAGCATGACTCCGCAAGGGGATTGAAGTCTGGGAGAGGACGGTTGTATATGTATATATGAGAAAGGGCCTTACGACCTCATCTGGGTTACAAGCTACTTAGTCTTTAATGTTAATCATCCACTACCAGCTCTCGCAATCAGTTGATGGACTCACGTGGCCTTGGGCACGCATTTTCAGGTCGAGCCTCGGCAAGTCGCCAAACGATCATATCTCACTGTTCCGCGGGCCAAATTCAGTTTTGTAGACAGGGCCTTTGTGGCAGCCCCTCTCGTTGAAACAGAAGAGCATGTTGATGATGGAGCTCGAACAGGTCCTGTGAAAGATACTCATGAATGATCGACGGCACACTGTGCTAGTGCTATGTTGAATCTCCACTCGTATCTCGGAGCTTGAGCCTGAGCCCCTCTCAGTGGGTATATGAAGTCAGTGAGAACTCAGGTGATGGGATAAATTTATCCCATATCGTACAGCAGACTCGATCAGCATAGCCTTTCTCCTGCAGGAGGTTGGTGCGCGTGATATGCCGAGCAACCTTGCTCACGTACTTACATGTACTTGCGCAGAAAAGAAGCGAGAACAATCAAGCCTGATGCTTGTAATTGGACTTCAAACAGGCGGTGTCGAGCATCCCCCGCTTGCGAGCTGCAGGTTGCATTGTGGATGATCATCAGGATGCGTCGCAGATGGACCAGTGAAACCGACGGACACGCAGGCCGTCATCGTATAGTCTTGGCGAATCGACAAATCAGAGGCACCTAACCTGAGGGCATTTAGGCCGGATAGGGCGCCGGGGGATCAATGTCTGCAGCCGTTAGTACGGATACTATGAGAGGATCATGCGCATTGGCCCGTTCCGTGCCGCCTTTGCCAGTGACGTTTCGGAATTGTTTATTGGCCTGCTGGACTCGTGTTGCTGTCGTTGTTGCAGGTGTACGGATGCTGTAGCAAGTAATAATAAATATACAAGTATCATGCATGAGGTGGGGAAGCGAGCTGTCTTGATCAACTGCTCAGACTACCTTGGGTAGATCTCGTGATAAGTTACTAATTAATAATTGGTGCTTACCTAGTAAAACATGTGCTCACTCGACGAGTCGACGGATATATGTATCTACCCTCGGCCAGCATCGCTTCAAGATATGTTGCCTGGCGGTCTGATTCTCGAGTGCTCACTACTCAGCCCGGAATTCCAAATACTACCTGGCTCGAGAGGCACGACATGGAGATCATTGCCCGGGGACATGCGGTGGACCATCGGCCCCTGTCGCTTGGCAGTGGGAAACACGCATGACAGGCAGTCTGACAGGCACACCAGAAGCCGATCTCGCATCTCGCTGCGTGCGGGACAGATGAAATCATGAAATGACGGCGACTGGATGACGGCGGATGGCTGCTTCGAGTCTGTGCCTCCGTAGTAATCAAGGCAATTACCAGGCAATTAACAATGGACTGATTGATGGACCACTCAGTACCCTCACTGCTGCTGCTTGCTCGCCCGTGTATGTAGTGTGCTGGTATAGGCACAGTGCATCTATCCTGCAGCAGCATCAGCACGGCTGGGAATCAGGCACCCCTGATAATAATACATGCACCATTCAAGTGATCAAGTCCGTACCTATGCGCAAGCACGACTTTCATCACTGCATCCAGTCTGCAGGAAAACAAACAAGACCATTATCATTTATTCCTGGACTGGAGCCCACAAGTCCATGTCCACCGCGGACCGCAGCGGCAGGCGTCACTTTGAGTCCGTGACAGACAGACAGACACCGTGACACTCCAGTCCCTCCCTCCCTCACTGCACTTCAAAAATCCGCCTTTGCCCACATCCATCCGCCCGTCCATCCCGCTGCTTCCTGTATACAACGTCTCGCTGTATGATTTGCCTGCATCACCAGACCGCATCAATCAACGAGCTCGACCTTTGACGCCGCCATTGGCACATGTGCGGGCTTCTCGGCGACAGACAAGCTCGTCGGCGACCTACAAGTAGAACTTGAGCCACCCAACAGCCGCATCGCATACCGACGATTGCCAATTCGAGCAAGGCCCAGCACACATTCGACCTGTCCAGATCCCACGCGGACAATCATGCTCTCTACTTGAAGCCCACTGGCACCCTTCCCCGACGTTCCCGCCTAGACTCGAATAACAACGTGGGCACGCACGACCGCTCTTTGAGATTGTCGTTGTTGGTCGACCAACCGTCCACACCCTCCGATCGGCCACGACCAACGACCCGTCCGTCGCATCGCATGGGATCCTGAGGGCGAGCCGCATGTTGGTCCCTCGTCCCTCGCGACCCGAAGCGACACCCCAGACCGCAGAACATCGCTGCCTTCTTCGCAGAGAGTTGGGTGTGCTCGCGCCTGCTCTGTGAAATCCCCAAGGCAAGCCAGCTGATTACCATTGAGAACGCCGCTCGGACAACGGAATACCATGTGCGAAATGGCGATGGACGCGCTCAGACATATTATCGGCAACGTGCCGCATTGGCTCAACAGATTGGAAGAATTGAGCAGCCAGATTGAGAAGCGACAGCTGGAGTTGGCAGCCATTGCGACATCTACAGAGCCGAAGCCGCCCGGGCCCAGATCTCTGAGGAACAAGGGCTCTACAGAGTCGCTCAAACCCACGAACGATGGCCCATCCATGATCCCCGACACGGAGACGGCCAGCCCAGCGCCTCGACGCCCAATGTCAGGCGGTCCTCAAGACGTCACACAGCTCCCTCCCGAAGGTCCAGTCGACACTGCTGCCGCTGGGCTTCCCAGCGGCCGAATAGGCGATGGGGCGACGGCAAAGAAGAGGCAACGGTCAGCTTCCACGTTCGCAGTCGACGATGTGCCGCAGGTCTTTCGAACGAGGAAAATGATCATTGTGTACTACGACAGCTACGTGCAGCGCTTCTTCGACGACCTCGTGCGGTTCATCTCATCGAGCAGGAACATGATGCGCAAGGCCAAGATGGCAGCCAGAGTGGCTCAAATAAAAAAGATGGCGGAGATGGACATGTCCCAGACAGATGGGCGAGACGACGATGGCGAGTCCTTGCCTTCGCTTCGGTATCTGAGCTCGCGGCGCATGCGTCCAGGACGCGCTGGGCCTGGCCCCCTCGGCGGAGAGGAGCAGCCCGATGCCTACAGTCACCTGGACAAAGGCCTCGAATTCATCCAGTGCACCTGCGAGCACGGCGCACACCAGTTCCTGCGCGACGCGGACTGCAAGGACGAGATTGCCAAGATCGGGACGAAGCTGCGTGATGTTCTCGACATGGCGCAGAAGGAAATGGACAGAGTCCTGGCGGAGGAACCGGAGCTCGCCAGGGAAACCAGCGAGGCGGACAAGACAAAGTCCTGCAGACCCATCAGCGTTCGTCGAGAGCTTTCGGCGCAGCACAAGGAAGTACTGGTCACCTCTGAGAATGCCTCGAGCAAGCCCGATGCCGCCACCTCAGCGCGATCCCAGAGCTCCTTCATCGAGCCCGCCACAAAACCACTGGCAACCGACGAGTTGGAGCCGGATGAGGGCATAGATGTCGAATTGGAGATGCCCAAGTTGCAGTACAGGTCTACGCGACATTTGCGTGCTCCACGCGCACACTATGTGCCGAACTGCACATAGCTCCTTTACCCCCACTGCAGAAACTATCTTTTCGCATACGGCGACACGCCGACGGAGTCTTGGGGAGAACATTTGATTTTCTTTTTTTGTGGCATTGCCAGCGTCTTCTTGCATGATCTGGGTTTTGGAAACGAACGGTCGGGCGAGCATCTTTGGGAAAACATAGCTTGACTGGGCCTTCATTGTAGCGATTGGTTTTGCAGAGTATGGTCGCAAGCTGGTCTGGACTTATGATTGAATGACTATTATCGAATGGTGTATGCCGCTACAATGGTGAATGTTTGACGAGCATTATTTTGTTCTTGTGTTTGGGTGATGTTAGTGCTGTGGGCGGTAGTAGCACCTCATCCAGGCGTATGACGTCCAGGGTCCAGGACTCCAGGTCCAGCACGCTACCACCAACTTACCTTATCACCTGCTGCTTCCAACGCGTACACCCACCGACGGAGCGAGGACCGGAGCTGGCGCATCTTCTTACTTTCACGCGCAATAGATTGACATTGTCGTTTATCGAAGCGCGACACCATGAGGGAGGCTTTGCGGCAAAGGCCTGGCTTCTAGACACAGCACCCAAGCCATCGCATAGCGAGCTCTCACAATGGGCCAGGGCTTCTCCCTAGCGACGCCGGCTGCCGGATCGACGGGCATCGACATTGCACAACTCAGCGACGTGCAATATGAGCGTAGCGTCGGGAACGCCCGCTTCATGAAGGGCATCCGCGGCCGCACCGAGAACGGGGTCGTGCTGGTCAAGGTGCTGGTCAAGCCATACGCCGAGGTGAAGCTGGACGAGCACAAGAGGAAGCTCATCGGTCAGTGTTTGCGTCCTCTCCACTCGAAAATCGTCTAACTGTGCCCAGAACAGCGGATCGCCCTCGCCGACGTGCCCAACGCGCTCGCCTTCCAGCGCATCATCGAAACCGAGACCAACGGCTACCTCGTCCGCCAGTACCTCTACACCTCGCTCTACGACCGCCTCAGCACCCGCCCGTTCCTCGAGGACATTGAGAAGAAATGGCTGGCCTTTCAGCTCCTGTGCGCCCTGCGCGACGCGCACGCCCGCGACATCTACCACGGCGACATCAAGGCCCAGAACGTGCTCGTCACGTCCTGGAACTGGCTCTACCTGACCGACTTCTCGTCCGCCTTCAAGCCCGTCATGCTGCCCGACGACAACCCCGGCGACTTCTCCTACTTCTTCGACTCGTCGGGGCGGCGCACCTGCTACATTGCGCCGGAGCGCTTCTACGCCTCGGGGGAGACACCGCCGCAGAAGCCCAAGATGACGTGGGCCATGGACATTTTCAGCGCGGGCTGCGTCATCGCCCAAATGTTCCTCGAGTCCGAGATCTTTAGTCTTGCGCAGCTGTACAAGTACAGGAGGGGCGAGTACGACCCGGTCATTACACATCTCGGTGTCATTGCAGACAAGGACGTGCGGGAGATGATTGCGCACATGATCCAGCTCGACCCGGAGAAGCGGTATTCGGCAGACCAGTACCTTGACTTCTGGAAGGACAAGGTGTTTCCCTCCTACTTTTACAGCTTCCTCCATCAGTACATGGAACTCATCACGGACCCCTCGTCAGGGAACAGCGCCATGTCCAGCATCGAGAAGAATCTTGGAGAGTCGGATGACCGTATAGACCGGGTATACTACGACTTTGACAAGATCTCGTACTTTCTGGGGTATCCACAGAGGGAAGGCCAGCATGAAGCCTTGCAGCTGCAGTCTCGGCTGAGCCTGGATCACTTCCCCGTGCGCCTTGGCATACCAAACCATGAGCACAGCTTGTCCTCGGATCTTGAACCTCCAGAGGACGATGGCACGCTCATATTCCTCACTATTGTGGTCTCGTCCCTGCGAACCACCGCCCGGGCCTCCTCACGAGTACGGGCGTGTGACGTACTCCTGGCGTTTGCGGAGCGTCTGACGGACGAGGCCAAGCTCGACCGCGTGCTGCCGTATCTCATGACGTTGTTGTCCAAAGACAACGAAAAGGACATTGTCATGATCAGTGCGATACGTGCAATCACACAGCTTCTGCAGCTCGTACGGATTGTTACGCCAATCAACTCCCACGTGGTGGTGGAATACGTCCTCCCTCGGATGGAGATCGCGCTGGGCTCAAAGTCTCGCAAGGCAAGTCCTCTCGTCAGGGCGACGTATGCAGCGTGCCTGGGCAGTCTGGCTTCGACTGCGCAACGTTTCCTAGAAATGGCCTCGAGTCTACGGGCGGATGGGTCCATGCCCATCGCGGATCCCGAGGTCGAGCCCGGAGCAGACGCCGAGGCCAACTTTGAGAGTGTATTTGATAACGCGGGGCGACAGCTCTTCGAAGTCCTCGAGGGCCACACGAAACAGCTCGTGGAAGACCCGGATGTCAACGTACGCCGTGCATTCTTGGCCTCTGTGCCCGAGCTGTGCATGTTTTTCCAGGATCACTCCAACGACATTCTGCTGACGCATCTGAACACGTACCTCAATGACCGCGACTGGCAGCTAAAGTGCGCGTTCTTTGACACCATTGTGGGCATTGCCGTGTTCATTGGTGGGCCGAGTCTGGAGGAATTCATGCTGCCGCTCATGGTGCAGGCCCTGGCTGACACGGAAGAACACGTCATGCAGTCGGCTTTACATTCTCTCGCGCAGCTCGCTAGTCTCGGCTTGCTGTCGAGGGGTACATTGTGGGATCTCGCTGACCTGGTCGGGCGCTTCACCATGCACCCCAACATATGGATCAGGGAGGCGGCGGCCGAGTTTGTGTCCATGTCCGCTTGCCATCTCGATGAGGCTGACAAGATATGCATCTTGTCTCCGCTTGTACAGCCTTACTTCCGGATACCTGGCATACCTGATTTCGACGAGCTCACAATCCTCGATACCTTGAAGCGGCCCTTGTCCCGACCAGTCTATGACCAAGCTTTGGCGTGGGCGACCAAAGCTGAGAAGGGGCTGTTCTGGAAGGCGCTGCAGTCAGCGCGGCCCTCTGGGGCGGGAGCCCTGGGCAACATGGTTGCAAAGTCGTCCAAGGACTTGACAGAGGGCTCGATCAGTAAGATGGCTCGCAATGAGGAGGACGACCACTGGCTGGGTAGGATGCGCCAACTCGGCCTGAAGCAGGAGGATGAGCTCAAACTCATGGCCCTACGGGAGTACATCTGGCGCCTCAGCCGCATGAAGAGTCGCGACGCGAGCACAGGCGAATCTTCACCGGCTTCAGGGCTTATTCCACTGCAAAAGTTGGGGGTCACGCCGCAAACAATCTTCTTTAACGAGGAGCCATTGCACTTCCCCGACAAAGCGGCCGACTTGACTCCGCCGGGACCATATACAATTGCCGATGCGTTGCTCGATGCCTCAATGACGATTGACGATTCTGTCGGGAAGAGAAGACGCGCTGCGCTGAACATGCATAAGAATCGCGTGCACAGCGTAGGTCCACGCGCAAACTCGCAACGTTTTGCGTCGCCCGCTGCCCATGGTCGGGCGAGCTCGATGGACACTCGTGCCTTGAGTCATCAGCGCACCGCATCGTCCGAGTCCGTCGACGGCCCGTATTCGGTGAGGAGAGCCATACGCCAGTCCTCGAGCGCCTTGAACCTGCTCGACAGGAAGGATGGCAACAAGTCGGTGCCTGAAACCGGGACGACGGACACCACCGCCTTTGGAGAGATGGAGGGTCCCTTTGTGCAAGAAGAAGAATCCGCCACGCCGGCCGCCAATGCCAGCGGTGCCCTGCGGACGGAGAAGAACAAGTCGTCCAAGCATAGCTATGAAGGAAACGACCCCAATGTCCAGAAGATGCTGGACAACATGTACATGGAGGTCTTCCCCCGCGACGTGAAGGACTTTGGGGCTACCGTGACCCCCATCTCGAGGGACAGATCTAACACGATCACGTCTCAAGGCAAGCGGGAGCCATGGCGCCCCCAGGGGAAGCTCGTGGCTACGTTTGGAGAGCACAAAGGCCCAATTATGCGTGTTGTGCCGTCTCCCGACCACGTCTTCTTCATCACTGGCAGTCACGACGGGACGGTCAAAGTATGGGACACGGCGCGGCTGGAGCGTAACATTACACATCGATCCCGCCAGACACACACGCAAGGGTTTGAAGGGACGAAGATCACAGCACTCACATTTGTCGAAAACACGCACTGCTTTGTGAGCTGTGCTGGTGACGGCAGCGTCAACGTCGTTCGCGTCGACACGGTGACAAATGCTGGGATCGTTCGCTACGGCAAGCTCCGGGTGTTGCGTGAGTACCAGCTGCCCGATGGCGAGTGGGCGGTCTGGGCGGAACACTTTCGACATGAGCAGGTCTCTGTGCTCCTGATAGCGACCAACTGTTCACGTATTCTGGGCATTGACCTCCGCACCATGAGCCTCATGTATGTGCTGGAGAACCCTGTGCGCCATGGCACGCCGACCTGTCTTTGCGTCGACAAGAAGCGCAACTGGGTTTGTGTCGGAACATCGCATGGCGTCGTCGATGTCTGGGATCTCCGATTTCGCATACGGCTCAAGGGATGGGGTGTACCGGGTCAAGGGTGCATCTACCGCATGAGTCTGCATCCCACCAAGGGCAGGGGCAAGTGGGTGTGTATAGCGGGAGGCACTCTCCAGGGCGAGGTCACAGTGTGGGATCTCGAACGAGCGACGTGTCGCGAGATTTACCGGACAGCCAGCGCCAAAGAAGGGCCCAAGTCGTACGAAGCCTGGGACGTGGACGAGGACAAAGGGGGCATGCTCGGTCGCTTTGGCACAAACCTCGAGAGCAGCGAGGCGGCCAACGCGGACCGAGGGATGCGTACCATGCTTGTGGGATGCGATCCGCCCGAGGGCAGGGAGATACGCCATGCCTTTATGATCACAGGGGGCTCGGACAAGCGTCTTCGATTCTGGGACATCCCACGGCCTGATCACTCGACTATCTACAGCGGTCTGCAAACAGACGATGCAAAGCCGACATATACCACGAGCAACCCGGTGACGGGGCTGACGATCAACACGGAGCGCTTCCCGAGGCCGACGCAGCCTGCGGCGACCAAGGGCAAGGCATCCTCTACATCGGGGGGAAGCGGGAGGCCAGCGCGGCACACGGTGATATCGCAGCACCAGCAGCAGCTGCTGCAGTCGCATCTCGATGGGATCATGGATGTAGCTCTGCTGGAGCATCCTTATACCATGAGCGTATCGGTAGATAGGTCTGGCGTTGTTTTCATCTTCCAGTAGGTAGACTGGGTTCCCTGCCTGGCGTTTCGGTGTTTGGTCAAAGGGGACCATGCAAGGTTAGGCAATCATACAACGATGGCCTTTGATGTAGAGTGAGATACTAGTTCACTGAATAATTGAGATATCTTACATTAAAGTTGCAGTGCCAGATTCATGTTCCAAGCGCCTTAGTCGTAGTACGTCGTGATGATCCCCACTTTAATTATGGTCACCCTCGTGCTTCGACTTCGCAGGCTCCAAAACTTCAGCCTTACCACTACGTATCACTTCCACCGCGACAATTCCTCTTGCACAACGCCGGCCACCCAGAAGAAGAGGCAGTACACATCGAAAATTCAGCAGACGCCCCACGCGAAACCAATCGAACCAGGTAAACCCGTCACGATGAGGCTCACCGCGGAGCTCATCCGCGACTCCCTCTCCTACCTCAACCCACTGAAGGAGCGAGAGCTCGATCTCCGAGGTGCGTTTCCGAAAAGAGCAGAGTGCTACACTTGAAGAGAGCTAGAGTTGATCCCATCCTTTTCTTGCGCATAAAGGCCACCGAATCCCCGCGATTGAGAACCTCGGCGTCGCAGGTGTAAGTGTCCCCGCCATGAGATATGCAGTGGTTCGGTCCTCGGGGGTGGAAAACGCGAGCTAACATGCAAACCACTACCAGCCGCACGATGCGATCGACCTGACCGATAACGACATCCAAGTCCTAGGCAACTTCCCGCTTTCGCCACGCATCACGACGCTCCTTCTCGCGCGCAACCGAGTCGCTGCGATTCAGCCTACGCTTGCGGCATCGACGCCCAACTTGACGAACCTGGTGCTCTCCTCGAACGCGGTTGCGGAGCTGGCAGACCTCGATCCGCTGGGCAGGCTGGGCCGGTTGACGCACCTGGTGCTCGAGGACAACCCCGTGACGAAGAAGGAGGTGAGTCGGCCACAAGAAGGGTCTGTGAGCGTCTGACTGACGAATCGGCAGAACTACCGCTACTGGGTCGTCTGGCGATGTCCCGCCGTTCGCTTCCTGGACTACACAAAGGTGAAGGAGGCGGAGCGCGAGAGGGGGCGAGAGCTGTTCGGTACAGATGAGGAGCCCACAGCGCTTGCGCAGCAGGTACGTCTGAACAGAGAAAAGAAGGCATCATTCGATGTGTGTGCTGACGGATTGTGCACCAGATTATGGGTCAAAAGTCCAAGGGCGCGGCATTGGCGGCCAATGGCTCCGCACAGGCACCGTCCAGATTATCGAGGATAAAGCTCACAGACGACGAGAAGAAGCGGTTGCGAGAGCGGATCAAGAACGCGACAAGCTTGCAGGAGATCAATGCGCTGGAGAAGGAACTGAACGAGGGCAGGCTACCATCGGGGCTCCAGGGAGATCCGATGGAGGAGTAGGGTGGTCATGGTCATCTGGGGGAACTTTGCGTGCTTGGGTTTTAGATGAACCATCGGAAATACCAAAATGATTTTGTTGGCGTTCATACTACTCGCTTCGTCTTCGTGCCTGGGGCAAGTTGGGCACCGGCTGATATCACCACCAAGTCGTGCTAGCCTGACATGTGAACATCCCCGTCGTGCCCTCGCTGTCCATTCGCTTGCCTCATCTCTAGCTCTAGCTGCTGGCTGGGGTCTTCCTCCGACACCAGAGCCGCCACCGACGTGGGGTGGGTCGGTGTAGAGTTCACGGCCCTGGGGCTCGTGAGCAAGCCAAACGTCGAGTCTCCGTTCACGATGGACGTGGTGCTGCCGTTCGTAGCGGTGCGTGGGCGTCCCAGGATTGGTTCATCGCCCCCTCCTGCTGTGTTGACTGTTTTGAGGCGTGACTGTGTCTCTGCGGAGTGGGCCTTGATGTTTCTGTACGGGATGGTCTTGGGCACCACGTCTTCGAGGAACTCTAGTCTCTCCTGGCGGGCCACGGCGTTGGCTGTCATTGGAGTCAGTTGCATGCCGCGTGCTGCGTGCCGGCAATCTACATACCGACGTCTTTGTACTGAATGTTGCGGCGGGGCTTGGGGTCAATCTTGACTTGGTGATGTGCCTCCTCTGACAGGTGTTGTATGAACATCTCCTGTACTCGTGTGTTAATCTTGGTTTGCTGTGTAAGTGGGCAGAGGGTGTGTGGGAAAACGTACTGCGGCCATGGTTATGACAAATGCGGCATTGTTCGAGCAGATGGAAATATCTTGGTCCTGCGCAATGATTCTCTTGATTCGCGATACTGTGCGTTGTCAGCCGTGTCTTGAGCGTCTTGGGGTCCAATGAAGACGTACAAGGTAGCTGGGCCTGGCCTGTCGGCTCCTTCTTGGGAGGAATGGCTGTGGTGTTATAAGGCATGTCTTTTCTCTTCCAGAAGGTGATGTGATTTGATATCCTCGGGTCTGATGTGACCAGATTTCTTGTGAGATAAGGTAGCCAAGTTGTATTCTTCTTGCTTAGGTGAGAGGTCGTCCCTGAAGTGCTCCTAGGCTTGTCGTATGCAGAAAGCCAAGGATGCTTTTAAGTCCGAGTGCTGTCTCTGGTCCAAGTCGATATTTGAGATTCAGTTTACTGCCAGAACTCGAGCAATGCAGTCTATTCGGTTATCGCAATCCAGTTGAGGTCAATGAAGTTGAAGTTGGAATAATGCTGAAAGAGACGCGCCGCGTACCGGTAGTGCTGGGATCCCCTGCAACCACTAAACGCGGTCGCCCGCAAGTGTGGCTCATGCACGGCTGGCGCACAAGCCACACTTCCGACAGCTCAACATCCTGACCTACAGCCCGCCAACTACCTTTACCATCGTCATCCTGATCGCGCCAACCGTCCGAACGACTTGCTCGAGTCAGTCTCGCATGCCATCAATGCTGGAGATCTTGCGACCATGATCTGCAGGCCAGAATTATGAATACCCAGACCCCAAACGACCTACGGAGCCCTCAACTTCCTCGACGACCGTCCCTGAGCTCCAGGCTCTCCTTCGCAGTATCCCACGCCGAGCAAGGCGAATCAGTTGTCGATGCGCCGCCAGCCGAGGCGCAAATTGAGGATGAGATTGCCGAAATCAAACGATATGAGGTATGCTCTGCGCAATGGCAACAAGGGCTGCTATTCGAACAAGCCAAGCTGACCTCGCTAGGACTTTTCCACAATAGGTACGCCGACATTACGCTTCGCTATGCGATTGATGGATGAGCGCAGGACTGACGATGGATGCATTCAGACTGGGTCCAGGACTCGGCGCGCGAACAAGCGAGGCGCATAGCACGAAGGCGACGGACCGAAGGCGTATACAACCATGGGAAGCCTGGCTGGCGATACCGCCTGTGGGAGGCCTACGAATCGGCGCAGGGGTGGATAGTGGTCACCCTTGTCGGTATTGCGATTGGCTTCAACGCGGCTCTTCTGAGTATCGTCACCGAATGGTTGTCCGACATCAAGACGGGACACTGCAGCACGGGGTTCTACCTCAACGAGAACTTCTGCTGCTGGGGCGAGGACAGCGGTCAGTTCGCTTGACTCTGAACGCTGGAATGACGTACTGACGAGTATAGGCTGTGATGAGTGGAAGTATTGGACGGGCTTTGAGCCCTTTGACTATTTCATCTACATCATATTTGCTGTGCGTATCCCCTGGATAATCACCCTTCTGAAGGCTGGCTGACAGATCAGACCCTTTTCGCACTGGTGGCGGCAACACTCGTCAAATTCTACGCGCCCTACGCGGCGGGCTCGGGCATCTCAGAAATCAAATGCATCATCGCCGGGTTCGTTATGAAGGGATTCCTCGGCTTCTGGACCCTCATCATCAAATCCATCGCCTTGCCTCTGACCATCGCATCGGGCCTGTCCGTCGGCAAGGAAGGCCCGAGTGTACACTACGCCGTGTGCACGGGCAATGTCATCTCGAGGCTTTTCGACAAGTACAGGCGCAATGCGTCCAAGACCCGCGAGATCCTCAGTGCAAGCGCAGCGGCCGGCGTGGCTGTCGCTTTCGGCAGTCCGATTGGCGGTGTCCTGTTCTCTCTGGAGGAGATGTCCAACTATTTCCCTCTCAAGACCTTGTGGCGAAGCTACTTTTGCGCCCTCGTCGCTACGGCCGTGCTGGCTGCGATGAACCCCTTTCGGACGGGCCAGCTGGTCATGTTCCAGGTCTCGTATGATCGCGAGTGGCATTTCTTCGAAGTCGTCTTCTACATCATCTTGGGTATCTTTGGAGGCGTCTATGGTGCGTTCGTCATGAAGTGGAATTTGCGGGTACAATCCTTCCGCAAGAAGTACTTGACAAAGTATGCGATCCTCGAAGCTACGCTGCTAGCTGTTGCGACGGCCATCCTCGCGTACCCCAATGCCTTTCTCCGGATCGACATGACGGAGAGCATGGAGATCCTCTTCCTCGAGTGTGAAGGTGGGGAGGATTACAATCAACTGTGCGAGCGGGAGCACAGATGGGGCAACGTGGTGTCGCTCATCACGGCCACACTTCTGCGCACCTTTCTGGTCATCATCTCGTATGGCTGCAAGGTGCCTGCAGGTATCTTCGTGCCGTCCATGGCGATTGGGGCCTCGTTTGGGCGCACTGTGGGCATCATTGTGCAGGCTCTGCAGGAGGCCAATCCAGGAAGCGGCTTCTTTGCAGCCTGCAAGCCTGATGAACCCTGCATTACGCCTGGCACATATGCGTTCCTGGGTGCGGCCGCTGCACTGAGTGGCATGATGCACATCACCGTTTCTGTGGTGGTCATCATGTTTGAGTTGACAGGCGCGCTGACGTACATCTTGCCCACCATGATTGTTGTCGGTGTGACGAAGATTGTTGGCGAAATGTTTGGAAAAGGAGGCATCGCCGACCGCATGATCTGGTTCAGCGGCATGCCCTTTTTGGATAACAAGGAAGAACACAACTTTGGTGTTCCCGTGTCCAAAGTCATGCAGACTTCCATCGTCTCGATACCAGTCACCGGCCTTTCTCTCAACGAGGTGGAGCAGTTGCTGGCTGACGGCAAGTATCAAGGCTTTCCCATTGTCGAGGACAAGAACAGCAAGGTCCTGGTGGGATACATCGGCAGCACGGAGCTGCGGTATGCGATCGACCGTGTCCGTCGTGAACGGCATCCCGGCTCGACGGCCAAGTGCATCTTTGCCCCTCCCCCGACGGCCCATTCTCAGACATCCATGCATCCGACTGTCATGGTGAGCACGGACTCTGGAGCCTCCACATCGCTTGATTTCAGTCGATACGTGGACGCCACGCCGGTCACGGCACACCCTCGGCTGCCCCTAGAGACAGTCATGGAGCTCTTCCGGAAGATTGGCCCTCGCGTCATCCTCATTGAATACCATGGCAAGCTTACGGGGCTTGTCACTGTGAAGGACTGCCTCAAGTATCAGTTCAAGGTGGAGGCTGCCGAGAACCCTCGGGATGACCACCGCATCAACGAGGGTCAAGAGCAGTTGTGGAACCTCATGCGCCGCGCGAGCAATTGGGTCTCGGTCAAGGTGTCGAGGCTCACGGGAGGCAGGATACGACTTAATGAGCAGTCCGACCGACCATCCTCGCGGCCGACACTTCAAAGAGGAGGGTCGATCTTGGAGGGTACGGAAGATAGCGTCGATGCAGGTGTCGAATTAGAGAGCCGAAGGTGACACCACAGGAATCAACTATTGGAAAGCAAGCTTATCAAAGCGCCCAGGGCCGTTGTCTCAAATGTCCATGTGCTGCTATCCTATCTATCTCCTTTCATCATGCAGATCCCCTAGGTCAATAACATCCTCATCTCTAGCCTCCTCTTCTTCCTCTCTGCTCGACCCTCTGGGCTCAATATCCTCTGACTGCGCAACGGCCGCGTACCCAGCATCGTCCTCGCCCGCACCCTCCTTGCTCTCATCCTTTCTCCCAATGATCACGTTCCCGACCACCAAAAATGCAGCCCCTGCCCACCACATGAGAGGCAGCTGCTCGCTGAAGATAATGGCTCCCATGAACGCCGTGAGCATAAAGTTGGCCGAGGTGTTCATGATGGAGACCTGGGTTGTTGAGGTCCCCTTGGCCAATGCCGTGGTGAACAGCGACCACATCTGCCGACATCAGTACATGTAAAAGTGATTTTGAGTCCGGGGGAGATCCTACAATGCCATTAAAGATGAGATTGAGCCCAAAGAAGGTCCCGCGCACGATATACTCCATGACGGTCTCCCAGTCAGACAGGCCAAGCGCATTAGCAATGCTGTTTGACAGCGACGTCGTAAGGGACGTCGTAGTCCTAGACTCATCAGAGACGGTTCTACAATACCTCTTTCGTACTCACAGCTTTGCAAATACACCGTTGAATGCTGCACACGCGCCGCTGGCGACAGCAAAGAAGATCCACTGCGTGCGCACACTCCATGAGCCGGCGCCCCCGACGCGTAGACCTTGTGTGCCGGACATGACTTTGGCCTTGGTGGTATGCGCTGTCTGTGTCGTCTGGTGCTGTGATGGCGGCTTCTTCCTGAGGCGTGCCATTGTGGACTTGTGTGAGCTGCTGCTAGAGGGTCGTTGAGGTAGGTTGCTGCTGCTGGTGACGGGAACTTGTGGATCTACAAAGTGTGGCTGAGGCGCGTCTGGGGTTCTCCAGGTTTGAGTACGGATTATCACAATTCAGGAATGGCGCCATGGTTCATGAGTGTCTGATGCGAATTCGATTGATCTGGAGTCATATGACCTTTCTCACGTTGCATAACCTATAATCCCCAAACGCCGAAACCCCATCCAAAGTCCAATGAGCTCCCGTCAACTCCGTCCAAATGCAGCATTCCCCAACCGTATATGAAATGATACCCCAGCAAGTCGACCAAACTGGCTGATGCAGCAAACAAATCTATGTCTCTCCGGGCTTCTTTGCGTTGCAGCTGACAATCTTGATCTTGTCCGCCGTGACGGGTGGGTGACCGTGATCCATCTTGAAGGTCACGTTCTTGATCAAGAATGTCCAGACCTCGTCGCAGAATCGGTAGGTATCGAGGCTTCCCTGCGCGCTGTTAGTATCTCGCCAGCCTCGCCAACATACAGCGTGGCAAGCGCACCTTGAACGACAGGCGGTTCTTAACGTTCTTCTGCAGCACCTCGGCAATGGCCTGGTCGAAGGACGCGAGGATCTTCATAGCCAGTTGCGGTGGGATGAGAGGTTCGGGCTGGTTCGTCTCCGGGTTCACATGGGCGATGAGATCGTCGAGGGTATCAGTCAGGGCCAGACCGATGCTACGAAAAAGAGACAAGTTTAGTCACGGGGGATGCCTTTGGGCTTGGGGACAGGCCACAGTACCTGCTTCCTCGGTACAGCTCGTAGAAAGCCTGGTTGTTGGCCGCCATGACGTCCACTACTCGCTCGCGCAATGTCTTGTATTCTCGTAATGATGCGCTGCAATGTCGCGATCGGCCTTGTGCGATGCGGTTCGACAGGCTTTGTGCGTTGCGGCGTTGCCTGGTTTAAGTTGACGGGCCGCTGATGGAGTTGGGTAACTCAAGGGTCCAGGCAGTCGGAGGGGCTGCATAGAGATTACTAATATGTGGCTTGAACGCAGACTGTCATGTGACGTCGTCGTCCGCCGAGCGTGGCTTGCGTGCCAGTGGCTTTTGCTGCGGCCTACAACGCAACGTGCGCCTGTTTGACGTCGCGCCCCAGCTTAGCCAGACAAGCCAGCTCCGAATTGAAGCTCGAAGCAGCTGCCCTCTCCAACATCCCATCCCTACGCAGCCCGCCATAAACCAACGCGGTCCTTTCGAAGCGTTCGCCCGACATGAGCCTCATTACCTACGGCGCCGGTGGCCTCGGCTCCTTCCTCCTCATAGTGGGACTCTGTACGTGTTCCCCTTGTCGAAGGAGGGATGACGGTGATGATGCTTGGATGCGGTATACTGATGGATTAATCTAGACATGCTCTTCACCGGCAGTGGCGAAGCATTCAACGTTGGCGCATTCATTGAGTCGGTCTCGCCTTATGCCTGGGCGTCGACAGGTGTCGCCCTTGCCATTGCCCTGTCCGTCGTAGGCGCCGCATGGTTAGTGATACTATCTTGTCGCTGTAACACCGCAACGTATCTAACCAGGTCGCTAGGGGCATCTTCATTACCGGCTCCTCGATCCTCGGTGGTGGTGTCAAGGCTCCCCGCATCCGAACAAAGAACTTGATCTCTATCATCTTCTGCGAAGTCGTCGCCATCTACGGTGTCATCATGGCTATCGTCTTCTCCGCCAAGATCGACTCCGTTTCTGGGCCAGAGCTTTATTCCGCCGACTCATACTACACCGGCTTTGCGCTCTTCTGGGCTGGTATCACCGTTGGCATGTGCAACTTGGTCTGCGGTGTGGCCGTGGGTATCAATGGATCCGGCGCGGCGCTGGCGGATGCTGCCGATCCTTCACTGTAAGTACCTCACTCGCGCTTGTGTGATGCTTTGCTGACGTTGGTAGATTTGTGCGCATTCTGGTCATTGAGATTTTCAGCTCCGTCCTGGGTCTGTTCGGCCTGATTGTCGGGTTGCTCGTTTCCAGCAAAGCCCCCGAATTTGGAAAGAGCGAATAAATGTCGATATGTGTCTCTAGGGGACCAGAGACGAGGACACCAACCTACGCAAACCACGGAGCGCCCTGATTTGCGAGCCAGACAAGGGCACACCGTTATCATCTGCATCGCGCCAAAGAGAAATTACTACATTTGGGCCGGCGTTTGGAAGATCTGACTAGGGAGAAAGACTCCTTTTTCATGAGCTGTACCATTAGTAGTTCTTGAAAGTCGGAACTGCCGATTTTGTACATCAGGGTGGAATTTTACCGCAGCTGAATATATAAGTACTGGAGTATGGCATCGAAATTATATACTTACCCTGCTAGAAACGTGAGACTTTGCTCGCAAACTTCTACCTGATCACATCCGCTCTCACAGCGTTCATCATAAGGGCGTCCACCTTTGCTCCCTTTTCAAGCTTGCCCTTTCCGGCTGGCATGCAGATCAGAGCGTTCGCGCTCCGCAGGCTACCGACCTTGGAGCTTCTCTGACCACCAGTGCTGCTGCCGATCAACAATCCATTCATGCCCACACTGACTACTGCGCGATGATACTCGGGCCGCATGTCCATTGCAAAGTCGTGCTCGAGCACAACAGGGACCTTGGGCAACCCGACTGGCGAGACGCCCGACTGCTTGTGCAGCGACGGCAGAACGAACAGGTGGAACGTCACCAACGCCGACGCTGGGTTACCAGGCAATGAGAAGATAACTTTCGACAACCGCTCACCGGCATTGTTCTTGACGGGTATTGTGGCAAAGGTTGTTGGCTTGCCTGGCTTCATGGCGACACGGCCAAAGTGGATGGTCCCTCCTAGCGAGCGCTCAATGGTTGGCTTCAAAAGGTCCAGTTCGCCCATGGATACACCGCCCGTGGTGATGAGGACGTCCGCACTTCGAAGACCCTCGCGCAGAGTCTCCTCCAGCGAGCCAGGCTTGTCTTTGGCAATGCCTAGGTCAACCGTTTGGAAACCCCATGCCTGTGCAGCGGTGATGAGCGTGATGCGATTGGTGTCGCGGACCTCCCCGAGACGAAGAGCACTGGCCTTGTTGTACTCGACAATCTCGTCACCCGTAGACAAGATGCCAATCGTGGGCCGACGGTAGATCTTGACGGACGAAACGCCGACAGCAGCCAGGAGACCGATTTCGCCCCCTACGCCAGAGATCTGCTCCCCTTTCTTGAGGATGACGCTGCCTTGGGCAATGTCGCTGCCCACCTCGCGAATGTTCTCACCCTCTTTGACACCCTCTACTTGGATCTCCACCTCCTTCTCCTCCTTGCCATCTTCTGTCATGCTCTTGAGGGTTGTATCCTCGACCATGATCACAGACGTGGCGCCGAGTGGCAGTGGTGCCCCGGTGGTGATTCGAGCAATCTCACCCTCCTTTAACTGTCTGATCTCTCCCGGTGCAGCGTGCGAAACGGCTGTGACAGGGTATGCGCCTTGGAAGATGCCATCCTTGGGCACCACAACAGCGTATCCGTCCACGATGCTTGCGCGGAAAGCAGGCACATTCTCCCTGGCCAGAACGGCCTCTGCCAGGACGCAGCCGACGATCGTCTCGTCAACATTGACCTCCACTATCTCAGGCTCTGGAGTGGCTTCAGATATCCTGGCCAGCGCCTCTTCCACTGATATCATGGGGTAGGGCGACTCGCGGTGGCGGCGGGTTGGACCCAAACTCGGGTCATTGGAAAGCGATGTCGAGCCAGGCTTGGTATGACGGACCAGACCGCCATGACCGTGGCCATGAGTGTGTCCGTGGTCGTGGCCATGTCCATGATGGTGGTGATGATGGCCATGAGCATAGCTATGGCTGTCCCCTCCTGCCGCGATTCCGGCTTCCTTCTCCAACTTCTTGACTCCTCCTGAGTGCAGTTTACGCGAGTCCATTCCCGCAGCTTGCTGACAGGCGTGGGGCAGGGTCTTGATGATAGCCTCAAGGTTCTCCTTTGCACCTTTGGGTGAGCCAGGCAGAGTGATGATGATGGATTTGTTTCGGACGCCAGCTTTTGGCCTGGACATCATCGCGACTGGTGGAATTAGCTATAGCTTTGGAGCATCGTAGATCGAGGACTTACACGGCGTGACGGTTAGCGAGGCGGAGATCATGGCATGCACCAGTCCTGGAGCTTGCTTCTGTAGGAGAGGGTCTACGGCCTAATGTATGTCAGGAACTCTTCCGTATATGCTCATTGCGTATAGCAGGATTACATATAGCTTACCTCAGGCGTAGTATCTGCGATCGCGAAGCCGGTTCCTCCGGTGGTGATAATGAGATTGGGGCAGTCATCGCCATCAGTCCAATTTTTTATCTGGCGCTGAACTTCCAACACATTATCAGACACGATTTGAGTATCCTTCACCTCCCACTTTCCTGCGCCTTGATCATCAAAGACATTCTCAAGGACCCCCGCCGAGGCGTCTGTCGAGGGGTCCTTTGCAGCTGTCGTAGAGACGATGAGAATCGCTGCTCTGAGGGGCTGCGCCATGTTGTGTTTTGTTTGATGGCGAGTTTTCTTGCTTCTAACAAGTCAAAATGAGAAATTTCTCAGTGAAAGAGCTGCCTCGCAAGATACATGTGCAAGCTCAAATGTAGCTAGCTGGCCATGATGGTACCGGGTTGGGAGCTGTAGCCCCACCTAGCAGTTAGTGGTGGTGACAGTATTTCCGCTGTGGCTCAAAGCTTCACCTGAAATCTTTATCACGCTGATGACACGCGACAACTCCTTGGTCCATTGGCAGACTTGACGATCCAAAAATGGTACGCATCAAGGAGCGCTACCTCCTGGTCAACATATTGTACCCCAGCGATTCGGCCCAACCACCGAAACCAGGTCTTCCAAGCCATATCCAGCTGCACCAGCCTACAACAGACACCATGACCCCAGGTTCACTGCTCAGAGGCATCAAGAAGGAAGTTGAGATTCTATACGGGGACTATGGCGCGGGCATGCTCAACGGGCTACAGAGTGAGTAGTCACGAATCACTTTGCGCGCGCAATGTGGGACCCTGACCTTATGCAGTCAAGTATCTTTCCCTGGCCACGTCAACCTTTATCATCAAATGCTCTCGCGCCATGTGCTCAATGCTGTGGTCAGCCTTGACTTTCATGAGCCGTATCCCTAACAAGGACGGCACAGGGAAGCAGTGCATATTCCGCGTGGTGCGCGTCAGTGGCACAATTCGCAAAGTTGAGGAAGAAGCCATTCGCCAAAGCAGGGCTCTCATAGTCGCAGCCAAGCAGGAAGCCAGTGAAGCACAAAGCTCGATATCCGGAATCACCCGGCAGACCGCTGACATGCAAGCACCGGCACAAAGTCACTTTGCAACGGTTGATGACTCTGACGAGTCAATGGACGACGCGGATGGTTGAGAAACGGGGTATCATTCATTTCTTGCGCGTCACGTTGATGCCACTATCCGGAGGCACTGTCATATCGCCAAAGTCCGGATCAAACGCGCCCCCTGAGGTCGGCGCCGCTGGCTGAGACGGTTGAAGATCCATGGCCTGCTGCTGTCGCAGCTTCTCCTGTTCTTCCTCGATTTCACGCTCCTCCTGATCATACGCCTCCTTATTGTCGATCCAGCGCTCTTGGATATCGATACCACCCATCAATGAGGCCTCATTCCGCATTGACACGGCCCAGATCGTGTCGTTTGCGCCTTCGGCACTACCAAAGACATATCCACCAGCACGATCGATCACCCTAAGGATGTGCATCATGCTCTTCTTATTTTCGACCGCCAGGACTTCGTACCGCACGAGGCCATAGCTTTCGATCATGCCAGCGATAGCCTCGTTCAGTTTGCCGAACTTGTCGCTTCGCAGAGCTGGTGACTCGGCTTCGAGAAAGGGCGTGAGGTATGTGAGATCGTCCACATCGGTGTAGTACTCCAAGTTGAAGGGTAGCTCGTCATAGGCGTGGACCTTGTCGATCTTGGAGAGGATGTTGACGTGCGGCATGTCCATCTGGATCATGGCGCGGAGGGATAGAAGGACGTTCGAGACGTAGAGCGACGGCTGGGTCAGGCAGAAGGAGTCGGAGAGGTGGACGCAGACGAACTAAAGGTGTCAGCGAGATAACCCAGTTTCTCGGGAGTGACATACCCGAAAGTCTGACTTCTTTTGCAGCCTATTAAAGATGTTTCGTAACGAGTTGTGGTGCGTGTAAAGCTCGACTTGTCCCGGACAATCAAAGAGAATATAATCATCCTTGTACTCTATCAAGCCTTCCTCCAACCACTCGACGTTGTTTTCGAGCTCTTCTAGGGCATACAAGATACCACCGTTTGGTCCGAGTCGATCTTCCTTCATGATATCCTCCAGCTTCACGAGAGATCGGATGTCGAGGGCGGCAGGATAGCTCGTATGGTCGTTGGCCGGGTCCAGATTCACGACGGCGCATGCGCGCCCGATGGCGCCCATGAATTGGTGCACTAGATTGTCAGGCGTTGAAACTTCATCCTTTCGTGCTGCTTACTGCCATCGCAATAGGTACTCTTGCCAGCACCTGGGCTGCCCAGGACGAGCTGCGCGAAGGGCATCTCCGGGGATGTGATTCAGCTCAAATGTGCATTCTTCGCCTTTCAGACATTTGATTGGCAGTGCAAGATTGATATCTGATACACTCTTGAACAATCGACGTCGTAAGTTCGCATGGTGGGTGCGACAGGTTTGTCTCGTGCCCCTCCATCATCTTCTGGAAGCTCCGTCCCGGCTTAGGCGCAGGCTCTCAGCGGTCGCGTGGTGGGGCATCATCTGCCGGCACACCGGCCAAACCTCGGCCGAGCCAATATGCCTCAGGATCAAAACTCCCGTGGGAAATCACAAGCTTCCCTTTCGGCAAAACTCCTCACCACCTGCCTGCACTTGCGTCAACAGGACGAAAGGGAACCTCCCCCACGAGCTTTCCTCTTTCGCTCTTTCCCTTCACAATGCAGCGTGGAAAGTTGCAGCACCAGCAGCCATGGCATCTGCCTTGTCGTCAAATGCTGCTGAGCTGGCCTCGATGAGCTCGGAGCCAAGCTCAGTCATGAGCGCTTTGAACGTGACAGCAGTCGATATAACCAACCAAGAGTCCTCAGGCTGGTTGGGTCTCTTTGGGCGGCTCATCATCGCCATCCTCAACATGGTGTCTACCATTATTTATTGGACGTTGCGGATTGCAACCATCAACGTCCCCAGCATCCTCTTCACGTTGTTCTCCACCAGCTGGACCGTCACCATGAATGCGACAACCTTGATGCTGATCATGGCTGGCGTCGTCTCCGCTGTCAGCTGGGTCGTTCGCTACAGGATCCTCAACATGTACTCCAGGCTTCCACCGGAGCCCCAACGCAAAGAACCCGAGATCGACCTCTTCCCCGACACACACGACGAGGGTACCAAATCTGGTCTTTCAAGCTACTTGGATGAGTTTCTCAGCGCCATCAAGATCTTTGGCTACCTGGAGCGGCCTGTTTTCCATGAGCTCACGCGGAGCATGCAGACCCGCAAGCTCATCGCTGGAGAGACCATCAATCTGGAGGAGGAAAAGGGATTCTGCATTGTTGTCGACGGACTGGTCGAGATCTTTGTCAAGTCAAGTCTGCACCCCCGGTCCAGTGGTGTGTCCAGCGATAGCTACGATGATGAGGATGCCCACCCGGGTCAGCAACGCTACCAGCGCCTGACCGAAGTCCGCAACGGCGCTCCCATGTCGTCGCTCTTCTCCATCATGTCGCTGTTCACAGAAGATGTCAAGCTACAGCACACCGATGATTCCACCCATGTTCCTGAGGGAGCTGCCCATTCTCACGGCGGCTACGGAGCAGACGCCCCTGCCTCGATGCCAACCACCCCTCACTTGCGAACGACCATGGGCCACGCCGTCCCGTCTGTTGCTGAGGAGCACTCCGCTCAGGCACACGCCAGGGGTCTTAGCACATCCCGCATCCCGCACATTTCGCTCGACGGCCAGGACTCCAGTTCAAGAAGACCAGCTCTGTCACACAGAGCTACCTCAGGATCAGCACACCCCGACATCATCGCCAGGGCAACCGTCGATACCACAATCGCCATCATCCCAGCGAGTGCTTTCCGCAGGCTGATCAAGGTCTATCCCAAGGCCACGGCCCACATTGTTCACGTCATTTTGTCACGGTTTCAACGCGTTACCCTGGCGCACGCATTTGACTATCTTGGACTTACCGGCGAAGTCTTGCAGACGGAGAAGAATGTCATCAAATACACAACTTGCCAGTTGCCCAACATCCTACGCGGGGAGGCCTTGACCCGGTTGAAAGAGAAATTCAGTCGCGAGCGCGAGAAGGCGCAGGATGAGCAAGGTTCCAAGGGAATCGCCTTGCACAATCCGTCTTTGACTCGTCGTAGGAGGTCGAGCACGAGCTTGCGCAAAGAGGCTGCATTGCATTTAGTTGCCAAAAGGCAACCATCTATGCCGTTGACCACCCGGCCTCCGGTGCACACCCCTGGGCCCGGCGACCTCCTGTCTGGCATTCAGCACGCCCGAGGCTCGCACCGCTCGTCTAATTCAGAGGTCCGCAATGGCTTTCCCTTTGACTCGCCGCAAAAAGACGACGTCAGTCCGCTGGCCCAGCGGTCTTATAATCCCTTTGATTCTCGAGGACAGAGTCGAGTGCCATTGGATCCTCGGGAGACGGCTGACGAGGACAATCTGTTCCGCACGTCCATACTGGAATGCATGCTTAAGGGGCTTGGCCTTGACGGTGGCGGCAGCGCGTCTCGTGAGCCCGACTCCGTGGAAGGATCTCCGCGGCTGGTTGGTCTGGATCCCAGGCGGGGCAGAGCCTTCTACACCAGTAACAGCAATGCTTTTGGCTCCATAGGGCCTTTTGATAGTTCTGGCGATGGCGACAGCGAGTCGGTGACATCGGGTGGTCTGACCGTGAGTGGCTCGCCGAGTGCTCAGGCCCTTTCCCAAGAGCTCATGAACGATGTGGAGATTGTCTACTTCCCCAAGGGATCTGTCCTTGTCGACCAAGGCGAGCGAGCTCCCGGTCTCTACTATGTAGTGGACGGGTTTCTGGACATTGGCACGACGAGCACAAACGACCCTCACAATCTCTTTGCGTCGTCGTCCAGTGGCCCCCCCAGTGGCACGCCTTCCACGCCTGATCTAGCCGTGGGGGATATGTTCCCGGCCCTCGCTCAATCTGAGACAATTCGAGAGAAGAGAGAGGCAGAAAATTTTGGACACGCCCGACGACGCAGCATCACGCTGGTGAAGCCAGGCGGTCTCGCTGGCTACATTGGTGGCGTGTCGTCCTATCGATCCTTCATCGACGTGGTTGCGAAGACGGATGTTTATGTTGGTTTCCTGCCGAGAGCGGCTCTGGAGCGCATCGTTGATCGGTATCCCATCATTTTGTTGACAATGGCAAAACGACTGACGCACATCCTCCCACGCCTCATCCTCCACATTGACTTTGCTCTGGAATGGGTACAAGTCAATGCTGGCCAGGTCATTTTCCACGATGCAGACGAGAGCGATGCCATTTACATTGTGCTCAACGGCCGACTTCGCTTAGTCGAGGACAAGAAGGATGGGGGCATGGTCGTACGGGCCGAGTATGGGCAGGGCGAGAGCGTGGGCGAGCTTGAAGTGCTCACCGAGACAGCTCGCGCCGGCACGCTACACGCCATTCGGGACACTGAGCTTGTCAAGTTCCCACGCACGCTGTTCAACAGCCTGGCACAGGAGCATCCCAACATCACCATCAAGATCTCCAAGATCATCGCTTCGCGGATGAGAGCGGCCGTTGATGATCCACTGAATCACCAAGGTAAAGAAGGGGGCTCGGCTGCTGTGGCCAGCCAGCGAAAGTCGACAATGAACTTGCGCACCGTCGCCATCCTGCCTGTGACTACCGGCGTTCCTGTTGTCGAGTTTGGCAACCGCCTGATGAATGCCTTGACTCAGGTCGGCCCCCCGAATGGCGCCACTTCCTTGAACCAAGCCGGCATTCTCAAGCACTTGGGCAAGCATGCCTTCAACAAGATGGGCAAGCTCAGGCTTGCTCAGTACTTGGCTGATCTTGAGGAGAAGTACGGCTTGGTCGTCTATGTTGCAGGTAAGACTCTTTCTCGCGCCTTGAAATCATTTTCTTTATGATGAACAAACCCTATGTCCAAAGGCAAAGCCGCTGATGGTACATGTTAACTCTAATTTTTTCCTGATCATACCACGCACACGCTTGTTTTTTTGGAAGTGTTTGTTGTTCCTCTCGCTGACCAAGCATCAGATACCAACGTCAACTCGCCTTGGACACAGACATGCATTGCCCAGGCTGACAGCATCTTATTGGTGGGTCTCGCAGAAGGGTCCCCGGCTATTGGAGAGTACGAGCGGTTCATGCTTGGCATGAAGTCGACAGCCAGGAAGACCCTCGTCTTGCTGCATGCGGAACGCTACTCCCCGCCCGGCCTCACGAGATCGTGGCTGCGCAACCGCGTGTGGATCAACGGTGGCCACTTTCACATCCAAATGGCCTTCCGCATGAATGAGCTACCTGTCCACCCGCCGTCGAAGAAACTCGGCCAGGCCTTGAAGGCGAGGGTGCAAGTGCTCCAGGCCGAGATCCAAAAGTACACGTCTCGCAAGGTGCACCACACGGCGTATTACTCACCCGACATGCCGTTCAAGAGCGATTTCCACCGACTTGCGCGAAGGCTCTGCGGCAAATCGATTGGCCTTGTGCTGGGTGGCGGAGGTGCCCGAGGCATCAGCCAGATTGGCATCATTCGTGCGCTCGAAGAAGCCGGGATCCCCATTGACATTGTGGGCGGCACATCGATAGGGTCGTTTGTTGGCGCATTGTACGCGCGACACGCTGACGTCGTGCCCATGTTTGGCTTCGCCAAGAAATTTGCCGGACGCATGGCCAGTCTCTGGCGCTTTGCTCTCGATCTGACATACCCGTCTGCCTCGTACACTACGGGTCACGAGTTCAATCGAGGCATCTTCAAGGCTTTTGGGGACACGCAGATTGAGGACTTTTGGCTCGAGTACTACTGCAACACCACCAACATCAGCAAGAGTCGGGTCGAGTTTCACACGAGCGGATACGCCTGGCGATACATCCGCGCGTCCATGTCGTTGGCTGGTCTACTCCCGCCACTGTGCGATGAAGGCAGCATGCTCCTCGATGGCGGGTACGTGGACAATCTGACTGTATCCCACATGAAGGCGCTGGGCATAGACATCATCTTTGCCGTGGATGTCGGTGCGATTGACGACGACACGCCCCAGACGTACGGCGACTCATTGTCTGGGATGTGGGCATTCTTCAACCGATGGAATCCGTTTTCGACCCATCCCAACCCGCCGACCCTGGCAGAGATTCAAGGCCGCCTGGCATACGTGTCTAGCGTCGATGCCCTGGAACGGGCCAAGACCATGCCAGGATGCATCTACATGCGCCCCCCGATTGACGACTACGGCACGCTGGAGTTTGGCAAGTTTGATGAGATCTATCGAGTGGGCCACAAGTATGGCGAGGATTTCCTGCAGACGATGCGCGAGAACGGCGCGTTGCCGATGATGGAGGAGACGGAGGCCAAGCAAGCATTGCGACGGACGACGGCGCCCCGACGAGCGAGCATTTGAGCGACTATTGCTGATGGCTGCATACCTCATTAGATAGCATAGATCATAGAGATAGAGCCAAAATGCCAGCGCATTGCAAAGCGACAGATGACGAGGGACTCCAACTGTGACTCGTGAGAGACGTGAGAGACGTGAGTGACTGCCAGCTGGCTGTCAACATGGATCAGGGTCCAACAAACCCTTGCATTTCTGCGACAAATTAATCGCAGCAATTACGACGTCTATGCCGATGGAGGTGACATCATTCACCATAAGCGGTGAAGAGCGGCATCGTCGACCTATGACAGATTTCTGTGGCTGCCCATGTGGACGAGTCGTTATGCATGTTGACGATGGCTGCATGACGGGGTGTCTGGGGGATAAAGCTTCTTAATTAGCGGCTCGGCCTTTCCACAGCCCTTGGCATTGTCGTACTGACTTACACCCAAGTGGCTATTGTCTGTGATCCTCAACCACAGCCAGGAAGGCTATCAGTGTCTACAATCATTCCCTTACACACACAGAGAGAAGCCCCGAAATGTCAGCCTACGGGTACTACTACGAGCCACGCTCTCGTCACCATCCTCCTCCCCCTCCTCCTCCTCCTTCCAGCCGCCGCCGGTCCTATTCTCCCCCCGGCTCCCACCGCAGCAGCCAACCTCGTCGTCGCTCCACGGCACCGCGACGACCAACGCCCTACCACGAGAAGCAGCACGAGGACTGCGAGGGGGGGAAATGCAAGGCTATTGAGAAGGAGTTCGGCGGGTTCGGGTGGACAGAGGGCATCGCGCTGGCGGCCATGGCGGGCCTGGCCTTGTTTAATTTTGACAAGGCGTATGAGAAGCACAAGGAGAAGAGCGAGCGGGAGGATTGGGAGGCGGAGAGGCGCAGGGAGAGGGAGAGGGAGGAGCAGAGACGCAAGGGGAGTGCCCGCAGCAGCAGCAGCAGTAGGAAGGACGACGAGGACTTTTACGATGAAGAGTCGCGGAGGGGCAGTTATGAGAGGAGGCGATATGAGGATGGGGATGATTATGAGAGGGAGCGTGACGGACGGGGGAGAAGTCGACGGGGTGACTGAGTATGGAATTGTACAACAGCAGGCATTCGTGCCTTCACGACGACAAGACATGACGAGTATACGAGCAACGATTACAGGATGGTTCGGTTCAATTCATATGCACATTATCTAGTGATTCTGCATTTTTCACGCGTCACATCCGTTCAGTCAGCCTTGATGGCGCCGTATATCCTCCGCACAAAGGCATACGCGCTCAAGAAGCCCACGGTGCCCGTGAGCAGGCCGTACACACAGCAGGCCAGGCCGCTGTAGGCAAAGAAGAGCATGCCGCTGACAAATCCTGTAATGTGCAGCTTGAAGAGGTAGTACCACACGCAGTACGCAAAGACCCAGATGGAGCTGCCGCCGCCGACGACGAAGCTATGCCACCACCAGCGGTGGTCTTCGGCACACAGCCGGGCGTAGACGGAGACGACGGTGACCTCGGCAATGGTGACGGTGAGCAGGACGCAGACGACGGCGAGGAAGCCAAAGACGTAGTAGTAGCCCGACTTGTCCTGCCAGAGGGACTGGAAGACGTAGAGCAGCTCGATGAAGATGACCGCAAAGGGGATAAGGCCGTACAGCAGGCCGGACACGACGGGGTGCATGAGCCAGGACTGGCGGGGGATCGGGCGCGGGACTCCCGTCGTCTTGGTCGGGTGCTCCCACGTGGGCGCCTTGTGGTAGCCGTGGTGCGAGCCGGCGTAGACGAGGGGTACCTGGACGCACAGCCAGAGGGCCATGATGGCGAGCAGGGTGCTAAAGGGCATGGCGGTGCTGGACGCCTGGGCCCAGACAAAGAGGTTGAGCACAAAGACGGCGCAGAAGGCGATGCCGGGGACCAGCAGCGCGGTGACGAGCGCGTTGCGGCGGTGGCCCCGGCCCTCGAAGCTCTTGAAGACGCGGGCGGAGAAGTAGCCGGAGAAGAGGCCGGCGAAGATGAAGAGGCCGACGCCGACGCTGATAAAGCCGCCGCGGAAGCTCGGGTTCAGCACCCCAAAGGTGCTCAGCGTGATGAGGCCCATGGCCATGACGAAGAGCTGCACGCCCGAGCCGACGAGGGGCGCCAGCAGGCCACCCCACGCGGGCGTGCGGAAGACGTCGGCGTGGAGTAGCTTCCATCCTGTAATGTCCTCCAGGGCCTCCTCGTCCGACAGGTCCATGTCGTCGTCGTCGCCGCCGTGCGGCTGGTCCAGTAACCCGGTTGACGCGGGCCTGGTCTTCTTCAACCGGATCTTGCCATCCTCCGCCACGGCGTCCTTGTACGTCTTGATGTCTGACCTGATGGTCTTGGCGAGGATAATCATGACGACGCCCGTCAGCAGGGCGCAGATGATCAGCGAGTTCACAATGGCCAGCCAGTGAATGTGCGAACCCTCGTCCTGGTTGACAAAGTACAGGTCCCAGCGGTGCGCCCACTCAATGGTCTCGTCCTCGCGGAAGTAGACGGAGTACGTGTAGGGGATGGACATGACCGGATCGTCGTCGTGCGCGCTGGCCGTCTTGTTAGGCGTCAGCTCAAGCCCGGACTTGACGTTCTTCAGGTCGGCGGGGCAGCCGTGCTCGTTGCGCGACGCGTCGTAGCCGACGCTCTTGGGGTAGACCTCGAAGCCGACGACGACCTTTTCGCCGCGGTCGCCGGCGCGACCCGGTGCGCGACGGTAGCGGATGACAATGGTGTGGTGGTTGTTGAGAAAGTACTGGACCCGGCGGGCGGGCGTGGCGGCCGAGTTCACCTCGACGTCGTAGCCGAGCTTGAAGCCGGCGGCGTAGTACTTTTTGGTCTTGTCAACGGTGACGAAACTTGTGGCGCCGGGGAGGTTGTCGACGATCCACTCGGCGACGTAGCCCTCCTCAATCATCTCCTGGGCGCGTATGAGCTCCTCGAGGGTAATGTCCCGGGTGCAGAGCGTCGCGCAGGGCGTGTCGTGGAGCATCGCGAGCTGCAGGTCCGATGCCATGATACGGTCCCCGCGGAGGACCTCGCCCAGGTTCAGGGGCACGCTCTCGCCCGACAGCAGGCCGCCCGCACCACCGGCTCGGTGGGCGCCAGTGGGCGGGCAGACAAAGGGGAGGTCGAAGTAGGCGTACTGGAGCTGGGTGTTGTCCGAGTAGACCTTGTTGACCATGAGCGGCATGGGCTCGTCTCTCTGGTAGGACGTGACAGAGTAGCCGGGGATGTAGAAGGCGGATGCGGCCGGGGCGAGGAGGAGGAGAATGCCCAAGGCACTCTGGAGAAGAGTCGCCGCCATTGTCGCGGTTCGTGGTGGCTGGGTGGGAAGGATATTCGTAGTCTCGGCTTGGACCTTTGTGCAGCGATCGCGCGGCGACGCAATGCCCTGCAAAGGTCTCGCAAGCAAGGCGAGATGAGGTCGTCGGTTCAAAGGGCGTCAGCAGCGAGATGTGCGCATTGGCTGGGGCGAGAGCACGCGCATGATGGCAGTTGGAGTTCGCGAGAGTAATTCAGCCTTCAGGCCAAGAAATGGAATCCAGTGACGTGGTTCCGCTTTCCTCAGGGGATCAAGCGGCGCTAGCCCGAACGGGAAATAGACCGGGGTAGGCCTTGTTTGTGCCTGCCTCCACATCACGATCCGGGCCAACGTCTCCTAAACGGTAGGAGCGACCTGGGCGACTTCACACTCATCACTGTCTACGAAGTAAAAGACTGTGTACTTTCAGCAACTGATTCGAGTAGATTTGCGCCTAGATTCTTATTAAATGTGATGATGATAATAATAGTAATAATAATAAAGACAAGCGTGTCTGTCTGTGTCTGTGTATGTCTATCTAGAAACGCAGTTCAATGAAAGTCGCTTGGTCCCGATGACCTGGTATCATGAGTACGAAAGAAAGGAGCCAAATAAATCCTTCCGTCTAGAATCCAACGCCAAAAGGGCCAAGAGTAGAGAAATATCCAAACAATGCTCATAAGAGGGGAAGAAACCCATCCACGACAATCCCCTCGAGAACGCCGTGCAAACTTGAACAAGTGTGGCCTGATCCAGTCAAGAGACGAGCAATCGTAAAAACGCCAGAATGAACAAAACGATCCATGAAAACAGTGTAGACGCGACAAATTACGCCACAGCCACTGACTGCGTGGCCTCCTGGTATCCAGGCAGCACGCTCATCTGCGGCGGCCGGGCGGCCTGCATGATCCGCGGGGTCAGGTAGTCCTCCGCCTCCTCGCGCTGGGCCTGCTCCATGGCGGCGTCGAACGAGGGCAGCTCCTCAAAGGTTTCTGGGTCGTAGAGGGTCTCGACGCCGAGCTGGAGGGGCACGTGGAGGGTCATGGTGGTGTTGGAGGGCCCGACGGAGAGGACGAGCTGCAGGGCGTAGGTGCGGGACATGATGCAGTTGTGAAAGGTGGGCAGGAACATGCGCTTGTTGGAGATGGGGATCTCGACGGGCAGCGAGACGGTGGCGCGGTGGCGGACGGCCGGGGCGACGGACTTGGCCTTCTTGTTGGTGTGGTCCTTGCTGCCGCGACGGCTGTTGCGTCCGCGTGGTGCTGCGGCCGTCGCCTCAGCCTCCTCGTCGGTCATCTCGGCGGGGCTGCCGGCCGTCTCGTAGCCCGAGTCGCGGCGGACCATGGGGGCGGGGCGCTGGACCCAGTTGATCTTGTCCGGACGCGTGTGGAAGAGGCTGGCAGTGGCCGAGTAGGTGAGGACCTGGTGGTGGGTGTACATAGTCTTGGGCCCGAGATTGGGCAGGGTGTCGGAGCTGGCGCTGCCAAAGAAGGTGGTGGAGAGGAGCTTGCCCTGGACCGAGTTGATCTTGGGGGGCGCCGCGTCGGACGAGGTGGGCGCGAACTCGAGGTTGACGGTGGCGGTGGTACCGCGGGCGCCGAAGCCGTCACCGTGAAGCATGGCGGCGCTGGGCTGGGAGGTTGTGGCCGTGAGGTCGCCGGCCTTGGCGCCAAGCAGGTTCTTGCGGAAGGTCTTGGTCTTGGACAGGCAGTAGCGCTCGTCGACCTTGGTGATGTCGAGCGGGGGCTCCTCTGGGCTGGCGGGGAGGACCTTGAGGATCTTCTTGCCCTCGAAGAGGGCCTTGGGGCTGTCGGGGGCGGTTCTGGCCCCGATGACCTTGGCGCGGACGGCGTACTCAATGTGCGTCATGTCGGGGGCCTGGTCGTCGCCGTCCCAGTAGCCGACGGTCGGGGGCATGCGCAGATGCTGGTCCTGAACGGCGGGCGCGGCGGAGGCGTGCTTGCAGGCGCCCATGGTGAGCTGGTGTGGCACGACAAAGTGGAAGGGGATGGTGTAGGTCTCGCCAGCCTTGCAGATGCGGGGAGAGGGCATGTCATCGTCGGGGATGGGCATGCGCAGCTTCATGAACGTGCGGACGGCATTTGTCGTGTACGACTGGACAAAGTCGAGGCGGGTGGCGGCGGTGCCGGTGAAGACGATGTCAATGTTGTCAAAGGGGGTGTCCTTCTGGCAGTGGATGACGGCGTTGCCGCGGACGGTCGAGCCTGATGTGTAGATGCGCGAGGTGAAGTGCTGCTCCATCTTGATCTCGACCTGGACGGGCTTGTTGCTGGCCGCAGCCGCTTTGGCCTTGGGCCGACCAGGACCGCGCGAGTCTGACATTGTGAGGGCGAGGGAGAGAGTGTGTAGACTGTTTGCTCGCTCAGCTCGATGTGAGGAGATGGTGAGGTCTTGTAGGAATCGCTATAAGTGCGAGGCGGAAAATCCAGCCAATGACGGACGCTTGAGCGTCGGAAGTTGGTGTCAGTGAGCAGGAAAAGAATATCCCAATTCCCGAATGCGTTGCGCCCTATTGTCGATATGACCCAATAACAGACCAGTGTCCTTTTCTCTGTCCTTCTTCCTGCGCTCTGCTGATAAATCGATGCGTGTCAAGCGCAAGGCGTATGACGACTATGTGTGTATGATGGAATATGGTGGGGGGTTTGGTCCTTGGCTGGGATGGGAGGAATGGGAGGATGGATGGGAGGATGCAGAGGTGTTGAAATGCTATTAGTGATATTAAGGTGTAGTATAGTCCGACCCAATGTACCCAAGCAGTGTAAATGACGAACAGATGCCCAGCGCTCAAAGGGGAGACGGTGGGAGGGCGGGCGATTTGCTTTATACTTTGTGTCGATGCGCCGTGGACGCCGCTTTTGAAACCGACGATGGGCTGCTACTAGGCAGCCCCCAGGGGTCTAAAGGAGGACTCACCAGGCCCTGGCGCCATCGGACCTGCTTCCTGGGGGGTTGCCCCAGCACGCGCTCTCCCGGCACCCCCTGTAGCCTTCCCAATCGGGGCACCGTTCAGCATGTCCTGCCTGTGATGCACCAGATTCCCAATGCCAAATACCAGCGGCGATTCGATCACGATGTGCGCGCGCGTGGTGGGAGGACTAACGGATCACAAAGTCCGGATCTGCCTGCATTCACGACGAAAGCATCATGAATTAGCCATGAATTACGATGAAAGGCAAGACAGTTTATGCGCTTCCCGCCTTTGCGCCGGACCTTGTTGGGTGATACTGCACATAGGCTCACCACCATTTAGTCACCCTGACACCATCAGATGCCCTCCCGAGTCCCGACGACACCACAAGGTTGCTAGCTAGGGACCGTATCTAATTAAGGTATCCAGTGGAAGCTTCCACACGACAACAGGAGCCCCGTGTCTCGCGCCTAGTCGGCCATTCGCCGGCCTCGGAGGCTGGGGCAGCGTCGCTCGACATGACAGCTCGCGCATCCATTGCGATCTGGACCCTGAATCGTCGTACATATTACCTAACCCCATCGTCTCACATCTTCACGATGCATCCGTCTCACCTCTGCGCCGCCAGCACCGCACCGCGAAAGAGGGTCAGGAACAGTCTGGACCTGACGTATCCACGACATCATTTATCCTGACCGCTTCGCGGGGGCTCTGTTCCCAGCGTCCTGACTCTGCCGTCTGGCCGTCCGCAGGCTAGTATCGCGAGACATGCCATTCTTTTGCTGGAATGGGATTTAACGCCGTCCTCACCATGGCTCTTTTGCCCGTGCCTCCTCACGCCTCCTCGCGCTAAGGCAAGGAACATGCGAGCCTCGAGGACATTAGACGGACGTGACTGTCTCGTCTGTCCTTGTGCGCTCGAGCTTCCAGAAGCTTGTGCGCGCACCGGCATCGGGTCCCGAATGCTTAATGCAGGCCAGCCGCTGCGCAGTGTAAAAGTGCGGCTTTGTGGGGGACGCTGCGTCCTCTCTCGTTGGACCATCCCGCCGGCAGCCTCGCACGCCAAGAACGTCGATCGCCAGGCTTCCAGTGCGCACTCTGCCAGACATCGTGAACTGCCTCATTTTTGGATTGCCTCTGCTCTCTGGGCTTCTCTTTCCATCACGGACCTTGATGAGACCGCGATCCAGCGTACTTTGCACCGGCCTTGCCTGTCTAACTGCCTGCACTTCCTCCCTGCCTCCCATTCACGGACGCCACCTCCGACACCGCCCCTAGCTGACTCCGGCGCCTACACCCCTCCCGTACTGAAAATTCTCTTGCCATCGTGACTGCTCCTCCCTCCCTCCCTCCTTCTGCCAGAGGATTTTTCTCATCAATATTTTTTTCTGGCTCGAGCCTCCAAGGGCCCCCTCCCTCAACCCCCACTCATGCACGTCGTGCGCGCCGATCGCTGCTTCAGGACTAGCGCCTACCTTGTGCGCCAGGCACGCGTTCTCATTGGCGATGGCGTGCGCTTCGGAGGGTTCTTTGCTCCCCATCGCCGCCCATCGCGTGCTTGGAGCCTTGGGACAAGCTGCGCGCTAGGGACCTGCATGCTGCTTTTGCTCGGCAGTCCAGACACGGACCACCGATGTTGGCCAGGAATATCGTGATGAGCCTCATGCTTCATCTGGTGGTGATGATGCCTTGTGAATGAGGTTGACATGACTGGGACGTAGGGTATGCCGCTGCCTGCACGCACTCAACAGGCACCGGAACATGACCGAGAGGAGCTACACTCTCTATCTGTGCATCAGTGGTCTCTACAAAGCGTGGTGAGTTGAGTTGACGCCAGTGTGAACGCACAGCGCCAGATGGCAGTCTGATCAAATTGTTACTCTGTGAATGAGTGCACCCAGGCCAACATGAAGTCATCACCAGTCAGTCACCGATGGACAAAAGCTCCGAAGACGTGGATCTGGCAGACTCTGTCGCGTTTCCGATCCCGCCTCGATCTTCATGTGGGGACAATCCTCCTACCCTACACGTCACTCTTTCTCCAGTGTGACGATATCCCGCGCCGCCAGGAGTCACAAGGGGGTATGTTTACTATATCGACTGCTGTCAGGATTTCAGAGCCTTGAATTGTGTGCGGTAAGATTGCTGCTCTTGAATTTGGTAGATATCCGTAGCTATGTACTGTGGCCATCAAGCGATAGTCACCTTGACTGAGGACAAAATCAGAGTGGAACCAGACTCATAATCATGTCTGTGGACACTTTGCAAAGTATCATCCTTCAACGCGATGGACAGCAGCGTATCTTCTATCGCTAACATATCTCCTGTCCATGTTGTTGCATTCACTATCATAGCACACTCATCTAGGCTCTCAAGCCATGTCTCGCGACAACCGTGCTTCCAACCATGATATGCGTATATTTGCTTGCACATCAGTCTAAACCTCTATATCTCACCTTTCTTGCCATCAAAACCCTCTCGACTCATACAGCCCCAAACAACACCACGCTTTAGACCCATCAGGCCAGCCCCCCTTTCAAAGACCCCCTAGTCGTGCCACGAGATGTACAGCATGATGCCCGCGCCCAGCGCCACGGCCGCAAACTGCACCAGCGTCTTCCGCAGCTCCTCACCCTTGTTCCGACCCGTCTCGAGCAGCTCCGGAATGACGGCCACCGTGCCAACATACAGAAACGTGCCCGCCGTAAAGGGCAGCAGCATGTCCCCCCACGTCAGGCTCGTGCCCCAGAGCCCCGCGGTGCGCGGCATGCCCTCGCCCCCATCATCCGCCCCGGCGCCGCCCATCTCCTGCACTGCGATCCCAATGAGCGTGCCGAGCAGGGCGCCAATGGCCGTGATGAACTGCGACCCCATGGCTGCGCGCTTGGAAAAGCCCGACTGCACGAGGAGCGCGAAGTCGCCCACCTCGTGCGGGATCTCGTGGAAGAAGACGGCCACGGTCGTCGTCGCGCCAATGGTGGGACTGGCGTAGAAGCTGGCCGACATGGCGAGACCGTCGGTGATGTTGTGCGTAAAGTCGGCGCTGTCCGTGTTAGTTAGTTAGTCCAGTCGGGATAGTACTTCTTCTTTTGTATGGCCTGCACGTACATGAGGTTCAGGTAGCCGCCCAGCTTCACGCTGGGGTTGACCTCCTTGGCGACCGCGTCGTCCTTCTTGCCATTGCCCTTGCCCTTGCCGCCCTTCTTCCTGCTCTTGACCTCGCCGTCCGCCTTGTCCAAGGCTGAGCTCGTGCCCTCGACGTGCTCGTGTGCGTGGCCGTGCGAGTGGTCGTGGCCCGCACCCCCGGTGGCGATGCGCAGGCCCTTGTCCATAGCTACAAAGACCATGAAGCCCACGAGGATGCCGAGACCGAGGAGCAGGTTGCGGTTGGGCTCAACGAGCACGAGACGAATACGCTCCTGCTCGTCCTCGCCGAGGAAGATCTCGGGCAGCAGGTGGAAGAGGGTGTCGCCCAGCAGACCGCCGACGGCAAAGGCCACCATGACGCTGAGGCTCGACGGGTCAATGTTGGTCGGGCACAGCGCGAGGAGGAAGTTGGGCGGGCCCGAGATGTACAGCGTCGCCAGGAGGGCGTTGACGGCCGGCGAGCCTGGGAAGAGGACGGCAAAGAGCTTCTCAGTCACGGAGCTCGGGGCGGCGGCGTGCCGGGCTGCCTTGGCCGCGTTGAGGTCCTGCACAATGGCGCACGACTGGAGCTGCTCGTCGAGCTGGTCGAGGGACAGGGCGTCGGCGAGGGCGTGCTTGGTCTCGGATTGGGGTGCGGCGAGAATGAGGCCTGCGCAGAGCGCCAGGAGGGCTAGCGAGCGTGTGGGCGCCATGATGGGTGGGATCTGGCGAACGGGGGAGGTTGAGATGAGGTACTTGGGGCAGACAAACGAGCATGCATCCCTTGTCTAGAAGGAGTTGAGCTGTCGCGTGTCGTCTTTGGACGTGGGGCAGGGAGCACAGTGCCGATCTAGAAAGTGGGGGCACATTGATACAGTGCAAAACTTTCACCACACGGTACGAGTTCGGTGTATCCCAGAGGCATTTATTAGTCCATTATTGTATCTTTATTTACTTTTGTTGTTTCATAAAGAGCGTGTATCATCAACGTGGTATCCAAACCCGTCAGTCTATTTACAACGGTACATTTGTCCCATCACATCATTTACAGAGCAACAGCACCGACAAGCATGGCCACAGCCGCCGCGCCCAGCGAGTTCATCTTGGCACCGGCGCCAGGCACCGGCGTGGGAGCGGCAGCACCGTCCTCCGAGGTGGTCTGTGGCTGCTCGGACTGCACCGCACTCGTCTGAGGCAGCCCAGAAGTGGGCTGAGGCTGCCCACCCTGCTCAGAGCTGGACACAGGCACAGGGACGACGACGCCACCCGAGGACACGGGGACAGCGTTCGTCTTGGTGGGGTGCGTGATGAGGGTCGAATTGCAGTACGCGCCCGAGGAGATGGCGTTGGTCGGGTTGACTGGAGGGATGGGGTAGACAATGGCCGTGGTGGGCAGGGTCTCGTGAGGCATGTCCGTGCCAGTAGCGCTGGCACTGGCGCTGGCGCTGGCCGTGGCCGTGGCCGTGGCCGTGGAATCCTTGGTCGACGACTGAGCCACAGACGAGGAGGACGAGCTGGTGGTGTCGTTGCTGCAGGACATGTCAAACAGGGGCTTGTCGCTCAGCTGGCTGCCCACGACGCCGAAGCTGGGGTTGGGCGTCGTGGGGGCGGCGTCCTGGAGGATGTACCACCAGATGTTGGTGTTGCCAAACAGGGGGCAGCCAACCTCCTTGTAAAAGGTCTCGGCGTTGTCGACGGACGCGACGGCCTCGCCAAAGTCGTCGCCGCTGACGGGCCAGCCAGTCTCGGTGACCCAGACGGGCTTGCCGCCGGCCGCGGCCTGTGTCTGGCTCAGGGCGGAGCGGAAGAGGGCGGCGCCGTTCTCGATGGCGTTGGGCTTGGTGTCCTCAAAGTAGGCGTAGGCGTCCATGCCGACAAAGTCGACGGCGTCGATGACGGGCTGGTTGGTGCCGTTGACGTAGGCAGTCCAGGTGTCGACGTGACCGACGGGGACGTCGGCCAGGCAGGAGCCCTTGATGGTGTCCCGCGTGCGCTGGATGTAGTTGACGAGGGTGTCGGGGCTGGCGCCGGGGTTCTCGTCGTTGGCGATGCCCGTGGGCGAGATGCGGTAGAGATCCTCGCTGCCGACGGAGATGCCCGCCACCAGACCGTCGAGCTGGTCGCAGTACTGGTCAATCGTGTTCTGGAGGGCCGCAATCTCGCTGCCAAAGGCGTCGTCACCCGCCGACGCCCACAGACCAAAGAGGAGGGATGTCTTCGTCTTGATGGCGGCGGGGATGGCGCTGATGGGCTCGTTGGCCGTGTTGCCTTGCTGTAGGTCGTTTGTGAGCAAGTGAACATATTATCAGCACTTGCGAGAGGAACGTACAATCATGGTGAACAGACGCGCGCTGGTAAAGCCGCCGTTGGTGCCCTCGAGGTTCTGCGCCGTGGTGAAGGCAGCCTCGTAGTCCGACTCTTGCTTCAGCGAGCCATCGTTGAAGGTGGAGCCGTAGTTGAAGCCCTGGAAGGCAGCGGCGGACGAGACGGCCGCCGCGAGGGAGAGAATGCTGCTCTTGGAAGGCATCGTGTGCGAGTCCAAGGTGGATGGTGGATGTGTGTGGTATGTTGATACAGAAACGACGGAAGTCAAGCCCAAACGAATGAAAGCTAGACGGGTTTTGCAGAGGGAAGAGCAGGAGGACAGAACGAGGCAGAGCAGCACATGGAGAAGAAGTACTTGTACTATTGATTCCTGCTGGTCCTACCTGGTACGTACGAGTAGTGCTGTGTGATGGATGGATGGGTGGGTGGATGGGTGGTCTGACGGCCCAACCAGGCATCTTACTCGAGTCTCGATATAGCAGACGGCCCACGGTACGTGCCCGATCTGGATGTCTGCCCAGAAGACCATGGCTCGGGTCGTCCATGGAAGCTTCCTGATCACTATTCTTGTGTGTGCTCGGGTCCACAGACGTGGAGGCTCACACTGCCCCCAAGACCAATCACGCTGGCAAGGCCGCGCGGAGGGAGCCGGCCAGGCCAGGTCGAGATCGAACTTTCTGTGAGAGGTTTTCACCAATCGCGGTGGCGTGCCTTGCTTTCCGCAGCTTTGCTTTGCTTTGTCCTGTCCGCAGGCAGCCCTTTCGAGCGGGACGGACACATACGTAGTACGTACTGCCCTGGCTATCACGCATCCGCGCGAGCACGAGAACTGCCATCGCGGAGGCTAGCCTAGACCTTCGGCTCGCAGCGCATGAGGAAACATGGCGATCCCCCCTCACCCATGCCCGGAATACGAGGCTTCCAAGCCTGTTGGCAGTTGTTGCGTGTCGTCATGCATGGCGCCAGCCGAATAAACCCTTGTCACCCCGATCGCGCCAAGACACCCCCAGGAAAACGAAAGCGGTCCATGGAGCGGGCGAATTGACACAGCCTCGAAGCCTCGAGAATTGGACTAACTATTGCGCAGTGCGCGATATCGAATCGTGTTCTGGAATGGGATGTACGTGGCCTGCCCCAGATACAGGCAGAGAATGCGAAAATTCTGCAGGATCGTCGTCAGAATTGGAGGCGCACCGTCCAAACTCTAATAAACGTCCACTGTCCTGGAATAGCTACAGTCCTGGACTAGTAGCCATAGGCCCAATGGGCGTCTCGTCCCTTGCAGAACACCGAGAGAAGTAAATGCGTTTTGGCTTTACATGTGGCGGCTGGCTGTCGAGCCACGTTACGCCATGTTTCCTTGCGCTGCTAACCGGCAGTGCGTGATTCACCCATACAGATACACGAGTCGTATCTTCTTTGATGGCTTGTTGTCGTACGTCTGAACGGCTGGGTCACGGTCATGTTTTCGTCGTCGAGTAATGGTTGGAACGGAACGCGTAGCACAGCGGCCTGTCACATGTCCCGGGTAGGCAGTACGTGCAGTGGGCGCTGGCAGCAGCATCGCGAGTAACCAAGTCCTGAACAATGTGATGTGCCCCTGAGTGGTCCATAGTGACTTGTGTCCTTTAGCTAGCATGATTATCCAGCTGTCAAATCACTCTGTCCATGTTCACAACTACTTACAAGACCCTGTCACGCCCTACACTCATGTGTGATCGACTCGGGAAGCTGCGCGTGCCTCACGTATCCTGGGTAGGTCAATAAGCATTCACGATAACACCATGCTCACATGTAACACAACACATGCTTACAAACCTATACAATGCATCCACGGTGGCATGTAGATGAACCTCATGCAGACAGCCGTAGCCTTCCGGCATCCAGTCCCGAGAGCGACAGAGAGACGCAAGACGCATAAACAGCTGCCATTGTTGCAGAAAGTGGTATCATAGATCATCAAGTTCCTCCCCATCACTCGGTCCTGCCCCTGACAAGTCCGCGTAGCCCCGTCGACCTCTTCTCCTTTTTCCGGCTGCCACTCGCCGATCCCTCATCGGCCTTGCCCTCTTTGCGTATCCGATTTTGAACACCTCCTCGGAATCAGTCAGAACACACGCACAAGTAACAGCACATAGTTGTCTCGCTGGGACACACTCACCTCGTCCAAAGTACCTCTGATCCGGGCTCGTGGGCGTCGGCATCGGCAGCACCTCTTTACCCCCGGGTGTGCCTGGCCGCTGCTGCCCTTGGCCGGCTGTCTGCGTCGGGGCAGACTCTTTCCTCAGCGGCGGCGTCATGTTATACGACGTGGCGTCGGGGATCGCTGCATCTGACAAAGCCCTCGCTGGCTGGGCCACCTTGCCCGGAGCAGCGCGGGGCGGGTAGTCCCCGCCCGGCATGGGATGGCTCGACGCCTCCATCCTGATCTGCTCCGGCGTGGCGCCCGACTGCATGTCGAACAGCGCCGACTGCAGCGCCGTGTACTTGCGCATCAACCCGTCGTACTGCTTCTGCATCTCCGCCTGCTTGGCACGGCTGCCTGCCATGAGCGTCTCCAGCTCCACCTTCTGGCCTGATCGTGGACGTCGCTCTCGTTGCGCCGCGCCCAGCTGCGCGTGGAGCTCCCTGACCTGCGCCTCAAACAGCTTCCTCGCACGCTGGAGCTCAAACTCCTCCGCGGCTAAACGTCTGCTGAGTGACTCCGCGCGGGCTTCTGCCGCGGCCGAAGCCTCCATCTGCTGCAGCCGCTCCTGTTCTTGGGCCTGGGCCTCCCGCTCTGCAATCGTCAGACGCTCGACCTCGGCCTTGAGACGGTCCGTCTCGGACGCCTGCAGCTCGGCCGACTGCACGTTTTGCTTCCAGTTGAGCTCCTTGACCTCCCCGATGCAGACCAGCTTGCGCAACTTCTCGCATTCCCCCTGCGTGTCCTTGAGCTCTCTCTTGACCCGCTCCAGCTCCTCGTTTGTCTGGTTGGATTTGTCGCGGAGCGTCTTGAGCTTGGCGGAGAGGTCCGCCTCCCACTTCTTGGCCATGGCCCGGCTCTTCTCCGACTCCTTGCGTACCTGCATCTCTGCCTTTTTGGCTTCCTCGAAGCGGTTTTTGAGGTTGCGGCTCATGATGATCAGGTTCTGCGTCTCCGCTTCCGTAGCAGCTTCTGACACTTGGCGCCGCCTGAGCTCACCGACGTGGGCAATGTGCTGCTGCTTTTGGTAACGCTCAAAGCTGAGGTCGTTCTGGAGCATGAGGTTCTGCCTTTGTAGATGCGCCAACTGGGAGTTTACGCTCCCAACGGCGTTGGCAGCACTGAAGAACGTCGTGTTGAGCGGCTCCGTCGGCGGCTTCTCCTGTCCTGATTCATGGTGACTGGCAGGGGCAGACGGCTCACTCTCCGCAGTCGACTGGCGCATGCCCGACTTGATGGCCTTGTTTGACTGAATCAGATCTTGCAGCTGAGTGTGCGACGTGGACTGTGTCAAAGACTGGTTGTCCACGCTCAGCCCGCTTCGCCTCCCTTCCACTTCGTCTCTCGACGTCAGGCTAGTCTGCGAGTCCACTCTAGACAAGCTGTGATGGCTCAGGGTAGATAGCGCCCTCTTGGGGAGAGCATCATGCGCAAGTGGGTTGTCGAGGATGGCAGAGTCGCCCGCATTCTTCTGGCGTTCCATCGCCGTGGATGGTAGTTGCGCTTCAAGCGTCATCGCATGGTCTGGACCGAAGCCGGCCGTGTCGGTGGAGATATAGAGAGCCATGCATTCAGTGACAACCTGCGCTGCCTCGCTCTTGATCCAACGCCCCAAATCTGTCTTTTCCGACTCAACTGTCAGCGTATAGAAGTTGGGGTGCAACAAGTGGCACTGCCGCAATCGCTCTGACTGATCCCGGAGCTCGGTCGCTTGGATCTCAAACTCCTCCGCATTGGCAACATTGGCATGGCGCAGATATCTAGTCGGCTTGCGAATGTAGTCCATGAGGTTGAGGGGGTATAGGCCGTACAGAATCGTATAGTAGTTCGCCAAGTGAGCAATGGAAGTGTCGTCGACGTCGGGGACCCGGCTGCAGACGTCCCATCCGGCCTCCGTCTCGGGGTTGTGAATGACCAGCTCAGGCCCCTCCGCCGATCCTCCTTTCCAGAACAGCAGGCGAGCGTAGATATTGAACAGAACGGGTAGAAATGGCACGAGAGCGCTCGGCATATGTGGCAGCAGCATGGTGAGCGCTGTCAACGCAGACGAGATGACGGCCGTGGAGGTGTCCTGCTGCAGGCAGCTGAGGAGGTGGTTAAAGAGGTGACTGTCGAGTATCTGGTGGAGATGCGGCGGTCTGTTCTGGACAAAGTCGCACAGAAAGCGCAGCGCAGCCTGCCGGTGCTTCGCCTGGACCAAGAAACTATCCAGCGATGCGAAAAACTGCAGAGGCCTTCTCTTGCCAAACGCGATCAGCGCTTCGCGGAACATGCGCTCGTTGTACTCCATGTTCGGTATGCCCTCGACAACGCCGGGGTAGAACCTCTCCATCCATCTAGAGAATAATGTGTGGATGATGGGGTTGATCGTGATATCTTCTGCCACCACCTCTTGGTAGTCGTCGGCCAGAGCAACGAGGTCCATTAGCCCGGCGACGGTCTCGTCCACCACGTTCCGGTCATGCGTGACCCTCTGCGTCAGGATGCCCTGTAGCGTGTGCATCCAGAGAAGCACACGCTCCGGCGTCTGGATCATAGGCAGCAGGCGCCGAAGAATGGCGATCCATGCGCCCGAGGCGTCCAGATTCCCGTTGACATGCTTTTCGAAGATGGACAGCAATTCCTCCTGTAGGCGGTCGGCGGCGGATTCTTCGTACTTTGGGTGTCGTCGCAAATATGCCTCAATCGTCTCGACGAGTTCGTCCGGTAGAGGGAGCGTGGGCTCAGTGATGTAGGCGTTGATGGCCTTTGAGAGCTCCTTCAATGATCTGTACATTGTCAGCAGCTAGTCTAGCACGCCAGAGAGGGGACGGCTGGATGGGCGTACGTTTGTGAAGCCATGCTTGGTCTCAGGTGAGGGCCTCGCGGCGCCTCAAGCTTTCGACTAGGCGCACCTGCGAGGATGGAAGCTCCTCGGACGCAGCTCGTTGCTCATGGGACGGGATCTGCGACGTGGATTTGGGGATTGTGATATGACGATGGAGGTGTGGAACGTCCGCTGCAGGCGCGCTGCGGCGGAGGATGGGATTTCGGGCGGGCCCGCAATTGTTAGCGATGGAGGCAGGCCTTGGGCACGTAGCGCGTGTTCATTAACAGGCTTCTTTTTTCCATGCAACAGCATATAAACTATCAATACTAGTCTAGTTAAAATAATGCAATATTCTCACGCGCAGTTTTGAAGGCATTTGGTTGAGTGAATTCGACCTCAAGTTCACTTGCATGTTAGCAGAAGACAGACCCTCAGCCATGGACAGCTTCCTCATGGAAGGGGTTCTCACCACACTCAAAAATGGCTCCGACGCATTTCTACTTTTGATTCCCAAGTTAATTTGGCATGTCTATCTACCACCTGAGCACATATTGGCGGACTTTGATTGTATCCGTCGACGACCAGGACCATCGTCGCTTGGGGCCTCTGCATTGCGGTCACGTGTCTATCACCTGGACAGCCAAAACCCCACCAGGCCCCAGTGAGTGCTTGCTAGCCCCGGCCTTCCGTCACAGTGCCTTCACCCCGCAATCGAGGCCTGGAGGGCCCTAGGGGCTAGAGCGCATGACCCCGCGAAATCAGCGGCTTTCAGTGGGTCACGGAAGCGTCGCAGCTGCAACCGGCTGCAGCTCACCCAAGCTTGCAAGGAATTGGACCCAGCAGGGGACATGTCGTATACTTCAAGTGAGGTGTGAGGTGACCTGCGATGCCATGTTGCCAGATGGTATCTATCTACCATAGATCAGCGCAATTGCCCGCTCCACAGCCTCAACGATGAGGGGGTTCACCGGCTGGAACTGACTCTCTCCACGCCTGTCTCTCCTCGCCCACTGTGCCTGGAGTCCAATGCCATCGCGTGATCCCCTCCCATTGAGTCATTGCACCCCTCCAGTAAGGTGACGGCAGCTTGAAGCTCCCACCAGTAGCTCCTTCACGTTCGGCAGGCTCGTAGCTGGCATATCATCCCGTCAATTGCTATTTACCCCTCTCCATCCCCTCTCAGTTCCTCCTCTCCCTCTTCTTCTTTCTTCTCCCTAGCACAGCTTCAAGCTTGAAACTACACACAACACTCTACAAACACTTACAATACCGGCAAGATGTCTGCATCAAAGACCTCGGCGGTGGCCGACGAGCCCATTGAGGTGCTCTTTGCGCTCCACCCAAAGTTCGACCTGCTCGACTTTGCCGGCCCCGCCGAGGTTTTCACCACTGCTTTGCACGACTGGAAGGACGATTGTAAGTCTTCTCATAGGTGACTGCGTTGTAGTGTGCGCCAATTGACCGTCCCATCAGCCTCCAAGGCCTTCGACATCACCCTAGCCGGTGCAGAGGAGAAGGTCCTCTCCGAGCAGGGCGTCATCATCGGCTCCCAAATCTCGTTCAAGGAAGCACACAAGCGTCTCGAGGACTTTGACGTCCTCGTTATTCTGGGCGGCAACTCGGCTGAGATTCTCAAGACGGAGGAGCAGCCTGCCGGCCTGATCTGCGACTTCTCGGAGCTGCAGAAGAAGGACCCCGGACGCGAGCGCACCATCCTCTCCGTCTGCACAGGTGCCCTCTTCCTCGCCAAGGAGGGCATCCTGTCCGGCCTGTCGGCCACGACGCACCCCGACTACTTCACTACCTTTGAGAATCTGTGCAGTGACGCCGCGACCCGTAACCTCCAGGAGCGCACCGACGTTGTCGAGGACGCCCGCTACGTCGTCAACAACCTTCGCTTCGATCTCGGCGAGGAGGATGACAACCCCTACATTCGCCGCAAGTCTGACGCCGGTCGCCGACCCTCCAACGCTCGGTAAAATAGAATATGCTGCAACTCTGTAAGGACTGAGCTAACTCGTCATAGCAAGGGCAGCATGTCCTGGAAGGGCTCCAACACGCGCCGCGAGTCGATCACCCGCCGCGCTGCCATGCGCCTCGGAGGTCTGCGTGTGATCACGGCTGGAGGCAACAGCGCTGGCGTGGATGCAGCCTTGTATCTCGTCAGCGCCTTGGTTGATGATGAGTGTGCGACAGAGGTGGCCAGGATCATGCAATGGACCTGGAACAAGGGCATTGTCGTCGACGGTCTCGACGTCTAATCAAACTTGCCCGGCCAACGAGGGCCAGTGTATCTTATGTGAGGCCCATGGGTAGACCGATAGCGGCCCACGGAGCGCCTATGTGTTTGCTTTAGTCATGATGTATAACGAACGACGCAATGTATGGTTTGTTTGCTTTATTTGACTTGATGGCGTGAGAGTGTCTGGTAACGAGTCGATACTTGGGTTTTCGCGTCGTTGGTGCGTGAGCACGTGACGTGAGAGACTGCTCAGTCGTTGGCGACCGCGAGCCATTGACTTGTATAAGCCACCTAAGAGTATATATCGTGCCCTTGCTGCCAATCTGAAATAGACCTGATGAGCTAAAATGACCAGAGGGCCGCAGGAAACATTGTGCAAGGCATCTGAGAACAAAGAAATCCTCGCTGCCGCCCATGGAGGATGGTGACATAAATGCAAGGGAGCAGTCCCACACAATGTTGACCTAAGCTGCTCGGTTATTCTGACCACCTCCCGCTGATGGTGGCGTCACCCTGCAGTTGCACTTCTAAATTTCCATTCGCAGACAATGATCCAATTCATTCAAACCTCAGCAACAACAGCCAACATTCACCATTTTCCCTCCTACACGCGTCGCCCTCAGAAGCCGCTACTCTCACCGCATCCGATCACTACGAGCTCCTCGTTCATCTTGCAGCACATTTTGGCCATTCGATCAAAGACCTCACTCAAGTCTGCTGCCATCAAACAGCGCCACGCGCGCCACGCGACTTGAACGACCATGGCGACCAATTGGTCCTCCCTCAAGGTGGTCGACCTCAAAGCCGAACTCAAGCAGCGCGATCTGCCTCAGCATGGATTGAAAGCCGAGCTCGTCGCTCGTCTGGAGGAAGCAGACCAGACTGCTGATGCGCCGCCTCACGAAGACGACGTGGGGCAGGAGGAAGAAAATGCTGCGGACAGCAACAATGACCCCGAGAAGCATCAGCACGGCGACGAGCATATGGAGAACGGCGGCCAGGCGTCTGCCGACGATCAGAAGGGTGTCGAGCCGTCCACGGAACCTGCGCAGGCTGAACAGATTGCTGGATCGACCGAGCAAACAGATCAAGGGCCTCCGGCCACCACAACCGATGCGCCCGAGCCGGCCAAGGAGGTTGAACAGGACAATACTGCACCTGTCGAGCCCATGAATGCGAGAACAACTGAAGAGCCCCAGGATGCGAACGCGACCCATGCTGAGCAGACTGCCCCCAATGGAGAGCAGCCAGAATCGCCAAACCCCGAGCCAGCCCGCGAAGACAGCATGGCTGTCGATGCAGCGGAAGTCCCACCCCAACCCAAGGAAGCTTCGCCCATACCCGAAACTGTCCCTCAACCAGAAGACGTGGACGGCACTGTCGCTGCCGACGGCAATCAGAAACGGAAGCGTCGGTCCGCAAGCCCATTGCCCAGCGAAGAGTCCATAGCCAAGCGCGCCCGCGTCGCCGAAGAATCCCGCGGCGACGATGGTGCGCCCTCCGTCAGCATTGCGTCCCGCCCAGACGAAGACGCAACCATGGGCGACGCAAACGACTACGAGCAAGATCTTCCCGAACAGAGCGTCGCCCCATCGATCCACCACGCGACACCTGCTCTCTACATCTCGAACCTCATGCGACCGCTACGCCCGGACGATGTCCAGGCTCACATTGTCGACCTCGCTACACCGCGCGGCCACTCGCTGTCGAACGACATTATCACCACCTTCCATCTCGACCAGATTCGCACGCACGCCTTTGTCGTCTTGACATCCACAGCTGCCGCGTCGCGCGTCCGCACACTGCTACACGACACGGTGTGGCCCCGAGAGAGCAACAGAAAAGCGCTCTTTGTGGACTTTGTCCCCGAAGACCGCGTCCAGGAATGGATCGACACAGAAGCACAGTCGCGACGAGGCACGAGGTGGGAGGTCACATACTCCTCCGACCCGGAGCCAGAGGCATCCCTCGTTCAAAGCACGGACGCATCTTCCCGCCCCACGGGCTCATTCTCCAATGCCATTCCCACCGGGCCGCGAGGCGACTCTATCAACAACATCCCCGTCGGTCCGCGTGGTGCACCGACTGGACCGAGAGCCAAACGCTCTGGACCCGGTCCGTTCCCAACCGGCGGACCGGGCCCCTATCCTTCTGGCGGTAACAGGACACGAGCGTTCCCACCCGTCTCGTTTGCGCCAGTGTCTGAGGAACTCGCGCAGCGAAGAATCGACAACATTTGGGGATTCTACACGGACCGCCGTGGACCGTATGGCAAGGAGCTGAATCGCTACTCATTTGAGGACGGCGACAGGTTCGTCGACCGGGGCACCGAGGTGTTTGTTGCCATCAGGCCGCCTCACAGGGACAAGCCTAGGGGAGGTGGTCGCGGCCGCGGCGGTGGTCGTGGCGGTGGCGGTGGCCGATTCGACGACCGAAGGTTCGACGATCGCAGATTTGATGATCGTAGGTTTGATGATGGTAGACGATTCGACGATCGCAGGTTTGGGAGGGACCGCTTTGGTGGTGGTGGTGGCCGAGGCGGTGGCCGTTCATGGGGTGATCGTTACATGCCCGATCGAAGATGAGCACCTCCCAAACATGAGAAGGCATTTCCCAAGGATGAATTTGTTGGGGCCATGGGACGCGGTGTCACCTAGCAAAAGGAGCCTAGGACGCGCAGCTTAACATTAATGAAGCCCATCACGAGACATGGACGTAAGATTCAACGTTTACTAGAACTAGATTTCCATTCAAAATCAATTAGGCATGTGAATTACTGTGTGTCCCAGAACATTCCAACTCCTCTTGGTCAACCCTGCGCCCCGATTGCGTCTTTCCCAATTCACTCCCCTAAGCTCGGCTGACGAGAGGCGAAGGCTCGACACCAACACGCTCCTTGCTGAGCAGATCCAGGATGAACTGCGTGGGACGGTTGTCCTTGTACACCTTCTGGCTCTCCTTGGCGAGCTGGACGTTCTGGAGATACTTCTCGAACAGGTAGGAGCTGTCCTCGGGTCCGCCCTTGGCCTCGGGGTGGAACTGGGTCGAGAAGATGGGGCGGGTCTTGTGCATCATGCCCTCGTTGCTGCCATCGTTCAGGTTGACAAAGTACTCCTTGAATTCACTGGGGAGAGTGCTCGCGTCAATGGCGTAGCCGTGGTTCTGGCTGGTGATGTGGCACTGGCCGGTGGTGAGGTCGAGGGCGGGGATGTTGTGCGCACGGTTGCCGTACTTGAGTTTGATGGTGCGAGCGCCGACGGCCAGGGCGAGGAGCTGGTGACCGAGGCAGATGCCCATGATGGGGATCGACGACGTCTCCATGAGGCGAGCCAAGTTGTAGACTGTGTCTTGGCAGTGGGTCGGGTCACCGGGCCCGTTGGAGATGAAGACACCGTCGTAGTGCTGGGCGACCTTGTGAATGGGGTAGTCGTAGGGGAAGACTGTGACAGAGGCGCCACGGCGGACCAGACTGCGCAGGATGTTCTCCTTCACGCCGCAGTCGATCAGAGCGACGTGGTAGGCGGCGCCGGGGGACTCAACCACAAAGGGAGCCTTGGTACTGACGCGCTTGACCAGGTTGATCTGGCCGGGGTCAATGAAGCCCTCGTCCTCGTCTGCATCGTACTCGTCACCAATGGTGATCCTGGCGAGGGAAGAACCCTGTTCTCGGAGGTAGGTGACGATCTCACGGGTGTCGACGCCCGAGATGGCCGGCACACCCTCACGAGCGCACCACTGCGACAAGCTCTCGACGGCGGTCCAGTGGCTGTAGCGGAGCGACACGTCCGCGACGACCACACCGGCGCACTGGATATGGGGGGATTCGAAGTGTCGGAGAAGGTTCCACTGGTCACGCTCCTTGCTGGGCACACCATAGTTGCCAATGAGCGGTTGGGTGAAGACCAGGATCTGGCCTCGGTAGGAGGGGTCGGTCATGGACTCGGGGTATCCGACGAGCGAGGTCGTAAAGACGGCTTCGCCAGAGATGTTCTTGTTGGCACCAAAGGCTGTGCCAGTGAAAACCGGTCCGTTCTGCACGAAAAAGCATCAGCACGTGCGTCAAATGTCATAGAGCATGTGTACATCAACTTACGCGAACGGAGAAAGTGGCGGGCAGCTGAGCAGCAGACTCGGCAGCACGGGGGGTGAAGGGCATATCACGACCCTTGCTGCCGGCATTGGCGGCCTCGGTGGCCATGGCGCGGGTCTGGCGACCATTGCGAGCGGTGACAGTCTGGCGAGCAGCAGCCGTCTTGATGCCCGAGACACCGAGAGCGGCGACGGTCCTGGTGTTACTGGCAAGGGAGCCAGAGGCGTGGTGGACGGCCTCTTTGGCGCCGTTGTTGGCCAGTCGGGAGAACATCTTGAATGTGGTTGGTGGGTGGGTTGGTGTAAATGGGGAAAGGTCGAGAAGAAGGTAGGTAGATCAGACGGTAGCTAGGCGGGCTTCTCTAAGATGACAAAGACCTCCACAGATGGTCTATGGCAGCTACTGTTAGTACATGAAGGCATGAGAGGTCCCTGTACCTGACTGACCGCCCCCATCATCCGGTGCAGGATGGTGGCGGTGAGTCAAGTTTTGGTGAGGGTTCCACGAACCTGACAGATAATCCTGCGCGCGCGCGTTAGTGATATGCGCCAATTGACACTGTGAATGCAACAAGAATAGAGTAAAGACAGAAATGCAAACTCGGCCAGCGCTCAATGGCTTGTAAAGGGCACCGATGAGGTAGATGAGGTTATTGGTGATGGTGGGGTGCGCTGGGAGCGAGCTTCGGGGATGAGGACGCAGGACAAAGGAAGTGTAGTCTTTCTTACCTGAGAAGTGAAGACTGACGGGCGCCCGTTCATAAGGGCGGATTCAACGGAAAATGAGACAAGACGAAGATTGGCCAGGGCCGTAGTTCGATAGGGTGCTCAGACTAATAGTAATGAGTTGCTGGGGCTGTTTGGAGGAGAAGATTGAGTCGAAGAAAAGAGGCTCGAGGGAAAAAGGCGATTTTGTGGTGAGGCCAGAGATAAAGGAAGGAGCCACTCACTGTGCTCGCCCAAAGCTAGTAAGACTAAAAAGGCCTTGCCGTGATTGGCTGCCGTCATTTTTTTGACATCGCAGGGCGCCGTGACCGCTGATAGATAGTGGGGACCATGACACGCTGTTTAGCCTTAACCCTTTTGGGCTACCACGAGGCGCCGATATCGTCGGCCCTGACTAAGGTACGTAGATAAGACCGTAGAAGGCCACGATAGATCAGCGCTCACACGGCGACGGATTATCACTGTATCCATATTGCTATTTCGTAAGAATACAAATCATCAAGATGCCAGCATGAACGCCTCTAGCTCTACTGGTTACATGACCGCGAGTTCATCTCATACAACGCCGACGTTACGGGATGGCCGCTTAGCTAATGAAGCAGAGGCAGCCAAGACCCAGGTAGAAAACAAAGAGAGGGTAGATGGCGATGGCGACACGGTTCTTGACGACGCCGCTGCCGCCCAGAATGCTCACACCGGCGGCCAAAGACCAGCCGATGAGCACAATGTAGACAGGTATCCTTGCGATCCAGTGCAGCCCCAGAGCCGACATGAGCGCGGCGAGGACGAGGGGGAACAGTGTATAGCCGATGATGCAGACGCTCTGCGCAAACGAGCTGTGTAAATCGTTAGCAAAAACCTGTCTCAGCAGTTCCTCGCGATACTCACATGTTTCCGCCCAAGAGCTTGATCTGCAAGGTGACAATAGCCTCTCCCAGCCAAACCATGGCAAACACGCCGCTGAAGACCTCATCCCTCTGCTCATGGTGCGGCATGCTCAGCAGCAGGCTCAGCAGCAAGCAGAAGATGAGCGGGCCCCAAAGATCCCAGTCGCGCAGGCCGGGCGTCATGTTGCTTTGCAGCAGGGCCTCTGGGTCCATCACCCGGCTCGCCAGGCCAGTGAGCTCCTCGCGCGTGCCGGTGATGCCCGCGCCTCGTATGTTGGAGTATGCGCCGCGCAGGCCGCCGTCCGAGTCGAACATGGTGCCGCCGAGGAGGTACTTGGGGTAGAGCACCTCGCGCAGCTTGGCCCAGACGGCCAGCAGGTCGCGACGAAGAGTCTCCCATACCGTTTCGTCAATGGTGTTCTGCGGCGCGCTGCGGTCCTCGCCGGGGATGCGGGAGGTCAAGTAGCCCTCGTTCAAGGGACGCGACGAGGAGCCGCCGGACCCAATGTTGCCCGCCAGTGGCTGTCGGGATGATTGCTGGCCGAGGGGATCGTCAAAATCGTTCAGATCAGCTGGTGCAAGTCAGTGCCTCGTTCTGCGACGCTCATCTGTCGATTCACATACCGTCATCAGGATCAATCAAGTCGTCGTCTTCCAGACTGGGATTGTGGTAGGCATCCCTTGCGCTTGAGGCAGACATCGCGACAGACCGGGTGCGTTGGGATCGAGATGTGTATTCGAAATTGCTGCGGCCGAAAATTGACGTCGAAGAAAGGCACGAGAGTTGTTGCGCTCTATGGTCGATAGGTGAGGTCAATGGTGATGATCAGAGAGCTGACGTTATTGTCGTCGCGGTCCTTCCACGTTTCCAGAATTCAGAAGAGGTCCAAGCTCCTGCCACCAGCTTCAGGGGCCTGTGAAGAGCGTACTGTGCGCAGGGTCAGTTGCGACTGTGACCAACACTGTCCACTGTCCACATCTCCCGTTCACTGCTAGGCCATCGCTCACATTAAGACTGAACAAACACAGGATAATCAAGTGGTATAGTCTATTAAAGCTCCTAGGCAATGAGGAGGCAGTTGGGATTGCACAATCAACGCACGCGCGCCCACAATTACTACCAGACTTTGCGTAGGCCTCATTATGACCATCAACTCAATTAATTACCCTAGACAACCCAGACACTCCTGCTCCGCTGAACACCAATTGCGTACTCTTACAGATCATGGTCCATAGGCCAGTCGTTAGCACCATTACGATGGGTGTAATCACCCATACTATCCAGCGTGGTATTGCTCGTCCACCAGCCACTGTTGGTCGGCGTTGACAAGCTACCCATGGAGGTACGAGTGCGTAAGCCATGTCGACGCGAGGACTCCCCCGACATGTTGGACGAGCTAGACGCTCCAGAAGACTGCTGGCCAGGTCGTTGCGCCCTCGGTCTTCGCACGCGACAGTCTATGCAGTCACAAGCCACACTGGGACGGGTCGTCGTGGTCGTGGTCGTAGCTCCGCAGTGCGGGCATGTGGACGGCGCGTTCCCATTGCACCTGTTACACGGTTGCCGATTGCGGTTGTTGCGCCTATCGCGTCCCATGGCCCTCCTGCGCAAGGCCCTGCGTCGAAGTCCTTCGGCCGACAGCTCGCGCTGCCCATCCTGCCAGGTACTGGGGACAGCTTCGCCACGGGGATTGCCGTGTGCATAGTCGGCCAGGTTCTCGTTGATGCCGACCACGGCCCACGCAAAGACAGCTGACTCGCGGATGGTTTGGAGGGTGTTCTCGGGGACAGGCGACGGCGGACGAACAGCTCGGTAGCCATACGTGCGCGCTGCACGACCCCCTGTGCGGGTTTCGTGGACCGTTTCGGGCGCGTAGCTGGCTTGAGTGGGCTGGTGAGCCCATGGGGCAGCAAACTGTCCGCGGCTGAGGGTCTGACGATGAGGCGCGCGACGGTCCTCCGGCACGGGTCTTGCACGGCGCAGGATCACCACTAGACCGTCCGATGTACAGGAGACAACAGCCTCCAGCTCAACAGAACGATACGGGCGCTGGCCTCGTCGTGGCCTCGCCGTCGATTGCGATTCTTGCGACGCTACAGGCGCATCGTGCGACTGGGCTGGTTCGGACGGCAGCTGTGGAATCTCCGACAGCCTCTGCAGAGGCGGCTCCGATTCCGAGCGCTTGATCCGGACCTCGCCGTCTTGCCCCTCCTGGTCCATCGGAGATCGAGAAAGAGACCGCTGACGGCTCTCTCGAGCGGAGGAATAGAGAGTACTTGGCGGTCCGGTGCTGAGACGACCCCCGGCAGCAGCCTGCGAATTGTCATCCGAGTCCGAGGTCAGTCGAACGCCCCCATGGCTGTCCTGCGAGTCGGACTCGCTTCGTTGCACCATGGACTCGTCTTCCGTGTCGCCGTCCGTCTCGCTGTCCACCTCCTCCGCAGGCCGAGGGTCCCGAGACCAGAAACGCAGGTAGGCGATGGAGTCATTAGCTTTGGCGCGTTCCAGACATTGGAAGGCCTCCTCGACGCAAGCCTCATCGATACACTCGTAGAAGCTTTGGTTCTGCAGATCAGGGGCGGGGATGCCCAGAATGGAAGCGACCGCGTCTGTCGAGAACATGATGCGCAGCGATCGGGTGAAGCGGTTGACGATGAGGGCCGCTCGGGGTTCGTGGACGGTGGCCGGCATCTCGAATTTGTACGAGAGATGCTCCAGCATGTAGTAGCGAGGGTCCATGGACGAGCAGGCGAACAGCCGGCGAATGTGAGGAGCCTCCAAGGCACGTCCTGCGGGTGTGGGTAAGCGGTGGTCAAGGTGAGGGTACCCGTGCTAGACTTACGCTCGCTCCGTTCACTTCGTTGGTAGATGCTGGTGCAAGCCACCAGCACGTCGTGGACGATAGTGAAGCAGCACTCGCAATTGATCCATTGACCGTCGGCGCCCAGGATCCTGAGATAGTTTAAAGCGGCTGCCTTGTCGAGTCTGATGTCCCTGGCGTATATTTTGCGTGCCATCTGCACCTCTTCGGGATGGAAGAAATCGAAGCATGACCTGCCGACAACCTGTTGAGGATGGTAGCCGAGTATGTCTGTAACAGAGTCAGACACAAACAGGATGTTGGCACCCTCTCCGAGATCTATGTTGGTTAGACTCGCCGCTGGAATGGGAAAAGCACCTTGGAGTCTTACCGTGTATACTTATAAAGGTCTGATCCATGGTGGAAGATGGCAGTCCGATGGACGATGGTGATAAATAGGTCTTTCTATTTCCTAAGGCCAAAACTGAACGATTATGTGCTAATTAGCCCCTAAAAGAGCTGTGAAGAGTATGCACTCTAGCAACGAATCGTTCGAGCCGTTCTCAACGACTCATTTCAACCCTGTGTGGTGTACCTAGAGACCAGTGTTGGTACTAGGGAGTGTTGCTCCGCGAGAATAGCAGAGACAAATCTGGTGCAAAACGCCGTGAGAAGTCTCCGTAGGGTACAAGCACCTGTCGATCGTCCCGATACTCGTTCAGCAGGAGAACACCAAGAGTTGACTTTTTTGTGAAGCGGGTCGGGGTTCAACAAGTTCCACCGTTCGACGAGAACCAGGTGTCAGAGTGTTCGTTGTGAGTCGCGGCAAGGTGCAGTATTAGCAGCGTTGTGCGCCCGTAGGTTGGACAAACGTCCTTGGCCCCATTTTGCCTCTGAGGGTCGGTCACCTCAGGGTTTTTAAGCGATGCGGACCGATAGCCTCTAGTGTTCGGACGTGGCGAAGCTATCTCAATCGAGGCACTCTCTCCGACAGCGTCCTGCCGGCAGTGATGCAAAAAGTAACGGCCCACGAAGCGGACTTTACGCTCGCGCTTCTTGCTAGTCCGTAGTAGTCTTGAACTACAGTGTGTAGGAGGGTGGCACGGTGTGGGACAGGTGGGGGAGCTGACGAATTCAAGCAGGGTACTCTGTAGATCTGCCGCGGATCATTGAGTCGTGACGAGGACCGCAGTTAAAGCTTTGTTTCGGAGAAGAAATCCTGTAGCTCACGAGTAATTACAAGCAATTGATGGTTTGGGTCCAGGGTCCAGTAGAGAAGAAGTGGTGTGATGATGAGGAGCGACCTGACGACTTGGGGTTGGTTATGTGGTGGTGCCTGCGTGCGAATGCCGGCCGCCGCACCCTTGTCCGCCTCTGCAGCTCCAGTCGAAGCGAAAGCAGGATGCAGCACACACATCCTGCGCGTAAAATTGTACTCAGTGTGCTGTACGGAGCAACCGGGGCGGAACGCGAGCTCCAGTCACTGAATCTATGAGGCCGACAGTATAAAACTGGATCCAACTTCGGCGGGTGGACAGTGCGTATCTGTATGCCCTCACACAGTATGGCGCGCCCTGGCATGTACCTACATCGACTGGAGTCCGTGTCGTCCGTCATCACAGGCATGAGCCGGCTCTGCAAGAGGCTTCTGCAGGTAATATGTTGCCAATATACGTACGTACTACGTAGCACTGTACGCCATCTGCGATTGCGGGCATATATATCCTCATGCGCTGGAAGTTCAGCATGTCATCTCGACAACGGGCTCCAGTCCGCGCTCGGTTACAGATGGCAAGGTTACGTGTATTGTTGCCGCCTTTGTCCGAAGCTGGCAGAATGTGCGTCTGGCGTTGGACGAAGCGAGGAGGACTTTGCATGCCAGTCGCGCTACGGAGTACTGTACCTACCTAGGCAGCCTATTATTATTGCCTTACACAGCCGTAGGTAGACTATTAACGTACTTTACCTTACCTATGTAGGTAGGTTACCAATATACCGGCAATGGATTTATCTCAGCCTCTCAGGGGTCCCCTAGCGCAAGACATCCGGATGTAAGCCAACCGGGAACGCCACGGCCCACCTGTTGGAGCCCCCACCCTCCTCGGTTCAAGTTCAAGTTCAGTTGCGCAGCCCTCAGAAGAAGCACACGAGCAGGTATTACCAGTGCGATCATCCCTTCATATGTGGCGCTGTCAAGGTTCTTGGGCGAGTAAAGGAAGTATGATGAGCACACAGCCGCCTTCAAACAGCCGTGCAGCCTGCAGGCTGCCCGCGTCTCAGGCAGGCCAGGCACCCTCTGTCCTTCCCAATGCAGCATGCTGATCATATTCACGTTCGCGCACTGCCATCGCGCGCGTGAGTCTCGACTCTGGGAGGCGAGAGCAGCCACAACAAGCGCTGCCAACCACAGTCTTTATTACTTGGAATGATACTCGGTACGAAAAGGATCCAAAAGTTTCCCTATCCGTACAGGTGCGGTATCGTGCTTGAGAAACTGACCTTGGCAGCGCACGGTTCCAACCAGCAATGACTCGCGAGACCCCAGTCTGTGAATGCCCACCGTTGGAGTATATACGTCATCACACACGAGCATTTGTTTGACGTTTTGCTCGCGTTTTGCTGGTCAATTGGCCGATGCTGGCGTTGATTCAACAAGTGTCACACAGGACATATTAGTCCCGGACAGCTGCAGCAGACTGGACAAGAATTGGACCTGTGAAAAGCAGTCGCTAGGTCACCGACACATGGAAAGATGACTTCAAGCGGACTTCGCTGGCCTCCACCCCAAGAGCACTGCAGGCCTGGGGAGAAAAGAGGAAAAGGACCTGTCAACTAATGACCTTTTTGACGAATTTCTCGCGCGCTTATTAGACGTTTGTTGTTGTTCCCTGTTGCGGACATGGAGTAGCCTGGGAGGCTGGGGCTGGAGGTGCCTAGACCCTGGGCGCGGATCCAGCTGAAAGCTGATTGCCTGGTAGTGATCGCTGCTACTCATTACAGTGCCTCTAACAATTAATAGGACCATACGGAGTACATCGAACAAACAAGTGCCGTACTGTACGTTCTAAGGTGCAGTCCGCTCTTGATATCAGCCCCTACTGTCCGTCTGAGGCAATCGTCATTGTACCTACAGCCGTAATTACTACACGGGCAGCCGACAAATCACAGGCCAAGGCCCCATGCAATAAGGTAGGAGATGTGAGGCATGGGTCTGGCCCCGGTCTGGCGCCTGTATTGATGCGTAACAGCCAACAGGTCACTTGCACAGTGTCCCGCGCAGAGTCAGACACCGTGCGCACTTTGCCCATGGACTGTGCATGCAGCTCGTGCGTGCCTCTTCGCCAAGGTCCCTATGCGAACGGCGGCAAGGCTCACATCTTCCGATCAGACCTTACCAGAGCTGGACCCGAGGATGCCACTTCGACGACCGCCAGAATGGGGTTCTCACGAAGCGTACGAGCTGCCCAAGCTCTCCTCCAGTTGCATGTGGAGATTTGAAGATGACTGCAAATCGATCTCAGCATCAGCCGATTCACAGGAACCGCCCGAAGTGCCCGGTGAGACGAACATCCTACATGAGTGGTAGTGAAAACCAATTGCTAAAGTTCAATGAAAGAGGCGCTGGCTGTCAGATTCTGCCCCTACCAGTCACTTGACGCGCCCGTGTTCGCAGTCATCACCAAGAAGCACGTGGGTCGCCGCTACGTCTAGACTGTCAACGACTCCAATAACAGGTCTCCCGCGTAGATCGTCATATACCGACTTCCAGCAGGCCAAGAATCAGGCGACGGCAAGGTCCTCACAATCATTCGCGATGCCGACGTACGTAAGCCACAGCAGAGCCGTGACATGACTAGCTCCCGCAGTGTTGACACAGACAAGCCAGGCGCCCTCTTGTACACATGCACATGGATTCTAGATCGACGCACAAGCGTACCTTATCTGTGCGTGGCAGGTAAAGACGCGTTGATCAAAGTCTACGATATCAACAAAGGGCGGATACACAGGACACTTTCCGGTCACGGGGGCGTAAGAACATGATTGCCAGTGAATCAGAAGGCCCCCTCTGACATGCAGATAGGGAATCAACGACCTCAACACCTGTCCAGTCAACTCGGAGCTGATTCTATCTGCCTCCACAGATACCACGGTGCGAGTTTGGAGTTTTGACCCAATTCACAATGAGCAGCCGTGTCTCTTCATCTTGGGGGGAGAGGGACACAAGTCTGACGTGGAATCTGCGGTGAGCAATCTTTAGATCTAGGATCAAGCGAGCACCTGTGCTGACTGTAGACGCGTTCAGGCATGGCACAGCAAGGGCCGCTACATCGTATCCGGCGGTATAGATTCTTGTGTGAACTTGGTGAGTAAGCATCGACGCCGCCAGACAGCAAGGGCTTACCATTTTCCCGCAGTGGCTGGTCCCCGAGCTGCCTACTGCACCCGTGGATAGCCCTGCCCAGGTCATCTGGCCTCACTTCTCCACGGTTGCGCTGCATAGTGCCATCGTAGACTGGCAAGTCCTTTGGCTTCTTTGAGAGAGCGAGCGAGATGGGCTGACAACTACCATAGCGTTGCGTTTTTCGGGGACTATATCTTGTCCAAGGGAAACCAGGACAACGTGATCATCATGTGGAAAATCATGGGGTTTTCCTCTGAGGATGAGCCCGACACCGACATTGCCCCCTTGCCAGCCATCCACAGACCAGGCAACAAGGACCCTTCACAACTCACGCGGTCCGCCTTTGTGCCCCGAGTCACGCGCCAGTGTCCCACGCAGTACGAGCGACGCATGCAGTTCTCGACACCCAAGGTGAACGAGTTCTTCTACACCTTCTTCGAGCTACACCACCAGCCAGACCAGCACCCGATTCTGACCTTTGCCAACCCGGCTGGCAGCGTGTACTTTTGGAGTCTCCAGCGTATCGTGGAGTACGACCGCATTTCGACCCTGATACGTAAGAGCAAGAAGAGGAAAGAGGCAAAGTACCTACCACGATGGCTGCGACCTGACACGGGCAACCCGGCCACCGATACGGCGGCCTCGTACAGTTGTGATGAGTTTAGAGAAGCTTGGGATGACAAGTACACCATGGTGGATGGCCAGCACGCCCTCGAGCCGCATGTGACCATCAATGTCCCCAGGTCGAGGTCAGCCAGCAATAAGTTGGAACCGGACTTCTTCGGAAGGCAGATCTCATGGAGTCCCAATGGGGAGTGGTGTGTCGTGTCAGGGTCCTTGAATCGTGTTTTGATGTTGCGGCGATGGCATACCCCTCAGCAGGAGTCGAGCACCACGAGTAGTTAGTCTAGCCGTTTGGCTTGGGCACATAGCGTCGGGACACGGGATTGAATTGTCATGAGCAGGCCATTGTATGTTTGATGGTCTTGGATTCCAAGGATAAAGTCTCCCTATCGTTATCACAAATGACGCCCGTGAACACCCTGTTCGGCTTGAGTCCGAAGCAACTCCCAGATTCGAAGAAATACAGTTCGTAACGCCACCCTGTCCAACGGACTCTACCCTCTTGTCTTTTGGTATTTTGCGTATGCTGAATGTTCTCTAAAATGTGCAAAAATGCAATGTCTGGTTGGTTACGCTGTCAAAGGGGCCTTTCCGACCTCCTCGGCGGCACCAGTGGCGTGGAAGCCGTCCAGGGTGACGGTGACAGCACCGGCTTGCACAAGCTACGCAGAAGTCAGTCAGGGGAAGCTCTTTGTTAGGGATCTCTCATTGGAAACTTACTGCGCGGGACAGATCGTCAATCAGGTCGTCGGCATCCTCAATGCCCACGCACAACCGGATAATGTCCTCGGGCATCTGTCGCTCCGCACGGGTCTTGGAGTCAATGCTCGCGTGGCTCATCTGGCAGGGCATGCTGATCAGGCTGTTGACGCAGCCAAAGCTGACACTGATCCCCCAGAGGCGAGCGGCCTCGACGATCCTCGCCGACACGGCGGGGTCGCCCGTCTCAAACGACAGGACGGCGCCGGCGCCGCGCGCCATGGACCAGTGCAGGTCGTACTGGGGGTGGGACTTGAGACCGGGGTACCGCACGCGGAAGCCGTGCGACTCGAGGAACTCGGCAATGGCCTGGGCGTTGGCTTGCTGCTTCTCCATGCGGATCGCCAGCGTCTTGACGCCGCGCATCAGGAGGAAGCAGTCGTTGGGGGTCAGACCGCAGCCTGTGGAGTTGATCATGAAGAAGAGCTTGTTGCCGAGCTCCGTGTCGTTGACCGCGAGGACACCGGCCATGATGTCGTGGTGGCCGGAGAGATACTTGGTGCCCGACTCGTAGACAACATCGGCGCCAATGTCGAGCGGGTTCAAGAGCATGGGCGACAGCATCGTGTTGTCGACGACAACGATGGCTTTGGAATTGGCCTCGTGGGCAGCCCTCGCAATGGTCTGGATATCGACAATCTTGATGAGGGGGTTCGTCGGGGTCTCGAGGAGCACCATGGCCGTCTTGTCGGTAATGTGTGACCGGACGCCTTCGGCATCGGTGGTGTCAACGTGCTTGACGACGATGCCCATGTTGGTCGCGAGATATGTGAGGAGACGGTGGGTGCCGCCGTAGAGGTCGTCACCGGTGATCACCTCGTCGCCAGGACGGAGCAGCCTCGAGACGACGTCGAGCGCGCCCATGCCCGAACCAACGGCCAGCGCCCGGTTGGCATTCATAATCTTGGCCAGGTGTCGCTCCAAGTGCGTCCGTGTGGGGTTGCCGGAGCGTGTGTAGTCGTACTCGGACTGGCCGCCCTGGGCTGTGGATTGTTTGAAGGTGGCGGACTGGTAGATGGGCACGCTCGACGCGCCATACTGGTCCTTGCTCTCTGTGTACACCAACTCGGTCGCCAATGCGTATCTCCGCCGCCCGTTGCGAGGGCTGGAAGGGGCGGGCGAGGGAGGCAGATCGTGGCCGTCGAGATCGACTCGCTTCAGCGGGTTGCTGGGCTTGCTGGTCGAGCTGCTGCCATTGCCGTTGGTTGGAGGGGTCGACATGGCTCTGGAGGGGTGGTGGGGATGGAGATGAAGCAGTAGTTCCTAGAACCCAGTGGCTGCGATGAGCAATAGTTGATTCTGAAAGCCGGGTGGGAGTCGAGATGGAGGAATTGGAATGGAAGGGGAGGGAGAGATAGTGTGACCGCCTCCAAAGAGGTAGATTAGCAGCCAGCGAACGGTCCCAAACCTGGGGAAATTCGACCTCTGTCCGAAGGTCGGAGTCATGCTTGCTCATGGCGGCCGTCGGATGATGTGATCTGGCACAGTAGCCTCTGTCGATATGCACGGTACGTGCACACTGTGCACCATGGGACCGACTACCAGGTATCTTATGCGTCGTCCAACTGAGAATGAGGAGAACCTCTTGATCCGAGACAGGTATTAGTATCTCTATTATGTATGTAATACTCAGTCTGCCTGCTCTACAGGCAGCTCCTCCACATCCTCGTACTCGTCGCTCTCTGGCTGCTTGGTTGCATTTCGTTGCGCCACACCGCCCTGCCCTCTCCTCCCGAGGAAATCATCGTTCCTGATGCCGCGGAACTGGCTGGGATTTGGGGGAGGCATGGCCTGTCCCTTGGTGCGGTGTGCCTTGAGATACTCGCGCACGGGCGCCATGGCCGCGTCCCGACACACCTCCTTGAGATCGCTGCCCGACATGCCTGCCGTCACCTTGGCCACGTAGTCAATGTCAAAGTTGTCCGGGTCCATCTTGGAGTCGCGTAGCACGAGCTGGAGGATCTTGCGCCTTTGCTCGCGGCCAGGCAGGGGCACGGGGAACTTCTTTGGCATGCGGCGCAGGATCGCCTCGTCGATATCGTTGATGCGATTCGTTGCGCCGAGCACGCAGATCTGCGCAGGCTTACCAGCAGAGTCCGATGAAGTCAGCCCATCCCACAGTGTCATAAACCTGCATGTCGTCAGCATCTGCCCGTACATCTGTTGCGAGGGACTACATACTCTGCCTTTACCATGCCGCTGGCTTCATGCTCGCCACTCCTGCGAGTGCCCAGTAGCGCGTCGATCTCGTCGATAAAGATGATGGCTGGCTGCATCTTGCGGGCCAGCGAGAAGACGGCGCGCACAATCTTGTTCGAGTCACCATACCACTTCTCCGTCATAGTTGAAATGTGAAGGTTGATAAAGGCGGCACCGCTCTCGTGCGCAAGTGCCTTTGCCAGCATTGTCTTGCCACATCCCGGAGGGCCAAACAAGAGAACGCCCGAGGGCGCGGAGAGTAGCGATCCGGCATGTGAGTATAGGTGTGGCATGGTCAGCGGGTAGATCACGGCCTCCCTGATTTCCTCAATGATCGCATCGAGTCCGCCGATATCTGCGCCGCCATAAGCTGCTTGAACCTGTCTCGGAGAATATTGAACTCACCGTCAAACCCCACTGGAATGTCCTCTGGCGCCACCATCTCGAGCGCGACTAGGTTCTCGTACTCGTTCAGCTGGATTTCCTGCATGCGACCCGTGCCGCTGCTGTCGTCCCCATTCTCCTCGTAGCGCTGCCGCCGATTCAGGCGCTCAAGATGCGCTTTGGCTTGGTTTCTCGTTCGGTCTTGCTTCTCCCTTTCTGGGTCGATCAAATTGCTGAGTAACGGGTTCATGAACGTCTTGAAGACATAGAGGCCGGCGCCCATCTAGTATCGTCGCGTCAGGAACTTTGTCAAAGCCATGCGACCAAAATCCACTTACCAGTCCCGCGAAGAGCAAGACATCCAAAGCTGTATCGCCCAGCTTCCGTCGGTCGCTCATGATGGGTGGTTGTACACTGTCGGGTTCTAAATCGTATGGCGGATGCGGTGGAGGGTTCTATGATTCGTCTATTGCTGTTGAGTTGAGCCGTGGCATTCGAGAAGCATCGGAGAAAAGTAGCAGATCAACTACAGTAGTACAGAGGAAGAAAGAAATGGAACATGAAATGAAAGCTTGGTTGTCAGATGCTGGACGTTGGCCACAAGGTTCGCCGAGGATGGGCAGCGAAGCGCGGCCCAATTTTATGCATTGCTAATGCGACATGCATTAAACAGGCACAACTGCTGCTTGTTGACATTCTGCCGGGTTGGGAAAACGGGCTTCACGTTGCGACGTGGACCACAACGACCGACACCTTCCTTGAGGCTCCAAAAAGACAATCGACACGAAATTTTCTGCAGCGAATTGGGCGCGCTTGAACTTCGACAATGTATCGCGATTAACGTGTATCTCACCGCATATTGTGTCCGACAGCAGACTTCCGCCAACATCGTCTCGCGAAATCTAGATGTCCCCACGCGCGAAAGCAGCCACTGGGCTCACCAGTCTGATAGAATCAGGGTCCGAGCCTGACTTGGATAGCTTTGACGCGCCCGAGTCCAATCCAGCACGCGCGATAAGTCAAAATGCAACCAGAGGAAGACCGCGAGGACGACCGCCCGCAACCGCGAACAGAGTCACCAAGCCCGCGCAACGAGGGGGCAAACAACCAGCCGGACGCGCAGACAGAGGAGCAGCTACACGAGGAACACGGACAACAGGACGGCGGGGCAGACCTTCGAACACCGCGCCGCCGCCGGAGCCTGAACCTGAGCCAGTGCCTGAACCAGAGGCAGAGGTTGACGAGCCCACCCCGGTAGTGGCCAAGCCGCGACGAGGGAGGCCAAAATCCTTCAACAAGACAGCTGCAGTGGAGGAGAAGAATGTATCAAGCTCACCGACTCCAAAAACTGGTCGAGGTCGACCGGCGAAGACGAAACCCCCACCAGTGGACCCAGTGTCTGTGGAACTCCCAGCAGAGGCTATGGAAGTCGACGATGCAGAGCCAGAGGAAGGCCCTGACGAGGACATGGAACAGGAACCTGCGGTAGAAGAGCAAAATGGCATGGAAGAAATGGCCGAAGACGGTCCAAACGATGCCACCTTGCGCAGGCGACTGGGGGATCTTACAAAGAAGTACAGCAGTCTGGAAGCAAGACACAACGAGCTGCGAGACGTGGGCGTCAAAGAAGCAGAGCGCAACTACGCGCGTCTTAAGAAGCAGGCTACGGAGAATTCTGCGACCGCGGACAAGCTCATTGCTGAGCTCAAGGCGGAGCTGGCGGCGCAGACCGCGTTGGCCAAGAAAGCTGAGGCTGCAGAGGCTAAGATTCCTGCGCTCCAGACCAAGGTCACCGAACTTACCGCCAGCTTGACTGATGCGAGGTCTGAGATCAAGACCCTCAATACCAAGTTGACGGCGGCGCGAAACACAGAAGCCAACATCAAAGCACCGGGCAGTGCACTGAAGCCCAACGCGGCGGGCAACAGGGGCGTCTCTTCTGAGGTTGTGCAAGCCGCTCAGGCTAAGGAAGACCTGTATGGTGATCTGACAGGCCTGATCATCCGGGGCATGAAGCACGTGGACGATGAAGAGGTCTTTGATTGCCTCCAGACAGGGCGCAACGGCAGTAAGTTGGTGTCGAAGCAGATATACGGATGGCGACTGACATTGATTGCGCAGCACTGCACTTCAAACTGGCTCTCAGCTCGCCAGATGCGGCGGACAACTACGACGATGTACAGTACACCTACCTCCCGCAGCTCAACCCCGATCGTGACAGCGAGCTCATGGCCGTGCTGCCCGATTTCCTCGTGGAGGAGATTACGTTTCCGCGCCCGCATGCCTCCAAATTCTACACGCGCGTCATCAAGTCTTTAACAGAGCGTGTCGAATGAGTTAGTTACAGGTACAAAGGCGGATGGTTCTATTTGCTGTAGTAGGCGTTGGTTTGGCGTGATACCCTGAGCGCGACTGGCGTTTGAATGTATGGTGATACCACTATGATCACAAATTTCCTCCATACAACCCAGCTCTGATGTGAATCAAAACTCCTGCATGAATAATTAATAGCGCCACAAGGTTGCTCATCAAGGTGCCAACTTTCATCCCCAGGATCGGGGTTCGTGACGCCCAAATTCCGTGCCTACGATCCCTTCAGGTCCCCTCAGGGGTCTGCGGGAACGTGACGCCATGCCTGCCGCGGATTAGCTGTGCTGATTGGCAGACTGCATGGCCGGGACCCAAAGAAATGTGTGCCTGTCGCGTCCACCCCTTGAGCATCGTGAAGCCAGATGCTCATCCACATTACGTACCTGGCCCAGTTCGAGGTCAAGCCAGGGGGAACCTGCTTCCCTTAACTCACCTTTTCTCCGTACAACATTGACCTCGACTCCTCAACGGGTGCATTGGGCAATTGATCCCCTCGAGACTAACGAATGACTGCCCAGACGCGGTCGACTCTCGCTTGAACCTACTATGCTCGAACAGCGACCTCATCAAATCCGACCGAATCCCCTCCTTTCGTGAGCTTTAAGCTCCCAAATCGTCGTCATGAAGACGTTCTCTCGCTTCGGGTTTTTGGCCACGGCCATGGTGTTCCACCTCGTCTATATCATGTCCATCTTTGATATCTACTTCGTCAGCCCCATCGTCTCAGGGATGCGCCTCTTCAGTGTGCCACGAGAAGCCGAGCAGCGTGCGCCCGCGGATCGCCTTGTTCTGTTTGTTGGTATGTGCTCTGCCCTTGAATGACGGCTGCCATTGACCCTTCCTGTCAGGTGATGGACTCCGAGCCGACAAGGCCTTCCAATCCTTTCCCGAGCCGTACCCCAAGACCGATGCGGACCTTGAGCCACGACCCCTAGCGCCGTTCATTCGAAACCAGGTGCTGGAGAAAGCGACATTTGGAGTCTCCCACACACGCGTGCCGACCGAATCTCGCCCTGGACATGTCGCTCTCATCGCAGGATTGTACGAGGATGTCTCAGCTGTGGCGACCGGATGGAAGATGAACCCCGTCAACTTTGACAGCGTGTTCAATCGAAGCAGGCACACATGGAGCTGGGGGAGTCCCGACATTCTCCCCATGTTCGAGCATGGTGCTGTCCCCGGACGGGTTGATACGTACATGTATGGCGCAGAGATGGAGGATTTCTCCCACGACGGCTTCGATCTGGACTACTGGGTATTCGACCACGTCAAAGACTTCTTCAAGGAAGCTGAGACCAATCCTGAACTGAACAAGGCCGTGCGCGAGGACAAGGTCGTGTTCTTCCTTCACTTACTGGGTATCGACACCACTGGCCACACGTTCAGGCCCTACTCGCCCGAGTACCTGTACAACATCAAAGTGGTGGACCAGGGGATTAAGGAGGTCACCGAGTTGATCGACAAGTTCTACGGCGACGACCGGACCGCATACGTGTTCACAGCCGACCACGGCATGAGCGATTGGGGCAGCCACGGGGACGGGCACCCGGACAACACGCGGACACCTCTCGTCGTGTGGGGTTCTGGCGTCAACGGGCCCGAGCTGCACCCAGGAACATTGGCGCCGGGCCATACCGAATTCTCGGCGGACTGGGGATTCGACCACGTGCGCAGACACGATGTCGCGCAAGCCGACATTGCTGCTCTCATGGCATACCTGATCGGCACCGAGTTTCCCGCCAACTCGGTCGGGCAGCTCCCGCTGTCCTACCTGAAAGCAGACAACAAGGCCAAGGCCGAGGCCTCGCTCGTCAATGCGCAGGGGATTTTGGAGATGTACCGCGTCAAGGAGGAAAAGAAGGCCGCCTCGGAAATGCGTTTCAAGCCGTTTGAGGCGCTGAGCGCAGAGGGCTCGACGCCCGCGTCGCGACTGGCCTCTATCCGCGCCCTCATCGACGCTGGCAAGGTGGAGGAGGCGGTTGAGGAGACGGACGCGCTCATGGCCCTTGCTCTCGACGGTCTGCGCTACTACCAAACATACGACTGGCTCTTCCTTCGCACGGTTGTCACCCTTGGGTACCTTGGCTGGATGGCCTATGCTCTCACCGCTGTCGTTGATACCTTTGTCGTCAAGGAGCACATCTCCCCATCCAGGAAAGCCGGCCACCTCACTTTCTTCTCCGCGTTGCTGGTCACTTTCTATGCTTACTTTTACGTCTCGGCTGCGCCGTGGACCTACTACGTATACGTCTTCTACCCTGTCATGTTCTGGGAAGAGGTGTTTGCGAAGCGAGAGTCCCTTGTGCAGGGTGGCAAAGTGCTCTTTGCGCATGTGCAGGGGATCGGCGCTGTCATGGCATTGGTTGCGAACATTATTTTCTACGTGGCCGTCATCGAGTCCCTGGCCCTTGGCTACATTCATCGCGAAGTCTTCACTGGTCTCTTCGTCCTCGGGTCCCTCTGGCCTGTCGCGTACGGCCTCTCGTTCCTCAGATCCAACCTATTCTTGAGCTTTGGCTGGGCATTTTCCTGCCTTGTCATGAGCGTCTTTACCCTCTTGCCTGCGCAAAAGGTCGAAGATGTCACACTTATGTGAGTTGTCCCCTTGGACCAGTCTACTTGACACACCTACTAATAACGTCTGACAGTGTCGCTGGAGGTGTACTAATGGCCCTTATTGGCTTGCTGTACCTTGTATTCCAGGACTTTGTCCTCAAGGATTTCTCGTCAGCGAACAAGAGACCCCAAGCGAACTCTGACGTGGCGGTCGGCAGGGTCTTGGTTGGCGCGCAAGTTGGCCTCATCATCTTGTCCATCATTGTGACACGCTCGAGTGCCCTGTCGATTCAATCCAAGAATGGTCTCCCACCTGGCAACCAGATTGTAGGATGGCTCGTATTCAGTAAGTCAAGCAGAAGCATTCATGCCACAATCCCAACTGACCATCCCCAGTCGTGTCTTTCCTGATGCCGTTTGCATACCGGCTCGACAAGACGACTCATTACATGCACCGACTGATCGTCATCTTCCTGACCTGTGCGCCTACCTTTGTCATTCTCGCCATCTCATACGAGGGGCTTTTCTACGTGGCATTCAGCATGCTGCTTCTTGCTTGGGTCAGGCTCGAGACAAACGCACAGAACTTTGTCGCTGCCCGAACACCCCAGAATGGCCGGGCGAAGAAGGACGAGAAAGTTGGCGCCGCTGTCTTGCGGGCGCTCACGCTTTCAGACGCCCGTGTCGTGCTCTTCTTTATGATTCTCCTCCAGTCCGCCTTCTTCAGCACGGGCAACGTCGCATCGGTCTCCTCCTTCAGCCTGGAGAGTGTCGCGCGACTGATCCCGATCTTCGACCCGTTCTCGCAAGGCGCCCTGCTGATCGTCAAGCTGATGATCCCGTTCGCACTCATTTCAGCTAACCTCGGCGTGCTGAACAAGCGACTGGGCGTGGCCCCTTCCGCGCTGTTCATCCTGACCATGGGGTTGTGTGATATCCTCACACTGTACTTCTTCTGGGTCGTCAAGGACGAGGGCTCCTGGTTGGAGATTGGATCGACGATCAGTCACTTTGTCATTGCCAGTCTGCTGTGCGTCTTTGTGGCGGCACTCGAGGGTGTGAGCGCGCTGTTCATCTCGGGGATGGAGGTGGAGGAGGCCCTGGCTGGGGTGCCGTCCGTCACGGGTGAGAACGGTGAGGACACCAAGCCGAGAGTATCAGCCAATGGCAAAAGTGTGAAAAGGAGCTGAGACGGGTTACACAAAGATAGGTGCGAACGCCTCGGGACGTGTATAGATATGGAATAGGCGTTTGGTATGGCAAGCTGTCAGAGACGACACACGAGGAAATAGTTCATGACTTATGCATAGCACATCAGACATTTCCTTTATTCCCACATTCGTTGGTCATCATCCGCGACAAAATTCTCCAGCAACATGAGGAAGCTGCCCTTCCTGTGCGCCCAACGCAATCCACTCCACGCCTGCGGGTACTTTCGTCCTCCAGAAATGCTAGCGAGGTCTGCCTTGGTACTTAATGTCCCGCTATTTCTAGACTCAAAAGTAGCAATATGGCGCGTCAGAGATCCTTTGAAAAACCGACGCTCCTCTGCATTACTTGAAGTGGTGATTTGTTTTGGTGAGCCCCTTTTTGACTTGCCATCCCTTACGTCGAGCTAGCAAAGAGACTCCATAAATTACACCAGGGTCGTTCGGATGTCAGTCGACCAAGGAAGCTGGCTTTTTATAACGTCGGCCTTTTTAGATGATGGCCGCACGGTTATGATGTTGTTCTTCTCACCCGTGACATCTCAACCCCCGCAAAGCATTGTGTGGAGTGATTCAACGCGAGGATTCATGGGAGATTGTGCGCGTGTCCGACGATGGGAGAAAGTCCATGGCGCACTCAATGACTGACACATTCGAGCCGTCATGTCGCTTCATGATTCCTCCAGGGACCTGGGACTCCCGCATCCACATAGTCGACCCCATAAACAACCTCCTGGGTCCAAACGCGACGTACGCGCCCAACGTATTCGCAGAATGGGACAATGCCCTGCTCGAGAACAACCCCGGCGCCGAGCATAATGTCATCGTCCAACCTTCATCTATGGATACAACAACGAGGAGACGTTGGAGAAGTGTGGCAGAGTCGGGCGTCCGCGGCGTCCGCGTCAATCTTGGGTTCGTCGACGAGAAGACTTCAGTGGAAGACTTCAAGAAGACTCCGTTGGAATACGCGTCCGCGGCGCAGCCCCTCGACTGGACCATACAGCTGTGCTTCGAGATGAGCTTCGTGGCCGCTCTAGAAGATTTCCTCTCGACAGTGGGCGTGGACGTCGTGCTCGATCATATGGGCCACCCTGACATTCCAGACTCTGCTGATGTTTGTTGTTTCGATCCGTACACTATTGAGGGATTTGGATCTTTGAGCTGTCTATTACAGGACAGCAAGGTTTGAACCAAGATATCAGCCCTCAAATCAGCTTGTCTACTGTACGAACTATCTGATTGATCTGCTCGAGGGTCAGGACGACAATAGGAAGAAGTTGTTCCGCGACAACGCCGTAAAGCTGTGGAAGAGCACTTGACAAAGCAGTACGAGTAATTGCTAGCATGATTTCTTGCTTTACACAATGAACATGGCCATATCAAGGAGCTATATTCCGTTCGTGGTCTCTGACGTGGGACACGAAAGCAGCACCTTGGGCTCTCTTCATGTTGGTAGGGTAGGGTCGGCAAGATGCGGAACGGTCCAGGGTTAGGTCTTGACGCAGGGCGAGATGGCCCATGGGGTTCAGCCCAGTCCAGCGCGAGCAGGACACCCCGCAAAGTGGCAGATGTCTGCAGTCTTGGCGAGGAGGATGGCGCAGGTAAAGAAGATGGTGGTGAGAATCGGCCCCATGTTACAGACCTCAGCTCCATTTTCCCGTGATTCACCCCACTACTTGGTTATCATGTTTCACGTGTCAAACCAACATCGTCCACTATGTTAGCAAATTACCTAATGTGAAGAAAACTAGCTGATGATATACTTTGTATTTAATGCTGATTTATTCCCATATGTACCTGTAAATAGTCTCAGGAACGGTAGAACCTAGACTAGAGCACATCTGGGGTCAGATCGAAAGGCTGCTTGGAATTGCAGGGGACGGACTCGGAGTAACGGGGGCGGGGCGCTGGCGTCTGTCTGGACTCCGGACCTGGAGTCTGGGCGCCTGTTACCTGCCACTGCCAGCAGTATGATTAGTGGCTCCTGCCAGGCTGCCACCCACAAAGAACTGGACCTCAGGTGAGGAAAGTGCCTTCTGGTGCGGCTGCCACTTGTTTGATGATGGACGGGACGGCTGGCTGGCTAATTGGATTGACGATCTGCCCAACTTCCAACTACTGCACTGCACGCACATGCTCGATAAATTATCGGGGCATCAGGCGAGAAGGCTGCAAGCACGCGACAACGTATTCCGGAACGTCGACGCACGCCTCTGCCTCAAGACGTAACCTATAACCCGGGCTCTGCCCAGCAACAGCCACATCATCCATCCTCTGATGCAGCCAGCAGCCGGCCTCAAACTCGCCGTCTCTTCAATTCCGTGCCAGGACTGGAGCCCGCCGTCGCCGCTGCTTCCGACATTCCCTTTGCCTTCCCTTACCGTACTTTGATCAAGTGTCATTAGTTCCATTCAGGCCCGACTCTAATACTGCCGGTCGCCCACTTGTCGACCCCAAGGCTCAACTCCAACGCACCCCGACCGTCTGTCCTTGACCTGTCTGCTGAGCCGAGGCACGCACACATGGATCACAACATGACGCCTGACGACAACCCAGGGGGCCAGCAGGAGCAACAGTTCCAGCCTCCCCCGAAGCAACAGACGAGATCACCAGATGCCGCTTCGCAAGATTCGGGCGCGTCCAAGCCCGCTGCGCCCACGCCCAACAATGCGCAATCCAATGCTGCTGGCAGCATGAGTTTCCGGAGGTGCGTCTTGTGAATCATGTGAACGCCGCGAGCGTCCAGTCGTCCAGAGTGTACTGACCTGCTGGCAGGCAGCGAGCCTCAAGAGCGTGCGAGGTGAGTTGCAAGCAGAAATTCTTTTTCTTTTGAGATGTGTTTCGACAAATGTCATCGCCCTGGGGTTGGTTGCTGCACCGTGGCATTTGACCTGCTTGTCACAATTGCCGTCGCCCCATCCAAGCTCCATCCACAGCCGAGGCATCTTGGTCGCAACCACTCACGACGCCGCCAAAGGTCTATCGTGTCGGCCTTTGCCCGCCAACGGACCTGCACAACCATGAGATAAGCTTTTGCTAACATATCTGACTTCCTAATTAGACATGTCACGCTCGCAAGGTGAGTCGATCCCCAGCATTGCAGCTGCAATGTGCCCCCTCGTGATAGCTGAGCTGGTGATTGACCCCGCCTCCTCCAGGTTCGATGCGATGCCGCGAGCCTCGGTGTGCCGTGCACAAACTGCGTCGCCTTCCAAATTGAATGTCGCATCCCTACCCCAAAGCGCAAGAAGACACAGAATGGAAGCGTCCAGGCGGGGAGAGACTCGGACAGGTACGTCTAACTGGCATCACCACAACTGGACCTTGGCATTTGGGGCTGACGCATATACAATCTACAGCGACCGAGGGGACGACCGCGAAGATCGACCGCAGTATGCCGAGTCGACAGCCGCCGCTGGGTTTCCTTCGCAGGGCCCCGTGGGCTCTCACACCAACCAAGGCACGCCCCTAGCCACGCAGACCGAGGCCCAGGCCAAGAAGGACGAGGTCGACAGCAACACCTACCTCAACCTAGTCATGAAACCGAAATTCACACGAGCACCGATTACAGAGGCCGGCAGAGTTGCCTTCTTGGGGGAGTCGTCAAACTTGACACTGCTGGTTCACGATCGTCAAGGCGCGGCCGATGTTGTGCACTACCCCCTGCCTGAAAACGTGAGAGGCTCAAGGGCACGGCTGACGGAGCTGGACAATGTCGAGATCGAGATCCTTCACCAACGAGGGGCCTTTCTGCTGCCGCCTCGCGAGCTTTGCGACGAACTCATCGAGGCCTACTTCAAATGGGTCCACCCTATTGTGCCTGTCATCAACCGGACACGCTTCATGAGGCGGTACCGCGATCCCAAAAATCCGCCATCACTCTTGTTGCTACAAGCTGTGCTTCTTGCCGGCTCCCGTGTCTGCAACAATGCCCAGCTCATGGACACGAATGGGTCCACGAACCCGGCAGCCCTCACCTTCTACAAGCGCGCCAAAGCCCTGTTCGACGCCAACTACGAAGATGACCGCGTCACGATTGTCCAGGCAGTACTGCTCATGGGGTGGTATTGGGAAGGTCCAGAGGACGTCACTAAGAATGTCTTCTACTGGAGCCGTGTGGCGACGATTGTTGCGCAAGGGTCTGGCATGCATCGATCAGTCGAGCAGTCACAACTCAGCCGGTCGGACAAGCGCCTCTGGAAGAGGATATGGTGGACGCTGTTCACGCGAGATCGGTCCGTGGCCGTTGCGCTTGGTCGACCTGTCGGCATCAACCTCGATGATTCGGACGTGGAGATGTTGACGGAGGAGGACTTTATCGAAGACGATGCCGAAGGAGGCGGGGAATATCCTCCCGACCCGGTCCACGTCCAATTCTTCCTGCAATACGTCAAGCTGTGCGAGATCATGGGGCTCGTCCTTTCGCAGCAGTACTCTGTGGCCTCCAAGGGACGGCAGCGGAACGCCATCGACCTCACCCACAGCGACATGGCCCTGGCCGACTGGCTCCAGAACTGCCCAAAGATTGTGTACTGGGAAGTACCACGTCACCACTTCTGGTCGGCCCTCTTGCATTCGAATTACTATACCACACTGTGTCTGCTGCACAGGGCACACATGCCACCGAATGGGGCAAAGAACCTTGCCGAAGAGTCACCCTACCCTTCGCGGAACATTGCCTTCCAGGCTGCCGGTATGATCACATCCATCATAGAGAACCTGAGTGTCCATGGCGAGCTGCGCTATTGTCCGGCTTTCATTGTGTACAGCTTGTTCTCGGCTCTTATCATGCATGTCTACCAGATGAGGTCACCGGTACCGTCGATTCAGCACGTCACGCAGGACCGCTTACGGACGTGTCTTGCAGCTATGAAGGAGGTTTCCAAGGTGTGGCTCGTCGCAAAGATGGTGTACACCTTGTTCGAGGCCATTCTCGGGAACAAGGGCCTGGAGGAGAGGCTACAGAAGGCCGGCGTGAAACGCCATCGGAAGATGCAGAGTCTCTCAGATCCCCGAACCTACGACGGGGGCAAACGCAAGTACGACGACATGGCCATCGACTTTACGCCGAATGCGCCCACTCCTCAAGAATCATACGAACGATCGCGACCGCAGACGCCGAGCCAGAGGGCCGAGGGCTTCACGCCCGCCCAGCCGTCCATGATGACCTCGCCTCCACGAGGAGCACCTTCAGATACATGGATGGGGGGCACTGGTTCCAGGTCGCAAACAAGACCTGGAACTCCATTCAATCCCTCCTTCTCCGTGCCGACTACGCCTCCCGATTTGTACCTCGTGACGAGGAACTCGCCAAATTTGTCGCAGTCTCTGCTGGAGAATTTCCAGCCCGACCAGCTGTTCCCCGACAGCTCGGCCATGCCCGCATTCCCCGCCATGTCGCCCACACAGACCCACCAAAGCATAGATCAAAGCCTCATGAATCCGATGCCGACGCCGACCATGGCATCCGCCCAGCCGCAGTCGACACAGCAGCAGGGTCAGCAGCAAGGGTCTCAGCAGGGCCAGGGAGGTAACTTCCAGCAGAGAAACCAGGGCGGCAGCAACAGCAACAGCAATAGCAACAATAACAACAACAACAACGGCATGTTGAATCCGAACCAGTTCACATTTGGCAGCGGGCAGTCGCACATGTGGCAGCCCAACTTTGACGGCATGCTCCAGGATGAGCAGAGTCCGGGTAGCTGGAGCACAGGGTCGGCCCCTGGGCAGCCGGCGCCAACGACGCTCAACGTCGAGGACTGGTAAGCGCTTTTGAGAGTGGTATTTTGGGGGTATTTCCTTGCTAACTCTGTGTGCAGGTTTCAATTCTTCGGGATCAATGGGGACGCGAGCAACATCAACTTTGATGTGCCCCTGACTTGAGGGCTGTCGGGGGTGCAAGTTTCGCAGCAAATGGCAGCGCAACAGGCTCATCAGCTGGATCGCACTGTACCCCTTTCACATGAAAGAAGCATTTGAGTGCTAATGTGGGCTGTGGATAATGAGAACATAATGCAAAATATCCCGGAGCTGGAGCTTTCAACGTGGCCGTGGTGGGATGGCATGAGCGCGGGCAAGCTCGAGTGGCTGTAGTAGTATCTACGTGGTATTGCAACCATATGCCATATGAAACCATTGCTCATGTTCTGTTGCTTCATGCCGAGAGTAGATGAATATCCTGCTTGTCCTCCCCACCCAAGAGGCAACGACAAGGGCGTAGGGTACGCAAGTAAACAGCCAAGGCGAAAAAAGGGGGTCGAATGTGTTTGATCAAGGCAACCGGCACGCAACTTTTTACACATGCGGAAGAACAAACTTGTTTCGGAACGCACTCGTGATTAATAAACAGGGCTGACGAAGCCGCCGACATCCTCCGTAAGCAAGGCTGTCTTGTCTGGCTGCGTGTTTGCTCACGTTGCACTGGAGGCGCAGCCCACCCATCGCCGCCGCGAATCCTATTCCGTGCCTCGTCAGCTTTTCAGCTGTCCAGGGATTCAAATAAGCTTAGGAACCAAGAAACCGGTTTTCAGCCTTGCATGGACGGGTATAGAATCGAGGGAGACGGCGGTGGATGGATGGATAGAGGATTGGTCATGTCAGGTGCGGATTAGGGTACCCTGCATCGACCACGGAGAGAACGTGTGAGTTGTTGTCTGCCACCTAATGATCTAGTAAAAGGTTAATATTGAAATTGATGCAAATTCTGTAATTAGTATGTTGCGACTATTGACATTGCATGTCTGGTTGGAAACCTCCCAGGCCGTGGTTCATGAAGTGACACACGGGTAGGCACATGATCATGTCAACGGAACTCGATGGCGTGCACCACGCCGGCATGGGACAGTGCCTGAAGCCCGCAACATCTCCTTATCGAACAATGAAAGCTCACGCTGCTCATGTACCTGAACCTATAGTCTGTGCGGGGGATGTGGCAAGGCAGCTAACTTTTAGACGGACAGCTCGCCACACGGAGGGTGACGGACGGGAGAGTCCACTGTTGCCGTCACGCCGCACGCGCATCATCAGCCCTACGGCCCAGAGAGTACCTACACGCACCACGATTACGACGAAACCACGGGTGGAGAGAATCTTCTGGCAAGCGGTTGCTGGTGCCGCGGTTGATGGCAGACGCTACGAACGGACAGGATTGGGTGGTTTTGGGGGTGCATGCGGGTTGCAACTTGCAGGCCGGACTGCTTGCATCTGTATGGAGTACGTACGTAGTGTGCGGGAGCTGCTGCGGATAACGCGCAGATTCGCATCCGCGGTTGCGATGAAAGGCTACTAGTACCTAATGTATTGTGTGTCTTGTTGTTGTACGGATACTCGCAATTGGGAAAGGATGAGGAGAGTCAATGATGGACCCAAGGGTGCCATTTCATCAGGAGGTGATTTGTTTGTTGGTGTATCAGCGTCGACCCAGACAGGTGTTCGAATAGGCAGCTACGGCATCTGGAGATGGTGATGGTCATGTAAAAGCGAGTGACTCACAGAGCTGCGTGCTTCGTTCGTCCTTTCCCTTGGACGCACGTTGAGAACCATCGCCAAGGCAGGCGCGGGTGCGGCGCCACCACGGACGGGGGGTGACTCTATTAGAGGGGGTTCTTCTGCCTGCTTGTCACTGACTGACTGATCTTGACGTTCAGTCTGGAGTGCCGTGCCTTTTTCGACTTTGGCTCACGATGCCTGCTTCATAATATCATCCCACGCAACTACTATGTAGTACGGCCAGCGCCCATTGCCGCCATGATCATGATGGGTGGCGGCGGTGCGGCGCAGACCGACAGACAGCGCTGGCGCTGGCTGGTGGTTGCCGCGGGTACCTGCGACATGGAAGAGTCACGAATGGGGGCTATTTTGCGTGTCTGATGTTCAGACTGGCCATGGATTCGGTGAACTTTGAACTTTGAAGTGACAAGCGCTTGGGACTCGAGGTCAACCAAAGATGCTGCTGAAGTCATTTCCCGCACAAGAGCCCAACCGGACGGGATCTTCCCTGTCAAGGACTCAACCCTCATCTAGACCCCTGCCTAGCTGTCGCGGGCCTCCGCCGAATTGGTCATTTTCTGCTCTGCTCTGCTATTTTCTGCTTGTGGCCGTCCACTTTATTCCCTACAATGCCATGACACAGGACTGGATCGTCCCGTTGCGCGCTTCTTCCCGCCCAAGCGGCCCGGCTTTGCTTGGATGATACCCCGTCCTAGGTATCATGTTTCGCTTGATCCTGGCGGTCCATGTCCTTCATCATGCCCCTTTCTAGGTCACCTCTTCAATGTGAAGACGGCCAGCGAGCCAGGAATGGCAGCCAGGGCCATGAGTCTAGGTACGCACGCTCACTGCCTCTTGTGGCATTCCGGTGCCTGGGCGCTTTGCCCATCGGGCATCAAGCGCGTTTCGGATGTTTCTGACGGCGAAATTTCCTCTCAACATGGGCGTCGCACGCTCGCTCGGTATCCTTATTCTTAGCATTGGCTTGGTACCATTTGCTCGAATAAATTTCCCGCAGAGTGAGTCGTAATTTCAATCCAGGGTTGGGCTCATGCCCTGGCAAGCAGGCAGGCAAGCGGACAAGCCAGCGAGCAGTCGATCCTGTTGCTGCGCACAGCTGCTGCTGCGAGACAATTTTCTTCCTTGTCCCCCCAAATTCTCCCGCATCACGCAAAAAAAAGGATCTTGTGAGCCAGCTCGCTCGCCTGCTCATTGTCAGTGGCAAAGCGACCCCCAAACATACGGTACCTGCTTTTCGCACGCAAGGGCGTGTAAGCAGGCAAGCAAGCAAGCAAGAACACAAATAACCACGTATTACAACAAGCCCAGGAAAGGAGGGAGGGTAAAGTAGTAAAAGAGAGGGTGTGGCTGTTCATCCGCCCACCTCCTCCACAACGACCACCATCACAGAAGGGCGATTCTGCCTAGCCTTATTACCTCGCTCGCCTTACAAGGAGAACACACTCACCCATTCTCTTCTTCTTCTTTCCCTCCTTCAACCGTCCTCTCGCACATTATATAAGTACTCGCTGCTCTCTTCTCATCCAGACGGCCTTGCATTTTCCATCAAAGCCTCGTCTTCGCTTATTGGATACGTGACAAGAAGAACCCTTTTTGTGCGCATTCTTGCAGCTTTTTGTGTGGTTGGGCAGCAACGCACTGCATTAAACATACATACATATCGCAACGAACCGAAACCGCAGAAACCCTCAATTCTCGTGCCTGGTCTGCACGACCTTGAGCCACTCATGCCTTCTCACCATCGCAGCTCACCCAGCTCGGGTGGCAGCAGGAGGAACGACTCCGGTTCGTCGCCCTGTCCAAGCCGCCCTCACTCTGCTTCTCATGCTTACTCAGTCCCTGCAGATGTCGAGCAGCAGCTGCGCGATGCACTGAACAAAGCCAACACGGAGCTCAACATTATCGCCGCAGAGCGAGACCGCTTCGAGACTCGCTACCTGGAGTTGAAGAAGAAGTTTGGGGACAAGGAGGCACCAGTGCCCTCCATCGCCATCAGCCCGGCGGCCGGTCTGCCTCGCGACGCCAAGGCGCAGATCCAGTCGCTCAAGAAGGACCGTGAGCGCCAAGAGGAGCACATTGAAGACCTCGAGGCCAACTACAGGGCTCTCAACGAGCGCTGGGCCAAGCAGTACGCCAGCCTGGAGGAGCGACACACGGAGCTCAAGGGGCAGTACACATCGCTCGAGAGCGACTACGTGAAGATCGACAAGAAGCTCGCCGAGATGATCGACAGATTCAACGCGCCTCAGCTGGAATCCGCCTCGGGTCCTGCCTCAGCCGCTTCGAGTGGCTCCAAAGAGTCCAGCAGCCGGCGGGATGAGCGCGGTCGAACCCGTGACCACAAGGAGCGCGACAAGGAGGAGAAGCGCGAGGCCAAAGCCATGGAGAAGCGCCTTGCCAAACGTCTCGAGGCCAAGCCGGAGCCGACTACCCCGACAAAGGAATCTCGCCCTCCCGTGACGACGCGCCGTCGCGACAGCCACATTGGAGGTCGCTCCTCGTCCACCCACCGCCACAGCCACTCGTACTCGACCAGCCAGTCCTCCCTCAACGCGTCCAACACGGCCAACATGGGTCGCAGCGTCCCGCGCACACCGAACCCGCTGAGTCCCGGGGCGGGCGGCGCGTACAGCAGCGGCAGCAGCGCAGTGTACGACGATGACCTCGAGGACGGTAATTACCATGCCCACCCGGTGCATCGGTAGTGCTTAAGCTGACCGAAAGTGACCACTGGCTCTGGAATCGGACCCAGAGCATGTGAGCACAAACATGGGCAGTTGGCCGAGGGACGAACCAGGGCTGAGTCACCGCACCACACTGACCACACCATCATGTCTCGGCTGCCGCTGCGTCGTCCTCCGACTTGCGGTCCACGGTGGAGTTCCGTCCCCGGCCCCTACCCTCCTGCAGGCACTTGATGATGGGGTATTCGTGACTCCGATGCATGGAGGAGGACTGCTTCCAGTCTCCGGTCTGCGTATCACTGTTGCAACGATATCGGCTCGAGGCTGAACGCATTTGATCCGTCGCTGTTGCCCGCTGGCCTTTGGAGTTCGATCCTGGTTCTTCTTTCCTTTCTTTCTTTCCTCCGTCTTGGTCTTTTGATATACCCCCTTTCTCGCCATCAGTTTTCCCACCACACGTATACCCCTTCAGCGCTTTCACACTTCACAACATCTTTTTGGCTTTTTCGTCACGACACGACACGACACGCCACCCCACGACACCATGAAGCTCTACCCATCCCTGTCCGACGACCTCGCCGCCTGGGCCGCGCAGCAGCCCGTCTTCTTCACGGCCTCGGCCCCCACGCACGCACCACACATCAACGTCTCCCCCAAGGGCCAGACGTCCAGCCATCTCGCCTTCCTCACCCCCAACCGCTGCGCCTACATTGATCGCACCGGCAGCGGCTGCGAGACCATTGCGCACGCCTACGAGAATGGCCGCCTCGTTCTCATGTTCATCAGCTTCGGCGCCGCCCCGCGCATCCTCCGCCTGTTCGGCACGAGCACCGTCGTCGAATGGGACGACCCGCGCTTCGATGACCTCGTGAGGACGATCAGCAAGGGTCAGCGGGGTGCGTTTGACGGCGCGCGGGCGGTTGTCGTCTGTGACATTTTCCAGGTGCAGACGAGCTGTGGATACGGTGTGCCTAGGGTCAAGCAGGCGCTCTACGACCCCGACGCTGCCGCTGATGCTACTCCACCAGCTGAGCAGCAACAGCAAGCTGCGTCGGAAAAGGGGGCTGAATGGGATGTCTTTGAGGACCGTCCCACAATGGACACCTGGGCCGCGAAAAAGGTCGAGACGGCCGCCCTGTTTGACTACCAGAAGGAAAAGAATGCATACAGCATTGACGGCCTGCCTGGTCTCAAGTCAGCGAGGCGCGACACGGGGCAGAACATGCGTCTGGTGGAGTTGCAAGCGTGGGGGGCCCGGATCGCCAAGGAAGGCGATGCTGTTGCCGTTGGCTTTGTCGGTGCCGTGGTCCTTTTCCTTTTCCTTCGATTTGTTCTTGGGTTGCTGTAACCTTGCTTTGCGCGCATATAGATAGATTTGCATGTTTTTTCTCCTTGACCTCGGAGGTTAAAAAAGGTAGCAATGGCCTGGAATTCGGTATGACTAGCAATAGAACTGAAAAAGAGTTGGAATTTCCCTGTTAAGCTTTCCTCGTCTATCCCATACCTCCCGACCAAGCTCCAACGCACAATGACACCTCTCTGCTACAAAGTAGCGTCGGCGTCTTTCAGGAACGTGCTGATCACTCGCCGAGTCCTGTCGACGCGCCCTCGTGGTGATGGCGATCGGCCAGATCACCGTTGCCGGTTGTGCGGGCTTGGTGTCGGAGGTGAGTGCCAGCATATGACAGCTGCACACTGCAAGGCGCGCTTCGCTAGTGATGCTATTCAGGTAGACTCTGTTGTCACCCTTGACCTTCAGCCTCATCCCCCATTCCCTGCTGGAGCAGCAGCCGACGAGGCGTCACCTGCGGCGGGCGCCGCCTTCTCGCTAGCAGCGTTCTTGTTGCCGCCGCCGCCGCGCCCTCGTCGACCACGTCCCTGGGGCTTGTCGGCCTTGGGAGCACTCCCCTCCGCCGCCGGGGTACCCTGTTGCTGGTTCTGGGGCTTCTTCTCCTTGCGCTCCAACACCTGCACAGTGCCCTGGCCCACGGCAACGGGGCTACCGGCGATGGCCTTGGCCAGACTTTCACGATCGGCGAAATCGACGTAGGCGAATCCCTTGCGCTTGTCCATCTCGACGAAAGTCACGGGTCCAAATGCCTCCAGACTCTGCTTGAGGGCGGCGTCTGTCACGCCCTGGGACGGGTTTGCGTGCTTGACAAAGGCCCGGGTGGACTCTTGCCCACTCGCAGGCGCCGCTTTGCGTTGCTGCGAGGCCTTGGAACCATTCGCCTTGGTCGCTGCGGCTGGATGTTTGGCGGGCCCATTGGAACCCTCACTGGGTGTCTCGGGTTGTGGTTCAGCAGGAGCAGCCGCTCCGTCTGGCTTTTTCTTGAGGATCATGGGCGGGTTGGCCGGCGTCAACGTGGCTTGCGGTTCCGTCGCCTTGCCCTTGGCCCCACGGGTTCTGCGATTCTGCTGCGACTTGCTTCCAGCAGCATTGCTGCTCTTGCTGGCGCCGCCGTCTGAAGGGGCAGGCGAGGCAGGCCGGTTTGCAGCCGTCGCCTTGGCACCCACGCTGGCGCTGCTGTCGGCAGCCTCAGTCTTGGTGTCGGACTTGGTGTCGCCGCCAGCCTTGGCTGCCTCCTGACGCGCCTTCCTATGGGCACTACCCGGACTCAGGCCTAGGTCGCGTTGGAGCAGACGAGCGGCCGCAGCAATGCCAGCGCGGCGACTCTTGGGTCCATCATTGTTGCCAGCGCCGTTGATTTGGCCGGCAGCCGCCTTGGCAGCTTCCGCGGCCTGCTCACTGGCAGCCTTCTTGGTCAGAATCTTGACCGGCTCCTTGGATGCTTCGGCTTTGTCGTCCTTGTTGGCCTTGCCCTTCTTCTTAGGTTGGTCGTCATCCTTGGCAGCTCCTTTGCCTTTTCCTTCGCCCTTAGCGTTTTTCTTGGCATTTTCCTTGCTCTTGGCCTTCTTCTCCTTGAGAAATTCCACCAGCGGTGTCGAAGTGACCTTGGCATCTGTCTTATCGGATTCCTCAAACTCTGCCTCCACGTCCTTAGTCTGGACCGGGTTGGCGAGGGATTCAAGGAAGGCCTGGAACTCGGGATCCTGATCAATGGTACCCTGTCGCGAGTCGACACGCTTCTTTGCACCAGGGACCTTTTTGTAGAGGCAGAACTCGACAGTCGGTGGCCCGACCAGTGAAGTGTTGGTAAAGGTGTTCTTAACATCTTCCCAGGTCTTGGAGCGCACAGCGTCGTTGAGTGGCATGATATCATCCTTGCGCATGAGATGGAGGTACGCACGACCTGGCGTCGGAGGCTTCGACAGACTGGGCCCCAGGTTAGCATGGCTTTCCCCGTGTTCACTGAGATCATATCCACACACTCTTTGGAGATACCGCCCGCCACAAAGTCGAACCAGTCGACCTTGCCCTTGTCGACCTCCCATTCGGGCCCAAGAATGGTCACAAACTCCTCCTCGGTCATGCCTGGCGGCAGGCGTCTCACTACCAGCTTCTCGCCATCATTCTGAGCCTTGGACTTGGCGGGTTTCTGGCCCTCTGGTTTGCCATTAGGCTCACTGGACTTGTCGCTTTGCCTTGCAGTACTGTTGGGCTTGTTGGCTGCGCCGTCCTTTCCCTAGAGGAGTGAGCGTCAGTGGTTGTTGAGGTCTCAACGCGTGAGTACCAAGTAGAACATACCCTTGAAAAGTTAGCAGAGCGATGACGTCCGGCTTTCCCCCTTCGAGAGGATGGTTGAGGCGTGGCGCCCGACATGCTGGACGAGCAGCGACCTAGGGATGCCTCAATGACAAGGAACGTGTTCCGTTTGATGTATCAGTTCAAGACGCAACGGACGGCGATGGCAGCTCAATTGAGGCCCCACCAGGTCTCGATGAAGTCAGGAATGAGGATGTCACGTGTCACAGCAGAGACAGTGATTCGTTTTGGTGACGATAACAGCCACCTGAAAGAGGTGAGGTACAGAGCTAGTGACCATAAGATTCATTACTGTGCGCATCATCAGAAAAATTGGTCCATGAATTATTCTTATTTTGCCTTTAGCTACAGTGGTGAGAATACCGCCCAAAGTTCCCAGTTCCGGCATTCCCAGCGCTCTCGCCCCACCATTACGCCCTGGAACGGGAGCGTGGCGGGTGCCCCCCCGCCATCCATCATCAGCCACAACCTTCGCATGGAATCGAGGTTCGGCGCCCTGCTATGATATCTTGTCCTCGACAGGACCTACACCTGCCTCGCCTCCACCTACAACCTGATCCATCCCGACAAGGCGGGTCAGCGTCCGAAAATGACATCGACAGTACCGCGACCGGGCCCCGCGAACCTGGGGCCCAATTCAGGCCTCGATGAATGGCTCGAGGAGGCCAAGCAGTGTCACTACCTGCCCGAACGGGTGATGAAGGAGCTATGCGAGAAGGTCAAGGAGATTTTGATGGAGGAATCCAACATCCAGCCCGTCTCGACACCGGTTACAGTCTGCGGCGATATTCACGGCCAATTCTACGATCTACTCGAGCTCTTCCGCGTGGCGGGCGGCATGCCAGGCGAATCCAACGTCCAGGCCCCCAAGACCGCGACGACGGTAATCACCTCGGACGATATCGAGCCGCCGACCGAAATCACAAACCCCAAATTGCGGAAGAAGCTACGGTCGTCAGGAGACCCACCGGGCGCGACAGACGTCGAGGGCGAGGACGAGGAGCGGCCGCAAACCGCCGACTCTGGCGTGGGCGTCACATCTTCACAGAGTGCAGACACGCGGTTTGTGTTTCTGGGCGACTTTGTGGACCGCGGCTACTTCAGCTTGGAGACGTTTACGCTCCTCATGTGCCTCAAGGCAAAGTAAGGCCTCGTCAACAGCGTGTGTGATGATACAGAAGGATGATGATGGCTGACCGCACCTCTAGATACCCTGATCGGATTGTGCTCGTCCGCGGCAACCACGAGTCTAGGCAGATTACACAAGTCTACGGATTCTACGAAGAATGTCAACAAAAGTACGGCAACGCCTCCGTCTGGAAAGCATGTTGTCACGTGTTCGATTTCCTGGTGCTGGCGGCCATTGTGGATGGGGAAGTACTGTGTGTGCACGGCGGGTTAAGTCCCGAGATTCGAACGATTGACCAGATCCGTGTCGTCGCGCGCGCGCAGGAGATCCCGCACGAGGGCGCGTTCTGTGACCTGGTGTGGTCCGACCCCGAAGATGTCGAGACGTGGGCTATCAGCCCGCGCGGCGCAGGGTGGCTGTTTGGCGACCAGGTGGCCAAGGAATTCAACTACGTGAACGACCTGAAGCTGATAGCGAGAGCCCATCAGTTGGTGAATGAAGGATACAAGGTGAGCTGCGGCGGATACATCCATGTCGTGTGTAATCACTGACCCCTGCAGTACCACTTCCCAGAGAACTCGGTCGTGACCGTTTGGTCGGCGCCCAACTACTGTTACCGATGCGGCAACGTCGCGTCCATCATGTCTGTGGACAAGGACCTCAGCCCCCGCTTCAGCATCTTTTCCGCGGTGCCAGACGACCAGAGACACTTGCCGGCGAGTAGGAGAGGGCCGAGCGACTACTTCCTGTGAGCGTGTTCTGGTCGCGGGCCTTGGCGGGCCATTGGATTTGTTGTTGCCTTTCTTCTGCATGTAGACTAGTATAGGGCCACGATACCCCTTGATGTCTGAAACGATGGAACAGGACGGGTACGCACGGGTTGTTTGGGTAATGAAGTACATGATTGTCATACTGAGGTTGAGACGTGAGACTGCTGAAATGTGACTCCACATCCGCAACGCCATTGTGAACTTTTTCCCCCAGCGGCATCTGCCAGTCAATGAGAGTACCCGGCGGCCTGCATCAACAGCAGGCCGATTGAAGAAGATGTAAAATCTTCACATACGATGGCTAAGAAACAGACTCGGACGCCCGTTCACAGCGCGATCACAAAATGGCTCGAAACGTCGCACCTCCAGATCTCACCTGCAGATGCTCATGAGCTACTCAGCACGGCGCCGAAGCGATTCACAATTTATGAGCCCATGGCCCTTTTACCAGCGGGCAGTTTCCTCAAACATCCATGGACGTTGTATTTGCAGGATGATCTCTCGAAACTGTGGCCTCTGGTACTCCAGGAGCTCTCCAAAGCAAACGGCGTCAAGTTGACTCATCTCGCCATCACAGAGGGCATCCCTCTTCACGAGGACGATGACGCGTCGTCGGAGAATGTTCTGCGCAGCCCGATAGGACTCCGAATGCTTCATGGGGACTTTGGGCCCGCGACGTCGCCAGCCGAACCAGCACAGGCGGACTACGAGAAGGCACTGTGGGTGTCGACACGCCAGAACGGTATCATCCAGACATGGGCACCTAGATGGACCATGTTCAGTCGGGGCAACGTCAAGGAGAAGGCCCGCTTGCTTGACTTCCCAAGAGCCGAGAATTCCGACGAATGGGCCGTGGACCTGTATGCCGGGATAGGATATTTCGTCTTCTCTTACGCCTCGCTCGGGTTTAGGGTCTTGGGCTGGGAGTTGAACCCGTGGAGTGTCGAAGGGCTACGAAGGGGTGCCAGAGCCAACCGCTGGAGCGTCAAGATTGTGCAAGGCCAGGACCTAAGCCTGCCCCTAAATGCCATTTTATCTGGTGACGAGCAGATCATCATCTTCCTGGAGCACAACCAAAAGGCCCTGGAAAGGATCCAGCATATGCAACAGAGCCTGGGCGTAGCAAAGGACCTTCGCCATGTCAACGGTGGGTTTTTGCCTACTAGTGAGCCCGTCTGGAAATCAGCACTCGACATGACACATGAGGCTGCAGAGACATGGCTCCATCTGCACGAAAACGTCGGCGTGAAAGATATTGGCGCCCGGCAAGAGAAGATACAGCAGCGCTACGAGGACTGGACCTCCTCAGAGCCGTCCCCGAAACGGAGCGCCAGAGCCTCGCACGTCGAGCAAGTCAAGACCTTTGCACCGGGTGTGTGGCATTGCGTCTTTGATATACACATTACACGCTGAAGCTTTGCTAGCCAGGCCAAAATTTTACATGTACACACCGCATATTCTCATAGTCCCTCGTCTCACATGATGCGCGCGCGCACGCGCGTGCGTGCGCCTACCGCTGCTGTTTCCTGAACTTGAGCGGTATGTTGGCCTCCACAACGGGGAGCCGCTCCATGGCCTCGAGCCTCTCCTCGGCCTCCTCCATCTGCTCGTGCTTCTTGAAATGCTCAATGTCCTCGGGATGCGTCAGGTCCTCGAGCTTGGTGTCCTCGCCATGGTACTTTTCCCAGTGGTGGATCTCGTACTCGTACTCGTCGTCGCCGTGGTGGCCGGGCCCCGTGCCCATGTCCGGCAGCGTCTGGCCGCTCGCCACAAAGGCCAGCCACTCGGCGCCCGATATCTCTCTGTCATTGTTCGTGTCCATGAGGGACATGAGGGCCTCCATAATCTCCTTGCGCCGCGCATTGGGCACGTCCTTGTTCGACTCGTCCATCAGGCCGTACGTCCGGAGCAGCTCGTCGCCTTGCCATTTGCCGTCCGAGTTGTAGTCGTGCAGCGCGAAGAAGGCGCCCGCGTCCCAGCCCTCCATGTGGTGCTCCTCGGCCATGTGTTTCGTCATCCAATTTGCGTTCTCGTCGACTTTGGGGGCGCCGCGCGCCGCGTGGTCGCCATGTGCTGCGGCTAGGCCGACGAGGGCTGTGGTGAGCAGCGTGGAGCGCATGGGGGCGGGTGTTTTTCTTTGTGGAATGTCTCGTGTGGCGGGCGATGCAGATTGCAAGGTGATTCAGACTGTCTTTTGGATGTAGGACGGGCAATCATTAGTGTCGTCAGGGGCGACAGACAAGTTCCGGATGCGTGATCGGGAGTTGGGAAGGACCCTTGGAAATGTGGAGACAGGTGCTACCTCAAGCCTCAAGAACTGTGAACTTGCGGGTGGTCGTAGACTGGAGCTTCATCCAAGCTCCTTCAATCGTCAAGAGAAACACTAATCACCTGGAGCTGCGTAGAGAATCGAAGATTACTGTCTGAGACCTGCCTGTACCATCGACAGAGGACGGCTCCACCAGTGATCTATCTCCAAGACGCGTCGAGCGCGTCGACGACATCGACCCTGCTGGCCTGCCATCATCAGGCACCATGAGTCGCCAAATCGAACAAGCGCTTTGGTCGCTGATGCCGACCTTTGCTTCCGATCTCCAACCGTCCCTGATCGAGCTGACCGGCTCCCTGCTCGCACAATCCCGTCTCAAGGCCAGCACCCTCAAAGCGGAGGAAGAGGTCGCCCGTCTGTACGCGTGCGCCAACATTGCCTGCGATCGGTGAGCATCCCAAGAAGGCCTGTGGTGCCATGTTTCTCATGGGCGTGTAGACTCAAAATCACCCTCGACCTTCCGCCGATCCAGCCACGACCACCTATTGCCCCCAAACACTACAAGAAGCTACATGCCCATCTTGACAATGTCCTGCCGCAGTCCAGCACACCCGCGCGATCCCGCGCCGGGCGAATACGCACGCCTAGCAAAGCAGCCATGGGGTACGGAGTCGTCGAGGTGAAAGATTCGCCCGCAAGAGGGACACCAAGCAAAGAACAGATTCTGGCACAGTGGCGGACTGGCGATGGAGCCACACCGACGAAGCGAGGCCAGCACTCCCTTCTCAGGCCTTGGGTCAGGCCAGTCGTGAAGCGCATGTGCGCAGAGCTTCAGCAGGAGAAGATGGTGCAGACGGTCTTTGCGGGTATGGAGACGATCACCTGCCCAGCGGGACGGCCGACCAAGGACGAGTGGGTAACTGACAACTACGCTGCCCTGTTCGCAGCCGTGTTCTACTGGAGCTTGATACGATTTCGAGCACTGACGGAAGGCACCGTCATCCCCCGCGAACCGGCCTACGAGCAGAGAAGACAGATCCTCTCCCTCATGTCCCAGGCGAGGAAGACCGTGGTGCTCCCGGGCGCAGACGACGACGTATCCTGGAAAGACTGGGCGGACCTCAAACCCAGAGACTTCAACCATGCCGTAGCGACGGTGAAGGACCGCGCCTGGCTAGCGAGCAGTTGGTACAAGGACATTGACGACGTTGTCAAGTTTCATAAATGGGACGAGGGCAATGACCACGTCGACGAGGACGCCGACTTGTCGGGTCCCATCCGAGCGCGGCTCGTGGACACCATGTTGCAGGACAAGACAGACTACCTCAGCGAGATGCGGAAGATGAACTACGAGGCTTGGAAGGCCGATGTATTGCTTCGAATGGCTCAACGCAAAGAGGACGTGATGGACATAGATACCCAATGATCAAGACATTTATATTAGCCGATCCTCCCAGGCACATAGGGGTGGCCCGCACTCAGTCCACCATCCACAGCCCACGCCTGTCCGTTTACGTAGCTGCTCTCGTCGCTTCCCAGGAAGAGCGCCACGCGCGCAATCTCATCGGCATGGCCACCCCTCCGCGTCGGGTTGAGCTGGCCAATCTTCTTCTCCGTACCACGGGCCCTGGCACTCTCATACGTGGGCGCCGTCATGCCTGTCTCGATGAGGCCGGGACAGATGGCGTTGACGCGCACATTCGTGCCCACCAGCTGATACGCCGTCGTCTGCGCCAAGGAAATGACCGCCGCCTTGGATGCCGAGTATGGCGTCGAGCCCGCGTTGGAGCGCAAGCCTGCCACACTCGCCGTCCCGATGATGGATCCGGACGATGCTGGTTTCGCGTCCGAGGTCTTTTGCATGGCGGGTGCCGCGTGCTTGACGGCGAGGAACACGCTCAGGGTGTTCACCTTCATGATCTGCATGAAATCCGCGTCGTCAATGTTGGTGAAGAGTGCATGCGGACCGACGATGCCCGCATTGGCAAAGAAGACGTCCAACCGCCCGTACCGTGCGAGGGCATCGTCAACGACCTCTTTCACCTTGGCCTCCTCTGACGCGTCAAACTGGCGCGTGTGGATGTCGACGTTGGGGTACAGGGCGTTGATCTCGGCCTTGTGCGCGGCGAGGTTGGAATCATCAAAGTCGCAGATGTAGATGGCTCTGGCGCCTGATTCAGCGTACTGATGTGCCGTTGCGCGCCCGATGCCGAGCTCCGAGTTGGCGCCTTGCACGAATGTCAGTACATTGTTTACAGGGCGAGTGGGTAAGAAGTACCGGTGATAATGACCACCTTGTCCTTCACACGCGGTGTGCTTGAGCCGGCGGCTACCTTGGTAAGAGGCTTGAGCTCGGTGGAGGAACCAGGCGACAGCTGGTCACCAATGGCTTGGATCCTCCTCTTTGCTTGGTCTGCCATGTTGACGATTGTCTGACAGGCGCGATGAATGCTTGTGAGAGGTGATTGAGTTGAGGCGGTCGCTCACGGACGGACGGGGAGAGGTGAGAAGGAATCTGGGGTAAGCTGCGTGAGAGCAGGGGTCCGATCTGGAGAGAGACTGGAGATGCCTCGGCACGGAAAAGGTACATCCTGTGACGTAGTGGAGTGGGTGCGGATGGAGGTACCTTACGAACTGTGTCGGGATCTAGCGAGAGCTTGTTTTCCTCCTTGGCTTCAACGTCCCGAGGTCCTGTCGAGGTTCAGATATCTCCTCCGCATTTCACCAGCTCGGATCGAGGCTGACGAGCTGTGAACGCTAGGCTGCGGCGAGGGAGTTGTATAGTCACTCCAAGTCTCAAACACGAAGCTGGGCTGGCGTCCTTGCTGCGTCCATCGGCGACGACTAACAATGGAAGATTGGCGCCCAGATCGGTGCAGCTCAGTCTCGTCTCTCAACCCTGGAAGACGAGGAGAGAGAGAAGTCCACATCTGGCGACTGGCCAGTCGGGCGCGCGTGGCCTGAAGAGGCTCGGGTTGCTGCATCGGTGGCGCATCGGGCCTGACCGCTTCACCCGAGGACTTGCGCAAGCTTCATCGATGGATGAACCCAAAAGATCGCGACTACGGACAGCAGGCGGACGAGATCGGCAGCATCAAGACCCTGTCGCCGTGGACGGATGAACAATGTGGCCCTGACGGAATGCTTGGTCAAACACTCCAGTCTACTGGATCATGTTTGCTCTTCAGGGACGAGTCAGATTGCCTCCAACAAAGACTGGACGAGTGTGCAGATGAGATACGTTACCTTCAAGGCACAATGCAGCTAGATCAACTGTACGCAAGCTGTGGACAGCTGGATCATCTCACATCTAGATCAACCTACCACCGCCAACGACTAGGAAATAATTCAATGCGGCCAAAGTGGGTGGACTTTTACGACCAGTCGTTTGTTTGCGAGCGTCTTGGCTTGCCTCATGTGCAGGCTATCTCCTGAGGACAAACATCAAACCCGGGATTGACGCCGGATATTGCGTCGATCCAGGGACACGTCTTTGCCAATACGAACGAGAAGGCCCTGCGTATCTGAGCGGACTATGTATGTATGGTACGGTCTCTTCGGGCGTCCCAATTATAGAGACAAAGACGAGGCAACCAAACAACTCGAGCCTTCGGGTTCAACAAGCGCGAGATTTGATCTCGCGACGGGTTCCAGATGATTGGCGGACGAGAACGAGATATACTTGGAGCGAGGCCCTCGCCACTATGACAAAGTGATGACTCGACGATCCACGACGGGTGTGTTGGTCGCACGACATGCGCGGCCGCCGCAGCTTCTCTAGACTGGGATATCATGCCACGTTGCAAGGAGGTATTCTCGGCGTGCGATGGTGATGTGGGCGTGGTGAGTATACATGCGCCATGTCACCGCTTTTTCCACATCTCTGGACATGCTCTAGAAGTAGCTTTGATACAGCATCGAGCCAGAGCTACTACACCTTCCAGTATATACAGAAGCGAAGAACTCAGGGTTCGCCTGTAGCACCTCGACACCAATGTTATCCCAAACAGGACGCCCGATTTCTCAGGAGAAAACTTGTCGTCCATGAACTCACCTAGTACTACTTCCCTTGTGCCACCGCGCGGCACGCCGCATGGCATTGAAGCAATGCGTGGAAGCTATTTCCAAGCTCGATAGCAAGATTCTCGCACGTCTCTTCGGTACTGACCCCCCGAAAAGGGCCTCTCATGACACAATCGTGCTGCCAAGAGTAGCAACGCCCCATGCATGGCAACGGAGATCTATCGGGGGCGAGGCGGCCTATGTATGGATTGTGTCACATCCGTGTCTGCATTGCAAGGTGCTTATTCCAGTCCGTCCCTCCCTCTGTACGACGGCTTGCTTCCCTATCACGGAACTGTCCTGCGTGGGAGCCCGCGGCGGCGGGAACCCGTGGAGGAGGTGTATTGTTTGCGCGGCTGTCAAGCGACACCTACCTACGCCCGCCCGCCCAACTGACCTCGATCATTTGTATATGGACTGCCTGCGCTCTAGCTGTCGCGTTGCCGAGGGTCTCACCACGGCCTCACTCTGTTTTCATCTGTTGCGCTCGCGTTCTAGCTGATGTTGCTCGGCTGTTGAGCCCATGGCTGAAGCCGTCGACACTTCTATCTGTCCGGGCAGCTACTATAACTGAACTACGATCTACCCCTGCTCATCACGGACTACACAAAGACAGGCTTCAATGGACACTGAGCGCTGCACCGACCAGCCATGGGGCTCTTTGGCGAGCAACGTCGTCGACGCCCCGAGTTGTATCGCAGACTGCCGCCAGAAATTCTTGGCGACACTTCTCCCAGAACGTGAACTCATCGACGAGACACTCGAGCCCGTGTGCGAGCATCTATCCAAGGAGTCTTTGTCTCTCGACGAGGCATTCTGGACGTTGTACTGTTGCGATGCGCAGCTCTGTGGCGTGGACAACCTGGCGGGTCGCGGCAAAGACCGTATGTGACTCTCGTGTCCCAATTTTGCTTGACGCTGGCTCATGCTGTATTATAGCCAATGTGAACTGGGTGATCAGCTCTTGTCAAAAGTGAGTTGTCATGTTGCACTGTACTATCTTGGCTAATGGTGCCCAGTATAGGGTTTGACCACATCCTCGACCCTGGACCACCAGAGATAGATCACTCCTGTGGTTCGGCAAACCCAGTATCTCAGAGCATGGGGTGTTTGACAACAGGCACACCAGTGTCCACGATGAGACTACAAGCCGTTCTTCCGACATCACTATCGCTATCGACGGCATCATCATCGACAGTACAGACCACACAGACATCTGCACAGCCACCGATTCGAGATCCCTCGCTAGCAGCAAACATGGACAACGAATCGTCGAGTGTTGACTCAGATTCACCATCACCATCAGGCTTGTCGACGGGTGTCAAGGCCACTATTGGTCTCTCAGCGACCGTGGCGGCATTACTTATAGCAGTGGCCATCTTCTTCCTCCTCCGAAGGCGACGCATGGTGCCACCCCACAGACGTCGCCGATTCTTCCAGCGCGACAACTCCTCCTTCTCTACCTTGGGCTCACCGACACCCCTAGTCTCGCCGCCGCCCTTTTCGCCTATGGGAGCAGAGGACGTGCCGCTGACACCGCCCCCGCCGCTCAGGGAGAGAAGGATGCTGGATACGCGCAGCTCTACCAGCAGCAGCAGGAGGCCATCGGGCTTTTCCCGGCCTCCTATGCTGACCCCGACATTAGGGAAGCTGATTCCCCGATCAGAGACGTTTATGAGGGGCCTATGTCCGCCGTCTGCAACGCATGGTATGGTGAACAGTGTACGATCTTCGTCTGAATCCCAAGGCGCCTTGAGCAGTCCCGCCCGTTCCTTTTGCTCACCCTCAAAGCCCGCTGGCCTCCCTTCTTCGCCACAGCGACATGGGAACATTGGTGTCGCCGTGGGCATAGTACGACACAATCCGGCGGAAGGCGTTGTCCTCGACAAGAACGCCCAGGACTTGTGCGAGCTGACGGACGAGTATGCACGGGAGTCGAGAGACACCAGCTGGGGAAGCTGGAGGGGCGGCGGGGGGCCTGGGCGCGTGGCGAGCGAGCAGCACGTGGGTGGTAGCGTCATGCGAGAAAGGGATCTGGAGAGGCTGGGTGGTCGATATTAGCTTTTGCTTTTGCGAATGGGGAAAGAGAGATAGCGGGACTATCTGGGGGGGCTTACAGTTACATGATACCAAGGGAGGTTATAGGCGTTTTTGTATGTGAGATTCTATCGACAAGATTCGATACAGCGGTGAACTGGCCTTTTCTACGCTGCGCATCTCACACTCTAGATCCCCTTGCCCTTGAGGGACTCGACCAGGTCGCCAATGCTCTTTTCCAGCCCAATCCACTCGATGCCCAGCAACTTATCGGTCTTGCTCACATCATACGAGAACATCTCGCTATCCTTGGGCCTCTCACCACCCTGCACGCTCTCAGCAGGCAGGCGGTCCTTGAATTCAGGAAACTTGCGCCGCACAATGTCGACAATCTCCCTGTGCGACATGCATCCCGGTGTGGTAAAGAGCCTCTGGCCACCCAGCTCCTTCTTCCCCATGGCCACGACATGCGCGCGCGCCACGTCTCGGACGTCCACCCAGAGCGGCACGGCGCCCGTGTCGGGGATCTTGTCCTTCCAACCCCCCTTGAGGAGCGTCACGATGCGCTCGTTGGAGGTGTTAATGTTCTCCAACGTGGCGAGGTGGTGCACGACGGGTCCGAAGACGAGAGGCGGGCAGACGGTGACGAGGTCAAAGGCGGGTTTCTCCCTGTCGACAAAGTCCCACGCAGCGCGCTCGGCGAGGGTCTTGCTGACGCGGTACGCCGTCGGCTTGGAGTCGTGAATGTTTTCCACGGTGGATGGGTTCCACGAGGCCTCGGTGAAGGTGTGCGTGGGGTCGGCGAACTTGGTCTCGTCCAGGATGGCCGCGAAGCTGGACGTGACGACGACGCGCCGGACGTCTTTGCCGTGGGCATGGATGGCCTGGAGGATGCCCGTGGTGCCGTTGACGGCGGGGTCGATGAGCTCCGTTTGCGGGTCGGACCAGTGGAAGTGAAAGGGGCTCGCGGTGTGGAGGACGGCCTGGAGGCCGGGGACTTGGAGGACTTGGTTGAAGGCGTCGAGCTGGGCAATGTCGGGGACAATGTGGACGTCGAGGCGCGAGGCGGCCACGGCGTCGGGGTAGGCGTCGAGGATGGCCTGACGCTTGGCGTCTGTGCGGACTGTGGTGACGACTGTGTGGTTCTTGGCGAGCAGTTGCTCGAGGCAGTGTGCTGGGCGGTTTGTCAGTGCTGGCTCTCATGGCGTGGCATGAATGGGATTGTCTGTACCGGCAATGAAGCCTGAGCCACCTGGTGAAGTCAGTTATGAGTCTCGATGAGATGTGGAGGGGCGAATGTATGCTTACCAGTGAGGAGAACTTTGGTCATGATGAACGTGGCTGGAGTGGGTTGATTGTGTAAGTGCTAAGTGAGGCGAAGAAATGCTGGACAGCTTGTCTACTTATGTGTCTTGGCCTGTGAATTGAGGTCATATCATCATATATCCCTGTGTTATATCCGGCCCCTCTTCCCCTCCTTCATCGACGCACGTCTTCGTCGGGGGGTGTCGGGAGTCGCCTCCGTCCAAGGGTGGGGTCATACATGAACTAAGTACTTAAACAAGTGAGCCAGCTGCATGGCAGATGAACAAATGACTACATTGCTGACAGACGAAACTCTACACAATCCTTCGCCTCCTCAGAATCTCCTCATACGACTCCATCCGCTCCGTCCGGCTCTCTAGGGTATCGAGCATCTCGTGGTGCCTCCTGTTCAGATCCTCCCACTTGTCCTTCCAGAACCTCGTTTCGTGCTTCCAGTAGCTCAGCTCCTTGAGCAGCTCAGACACGCGCCGGCTGCAGCTCCCGTCCAGCTGGCGCGTCAGGTTCCGTATCCGCGAGCGCAGGTCACACGTCTCCTCCTTGGACTCCTTGAGCTCGCGTTCCAACTTGTCGACCTTGCATTGTAGCTTGGCGACTTCCCCTGCGTGCTTGGACGCATGATCGGCAGCATTGTCGATGGAGCGGCGGAGGCTGTCGTTGTCGGCGAGCAGCGCGGCGTTGGCGGCTTGTAGGTCTGGGATCACACACTGCTCCAAGCGCTGTGTCTCTGCTTGCGACGCGGCCAGACTCGCCCGCAACGCCTTGTTCTCATCCGCCAGGGCGCAGTTCTGCTCCTCCAATGATCGCTCCCTGAGCTTGAGTGTGTTCCATTCCTCTTTGCTGACCTTGTAGTAGTCTGGGCAGTAGTCGAGCTCGTAGTGGCGGTGGTGGTGGTGCTCGCGATGATGGTGATGCGAGCGCGATCGCTTGAGCTTGACGAACTGTTGCTTCCCCATCGAGGACGTCTCAATGTAGTATCTTCGAGACATCTCTTTGACTGTGCAGGGCTCGACAGGGGGGGCCTGGCTGCTGGCGTTTGCACCCACTTTGGCGGTGGTGCGCAAGCAAACTAAGGTGTCGGTGAACAAGTAGCTGGTAGGCTCGATTGAAGATCAAAGAATGGGCTGAGATGAACGGAGAAGAGGAATATGACGGCACACAAAAGCTGGCATGGGGGAAAGGCAAGTAAATGTATAGGAACATCGGACGTCCCTTGAACATACGGTCGAGTGCAACGAGCCTCGAGGCCAAAGTCAAGAGACCAATACGAATCAACCACTATACCAGCTGACCAGTGAGCTCTATATCAGGCCTTGTCAAAAGACATTGTTTGACGAGTCCTTTGTTGGCCAGGCACTCGCCTGGGCGTTCAAGAAAACGGACAAAGGCTCATGGGGCACGAGGCGACCAACATGTGGCCTGGTCCGCAACGTCCCCTTTCAAGACAAGGCTGACCCCAAGCTAGGTCTGAACAGTGGCAGCTTGGTCTTATGGCAAGGGACAGTCCGCCAGAGTGTCATGCCGCAAACCCATCATTGTCGTCTTTGCACCTCGAGAAAGCTGCCCATGTTCGGGTCGTGCAACGAGAGTGACCACGAGGCTTGGAAGCCTGAACAGAATGTCTCATTGGTCACATTGTCCCTGATCGCGTCGAGGACGGCAGCCTTGTCGAGCAAGCGCGCGGATGACGCTGGTGGTTCGTCTGTGACCCTGTCAGGGACGTGACGGCAGCTGCCGCTGTGCATCTGCACATCTCATGGGGGGATGCGCACGAATAGACAGAGTCTTTACACTTTGAGCGGGTGAGATGCAGGAGTTCTGCGCCGGCAGATGCAGGGACATGAAGAAGGTGTCGAGCAGATGGACGAGGATGGAAGATGGAGGTGGTGTGGCATGTCAGTTGACGAGCGTGACCGGCTTACGCACTGTGCTTTAACCTGCATTAGCAAATGTGCACGTCAAGTCTCTGCCAGCACTGTTAGGCTTTTCACATGCACAGTGTATCAGACGCGCCTCGCACCCTCACCCATGACAGCCTCGCATCAGCCTGCAGCTCTCAGCCACACCTCGTGCCAACTCTCGTTCCATCATCGCCCATGTCCCCGTCCTTACAACACGACTTTATCTTCTTCGCAGGGCTGCATATCGCCACTCGCGTCAGCCTAGCCAACCTTGATCGTCTATCACGCTAATGCCAGCATGATGGCCTGCCGCCTAGCCCAGCATCCGCGCGCGTCTCTTGAGGCTGGCCGCTGGCCCCTGACTGGGTCCCTGAACATGATCGCGTATCAACGGCGATAGACGCATCATGAACCAGCCAAGCGCGCTGATCACCCCAACCGGACTTTCTACAAGACAACGCTCTTTGTTGTCTCTGTAACCCCTAGCCAGGGCCCACGCTGCCAGGACCAGCCGAAGCATAGTATTCCTCGACTTGGAACAAGGACATGCGGAGCACGGACTTCATCAAACAAGGGGCTTCAGTCATTGAAAACAAAGCCAAACTTACCATCCTCGGCCTTGCCAAACAGCAAGCCTATCATTCATTGACCACTGCCACCATTTCACACAAAGACCCGCCCCCAACCACCAAGGCACCCACGGCCAGTCAAGCAAAGCCAGTTCAATGAAACAACTAACTATTCCACGGACTGCCAGTACGAGGGGGCAGCGAATCGCGCCCGAGGGAATCGTCTGGCGCCCTCTGCCTCGCCAAGTCCCTCTCGTACTGGTTGAGTAGCGCCCGAGCTCGCCGCGCCTCCTCCTCGCTCTTCTCCTGCCTCTTGCGCGCCTCCTGCAACACATACGCCTGCTCGCTCGACGACGACGTCCCATTCTCCCTCGGGGTCCGTACATGCTCGTAGCAGTAGCCCCCGCCCCCCTCCCTCTTCTTCGCGCAGCCGGCCTCCTTGCACTCGTGGTCCTCGCAGAACGTGACGCCCCGGTGGCCTTCTCGCTCGCCCCGGTCCGGGATGCGCCTCCGGCGGCACGCGCTGGCCTCGCACTTGCACTTCCGGCAGAGATCATACCCAGACACTCGTGCGTTTGTACACGTGCGTATCACGCACAGATGCCTTATGCAGAAGCTGGTGCCGGGCTCGATGGGGGCGCCACATGCACCGAAGCCCCTGCCACTGACGCTGCACACGCCATGATAGTCTGCTTGTGGTCAGCGAGATGACACGGCTAGAGTCTCTGCATCGGTCACAAAACTCACGTCTCTCGCATTGGTCTTGTGTCGTCCCATTCAGGACGAACCGTCGTCCACTGCAGCCTGGCTCGCGACAGAGGCCGTGAGTGCGGCATACATCGTCCGTCTCTCCCGTGGCCTCCTCCTCGCAGCCGGCCACCGAGCAGAGGTGGTACACGCAGTATTTGACGCCTGCCTTCAATGACTGGCACCGGGGGGACTGACACGTATGCTCCGCGCAGTATTGACCCACGTCTCGCTCTTTACCGCAGTCCTCCGCAGCACATCGATGCTCACGGCAGAAGCGTGTCCCCTCCTCCTTGGGCCGATCACACCCAGGGTGCGCACAATCCTGCGTCACAAAGCGACCGCCCGCAGTCACACGGCCTCCGCGGCCAGACGGCTGGACCTGGGCCTCGCAGCGCCGCTCGCAGCACCACCTGGCGTGGCAGCCATGACATAGATCATGACAGCAGCGCAAGGAGGTGTCAGGATGTCTGCATCGCTCGTTGTGACAGTCTCCCGCAGTGCATAAATCTACTCCTTTTAGTATCTTCGTTCCACGAAAACGCGCAAAGAGGAACTGTACTCACGAAGTTCAACGCAGAAAGACCACTTCAGGGGATCGCCCTCCCGCACCATGTTGGTACATTGCACGCCTAGATCCATGCCTTTGCATTGAAGATCTGTTTTCCTCAGCCTCACTCAACCTTGGATTCTTCTTCTCTCAAGCTTCTGGGGCCGCCAACTCACGTTTCTCGCAGTATCGTCCGCCTCTGGGCTTTTTGGCATTACAGCACATGCGCCCCCCTTCCACCATATGACAGTAGTGCCAATCGCAGAAGTTGCTCGTCTGCAGCTGCCCATCTACGTAGTCAACGACGCACTTGTTGTTGCACACCGTGCCCTCCGCCTGGCACCGCCCTGGCTTGCGCTGTGGTCTGTAGGGCTGTGGTGGTGGATAGTAGGGAAGTCGAGGAGGGCCTGGACCAGATCGTCCTCCCGTGTTCACGAATAGACTCATGGCTACCTAGCGTGCTCCTGCATGGAAGGTCGAATTTATGGAAGAGGGAGGACAAGGAGTGAAAAGGGGGAGAGGACGACAGATGACATCGAGACATGGGACGGCGGTGGTGATACGTACTTGCTTCGCCCTTTCGAAAGGCAGCCAGGCAATTCGTTCGCGAGCCCGAACTATCGTCTTTCTAGACACTCCGGCAGGATGCATGCTAGGTCACTTGTACAACAGCGAGATGATCCGGCTCGAGGGCCAATTAATGTCCTGTCACGTCGGGTTATGAAACTTGGAATGAAGTCATGTCGGAATAGTAATCATGTTACCGTAAAGATGTCAGACCAGTCGTCGACAACGCCTCTATCCCTACTAATACTCCGTGATTTTTTCTTATCCCAATCGTTTCGCCGTTACAGTTCAATGGTATCGTGGCCTTCCCTTTTTTTGTAGCACCCTGTCACAACGCCGGCAGAATCGAAAAACTCCCTACCTCCCTCGCACCTTATCCCAATAACGCTTTGTGTGAACGAAGAAAAACAGAACGGCGTACGGACACTGTGGTGTATAAGTGGTGGGCCCCGTAGCCTCGTGTCACCGGCCCATACCCGCGGTACAAGAAGAGGCGACGTGCATATATAGATGGTGGTGGCACGACCTACGCCTTGTCCGGGGGCATCAACAATGTCAGGGGTCAGTGTAGCCTCATCAGGTCATGGCCTGCAAAAGGTCATTCGACTCGGCTTTGAGTTCATTGGCTATCGCCTGCTCGAGACTGGCAAAATCAAACTCGAATTCCATGCCCGGGGACGGTTCACGTTCAGCCGCCGCTGCGGGCAGACTTGATGCTTCTGGCTGTGGCGCCGTGGTGACCTCTGGAGCCGCGTTCGGGGCCGCTGCTTGTGGCGACGGCAACGGCGCTGGATTTGACGTTGATGCTGTCGTTGTCGCCGCCGCTGGCTGCGGCAGTGTCGGCTGTCGAGGTGTGTGCGGCACGTGCGTAGTCGTAGCTGCCGGTGATTGCTGCACTTGTGACACTTGCGGCCTTTGGGACGCCTCCTGCTGTGGCTGCTGCGACTGTAGCACTGGTGGTTGAGACGGGGTTGTAGTCCCTTGGCCCTGGGTCGCATGCTGTGCGCCGCTCGCTACCGGCGGCTGCTGTGCCTGACCACCAGCCTGACGGGCCGTGGACAGTGCTGGTTGGGCGCCAGGGCCGGGCGACTGGTGCGCAGATCCGGGCGCAGAGTTGTTCGCGGACGACGGGGCGGTCGCCCGGGGCGGCGAGGGATACGTGGCACCGGGTACACCAGTCTGCGGCAGGGGCGGTGTTTGCTGGGGCCGGCTCGCCTGCTGAGCTGGTGTTGTGTGACTATGCTGCGTCGTGGGTCGGCTCTGGGGAGGCTGTTGCACGAGCGGCTGGTGCCCATAAGGTCCAACGTGCTGGTGGGCAGTCTGTGGTAGCTGCACTTGGACGGCAGTCTGGTTACTATGTTGGCCTGGGGCTTGTGGTTGAGGCCGTGGCACCTGGGGTGGGAGTTGTGTTTGCGTCCGTTGCGCTGTCTGTGGAGCAGCGTTGGCGGCGGTGGCGGTTGATGTCGTCGTCGTCTGTGGGACTTGGCTAGGGGGCCGACTACTCCCCGTCGCAGCAGCAAGATGCGCCGCGGCTGCTGCCTGTGCAGGTGTCACCATGCCAGCACCAGCAGAACCATTGACGCTGTGCTGCGTTGGGCTCTGCAAGTTCCCGTTGGGCCTGCTTGGGACCTCCTCTGACGTTCTCCGGGCCTTCTCCTCCGCTTCTTTCCGCGCGGCCTGGGTGGGCGCCCTGGTCTTGAGCTCGCCCGTGACGGTGTTGAGGTAGAAGGGCATCTCGGAGTTGGTCTTGAGGAAGAACAGCTTCAAGTTGCGTGCCTTGTCCTTCAACTGGACTTGCGTTCGGTCCTTCAGAACATCGCTGATGGTCCCGTGTGCGCCATAGAGTCCCAGGATCTGACTCCAATGGGGGCCCTTGACTCGATCCAGTCCTTCCATCAGCGCTTTCTCTTCCTCCTGAGACCACGGCCGTCTGGCCGAATGAACACCTTCCCGTCGTGCCGGATTGCTCACTCTAGACAGTGCAGACTGACGTGCCATCTCGTACAGGACGGCACTGGAGTGCGTCTGGTTAGGTGGTAGCCCGTTGGCATCGACAGTCTGTTGTGGCAGCGGCTGCTGCTCCCGCGATGCTTGTGGGAAGGAGGCGTAGTATGTTGGCTGGGACTGTGTTTGTTGCTGAGGATGTTGATGGCTTTGCTGCTGGGCATGCGCCTGTGGCTGGGGCTGGGGCTGCTGTGGTTGCTGCGCTTGCTGGTGGTGAAGCTGTTGCTGTTGTGGCTGGTGATGTTGGGTTTGTTGTTGGTGGTGTTGTTGCTGCAGTTGCTGCTGCTGCTGCTGTAGTTGCTGTTGTTGTTGATGATGTTGTTGTTGCTGCTGCTGATGCTGTTGTTGTTGCTGATTTTGTTGTTGCTGATTTTGTTGTTGTTGATGCTGCTGCTGCTGCTGCTGCTGGGTACTCAGGAACTGTGCTTGCGCCGCCATGCTCTCCGCTGTGCTCATGGGCACCGTGGGCTGGTAAGGGTTCGCAGACATGCCCTGGAGTGTCGTCTTGACATACTCAGAGGTGCTCTCCGCAACCAAGGCCTCGAGAGCGGCCAAGTCCAAACTTCCAGTGTTGCTCTTGGGCTCTTCCGAGTTTGCAGTACCGTTGACAGCCTCGGACGCTTGCTGCTCAGTTTGCTGCGGCGGCGCCTCCTGGTTCTCGCCTTCGGTGCTAGCCAAGGGCTCGTCCACGAGGTTGTCCGCTGCTCTGTCGAACATGGCTTGCATTTCCATCTCGAGCGCGGCCAGATCATGCGTGTCCATCTCTTCCTGCTCGTACTCGGGCATAGTAAACCCGAACTTTTCGCCAAGCTCTCGGCTGGCTTCAAGCTGATTATTGACATAGTGGCTGTAGTCCTTCAAGATGTCCCGAATTGGGTATTTCTCTGGTTTGTTTGTCAGCGATGAAGAGAACAGAGCAGAGACAATGGAAGCTTACCCGCCAGATCCGTCGCTGGTAACGACTGTCGGACGTCGTCCATCCGTTTTCGCAACATGTTGGTCACCGTGGAGTCGCCATTACTCAACCCGTCCATAATGTTGTTCTCGTTCAATAGGTCCTCCACACCTTCCAGGTAGATTGCATGCAGCTCGTCCTCTGACAGAGTCTGGTCTTCCTTGAGCTGCAGTGTTTGAATAGCCCGCTGCGTCTTCAGGCCCACCATGACCTTGGCCACAGCCTTGGGGAACCCGAGAATCTCGTCACGGAAAATGAGTGGCAGCTGCTCGCTGGCCTGTCGCAGTGATTCAGGGGTCCCTTCGATCAGCCAAGCCGCCAGCTGCGCCAGGTTCGCAAACTGGAATATCTTGCCGGCGTCTCTAGAGTCGAGATGGTACAGTTCCACGAGCAGGACGGGGCTGGCGGTATACGTTCCACGCAGCGCCTCGAGTGATTTCTGAAGGTGTCGATATCGGCAGCATTGCTGCGACTCGGGGTCCCGCAGGGTGGCAGAGAGCTCGTCGAACGGACGGTGGGTCAGGATGAGAAGCATCATGAGGGCCTGCCTTTTGTTAGTACTGTTCCGTAGAGTCCCGCTGGCGTACTGACCAAGTGGCCGAGCGGCTGGAGGCACTGGTTCTGCGCAAACCTCTCTGGCTCTGCGTGGAAATTGATGGGCGCGAGCTGTTGGTGGCCCGCTCCCAGCCCGAATCCGTCGTCGCTGTAGCCATTGATGAGCGCGTCGCCGCCCGAGTCGTTCTGGAACTGTTGCAATATATCCTCGATGCTCGAAAGCGCATGGGCTTGATCAAAGTCGCCCGCATCAGCGTCGTCGTCGTCGTCAGCGTATGCGTGAGGTGAAGTAGCGCACGACTCGTGAGGCATGGGGTGTTCTTGCGCAGGGAGGTGGATGGCGCCGTTCGTTAGATTCGGTGCATCGAAGACCTGTTGGAGGGCAGTGGCGGTTGCAGTGGCGGCCAGCGACGTTGGTGACGGTGCTGCTGTCGCTTCCGCAGCGGAATTGGCAGGCGCGGCCTCCAGCTTGGCATGGTTGGATGACGGCTGCTCTGCGCCAACTGCGTCTTGGAGTACGACAATGGACTGTTGAGGGCTATGTTCGGCCTTGAGACGTTTGGCTCGTTGTGCGTCCTCGAGGGCGGTCTGTTGTGCGTCTTCTTCCATGGGTCGCTTGGTGCCGGCATCGGGAACGGAAAAGTCAAAGTGGTCAACGGGGTGCGGTTCTTGTTTTATATCTGTTGGTCTCGACGTTAGCCATCGATCACGATGTTGTCCAGGGGGGCCGGCGCAATTGATGTCGCATCTGGTTGTGGTGGGCTGGAGGGGGACGATGCGGGACAAGATGGTGCATCGTATCGTATCGGTATCGATTGACGACGTACTTGTTGTTGCTGCGGCTACTGCTGCTGCAGCTGCGGGCGCGGCAGCGCTTGGCTGAGCCGGCGCTGCCTCGTCCATGATATCAGTCGCCTCGAGCAGGTGAGCGGGAGTACCATCTGGCTGTTGGGGGGTTGGAGTGAGGCTGTTGCGACGTCTCGGGATGCTGCTTGATTTCGAGGAATGGGATGGTGGCTGCTGCTGCCATGGCCCGTCGGTCGACAAAAAAAGGTGGAGGGACGGCCGATAAGATAGGCAGAATTTTGATGGCACCACCTTGCGTGTCTTCCTGTCTCTTTGAAACCCTGCTGGAGAGCACTGGACTTGCAAGGTGAATAATAGCTCAAGACGAACAAAAGTCACTGTCTTAAATTGAAGCCGCGCAGTGTTAATTCCTGCGACATTGAGGCAGATCTCCTCAAAACGTAGTGCTGAAGGCTGTGGGCGGTCGATGGAAAATTTTGTGGACTCTTGTTATCGATAAGACGATCGAGGATCGTCCATTCGATCCACACATACATACGGAGTACATTGATAGCTGATTCAAGGTCACTCTATGGGTTGAGGGGTCAATGGTTTGGCAGTATTATTGTTTCTCTCTTATAATCAAGAGATCTATATCATCATACTGATACAACAAAGGTTCTCGACTAGATGACTACAACCAGACAGTGACGCCCAGTACGGCCGCGATCAGAGTGGCGCACATGGCCATGGTCTGACCACGACCACCACTCGAGTCCGCATCCTCAGTCTCCTCACTCCCCGCATCACCAGTCGCTGTGCCAGACTCGTCGGCATCCCCCGTGGTGGATGCCTCGCCCGAGGAAGCCGTCTTGGTCGAGTCTCCCTGGTCCGTCGCGGTAGACATGGCGGCTACGAGCTCGGCGTACGCGGTGACGGTCTCGTCCAGCCTGGGCAGCCGTGCGTCGCCGTCAATCTGCCACCAGCCGCCCTCGGTGGACGTCGGACAGGCACGGGTCGAGACGTGGTCCGGGTCATAGTCGTCGCGGCTGACGCCCGTCGGGTTGTTGCTCTCCCACTTGGTCTTGAGGTTCTCAAAGTCGGGCGACACGGGTGTCGGCGTGCCCTTGCGCGTCCAGTTGTCAAAGACAGTCTCGTCGTTCTTGCTGGGGTCCCCCACGGGCGGGCCGTACGAGATGATGCCGTAGTTGTTCTGCTCCTGGATCCACTCGTAGATGATGGCGCCGCTCCAGTCGTCCACCATGTGCTTGCCAAAGATGGCGTCCATGTCGTCCCAGAGCCGGGGCCCGGGCACGTTGCAGCCCGTCTCGGAGAAGAAGATGGGCACGGGGAAGTCCTTGGCGTACTTTTGCAGCTGCGCGTACGACGACTCCTCGTACGTGCTGGGGTCGCACCACGAGTACGAGTTGAGACCAAAGAACTCAATCGTCTCGGACGAGTTGCCGCCGCAGGTCAGGTAGTCCTGCAGCATCGGCCTCAGCTCCGCAATGTCCGCCGCCGTGTAGCCGATGGGGATCTTGCGGTACTTCTTGTCGTCGCGGTACGCGCGCATGTCGCGCACGGCCGCCTTGAGGAAGGGTGCGCCAGGCGAGTCCTCCTTGGCCGCAATGTTCTCGTTCCCGACGAAGAAGGCGAGCACGTTGTCGTAGCCCTCGAACGCATCCATCACCTTGGCGAACCGCTTGTACTGGCGGGTGCTCCAGCACTGGTTGGACTTTTTGCGCCAAGTTAGCACACGCGCGCGAGGACGAGGGTGAGTTCAAAGTCAGAGGGGGCTGCTTACAGGTGTAATGTACGTGTCGAACGTGTCCAGGCCAATGAGCAGGTAGATGCCCGCGTCCGCAAACGCCTTCATGCAGCCGTCATGGTCGGCGTCGTCGTCGACGTGGTAGACGCGCAGAGCATTGGTTCCCAGCTTCTGCATCAACTCGGCATCGCGACGACACTGGTCGGTGTCGATGAGAGGGTCTTCTGGGCGGAGCTGATACGAGACGCCTTTTAGAAAGAATTGACTGCCATCCTTGCGGAAGAACTTGTTCCCCTTCACCTCAATGGGGTCAATGGCCGACGTCGTGGCCGCCAGGGCGAGGATCGCACCGCAAGAAAACCAGCGCATCGTGAAGCGTATTATCGACGAATGAGTGAATGAAAATTAACGAGAGCAATGAGGAGGATCGGGCCTGGGGGGCGCACCCTGGATCGGACCACAGAGCCATTATAAAGAACAGACGATGAGCCGCAAGCGTGGAGAGTGGATGGATGTCTGCAGGCGCCTAGCATGTGTGTGCCAAACAATTAATTACCCAAAACCTGTATCCTGGGTCGTACTGGAGGCGGCCAAGCTTGAAATACGGTTAACACCCCCGTTGCAGGCGGGTAACACGGGAGAATATCTGGGGGCGACGAGAGCCGCCAAGGCCAAGAGGGCCAAGGCAGACAAAAAGTCGAGCGCCCCTGAAACGCGCTCTTCTTCTGTTGGACTGTTGGTTTGCTCCGGGCTGTGGATCACTGTCTATCTCTCTCTTGGCGCATCAGCAAGACTCAACGTCGTCAATGGACGCTGTCGAACAGTTGAGTCTTGACGCGGATCCCTGCTGAATGTCGCAGGAAGGATGGGCATCGAGATGACATCGGAGGCTCTGGCCGTGCAAGCGAAATGAGCAAGAAGCAAACCTCTCTCAATCCCAATCCTTGAGTATCCCTAGAATCCTAGATGCTCTCTCGTGCATGGTGGCACAAGGTCACAAGCTCTTCGAGCCGCAGCAGATCTTGGCTTCGTCGAGTACTTACCTTGGTGGTACACGCACATGTGTCTAGGTGCTTCATCTACTCAGAATCACAAAGAGATTGACATTCGCAAGCAATGGACACTCACGCATCTTCCTCGTCTATCAGATCAACATGCATAATGCAGCACGACCACCACATCAACTGCCGCCACATGCACACCCCAATTCAATGTGTCACCAAAGACCAATAGCGCGAGACATCTTTACAAAGTATTAAGATAAGCTTTTATATAACACGGGGAGCCGCCTGCTAGTAGTAGTAGTATTGGAAACACCAAGCCTGTCATTGACTCGTCCATCCATTTGATCCATCCACCCGCCCATCCCAAAGTCGTACCAAAACTCCCCTTTCGCCAGGCTGAATGATCACAAGAACAGTATCAAAGACCACACAAGACGTCTTCAGTGCGCCCCCGCATACAGGGACGACGACGGCGGCCCATTCCCGCCACTCATGTAGCCCTGGTGCCTCCATCCGTTCCGGAGATCGGTCGGCGACCGGATCGGCTGGGGCATACTCATACCCCGACCAGCACCGGCATACTCGCTGCTCCGCTCGCTGCTGCCCGTCGTCGTGCTGCCGCTCGTTCGACTCGCCTCGGAATACCCGCTGCTCCTCCTGTCGAGTAAAGGGGGTGGACTCCCGCCCGGCTCCGCAAAGTCGTACGACCGCGTCTGGTACAGCGCTGGTGGTACTGGCTGCTGCTGCTGACGCAGACTCATCTGCGCAAAGGCATGGTGCGGGATGCCATGCCGCGCGCCGCCCTGCTGGTCCTCGTAGCGATGCACGCAGTGGGGCTCCGCGATCCCACAGTGGTCGCGTAGGACCTCGTACGTGCGTCGCTGCACCTCGAGCGCCGACGGCCGCTCAAACGGGTTGGCGGCCAGCATCTCGGCGACAATGTGCAGCATGGGCGTGAAGCCGCGGAACACATGGGCGCCGTCGTTCCGCGTCGTCGCGCCCCCCCTGCTCTCGGACGCCTTGCGCGCGGCGTCCTTGGCCAGGCTCGTCATCCACTCCTCCACCTGGCCGAGGTTCTTGTGGAAGGACGTGTCGAGGACGGCGCCGCCGCGACCGCCCTTTTTCAGCTTGGCCGAGCGGAAGCTGGCAAACTTGCTGGTGGAGCGCTTGAGGAGAAACGAGAGCAGCTCGAGGATGATGCAGCCGAGCGAGAAAATGTCGGCCTGCTGCGATGGATTCGGGATAGGGAGCTGATTTTGGGCGTTGGTGCTGCAGAAGCCATCACGTTGCTCGGGCGACACGGACAGCGAGGCCAGCACGGTCTTGCGTGTGGGCGGGCTGCCTGGTCCCGACGGTTGGAACCATTGTTCGGGGGCGGCGTAGTCGTACCATTCCCGGTCAAAGGTTGTCTTCTCCGCCTTGCCAGACGATGCGTCGGGGCTGAGGCGCGCCGGATCGACGAGGAAGATGTTGTGCTTGTTGGTGAAGAGGATGGCGGATGGTTTGATGTAGCAGTGCGCGCGATGCGTGACGTGCAGGGAGCACATGGTGTCGACGAGGCAGAGGATCCAGTTCATGATGATCTCCCTGCGGTCCTTCTTGGGTAGCCCTTTGTACGCCGAAGGCGTGCCGCCGAGGAAGGTCTTGAGGCTGTATTCGCTGATGGGGGTGAGGAGGATGTATCCGTACCCTTGGTGGGTGTACGAGCCCCAGTACGACACCATGTGTTCGCTCTGGACGGTCTTGATGATGCTGACCATTTCGAGGAACTCTGTCATCGGCATGGAGCCAGGTGTCTTGCCCAGGGTGTACCTCCTGCGCGTGAAGACGCCGCCGGGGACATTGGGCAGCCTGACCTTGTCGACGTGATGGCCCTTTGTGGGCAAAGGGGGTACCCGCTCGACGACATCAATGGGCACCTGTTCGGTGTCCTCGTAGGTCTGATGCTCGCCCTGCTCGATGGTCTTGAGAATGTACTGGCCCTGGCGCTGCTGAAACTTGCGGTTCACCCGGTCGTTGTTGACCTCCATCAGCGACAGACGCTCAATGTCCTCGAGGGAGAGCGGCAGCTCCTCGTCGTCCCAGCCATCGTCGATGATGCCAAAGATCTGGTCGGGCACGCCGACGTCGACCAGGATCAGGAACAGCTTCTTGGCGCCGCTCTGTATGGCTTCCAGGTACGTCCTCTCGGTGAGGGCCTCCGCGGTAAACCCCACGGGTCGGTCCAGCTGGTCGACCTCATCGCCCTCGAGGTGCTGGACGATGAAGGCCCTGGTGACGGTGGCATCGATGCGCTCCGGAGTCCACCATTGTCCCATGGTCGGTGGGCGCACGCAGCTCACTCAGTATGAGGTGAAGGCATGTCAGTCGTGCCGGATGTGATCCGACAGGCGTATGTGTGGTCCAGCTGGGTGCACCGTGCGACACCCTCGATGTTGGTGAGTGAGTAGGCACGGTCGTGGGAGAAGTTGACAGGCAATCCTGACGCTGAAGAGGGTGAGATCGTGTGCTCACTATAAGGTATGTCTGGTGAAGGACGGAAGGCCCTTATCTGGGAAATTTCCAGCCCACGCCGCCGGCCCCGGTGATGGAGCGATGGAGGGGTCATGATTGGCGGGGAGGGCCATCAACGGGCGCTGATAAGGATAGGACTTCCCATTTGAACCTCGTCCAGCCATGCGACATGTCCTCATTCAGCAGACGCGCTCTCCGGTCTCCCCAAAAGCCACGCCGTTTTGCCCATAGTCTCTGCATGTCGCCGCGTGCTTCGGCCTCGCGGTGGGTCGCGGTGGCCAGCACTTCTACCTACTCTACGTACGTACTAATCCCCGTACCAGAGTGTAGATCCTCCACGCGACTGGACTTGCCCACGCAGCATAAAACCTAGACCCGACCGACCTCGTTCCAGGCATCCAGCAACAGAAAGTCCTCGACTGCTGGACATCGTCATAGGCACATGTTCCTCCAGCGTCGGCGCGCACGAGTTCGTCCCCAATCCATCTCTGCGGGCGCTCGAGGTGGGGTTGGGAATCATATCATGCCACCACCACGGCACCAATGCCCGCTGCGACAATAGTTCGCAGGTGCCAGACGTCGTCTTCTCGGTTGCAGACGGCTAGCGAGCCGGCCCATACCCTCGACACGAGAACTACACGAGGCCCAGTCTGCGCGCTCCAGGGTACTCTGGATCCGCCCGCACGGACTGGACGCTGTCATACGTAGCGGCCGTTCAGGCCATGCCAGCGCCCGCACAGCTGCAGCGGCACGTTGCTTGCCAGCGGGGTGGTTGGTGGTGGGAAATGCCAGTTCGCACAGGTGGCTTTGACAGTTTGACTACCTCCATGCTACCTATCCATGAAGCAGAGCATCTGTATGCTATTCTGACATTGGACTCGGTACGTGCTATTCGTAGTGCCCTCATCAGAGCCTCAGAGGGAATGACGTCATCTCTCTACTATGGGCGACAACCGGCGCCTAAAGATGGAACGGACACTCAATGACTGACCACAGACTCTATAGTTCATTTAATGTACTTGGTGCTTCAAGAACCGACCTGCCAGATACGACCCCACTAAGCTGATGAACCGTCCACCGCGAACCACTGGTACAAGAGACCAAGCAAATACCCACCCTGCATCGCTCCCCTACATCAAGCCATCTTGGCCCCCTGAGTGGCCAACTTATCCGCCGCAATGTTGCCCGGATCATTGGCATGCCCCTTTACCCATTTGAACATGACCAGGGCGCCCATCTCCCTCTTGTCGGCCATGAGATCCAGAATCTTCTCCACGAGATCTCTGTTCTTGACCTCCTCGCCCTTGGACGTCTGCCAGCCCCGGGCCTTCCACCCCACGGACCACTCCGTCACGCACTTGATCGAGTAGGCGCTGTCCGAGAAGATCTGCACCGACGCATTGCGCGGGGCGAGCTCCAGGGCGCGCTGGATCGCCGTCAGCTCCGCGCGCTGGTTCGTTTGCAGAGGACCCTGCAGCCGTTCCGACAGGTTGCGCTCGTCTCCGTGGCCGAACCACACGCCCACCCCGGCGCGGGCTCCCACCTTGCCGTTCGACGACGAGGCTCCGTCAGTGTAGATTGGGATGACATCGCCATTGTGTGTGAGCGTGTCGTCGCGCTTGGCCTGGGCGCTGGTCTCCTCCTCGGTGTTGGCATTGGTCTCAGACCCGGACTTGAGCGCCAGGTTCACGTCCGCGCCCAGGGCGTCGATCGCAGCCTTGTTGCCGTGGGCAATGATGTACTCAACTGCCTCCTCCTTGGTGAAGAACTTCTTGTACTTGGGGCCCTTGGTGCCCTTGATCGCCTCGCTCGCTTCGGCCCAGTCCGTGTAAATGCCTGTCGGTTCGCCGACCGCTACAGCGTAGTACTTTGACGGTGCGTCCTTGGAAGGGGCCACGTGCTTCCCGGCAGCCCAGGCCTTTGCGTCGCTCAGTGAGGAGAACTTCTTGTCTGCTTCGTCGTCAGTGTCCATGCTCTCGTACTCTTCGTTACCCAGCACTCACAATGCGCTCCCTTGAAGCCCCACGTCTGCTCCGTACATTCCGCCCACGTCTTGTATACGCCAGGAACATGGCCTGCCCGCACGGCGTAGAATTTGGCCTCTTCCGTCTTGTCTGTCTTGCGTTTTTTGGTATCCTGTCTCGCGTGTGCGGAAGACGACACCTCCTGCACGGCCTCTGCGGGCCTCTTGCGTGCAACAGCCGGCATACTGGATTGTAGGGTCGGGAGAAGTGTCGATATGGTCGTGGCGGCTAGTGGGTTGGATGCGGACGAAGAGGACGAGAAGTAGAACCAAGTCGCTCTCTTCACATATTTAGCTGTCGTCAAGTGCGTCGGGCAAAGGCGCAAAGGGAGTTGCCAGAGAGCCGTCGTCCTGGTCTGCGACAGGACCTTGCGTCAGCGTACCGTTTGCTGATGTGGGAACAAAGGGACCTACCGGGCGCACGAGCAGGTGCTGGCTGATGCAGAGACGATCGTAGGCAAGGAGTCAATAATTCCGCATGGCGCTCAAATTAGAGCTGGTCTGAAGCGCGAGGGCGCAACGCAGCCGCCACTTGTTGTTGCTGTTGCCTTTGTTGACTGCTGGTTGTTCCGGAACGATTGACGGACCTCTTCCGGTGGGGCCACGACCAGCTACTTAATTAGCTGCACGTACGAGTTGAGCTTATTTCGTGATCATTGACGTAAAGGAGCGTTTTCTAATTGCATATCTCTCGAAACAAGGCTATACAATTCTCAGAAGATAGTGAAGTATACTTCTTTCCCTCAGGGGGGCAGATCTCAAGAATACACTCCTCGCCCTGCCCTGACACTTGCGGTGGTGGTACTTGTCGGACTCGCTGATAATGAGCTCGTCGCAAGCGTCGGTGTGGTGCTTGTCGACGCCGCCGTTGATCTTATCTACGTGTGTGTTAGGAGAAGCATAAGCAGTCTACTCCTCGGAGGTCTCTGATCTTCGAGGATCATACGTCTGACATGATTACATTGCCCGCGCTCGCGATAGTTATCGTCAAGATGGGCTGATTGCAGTGTTTGTTTGGTGCTTTCGCGGCTAGGTTCGCGGTGGCGTAGCGACGTTTACCCAAGTACCAAAGCCTCTGTCATCAGGCTTATACACTAATGTGTCTGTATTATATTTATTCTATTCTTCGACCTAAGGTGGTGTAGTGGTCAAGCATCCTGGGGTTGACGTGCGGGGACGCCTACTTGGCAGAACCGTACCCTTCGGGGGCACAGGGACCCGGGTTCAAATCCCGGTCTTAAGGGACTCCCTTTTTGTGGACCTTTTTATGGGACCCAGGTTCGAATCCCGGTCTCAGGGACTTGCCTTTTTTGTTTTTTCCTCCTGAAAACTACTCCGTTAGGTCATTAAGATGTGTTTGAGAGCCTACTGCACCATTTCCTCCAAGTCAACTGGGACCTACCGGGCGCACGAGCAGGTGCTGGCTGATGTAGAGACGATCGCATTGCGCTCAAATTGAAGCTGGTCTGAAGCGCGAGGGCGCAACGCAACCGCCTCATGTCCTTGCAGTTGCTTTGTTGAGTGCTGGTTGTTCCGGGGGCCACAAACAGCTGCACATAAAAATTGAGCTTGTTTCGTGATCATTGACGTATTTAATCGAGCGTTTGCTATTTCCTTGTTTCTCAAAAGAAGGTTATAGAAGCCTCAAGAGAACAATGAAGTGTCACTCGCTATTTCGCTCTTCGATCCTTTCCACATAGTATGCGTGAACAAAGAAAGCCACATATAACGCGCTCAGTTGGCCTGGCGCGTCTGAGCTATCCGGTGGCGCCTAAGCTGATGTATAAGGAGTATCTTGCCACAAAGAGTCACAAGCGCTCACATATGAAGTTAAGAGGAATTGTAGTCGAAATAAGGACCGTTCGTCGAGCTATAGTACCACCAAGCGCCATGTTAAACTCTGCCAAAACACAATGTACCCCCTTCAAAGACCTAACACTGTGAACCATGGCTGACAGCTGAGGGCTGTCTATCCCTTCAATCCCCGATAAGTATGGATGCCAAGAAAAACAGTAACAGTATTCACACCGCCTGTTGCAAGTACAACCTTGTGCCTTCTCTTGTCGCGCTGTCGATGTGGTCGACAGGTCGTGGGGCCCAGCCGCGCGGGACGGCACAGTCTCATTCGGACCTGGGAGGTGGTAATCCTAAACATGAGTAGTTGGCGAGATGGGCGGCAGCTCGGGCAAACTGTCGCCTTCCCATTCCCAGGCCAGCAAGCTCCAGTTGAGCTCACGCCTCCAGAAGAGTCCCAACCCTCGTCCACCTCCGTCCGGACGATCATCAGAGCTTAGCCCCCCTGTCCCGGCAATGTGTTTGCCGAACACGACCTTCCCCATCCGCGAGTGAAGAAGCCCCATGGAGCATTGGACACAAGGTTCGTGGGTTATGTACATTTCCAACGCGTGGCACAGATAGCCGTCCTTGTTGGGATGCTCCTGCTCGTAGCAAGCTCGCTCCAAAGGAATCAGGGGTTGATCCTGGAACGCGTCGTACTCCAAGTTGGGAATATTCAGCGGTAGGCCGTTGCCCTTTCGTTCGTGTCGCACAAGCTTCTGTGCTACCATGCTCATAGCACGGAGGACCGCGTGTGTCATGGGCAAGCCGGCGTCCGAGAGGCCGTTGGGCTCCTGGTGCCAACGGGCGTCTGCGGCGAGAGCTACCAGAGACGAGCCTTCATCATCTCTTTGGACGATCACACAACCTATCGCCTCGCCAATGCCGGCTGCTCGGCCTTGCTCTGCTACCTGGTGAGCGAGTGCCATCCACAGTGAGGCCGAGTCCTTGATCTCGTCGCTACCTCTGGCGAAAACACTCGGGTGGGGGCCCAGGGGATTGTTCTTGCGGTAGACAGTGGGCCAAAACTGTGCCGACCACATGGCCGCTTGTATCTGCGAGGTCGGTGCCAGTAAGGGTATGGGGATAGCAGCGAGGAACAGCTCCTCCTCGATGCCCTCAACGTGCGCCAAGGCCTTGACAAGCTCGTCTCTAGAGAACTCCTTGACCTCCCCAACGATGATGTAGATCCAATTCGACTTGGCGGTATGGATCTGACGCCCCGCTGGGCTGTCGTTCATGAATTGTGTTTTGAGGTGAGCGGGAAGGTCTGTTGGCTTTGCACATCGGCGGAGGTGAGTAAGGTTGTTAGCTTTACTTTCGCCGTGCATGCTACGCAGGGCCCTGGGCGAGTTAGCATCATCTCTGTGATAGACGGTGGTAGACGAGCTTACTCAAGTACGACGTTAGCGGACTTTGTTGGCGCTCGTGTGATCAACGCTTGCACAATTGTGTGGTCTTGGCGAACTTCCTGCGTAGTCTTGAGCGGTATCAGGACGCCTTGCTTTAGGTGTTGAGGACTCAGAGCGTCTGTGATGGGGTTCGGGAGGACGCGCCGACGCAGCTTCGGGTCCTTGGGTGGTTCAGGTGGCGCAGTGTCTTCAGGTTCACCATCTTTGAAGCCGTCGGCTACAATTTGGTCAGAGGGTCCATTACCGAGCTGACCTTTGGCGTGAACCAAGCTGTTCGGATCCTGGTTCTCCTTGCCCACTGCGGCTGCCTCGGTCGCCATGGTGATCGGGAGGTGATCAAGAAGCGAAAACGCCCGCCTTTGGTTTTGGAACAAGATCTTTCGCTCAGTGAAACAGGCCAGGCCAGAGTGTAAACTCACTATGCCGAGGGGAGGAAGATTGATAAAGAGAGGCCGAAGGGTGTGATCCGAAGATGGTATCCTAGCCGTGTCCCAGGCAGCCGCTGCCGTCTGACCTGTCGCGAACGACCTATTTCGCCGGTCCAGAGGTTGGGGGCTATTTCCGTGAAGGGGATAGAGGTTGTGAAGAGGAAGAGTTGGGTCCTGCAAAGCTGGGCAGGCGCAGACTTGATTCGAGGCAGGCACTGGCTGTGTGGCTTGGAAGAATATTGGGCGGTAAGAACAACTTTTTAAGTAAGTCTCGCCTGTTGTCCCTCTCTGGGTAGCAGGTAGCCTGGAACAGCGAAGTGGAGGCAGTTGGTGGCTTGCGGGACGTTTGTGCTGATGTTTGCTGAGGAAGGAGCCAACAAGGCCACAAGGTGTCTGACGACGATGGAACGGCTATGACGGAAGAATGAGTGAGAGTCAAAGCACGAATGCGGGAGAAAGTAGGCTCACCTGAAGGTGAAGTGCGAGTTTTACTTGAGGGCCCGGGCAAATGAGTTCCAAACTTGTTGGTGACTGAAGTTTTTCGGTGGTACAAAGTGCAAACAGAAGATGCGTGCTTGCTGGGCGATAATTTCTGGCACACCCTGGGAATCTTGAAGCTGGAAAACGGAGTGGCTCCAGTGACTGATCAGACTCGCTGCATAGTAGTAGTCAGTTTGACTGTGTATCTCGTAGATTTGCACCTTGAAACGTCATTAGGCTCAATGATTGTTTCTCGAATGTGAAGTCGAAGCGTGTTACTACTGCTAGTGACGGCCCCGCATTCTACTGTATTGAGCCTAGTTTGATCGACAACCTGTGAGTTTGCAAAGTCGCGCTAACATAATCGACTTGATCATTTTCCTTACCCTACATGCTCACTGAAACTGATTATGAAAATAACGCGAGGCCATGTTGATGGTATGTCCAACATGAGGTTCAGAGTTGATAATGTCACATACCTTAGCCATACCTTACACAGCCGTGCCAGGAGACCGGTGATATCCTCTCGGCTGTTACCCTTATACTCGTTCCTCGTTATTGACACCTACCGCTGAACAAAGTGCTCTGTGGAAAGAACGAGGTAGGGCTCCGTGATTTTCATCAAAGTTACCATCGATACCAAAACTATTAAGGATCGTGTTCCCGCAGTAATTGAGCCCTCCGTCGATTTTGTCCTTCCACGCCACCTCTTCTACTATATTGTCTGGATCTTCAGTGCCGAACCAGAAATTATGTACTCGACCGTCGATACCCCCAGTTTATTGCGGGATCTAGAGGCGCTTTATGAGGCAGTCGCTTGCCGTGGATGTGTCCGTCTGCCTCGTACTTGGCGTATGCGCCGGGCGCTTGAGTACCTCAAAGAATGTCTCACCAGACTCGTAGTAGCTATGTTCAGTGCGGAAGACAACAAGCCCCCAATGCAAGGATGCTTATGACTACCATTTGAGTCAACCAGTTGTCTAAGATACTCTCGTGGCAGGCGGCCATCTGCAGTCCTAGTGAAGGCCGCATCGACTGGGGAGGGGTCCGTCATGAGCATCTAGGAGTACGAGACTACTCTAGCTTGTAGTTGAAAATGCATTACAGAAGGTGCCTTGCAGTCTAAGGCGAGGGGTTTGCTTTCTACCTTAGGCAGCATACACGTGGCGAGCGACGCCTGCCCAGTGTCGCCTCCTCGTCCTCCGTGATTGACAACTGATTGTTGATTGTTGGCGTTTTCAGATGCTACTGTTGTGCAAGAAATGCCATATGCAGCATCGGGAGGCTGCCCCCAACAATGTACCGGTAGGTCTACGTTTTGCTTGGGACACCGTGTCAGCCTTGTCTCCAGGATGGCCGAACGCGTTCTTCTATACCAAGAGACCCTTGGGGCAGAGGAACGACTTCAATCTGAAGTGTTGGGGTCGCGCATAGTACAGACACATTAGGCACATGCATGTTGCTATGGGCTGTGTCGCCCGAGTCAAGACGCCAGCTACACCAGCCGTGCCTTTGATGTGGCTGCACGAACGAACCTTTCCACCTACGGCGAACGCGCTTATGCGTTGCGGCAGAAGAGGATGTCGTGGGGGGCAGTTGCTTCGGATGCAACACTGAGGCGTCCTACTTGGGACGCGGGCGGGTTGCGCGCCTCGCTTTCGTGGCCATTCTCTGTCACATCTGGGTCTTGAGCACCTGACGCACCTCAAGCTGGGGGGATGGCGACTGGCGAGAAGACAGCGCTGCGGCACGCGATGACGTGGGAGGTAAGCCGCGACGCAGTGAAGGCGCGGCAGGATTCAGGAATACGGAATTGTGGATATCCGTGCCATTGATGATTGACCGCGGTGCGGAGAAGCATTTTTTGATTTTGATTTTGGGGTTTCACAGTCGACAGTGAACTTGAGCGACATCGGCGCTCCAAAAGCTAATATGTGACATTGCGTCGGTGTTCACTTCAAGTCGAGGCCTTTGCAAGAGACCAACATGTCGTCCAACCAGGAGTATGTGTTGCAGGCAGTTCTTGGTACATGGCTGGACGGTGTTCAATGAGGCTCATTCAACATCACTGAGCCTCAGCCTTCCCGAGGGAACGAGCAGTATACGTACGAATACAGCAGTGGTAATTAGCAGTTGTTTGTATGCATTTCTCCAAACCCAGCTGAAACAAATTCAGCTTGTCAAATCTGGCTGTCAACGTTGGTTATCGCTAGTAGGAGACTCGCCGCTTGTTTCGGGGGTGAATACCTTAGTTTGAGTCAAAAGGAGTAGTCAACCAAATTACGGCCCTTTTACTGCTAGACCTTCCCCGCAGTTGAGGGGACTCGCGCAAGCGCCGTTGCCGGCGGCGACTTTCTCTCCAAGTCCAAAGGGGGTACATTTTTAATTGTAGGTATCGATGAATCTCATTTTGGAACCTGGGGCTTGCCTGTGCTCTCGATAGAGTTCCAATTACAGAACTATTTAAAACAGTTGATACATAGGTGACAGAATGGCGGTACTTACTTTGGGGTCTGCCACCCCATGCAGTGATCAGGGTTTCTGTGATGGTGGTTGCAGCTGCACCTGTACGTGCTTTTACCCAGTAGATCGCGCCTAGTTTCAGCAATGATTCGTCTGGGGTGGAATTGGGGGTGCTCCAGTCATGGTGTAGGGCACACTTGTGTAATTAGGCGGCGCGGAGACCGGTGGCCTTTCTGAAAGTGTGTGTAAGAAGATGTGGTAAAGCCTCATCAAACGGGATATTCTGCCGTCTGCTTGTGCCTCCGCCAGGTTTGTAAATATCTAACCTGGCAGATCCCCTTTGAAGCTTGAATTCATCACCTCTGATTCTGTAAAAGCCTCTGACCGCCTCTCAACCTTTTGCTTCTGTCTTTTCCCTGCCCATTCAAACTCCATTTCGTAGTCTCAAGCGACTACTTGTACCAGTGTAGCGAGACACGAGCGGGATTCGGGCCATCGGCCGAGTCGCATTCGAGTCGGGACAAAAACTTTCTGAATACCGGGCACACCAGACTCATACGCCTCGAAGTTTACTACCTCTACTCATCGACAAAGTTGAACGAAAAGCTTCCGTCCGCCCAATTGGCATTGCGTCACACAGGTACGCAAGGGTTCTATCGCTCCTTTGTGGCGACATCGTCTGACACGACCGCTCGGACAGAGTTCAGCCTCGTTGCACGTCTGCGTCTTCCGACTCTGGCGGGAGGAAACCTACGAATAGCGAATCCGACATCGCACACGCAGGCTGGCTGGCTGCGCAGCACAGGCTACAGCCAGCAGACCTGCCCTCCGACCCACCCGCTGGGCCCCTGCACTGCGCCGACGCCCACGCCCTGCGATCCAGGGTCTTGGCTTCCCTGCTAGGCTCCTGTCGGACAAAGAGCCTCTGACCAATCACGCGCGGCTATTGGACTTGTTGAGTTCGGGCTCTTGGAACCACGCGCCGGTCGCTAGCTCCCAGTGCATAGAGCGGTACCTGCGATACCCGCTTCCACGCACCAAGCACTCAGGTACCGGCCTACAAGCGCACCCTGACCTCATCGAGCCCTCGGCGCGACTGGACTAGACCCAAAAGAAAGATGCCTTCCACGGTCTTACTCCAAGGTGTGTGAATTCCCATTTGCGAGATATTAGGTTGGGTCCAGCTGGCCAACAAACACCACACTCCTTCTCATACATCCCTCTGTTCTACTTTTTTGCTTTCTCAATAATACCGTCCAACTTCACTTGATACAGCTCTACTCACCTGACACCTTCTTGCGACTCTATTCTCGTCGCCACATCACTGAACAGCTCTTCCAGATTTCTCCTTCCCCAAAGCCAAGCAGTCAGCGCTGGCGAAGAAGACTGTCATGGGTGGCCACCTCGGTCAAAATCCGTCCAAGTCCTCCTCGCCCTCTCCCAAGACCGTCGAATTTTCCGATAGACATGCCTTTCTTCCGCCTCCCGCACGCGATGCGGTGATTACCTCTCATCCACAACAACTCCAGCCGGCCATGGCGTCTGTGATGCGCGCCACCAGTGGGAGCGCAACGCACGACCTCACCGAAACACCGAATGCGCGCAGCGTCAACTCCACAGCGCCCAGTTCGCCTCGCATGTATGCACCTTTTCTCTGGGACGATGCTGTGTCATTCTCATGCACACATCGACGAAGCTTAACGGACTGCGCTGACAAAGATCCTCACAGTCCTCCTCTCCGTCAAAACTCGGGTACACAGACGCCTCGAGTGCGCCCACATGCGACAACGCTCAACATCCCGGGCATGACCCGTTCCAAGGTGTCACCGGACGGCAGAATTCCCCAACGCGACGTGGCGGCGAAATTGGTTATTGTCATGGTCGGCCTTCCAGCACGAGGAAAGTCATACATCACCAAGAAGTTGCAGCGCTACCTTTCCTGGCAACAACACGAGTCGCGAATTTTCAACGTCGGTAACCGCAGACGTATCGCCACTGGAAGAAAGGCTTCTGTGCATCCCAAGCTTGCACCAGAGCCAGCATGTCTCGACCCGCCTGTCGAGGCTGCTGCTATACTCCTCAATGGCCTCCCGCGATCCAACGGCTCGTCAGCGTTCGCCGAGCCACCAGGGTTTGATCTGAATGGGCGTTTCGACAGGGAAGAAAAGAGGAAGGCGCAAGAGGCAGAGGTGCATGAGGAGGAGGAAGAGGACCAGTCCGCGCAGTTTTTCGATCCTAAGAATGAGAAGGCTGCCGCCATGCGGGAGCAGGTGGCAATGGATACGCTGGACGAGCTGCTCGACTATCTACTGGACGGAGGTGGCTCGGTAGGGATTCTCGACGCCACCAACAGCACCATTGCTCGCCGCCAGCGCATTGTGGACCGCGTCAAGGAGCGGGAGCCCAAGCTTGGCATACTGTTCATCGAGAGCATCTGCACCGACGAGACCCTGCTCGAGGCCAACATGCGCCTCAAGCTCTCTGGACCAGATTACCGTGATAAGGATCCGGTTAAATCTCTTGCGGATTTCAAAGCCCGTGTCGAAGCTTACGCCAGCGCTTACGAGGAGCTGGGCGAGTATGAGGAAAAACGGGATTTCCAGTACATCCAGATGATTGACGTTGGCCGCAAGCTCATACAGCACCGATTGACGGGATTTCTCAGCAACGGGATTGCAACCTATCTTGGTAGCTTCAATCTCTCGCCCCGCCAAATCTGGATTACTCGCCACGGCCAAAGCGTGGACAATGAGCTTGGCAACTTGGGTGGGAACTCGCCGCTGACCGAGCGAGGGCACTGTTACGGCCAAGCGTTGCACAGGTTCATCACAATGAAGCGCCAAGAATGGCTCATTGAGCAGAAGAACAAGCTCGCACAGGCATCCTTCCCACCGGTTCCTGGCGACAACACTCCCCCATATCCGGACAGCAATCGCGAACTCGACGAGAAGAACTTTTGCGTGTGGACTTCGATGCTCCGGCGCAGTGTGGAGACTGCTGAATACTTTGACGCTGACGACGACTACGACGTCAAGAACTGGGAGATGCTCAACGAACTGAATACGGGCCAGTTCGAAGGCATGACCTATGCAGAGATTGCAAAGAAGTATCCGCAGGAGTACAAGAAACGAGCTGCGGACAAGCTCAACTACATCTACCCTGGCGTGGGCGGCGAGGGCTACCTCCAGGTTATCAGCCGGTTGCGAGACATGGTGCGCGAAATTGAACGCATCACCGACCACGTCCTCATTGTTGGGCACCGTTCTGTCTGCCGTGTCCTCATGGCCTACTTTATGGATCTCACACGGGAGGACATCACCGACATGGATGTACCTCTCGGTATGCTGTACGCGATCGAGCCCAAGCCGTACGGCATCGCCTTCCACGCCTATCGCTACAACGAGGAGCTGAGCACTTTCGACGAGCTCCCCAACTACAAGCCGCAGAAGGCTGCCCGTGGCAGCGTCTAATTGCGCCGATATCCCGTACCCCCAACCAAATCTCTTGACATGACTATTGTACACACGACAGCGGATTTTGACACCACGAATAAGACGGCGTTGAACGGAATTGATACCAGTGGACACACCCGGCACAACATGCGAGTACCGGTGGTCCAAATGTTTTTTTTTCTTTGCTTTTTCTTTCTTTTGCTTTCCATGATCTCGTACGCCAACCGCGACGGAACAGGGGCGTACAGGCGGATGGCGGCGTTTAGATCGATTTGTTGAGTCCAATGAGACACGAAACGGTCGACGGAGTATGGTCGGATTTTTCGTAATTCGGGGGAATCTGGAGTCACACCTCTCACCTCCTGACACTTTTGGCGGTCATCTCGCCGACGAGCGGGCCGATGGAGTTTTTGCATTTATGTTCGACGGTCACAGCACAGGCGTTTGGAAGACGGATCGGCTCCCCCCAGAGGACTCAAAAGGGCGACTATAGAGATGATTTGTGCCCCCAACGCCAGGCATAAGATGACTAGTCGAATGAATACTGAATGAACCAAATGTGGAATGATGAGGTTGATTAAACCATATCTGCCTGTGTAATGTGACCCTAAACCGAACGCCATGCCATGCAGTTGATAACACTGTTTGTTCCCGTACATTCATTCTACTTCTCCTTGGCCAGGATCATCTTTTCTCTCTCGCTCTTCCTCCGCTCGAATTGCTTCTTGGAGTGCCTGCGCTCATTCTCCTCCTTCCTCTTGATGCTCTTGATCTCCTGGCCCTTGATCTCGGCGGCCTTCTTCACCACCTTGGGGACATGCCTGTGCCTCTTGATGCGTCGAATCTCGGGCATGTGCTCGTAGCGCTTGGTCAGTGCGTCGCTGTACTCCAGCGCCTGCCGTTGCCTGGCGGTCTTGACGCCCTCGCGCGACGATGCGTTGGCCCTCCAGAGGCGGATGTTGCCGTCGTCAGAGCCGGAGAAAACGTAGCGGGCGTCCGGTGTCCACTTGGCCGCCATGACGCGCTGCATGCGCTTGGTGTGGTACACGTCTCGCGAGTGGCCGCGGTCCCTGTTCCAGAGGCGCACGGTGCGGTCCCACGACGCGGAGACGAGTTCCTCGCCCGTAGGGGAGAACTCGACATCCATGACGGCCGCAACGTGATCCTTGAACACATTGCGCGCGCGATCCATCTTGCGCATGTCAAACAGATACATGTTGTGGTCCTCGCTTGCGCAGACAAAATTGAAGGCTTCCATGGGTGACCAGGCAATGTGGTTGGCAGCAAAGGTGAGAATCGTCTTGGCGACGGGCGTCGATGTGCGGAGGTCGTAGATGACCAGAGAGCGGTCATTGGAGCAGGACGCCAGTACTGACGTCTCGACCTGGTTGAAGGCCACGTTTGTGATTGTGTCGGTGGCCGTGGGCCACTTGAGAACCTCGGGGGCCGCGGTGTGGCGCTCGAGGTCGTAGATGGACACCACGCTCGAGGCGGCAGCAAAGGCGTTCTTGGATCGGTGGTGGGAGAGCGATGTGAAGGCACCTGCGCCGAGCCAGGACGAGATTGGGGCCGAACCGCTCTTTGTGTTGTAAGGGTCGTAGAGCTTGATTGATCGGTCCGCGGCGCATGTCAAGAGTTTCTGGTCGCGTGTCCATTCCAAGCCCTTGACAATGTTCTCGTGTGCTGTGCCCGACCATATTTCCTCCGTCCGGTCGGTCAGGTCCCAAACCTTGACCACGCCATCACCACTGCCGCTGGCAAATCTTTCCAAGGAGTTGGGGTCCTTTGCGATGGAATATACACCATCCACGTGTCCGCGACCGAGTTGTCCGATGAAGGGTGCTGCGTGCATGCGCTCCAGCTTCACAGCTGTCAGGGCGCGCTGGTACTCGCGTGCTCGTTCGAATGGGTGCAGCGCCGAGTCGAGGTTTCGAGGCACCTTGGCAGCGGCGGAGCCAGGGGGCTGATGCTCCGAAATGGAGCGACTGAGAGCCTTGATCTTCATGGCGGCGATGGAGATACGTTTGTCTGGTGAAGGCTCACTACGAGTGTCGCTTCAATGTCTATGCTAATTGATGGCGGGGAATTTTTTTTTCTTATCGGGCTTGGGGATCAAGGAGATAAGGTGTGATGAGTAAGCAGGATTGTGCCGCTAATGCAAGGGTGGGTCAGTTTTGTGCAGGACTGCGAATATGCTCCCAGACCACATCTCTACCTACAACTGACGAAGCATTCAATCTCTTGCCTGCTGATTCACGCACACTTCTCGACGGTATCAGACAATCGAATCGAACTCCCCACGGCCCATCTGCGAAGCCGGTGTGTCGAATCGCCGCAACGAGAGACGCGGGACGAGCGCAGACAACGCGCTCCTTTCGCTAGGCACGCGCCAGGGCGCGCGCAACCTTCAGCATGGATGACTACGATATGATGGACGGGGCAGGCGACCAGCCTCAGGTCAAGATCTCTGGCGTATGATCTCCCATTGCTGTTGTCTATTCATTGTCTCTGACACCAGACCCAGGCCGACTCCACGCGCGTCGAGTTCCAGCTCTCCAAGACAAATCTTTCGTTTGCCAACTCGATCCGTCGCATCATCCAAGCCGAAGTGCCCACAATCGCCATCGACCTTGTCGAGGTCGAGGTCAACTCCTCCGTCCTCGCCGACGAGTTCATCGCCCACCGTCTGGGACTCATCCCGCTCGACTCCTCCACTGCGAATGAGCTCAACTTCACCCGCGACTGTGACTGCGAGCAGTACTGCGAACAATGCAGCGTGACGCTCACACTCAACGCCAAGTGCCAGAGCGACGAGATTATGAAGGTGTACGCCAGCGATCTCGTTGTCGACGGGCGGCATTCGAGCAACGTGGGGAAGCCGGTCATTACAGATCCTGATGGCTTAGGGTGTCTGATTGCCAAGCTTCGACGGGATCAGGAGCTGCGCTTGACATGTATTGCAAAGAAGGGTATCGCAAAGGAGCACTCCAAATGGATGCCGACGTCGGCGGTCGGTTTCGAGTATGACCCGCACAACAAGCTAGCGCACACCGATCTCTGGTTCGAGAACGACACGGACCCGGCGGTGGAGTGGTGAGTAACCGATTGAGGAAGCTTTGGAGAGAGATGACAGACTGACAAAACCAGGCCCAAGAGCAAATACGCCGACTGGGAAGACCCCCCACAAGAGGGCGAGCCATTCGACTATGATGCGACGCCAAACAAGTTCTACTTCGAGGTGGAAACAGCAGGCGGCATGCAGCCCAACCAAATTGTCATGTCCGGCATCGACGCGCTCATTTGGAAGCTTGGTGGCCTGTTGGTGGGTCTCGGCGTAAGGGAACCAGAGAAGGAGGCAGGCGCTGGCGGCTACGATGGCCCTCGCAGTCCCGACATGAACATGGACGGCGGGACGACGCCCTGGGGCCAGGATGGGTACCAATCGGCCTACGGAGGCGGCGGCCAGACTGCGTACGGCGGTGGTGGTATGACATCGTACGGTGGCGGCTATCAGACAGCATACGGTGGCAGGACTGACTATCAGGGCTCGAGCTGGCAATGAGCGCGGCGATATAGCGACATCTAGAAGAGCAAGAGGAATCGGCATCATCAATTTCATCTCAGGGGTGTCCATGCACGGGGAAAAGCATAGCACATTTGGTAATCTAGGGGCGTTGAGAAGAATGCGCAAGCATCAATTGAATCTGCTGTTTCGCAATAACCCAAGCATGTGCCCCGTCTATATCCGTCTATATGAAGATGATATGCAGAAAGAAAGCGTGGGCACAAAATCTAGATAACACCCACAACGCCGTGAAATGACAAATGCCCCACGACAACCGTCGGCCCGTCTGTGCAAAGGATGCGCTTCAAGCGGCCTTCTCATCGTGGCCCTGCACCTTTCTGTACATCTTACGGTGCATTTCCAGGAAAACAAACGTGCAAATGGTGTGTCTAGTCTCGTCAGTATCGGTGTCGCGGATGGATTAGGGACCAGGTACTCACGGTCCGAGACGCAGGAAACTGGGCACCCATCCCTTGAACACCCATCGGATGCCCTCCTGTTTCGAGATATCCGAAATGATGCCTGCAATGCCCTGTTTCCCACTGGCCGACATGACCCGGGTCTTGATCACGTCGATGGGGCTCGTCGCCGTCGCGGCCACCAGGCCAGCCAAGAAGCTTGCCGAGAAGTGTGTTGTCAGATTGTCCTTGAGCGGCGTATAGTCGAGGAGCATTCGCTTAAACACGTCGTAGCTGGCAAGTTGACTGGCCGTCATGACCGCGGCGCGTGACGAGTTGGGCAGCCACCCGCGGAACCAGGAAGAGAAACCCTCCTCCCTGGCCATGCGCACCATGCCATCGGCGGCGTGCTTGTAGTTCCTCCTCTGCTCGGCCGGTAGCGAAGGGTCGTGCTGCATGCGAACGTTGAGAACGTCCGCAAAGTTGCCCGCTATGCCACCAATGAACCCCGACGTCGACGCCATGGCGATAAGCAAGGGGAACGAGGGATCCGAAGTGCCCGAGCGAGCTTTCAAGTCCTCGTATATGCCGAAGCGAGCGGTGGAGTAGGTGATTTGACGAAGAAGCGAAGCCGACAGGCCATTGTACAGCCCGAGCACGCCGTCACTCTTGACGATGTTGACGAAGGTGCCGCTCATGTTCTTGGGCGCATTTGCTGTTCGCGTTTGCAAGCGAACCTACGTCTTCCGTCAGTACACGCTCGCATGTGCGCTCACCAGCCTGCGTGCCGCGGCCATACCTTTACTGCGAGAGGTTAGCCAGGTTTCGCGAATTGAGATAAAGTGGACGACATACCAAGATCAAGAGGATGAGTGACGCAGGCGGCCATGCTGCTGGCACTCCCGCCAAACCAGAAGGGATACCGGATCGCCGACTGCTTCTTGCGTTGCTCGCGCTTCTCCGCCTTGAGCGCCGCCTTGGGCGAGTGTTCTGCTGTGGATGTGCTCATGGCGACGGCGATGGCGACGAGAGGTCCTTGAGGTCGGTTCGTCCGCTTCAATTGGCAAGCTCAAAGAAGTGCGCCATGCGAGAGCTTCCTCTGGATGTTCAGAGCATAGGTAAGGGAAGCAGAGGCGCTTGGGGTGGTGATGGCGCACGGGAAAGACGTAATGTCCTTGGCGACTTCGGAGTTGGAGAAAATATGACGATATAACGTTGATTCGGTTCGGCGCGGGAGGAATGGATTTAATTTGTCTGCCACCCGAGGTCGAGGTCCGGGCTCCGAAGCCTGCCGCCGTAAGAGTATGCCTACCCTGCAATTGGAGCGTCTCCAAATTATTTGCGAAGCTTTGTTGGAGCGACGACGCTGAGCGCTGCAAACACCACGAACACCGCCGACAGATTCCCCTCGACACAATTCCTACCTTGGCACCCGACGGTCCGCCCATTTGCCAGAAGATTGGGCGACAATGAGGACCCAATTGGCGAGCGTGCGCCTACTGACGACGGGCGTCTCGCGAGGCGTGCTGCGGATACGACCGGCCTACGCTTCACGAGCCTACTACTCCTCGGACCACAAGAAGAATATTACCATCCAAGGCACTGCCTACGAGACCGATCCGAAATGGTTCAACGTCCCATCTGCCGTGGCGGATGCCACATCACGACAGCTTCACCTCCAAAAAGATCACCCTATATCGATCACTCGTCAAATCATCGAATCCTCGTTTCCGACACCGACGTTCAAGTATCACAGAACATTCTCCCCCGTGGTCAGCACGCACCAGAACTTTGACTCGCTCGGGTTTCCCAAGGATCACGTCGGGCGGGCGAAGAGCGACACTTATTACATCAACGAGACGACTCTGCTCAGGACGCATACCAGCGCGCATCAAGCAGACACGTTCAGGGCCGACGAGAGCGATGGGTACCTAATCGCCGCAGACGTCTACCGAAGAGACGCGATTGACGCATCTCACTACCCAGTCTTCCACCAGATGGAAGGCGCCATGTCATGGGACCGGACAAAGGTGCCGGATGGGGACGTAGCCAAAGCGGTGTGGAAGGACGTTGAGAAGCTGCCGAAACACAACATCAAAGTAGAGGACCCGCAGCCCGCGTGGAATGACAAGACGAACCCGATCCAGGACAAGCATCACTCGGTGGCCGAGGTGGAGGCGATCGGCTGCCATCTCAAGCGGTCGTTGGAAGCCATGGTCGTGGACCTCTTTACGCGGGCCAAGAGCGCTGCTCTCAAGGCGAACCCGGATTTCGTGGACGAACCGCTGCAGATGCGCTGGGTGGAGGCCTACTTCCCCTTCACCAGCCCGTCCTGGGAGCTGGAGGTGTACTACGCGGGCGACTGGTTGGAAGTGCTGGGTTGCGGTGTGGTCAAGCAGGATCTCTACATCAACGCTGGCGTGCCACACAAGCTTGGGTGGGCTTTCGGCCTGGGCATCGATCGACTGGCGATGCTGCTGTTCAAAATTTCAGACATTCGACTATTCTGGTCCCAAGATCCACGGTTTCTGTCACAGTTCACAGGCGTGTCTGACTCACCGTCGTCCCTGAGTCGATTCGTACCATTCTCAAAATACCCACCAGCCCTGAGGGATGTGTCCTTCTGGCTGCCCAAGGATCGCGAATTCCACGAAAACGACTTTATGGAGGTGATTCGGTCGATTGGAGGCGATGCCGTGGAGGAGGTCAAGCTCTTTGACAGCTTCACGCACCCCAAGACCGGAGAGCAGAGCCGTGCGTACAACGTTGTGTACAGGAGCTGGGACCGGACTTTCACCAAAGAAGAGGCGAATGAGCTGCATGAGCAGGTCAGGGCGCAATTGATCGAGAAGCTTGGCTTGCGCATGCGGTAGCACTGCCCCAATGTACGAGTGGGGATGTCACGATGTATCATCAACCTGTATATAAGAGGATTGTTAGACCGAGTGAAGCCATGGAGTTGCGGGGTTGCCATGTACATTATTGAATGGATATCCTCAGAAATCTATTCGCACTCGCCTTGGTGCTTGTTGTGGGTATTCCGATACCAGCGATACCCTTTGTTTTGTTCAAACCCCTTTTTGGCCGCAGCATCGACTGGGTTAGCCAGACCTGACAACAAGGCGCGCTACTGATAGGCCTCACAAAGAGAACACTCTGTGCTTATTACTGGAAATCGCTGGCCAGAGACGAGTCAGCAAGCTTCACCGCTTCGGGAGATCTCCATTAGCCTAGACATGAGGTGGCTCAGCCACGTTGTGTTGCCTCCACTCAGTAGAGCCAAGGCCTGGGGGAGGAGGAATGCATAGAAGCGGACAGCGGCCGACAGCCCCTCTGAAGTTTTCTGGATTGTGAACGATGATTCAGCGAGAAGTCAGAGATGGGAGCAAGAGGGAATGTCAAGGTTGATTCACGACCTGACGGATTGTGAAAGCTTAGCTGAGCCTCAGTGTTCACCCTTCACAGCCAGGCACAGCCTGAATACTTGTACGTATTGATGGGGTAGCCACACAGCGACAGACTGATACGTAGTCCCATGTGGGCGACCCGAACTTCCCAATCTGAATCGGTTGAATGCCGAAAGATGGAGGCGGTTAAGCATACCTCCTTAGTGAGTTTGATATGCCCGTCTGCCTGCATGGATGCATGCGTAGTTCCGCTCGTGTTGAGTAGCTACTAGCTACGGAGTACAGCACAGCAATTACAGTAGGCCCTTGAGAGATTGTCACGTTGTGGCTGAGGTCTCCGTCGCAAGGCTTGGTATTATCTTGGACATCATCCAGAATCGCATCGCCGTCATGCTTAGGTGGCAGACTGAAGCATCATCCGGGAGGAGATGAACCGGTGAGGTCGCATCAGCCCTTGAGACAGACGTACGTCTGCAGCTTGGCTGGCTGGCCTCTGTCCGTCAACTGCGCCTGGTGATGCGGCCAGGTGCGAGATGCGTATTATCCGTACGTAGAGTGACGTCCTTTGCCAAGGCTGAGATCAAAGGGTGCGTGACGGATTCTGTCATTGGCAGTGCCAGTGGATCCAGCAAGGTTGTTCAGGCTTCAGTTTGTGGACCAAAAGAACGCTGAGGCGTGGCTGAGCTTCTGCCAATCTGAACGGCATGATCCTGTTTGCGTTTGCTGGCGCGCAAGGACAATCAATGCCTGAGTAATGCGAAAAAGCCTATGCCATTCTAGAAGTGACGGTGACAAGTCGATCGTAGCGCAAACGGACGGACAGGCCGCCAGACATGGACACAGCCTCCAATGACTTCTCAGTGGCCAGACCAGACTCTCCAGGCACTGAGATGGCGCTCCGGGGGGCACTGGAGGCGCCGGCGCCTCCTTGAGTGGGTCGCCGAATGGCTGAGCCCAGCCGGATTGGTTGGCGCAGCGTGTCTCGCCTCTTGGCTTCTGCCCGTCGCGACACTGCCGCCTCCAACCGCCAGCCCCTCCATCCGCTGTCCGTATCAATCATCTTATAGCCACGACTTCATCCTGTCCATCCATTTCTCTCTCTCATACAACTACTTTTCCAACCCTTTGAACCATCCTCAAGATACCCTCTGCAAGAGTCGACTGTCTCTGAAGTGCAGCATCATCCGTTGCCTTCCACGAAAGTACACCTTGGACCCTCAGTACGCAGTCAGCGTCTACGTACCATACACGCCACTATCAATCATGGAGCCCACAGCAACAAGACCTTCGCGCTCCTCGTCTTCCGCCTCGCGCAAATCCAACCTCTCCCTCGATCTATCAAATTTGCCTCCTCTACAACCGCCGACGCCTCCTTCAAACACCTTGCTCCTGACGAACCTCGACAATGTCGCCATCTTCACCCCCGATAATCTTGCCACCATCCGCAACCTAATCTCCGCCTCGGCCTTCATCCACGCATTCGCCCCTCTCAAGTCGTTTCGGAGGATAGTCGTATCCTTCTTCGATGTGGAAAGCGCCATCAAGGTCAGGAAACTGTGGGATGGCGAGATGATCCTCGGCGAAAAGTGCAAAATCTACTTTGGCATGGACACGCCCATCAAAACCAAGGACGAGCATCTTGCTCTCCCCGACGCCGGGAAACTCTTTTTCATCAGCCCCCCTCCGAGCCCCCCGCATGGCTGGGAGATGAAGATGGAGGATGCGCCAAACAAGCTCGTCCACGCGGACGACTTGGCGGCTGCGCTGTCCAAACTGCACCACCATGCGCCGCCCCAGGCCGATGACACGCCTGTTCACGAGTCACCCTTGACGCCCGATGGCGGCGCTCCCAGAATGAGGAGTCGGAGCTCGACGTTGATCTATCAACCTGAGCAGAAGGACAGCCCGCATATGCCCGCTGTCGTCGTGGAAGACATGACCGACGACTTGGAGCTCAAGGATGAGAAACCAATTCTGGCTCACACGGCGCGACCGCCCGTGGAGCTGATGCATGATGCCTAGGTGTGCGCACCGCTGTGTCTATTTTGTGTTGGCGTTTGGAAAGGGGATGGCTGCCATGGAGCATTCGGACTGGAGTTTGAGTTTACCAACGGGAAGAGAGAGCATCAATCGTTGTACATTAGTCTTGTGCTCTCGGGTATTTCGGTTCATAGCGCTGCGCAAACCGGGTTACAATGGCAATTTAATGAAGGAAACATCCTATCCCGTTTCATTATTTCCCGTCCAAACAACCTCTGGTGATTCCCACACGATGGATAAACTTGCTCTCTTCACAACAATCCCTGAAGAACCTGCTCGCCGGGCATCACGAGTTCGCCCACTCTACGCGCTGCAATCTCCTGCCACGGATACAGGAGATTACTGACCAACACCACCGCCATAAGCACCATGAGCGTGGCTATTACGGTCGTGATACTCCGCATTGGCGAACCGCTTGGGCCAAAGGCCGCCATCTCGGTCATCTTTCCGATGGCCGGTGTGTATTGAAACTCAAACTTGGAAGAGTGACCAATACCACCCAGACGTTGGGACCGGACCATTTCGTGGCCGTGGGCGATGAATCTCTGCAACATTGCTGGTCAGCGACGCGTGGCATCAAAAGGGGCTGGTGGCACAAATACCGCATCTCTCCGACGCTGCCTCGTCTCGGGCAGATACCCATAGATGGCACTCGTGCTCATGAGCAGCAGGCACTGCATCCCCGCCAAACAACGGTAATACAAGCTTGGACGGTCAATGTGCAGAGCCGCAGCCAGTGCATCACCGTTGACGCGGTACGCCAGAGCCGCGAGGTACTCCCTACTGGCGTACAGCGGGGGTACGTTGACCTGTGCCGTGAGAATGTTGTTGGCTATGATCTGTGAGTTTCTCGATGGATCGAGCTCCGACTTCATCACAGTCTCCATCATGGCCTTGGCTCGCTCGGGCGTCTCCATCCATCCGACAGGTGTGCCCATGATGTGGCCGATCCAGCGCCACAGGGCCAGGTAATCTGCAATCTTCTGCTCACTGAGAACGATGCCCTGCCTTGGCAGTGATAAATACACCAGCGCGGTCGAGTACGCGTCAATGGTGCCGATCTGGTGCAAATCGTTGATGGGCACACCCCATTTCGCAATGTCGTAGTATCCCGGCTTGTCCTTGGCCAGCTGGATGATACGACGGCGGACCGTGGCGTGAAGCAGACGCACCCGGACGGAAGACACGTAGCCGCTGCCGCCGGGCTTGACGGCGTCGAGAGACTCTATGCATTCGATAAAGTGCTGTGAGGTTTCGAGGAGTCGACGGCGAGTCACGTTGACGCCAAAGCCGCCGGTGCGGGCTAGGGTCTCGACGACACGCCAGGCTGCCATGCCCCCGAGCAGGGAGTTGAGCAGGAGCTGCGTATGCTTGTCAATTTTGACGGCGGTGGAACAGTGGACTACGTAACTTACACCAAGAATGGCTTGTCCATGGTACTGTTTGACAACTCGCTGTCCTCGTTCTATCTGCGCCCAGTCCACCCAGTCAGGGATATCGGTTATCTCATGGTAGAGCTTGTTCAAAGTTTCGTCCTTCTCACGATGCTCGAGGAGAAGTCCGTATAGATCCCTCTGGCCCATGGGGCATTTCTGTCCATTGTTTGGAACAGGGGGCGAGATGGCGTCGATCCTGTCGATGGCTTCGGATGCGAGCGTATCATAGGTATAGAGGCCCTTCCGGAGCTCGGAGATATCAGGGTGTTGGGCCGTCCAGATGAACTTGTGGCCGTAGGTCTCGCCTGCCGTGCCAAGGTCTTGATTGGGAAGACTCATTGTGCCGTGAAGCCAAATATGGATGGAGATAGTATCAAGGTATATGAGACTTGGGTTGCTAGTTCTTGTTCATGGAGTACACTTGTTCATGAAGTACAGAAACGTGGAAGAAGCTGAGCTCAAATACCCCGACTCTGATCGACCACTGCTCTCGACATGTTCGCGAATGCTTTTGCAACACGGCAATATCCTTTCAAGTGTCGTTTGCCTCTTGCATGTGAGAGTGGTACGTTCTGGAAGTGCATCATCCGTCAACTGTCAATGAGACGCCATTGCCAAAAGAAGCATAGACAACGTCTGAGCCGAGGGATCTGCAGCCAGGATAGTACCACAAGGCTACACTTCAAACTGCACAGATGGCATATGTGTAAGTGAGAATGGGTGAAACTGACAGTCTGACAGCGAAGTGGTTTCCACTTCGGGGTTGTATCATGCCTATCGTCCCGGCCGAGGCGGGGAATAGTCTAAAGCGGCAGTGAAGCGGCCTCTATTTGGATGGTACTCGGACATATAAAGCTTCGTGTTCGCGTTCGTGTTCGTATTGCATGTTGAAGGCCATGCTGTGCCCCTTTAGCCGAATGCGATGCAGATTCGAGACTACATGAAGGCTGAAGCTCATTGACACTGTCGATCAGGAAGCCCATGACGCAGCCCCTTAGCCTCTTCATGTCCGGCCTCACTCGAGACATCCGGGACACAATCGCTGTTCCTGGACTGGCCTAGCCTGTTATCGGCTTCCACTAGAAGCATGAGACGGAGGCGACACCTCTCAGATTCTTCAAGAGATGGTTTTCGGCACATCGGAGCGGAGGGCTGAGTGTAATGTTGCCGAGGTGACTGACCTTCAACAACCCGAAAGGTGCCATGCATTCATGGTTGCGGGCTGTCGCAAATCTCACCAATGACTGGTCCTCAGTGAGTGCTGCGTGTCTGAACTGGATGCACAGATCGGTGATACTGTACATATGCTTAATAGCTGTTGACGTCGTTTGACCAGTGGCAACGGGAGGAAATGGCGGACGGAAGTATGAGCGGGAGAGCGTAGGGGATGTGACTGTCCACGTGTGAAAGGGCACAAGCAAGTACCCTAAGGGAAAATGAAAGTCCCGAATCAGACGTGATAGACGGTTCTGTTTGAACCGTATGGAGTGTAATTATGGACAGGCGAGGCCTGCGTGGTGATGTCGTTGCGTCTTCGAGGTAGTACCTTACCCTGGAGGACCGTCGTAGCACATGACATGCTTAGTACGTAGCTAAAAAGGTACGTACCGTGATCATGGTCCGGATACTTGGTTCTACCGAGCCGGTTAGCCCCACTTCGCGCCGCTTCGGTGGACCCTGCGTGTGAGACGCGCTCGACCCGTCGACATTTTCCTGGAAGGACCACCATCATCGAAGCACTGCATCGAAAAGAAGGCTGTCCTTGGCTGGCCCAGGCAATACGATCATGGGCTGCGCTTGTCGAGCAGTACCTATGCGGTCTTTCATCACTGGCCTCGCTCAGGTGCATCAAGTGCAGACACCGTTTACGACCGTTTTCCCGCGAGTTCGACAACCAGTGATCACACGACAGTTCAGGAGCACGAGACCATGGTGGAGCGAGGCGCAGGCTTCGGCACCCCCCAGGGAAGAAGCACACGCAAAGCAAGACGACAATGATGGGGCTGAGGTGCATGACGAGCTGCCGACGAACATCAAATTTGAGCATGCGCAAGTAGAGGATGCCGCCAGCGATAGGCACCAGAGCCAGACGAGCAAGACGGAGGACAGCCCGATTAATGCTGATAACGAAGACATCGCACCGAGTTCCGAGCACTTTGATCCGTCATCTGCATCCCGCACTCGTCAATCCGCCCGGACACCAACCACAAACCGTAAACTTTGGCAAAAAGACCCGCCGCCAAAGCCCGAACCTCTTCCACCTTGGCTGGCCAAACGCCCGCCCCCGGAGCCGAAGCAGCTGCCCAGCTGGCGCGTCCAAAAGGAGGCTCTCAAGGAGAAGTTCCCAGAAGGTTGGGCACCTCGCAAGAGGCTCTCCCCTGACGCCATGGCAGGCATCCGGGCCTTGAACGCCCAGTTCCCGGACCGGTACACATCGGCCACCCTCGCTGAGCGCTTTGAGGTATCACCTGAAGCGATCCGACGTATTCTCAAGTCTAAATGGCAGCCTAGCACCGAGGAGGAAGAGTCCCGAAACTCGCGATGGCACAAGCGCGGCATCAGCGTCTGGGAGCGCAAGGCCGCCCTGGGCATCAAGCCACCCAAGAAGTGGCGCCAGGAGGGCGTGCGGCAGAGCGACGAGTACCTGGCCCGGAGGAAGTATGCCATCAAGAAGGAGCAGGAGATTGACCAGGAGGAGCGAGCTGCCTACCGCGCATACCTCGACTCGAAGAAGGAGAAGCCGTGAGGCCTTGTATCATATGTGTATATTGGTGTTGCATTCAAGCATTGCAAGGCGTTGCATCTCATCTCTGGGACTATATAAAGGGCATGGAAATACCATAGAGGGCATCTTGCGCCGTTGTTCAATCGGATCATGAAAAATTGGGAGAAAACACGTCGTGGCGCCGACTGGAGGTGCCCCACCAAACACACCGTTAGGGGCTCACCTCAAACCAGGGGTAACAGAACCTCACACCTCCATCGTTTTAATCGGTGGTAATACATAATCAAGATATTTTCTTCTGTCTGCGGTTCCATTCAACTCACACTTCTTGCGATTATAGAGGCCGCGCATCATGGCCCGACGACAGAGGGGAGATGACGCCTGGCTTGCGCCAATTTCGATTGACATGCTTGTTCGCGTGGCAGTGACAACAGTCTTTCACCCTTTTGTCACAGCTCTCGTACCGCTCTGTCTCCGCGCCAGGACGTACCCGTGGTCCTCGACATCCATGATCGTTTCCATCGTGTGGGCGGCGTTCATCTCATTACTTTGGACCTTGTCCCTCATCAATCGGCGCATCGCGTACGGTACCAAGCGCGAGGTTGACCTGAGCGAGGAGATTGTAGTCATCACAGGCGGAGCAGGTGGTCTGGGCGGTCTTCTGGCTGAGGTGTATGGGATGCGAGGGGCGAGCGTGGCTGTGTTGGATGTGGCCGATGCCAGCGACGGTGAAGCTCGTGGGATATCGTACTACAAGTGCGACGTGGGCGATCAGGACGAACTGAGCAAAGTGGCGGCTCAAATTGAGAAGGATGTGAGTAGCTCACTCACTCTGCGTGGCATCCAAAGATCAAAGGCTGACCCAGACACCTAGCTTGGCACACCTACCATCCTGATCAACAACGCAGCCGTCGTGCGCGGCAAGTCACTGCTGTCTATGCAGCCCGCGGAAATTGAGTCCTCGCTCAAGACTAATCTACTAGCTCCGTTCCTCACGATCCGTACCTTCTTGCCCGGCATCATCAGAAGCGCAACGGGGGGCACGATTGTCAACATCAGCTCCGTCATTGGCACCCTAGGCGCAGCCCAGTTGACGGACTACGCGGCCGCCAAGGCTGGCATCACGGCCTTGCACAAGTCACTGACAGCAGAGCTGAGAAACTCGCACCCGGATGTCAAGTTAATGCTGGTCACGCCAGGGCAGCTCACGACGCCCCTGTTCTATGGCGTGGAGACGCCCAGCTCATTCTTTGCGCCCGTGGTGGAGCCTGTCGACGTGGTCAAGGAGATTGTGGCAGCGGTGGAAAGTGGGAAAGGGGGCATGATCGGAACACCGCTGTACGCGAGGTGGGTGGACTGGTACAATGTCCTCCCAGTAGGCATACAGGTGCTGGCGAGGTGGATAGCTGGTGTCGACCGCGGAATGCAGAAGTTCAAGGGTCGAGAGGGTATGAAGAGCGACAAGGAGTTGTAGGCGCAGGCGCCTCACACTGCTTGGTAGCTTCCTGCTGACTGAATACAGCGGTCCTCTTCTAGGTAACGAAATAATACAACTTAAATCAAATAAGTACAGTTTGGTTCCGACATCTGTACTATTAGCGGCCCGAGGCGTGTATCCGCATTCCCAGCCCAGGAGTTACTGTGCACACGATAGACGTAACGCCACTTACAATTATTTACCAAGGTAGTATGTATAAGTCAGCGAGAAATCTTCGCCTACGTCAGCTATTGTATGCGGAAAATGCTGGCTGATTCAATTCTGCCTCTGTGACAGCCAGCAAGGTGGATGTGACTTGATAATGGGCAGCTTCTGGTCCATCAAGGGGCAATGGCGCTCGGGTCGATACAGACGTAAACAAACCAAGGTGCCATCCGGTTATGCTGAACCATACGGATCTACGGCGGGGAAGTCGACGTTGGGCATACAATACATGTACTCGTTAACCAAGATATTGTCAGTTCAGACCTAAATCTGATAAAAGAAAACACCCGTCGCGCGCTGGCGCAGACTGTCCCCGCAAGCCAGTCGTCTAAGTTTGGAGCTTATGGGACTATCTACATGTTTCACCGGAACAGCCGCTATGTCTGGGTTTTTGTGGTCAAGTCTCCTCGCCGGATTTCTCCTTTTCATTTCATGTTCCTCGGTGATAGGATGAGATGGTGTTGCTGCTGAATCGAGGATGAATCTAGCCAAGACTTGCTTGCCTGGTATCTTCATGCTCTTTCTTCCCTTCTTCACCCTCACGGGACTTTCAAGTAATTATCTCTGTCGCGGCTGATAATCAAGGCAAAGTCCCCGCAGGGAGGCTAGCGATGGTGGCTGCATTGCAGCAGATACCAGCCATCTTGGTGGTGTCCTCCAAGGTAACCGGACCGACACTAGTTTGTACATGTAAATCACGCTGTGCTCATGCTGTTGCAAACATGAACAGTGTCTTGCAGATTTCCCGCATCAGAGGTTCTGGACAAGCCCAATCTGCTGTCCGCAATTGGGGATGCGTACATTCATGTATATTGCGCATCGAGATCCATGAAGGTTGGGATGGCGCCTTTGGACGAAGCCACCTGGACCTTATCTGCGCCTTGAGAACGTGCATCGATGTTACTCTCGGTAGCGACAAGGACCTGATTTGCGTCCCGAAGTGCATAGTCAATATCCATACGGAGTTTCCGCGCAAGCGCCGTGATCCAGTAATTCCAATATCTATTTCGAGGATCTGCGGACCTGCGGCTCGTTGGAAGTTGGAAGTGGGAGGATCGAGACTTGGTAGCTTGCCTTGGTCTACGTGAGAAGGGTGTTCCCGGAATACTGCAGACTGCAGGTTCCAGAAGCGCAGGTTCCTCAGGGGCCACATGCGAGGTAGCATCAGAACTGTCGTTATCTGCTATTCACTGGGGGCGTGCGTTTACTGGTGTTAAGCGGCCAGCCGGAGTTCGTGGCCTTTGACTCTTGAGCCAGCGGCGAGCCACGTAAACCGAGAGTCCATTAGATCATTCAATGTTCGTACGGTACGGTGATACATCTTGAAGCGCTTTTGCGAGCTTTTGCGACGGCATAAGGCGACGTTGGTCGAGCCGGCCCAGCAATAGCTGGTGAGTTCTGGATCATGTATCGCGGGAGGTCAACCGTCAGGTTCCATGTCCCATTATCAAAATTCAGGGACCTCGACACGCGTGGAGCCTGATCCAGGGTATGTATCGAAACGTCCCACACGCGATGCTACTTACGAATTGTGTGACTCTCAAGGCCAATGACGCGGGGGAGTATTCGCGGCCCTTCTGCGCCTTTAGAAGTTTACTAGAGGGCCATTCAGATCTCCTCGGGCGCTATCCAGGTCGGGCTTTGTTATAGGCAGTTCACCTTACCCAGGGCAATGATGTTGTTTTTCGGCTGCGCCAGGCTTAATTAGAACGTTGGCCGTCGATGTTTTCGGTACCTAGCACGGTATGCTGTGCTACGTGAGCGCGCAGCGAAATCCCGTCCGTCCCGCCGTCATCTGGCAGAGCCTCGCATTCTACTTTGTACAATATTATTAGAGCAGGTCAACGCTCAGGTTGAGGTGACTGGAGGCCACCACGCCTAATAGTTGTTGGACCTCTTTCTTTTTGGTCGAGAGACTGGATCCTGGGCCACTACGGAGTACAATTACAGCCACTATACAGCCACCCTACCCGCGAATCGTCAGTGCAGCCAATCGTACGGCGCCTATTCACTGACGGCCCTCCACCCAGCGGGTCCCGCGCATTCCACTTGACCTTTGCCCAGGCGGGACGAGAGACTGGAGGTTCACAGAGTGCAAAGACCTCCCGAGTCCGGCCAATCCAGCCGAACCCACCGAGGACACAAACCTGGACTGCGTGCGTCGCGGCAGATCACAGAGGTACTTTTCGTCTGTATTATCATCCTACTATCCTCAAACACACCATACTCCTCACGCAGGTCGGCCTGAACGACGATCACGACGACAGCATACCCTACTATCGAGCGAGCCACATGCCTTGGTCCCCTGCATCACCATCAATCGCTCATACCGTCGAGTTCTGCCCTGTAGCAGCCACCGACATCGCGTGCCTACCGACTTGAGTCAACGCCACCGAGACTCTTGTGCACACGCCATCAATCCTTCTCGTACAGACAAATTCACTGCGAGCAGCGCTTTTATAACACATAATCCGCCCTCATTCCCAATTATACTCATCGCTGGTCGACGGACTCGCTTCCACTCTAGCGCTGCCCACGCTCGTCGCATCTGCATCTCAACAAAATCCCCGCTTGGCGACAGGGCACCAGAGCAGCCGCTTACGTGGTCGGGTCAACCTCCCAACAACGGCAAACGACACGACGCGACATATTGCAACCCCCGAAACAGCTCCGTTGCATTCGAGCCAGGATTCGGCCAGGCATCTGAGAGGAACCGCTAGGGCACTCGTAGCATGTCGCTGGCCGCAGGCAGAGGCGGCTATGGCCCTATGATCGCAGACGACGAAGATCCGATCATGTCGAATGCCACCTCGATGCGCGACGACGACTTGTTCGATGATCTGATTGATTATTCCGGGGCCAGCCCAGACACGCTTCAGCGACTCGACACCGCCCGTAAAGACGAAGGACGCGAAGCTGAATTCGCATATCAGAAATCTCCAGAAAGTCCCTATCATGAGTACTCTGATGATTCGGCTGGTTCCCTGTCACGGCAAGAGGGCAAGAAAACCGCATCCCGGGAATGGTCGCCCCAGGCGATGGAAGAAGGCGACCTCGCCATGCTCGACTTTTCGACACATGCTCCGCTCGACGACGAATCTGGCCATGCCGCGATCGAGCTTCCAACTTCTCAACCAACGTCATTCGAGGAAATTTTTAGACAACACCAAGACTCCGATAAGATGAATGGAGAGCACAAGACCGCGCTCTCCTGGATGAACGAGACACCGACGACAACGTCCAACAGCGGCGCAGCCAAGGCCGGGCACCTCTCTCCGCCATCCGGATCATGCTACCGCGATGTCTTTGACCCAGATTCTAGAGATTCTACGCCAAGCTCAGGTATCAGTCCCATCTACAATACCCCCTCCCCCGCGGGACAGCCAAGCGAAGTGAAACGGTCCACCTCGCCCAACGTCAGTCGACAAAAGTCGCCCAACGGCCAAAATTTCATGCCAACGGAGCCAACCCTGCTTAAACAGAATTCCATGGCACGTTATCCGGTTCCCATAACGGAGCAAGTAGTCATGCCTCCTCAGTTCGCTCAGGGAATGAATGGGTTTGGGGGACCCCAGCAGATGCAGTTTCCCCAGCTTGCAATGCCAGCCATCCCAAGAGCTCCGATGCCGACGTCCCGGCAACCGACTCAATATCAATTGATCGTTCCTGGGAGTCCACGCAAGTCACGAGTGGAGACACAGATACCTTTGAAGCTTGTCCTGGTGCCAGCACCGCCCGGGGTCACAAAGATCCATCTGCCCCATGCTCAGATTGCGAAGCCAAAGCTGCAGACGCGACCCGCGCCGGCCAAGAACCCGAACATGCTTGAACTCACCACGTCCGTTGTGTGTACTAGCGCTATGCGGCAGAAGGACTTGAAAGAGATGGCCATGGCCAGGGCCCGCACCAATGGCCCCGATCACCTGGCCCCTGAGAGTGAAGATAACAAAAACTCTGCACAGCAATATGGCGCTGAGGTGCGAATCTGCGAAAACTGTATGAAGCGGGAGAAGAAGCGAGCCGAGCGCAAGAAAGTCAAGAATCCAGAGGAAGAACAGGCATGGTTAGCCGACCAAGTTCATCGCGTTCTTGTCTTCAATGGCCACGAAGTCAAGGATTGGGAGAAGACGACACACATGGACGGGTTTGCCGACGCTCTCAAGCTCGAGGTTCCAATACGCATCGCGTGCTATTGCCGACATCATGGGGAGAAGATGGGGTTCAACATCATCTTCACGCTCAAAGACTACCAGGGCAATGTTGTGACTCAAGCAATGTCCGATGCCATCATGATTACGGACGACCACAAGACCATTGCGGCAGGCAGCGAACCGCCGCAGTCGGAGCCAAGCTTGGGCGCCGATGGCTTCTATCCCCTGGCATCGGCCGAGTCCCTCCCTACCCGAACAGCGCCGCAACCTTCCATGGCGAATGGCCCACCTGCGCCTCTCAACCCACTCGCTGTACCTGCCCCTGCTGGTTCAAGCAGCGCCAATCGCGGCCCAGGGAAGACGAGCACCCAGCGACCAGGGCGATCTCGCCCAGCCTCGCCCGTGCGTGACGGTCCAACGGCCAAGAAGAGGAAGTCAAGTTCGAGCTCGGGGAAGATACCAAAGGGCCTGGTCATGACGCCCAGACATCAGCATCCACAACAGCCGCCGCCGCCGACCGCAAATGGCGTGCAGTCTCAGCGCTCAGCTCCTACTTCACCCTTCGACCCGTCACTGGGGAATTTGCCGGTGCAAGAGACCGCCTTCCCGACAGTCAACAATACCAGCCCCCCGTCCATGCCGCAGTCGCAGCAAGAGTTTGGCACATTCTCCCCATCCTCCACCGAGACCCTCGCATTCGGTGAAAGCCATCGCTCTAGCATGGACAGCATGGCTCGACCACCTCTTTACTCCGCTCCACAATCTCACCAGCCTAGCCGTGCACCGAGCCCCGGCTCGATGATGTTCAATGGGCTACGGGCGCCCCACCAGAACGAGTTTAATCAACTCATGATAGAGAATGCGTTTGGCGTCACGACTCCTCGTACGCGTGACAATGGTGCTCCCGTTATCAACAAGATCCTGCCGCAAGAAGGACCCATTGAAGGCGGGACAGAGGTCACCCTGCTGGGCAGCAACTTCCAGAATGGCATGGCTGTCTACTTTGGCACCACGCCGGCGGTGACCACGACGTGGTGGGGAACCAGTGCCGTTGTTTGCATGACACCGGCAACCAACAACCCCGGCCCAGTTCCTGTCATCTGCCAGGCCAGCCCTGCGCACGAACAAGAGTGGAGGAACAAAGTCCCCCCCATGTTCAAGTATGTCGACAGCTCAGAGACGCAACTGATGCGCCTGGCTCTGCAATGTATTGGTGGGAAGATGACGGGGCAGGAATGCGACCCTACGCATATCGCGCGTTCGATCCTGCACCAGCACACTGGACCACAAGGCGCAGGCCAGTCTGGTGGACCTTCGCCATCGAGCGGCGGTGCCGGCAACATGTACAGTCGCGGCGTCAACGACGGTGACACGGAACAACAGCTGCTCAAGTGCCTCGATGTGATCGACCTGGACGACAGCCCCTACTCGGCAGACTTTGAAATCAAGACCTCCAGCGGCCAGACGATGTTGCACTTGGCCTGCTCTCGCGGCTATCTCCGCTTCACGGCCGCTCTGCTAGCGAGGGGGGCCAACCCCAACGAACTGGACCACGGCCACTGCACGCCCCTGTTCCACGCTTCACTGCGCGGTCGTCAAGAAGTTGTGAAGCGGCTGTTACTCGCTGGCGCCGGCCCCAGGGTGCGCAACAAGGGAGGCCTCACGCCGCTCGAAGTTGCTGCCACCGACGAGATTGCGGAGATGATGAGGTTCCACGGCCCTGTGCGCTCTGCCAGCGGCGATTTCTCACACAGCAGGGCCAACAGCCGGGCCAGCAGTGTGAGCTCGCTCCGGTCGCTGATTGAGCCCATGAGCAGGATCACGAGCCACGCTCGCTATTCCGGGGAAGAAAGTCCCGAGTATACCACTGGCGACTTTGAGGACGAAGATCCTGATGAGAATGTCTACATGGACATGCGTCGACCCAGCCTCCGCAAAGCCGATTTGCTCAACCAGGTTCCGAGGCCTGATCTGCGGACGGACGCGGAGGCTGCCCACCCAGCCCCTGGCACGCTCGCCGACCTCAAGGAGCAATTCCAGCAGCAGCTGAACCAGCTACAGCAGACAATGGCCCTGCATTTGCAGAACCTGCCTCATCTGCCACAGATGCCCCATATGCCCGCCCTTCCCGGTATGGCAGGCTTGCCTGATTACCAAGCCTACTTCCAGCAGGCCCCTCTCATGCGACGCATGACACAATACATGCCTGGGAGGAACGGCAACCGACCAGAGTCGCCGGACGGATCCTCCAGCCCCAAGCTGGACCACAAATGGTGGGATCTTTCAGCACTGATGAACCCCAGCGCTGCTGCTCTTCCGCCGCCGGCCTACGAGGAGATCTTCCCTGTGCCAAATGTGGACGAAAAGATGGCCGGCGCTGCGGGCGCTGCTGCAGAGATGGAGGCTGACGAGAAATGTGCGGCTCTGTACGATCAGCCATTGTCATCATCTTCTGCCGCTGCGGGTGTCACGACCACCGTTGACGATTCTATCGCTCTTGAGCCAACTGCCGCCGAGAGGGCAGAGCTGCCAAGCGTCCTCAAGATCGGGCGCAAGAACGACATGACCAAAGAGCAGCAGGAGCACCTACTCCGCGCGAGGGAAGAAAAGCTGAAGAGAATCAGTGCCGACCGCAATTTGTTCTTCATTTGGGTGAGTAGACCCATCAATTCCGTGTATATTGACGCCACTAACAGTCTCTCCAGATTCCCCTCCTTGTGCTCGCAGTATGCGCCATGCTGTACAGTTCTTTCCCTGGGCTGTTTGGTGCCGTTGCTAGCTTGGGCATGCTCGGCGCCCGCAAGGCCGCCGGTGCCACCGCCAGGCTCGCTTCCAGCATCAGGCGCGAGGACAGGGTGATCGAAACTTGATCTATACTGCTCCCCTGCATTTTCGTACAACCGCGACCATGACCACCACCTTCATTCCGCGGCGGGCCCATCCCTGTCTCTGGCCACAAGGCCGCTTTTGCATTGTTCCGGCGTTTATTGGTGTTAATGGTATGGCACACATGTGTGTCGATGGGTGTATAAGACGCGATACCGGGCGTTGGTCCCTAGTAGCTAGAGAGACTATTCAGTTCATTTTGTTTGTTGCACGCCCGGCTTGGCGAGGGGTGTGTGTTTTGGATTACCTCGGGGCTTCTCTCTATTATGTAGCGTTTGCTCCTATTCAAAGATAGACGATACTTTTTTTTTTTCACGACAGTCACAATACCAGGGGTGGATAACACCCAAATCCATTTGTTCAACGAAATTCACGCCAGTTCCATCCTGTGCAGACGCAGGGTTTTTAATACATCGCACTATGTTCTGTTCGTCCATCATATACGTCTGTCTGTACATTCATTCATGAGTCATTGCGAGAAGCCCTTTCTCGTCATCAAGTCCCAAGTCCCCCCCCCCCTAAACGCCCGTCCAAGAAATCAAACAAGAAGCTACCAGGAAGAAATAACCAGCCCTTCAGTGAGCAGCCCTTCTAAGAGCCCTCCACGGCCCATCATTCTCCCTATCCTCCCCATACGTGAACTTGGGCGGTATGTCAGGGACGCCCGGTATGCCCTCGTTGATGCTAGGCTTGACCCGCAACGCCCTGCGGCCATGGTCCGCCGCGCTCCTTCTAGGACGCAGCACGCGCACAGGCGCCGTCGTTGCGTCGTCCTGTTGCTGCTGGGGGGCGATACGGGCGAGGATATCACTAAAATTACGCCTCGAGGCACCGCGCTCCGGCACGGGGACGGGGACGGGGGGGTTGTTGCTGCTCCCCTTCAAGACACGCTTCGTGAGCTTGTTCGGTTCACGGACTTGCCGCTCCTGCTCCTGCTGCTGCTGTTGTTGCAGTTCCATGGCCGCGGTGCGCGCGTTGCTAAAGGAGCGTGCCTGGGCGAGACGTGTCGACGAGCGAAGTTTCGGCATCGCAATGTCCCGCGAGGAGCCTGCCTTGCGGAGTTTCTTGTTGGAGAGCGGGAGGAGCTCGTCGTCGTCGAGCGTGGCGGCGCGCTTGGTGCCGCGTGACGAGGCGCTGGCTGGTGAGTGGACGGGCGACGCGGTAGGGGGCGCGCGGAGATGGTGATGGTGCTGTGTGGTGGATGGTGTCGTTGGGCGCTGCGGGAGAGGCCAGACGGGGTTTGTGTTGGTGCCTGGCGCTGGCTGACGCGTGGACTGGATGGCGTGGGAGGTGAAGAAGCCGGATGCCATGAGATTTTGGTAGTTTGCGTAGATTTCCTCCTTGGATGGCCGGTCGTCGTTGGGCGATGGGTCCCTCTTGTCGGCTCGAGAGACGGGTGCTGCGGCCAGCGCAGGCTGTTCCTTGTCTCTCTTGCTACGGAATTTGTCGCGGACGCCTTCCCATACTTGTCCCAGGAGTTGTTTGCTCCCGCGCTTTGTCGCGGTGCCTGGTGCCGGTGGCTGCTGCTGCTGCTCGTGCTGTTGTGCTTGGGCCTGGTCGATGCTGTGAATGGTCGTCGTGAGCACAGGCTTGGTGCACTCGTCGATTTCAAGGTGTGATGCGCCAATGTACTGCAAAGGGGGCGCTGTGGAGGTGCGGTCGTTCATGGAGCCCTCGAGGAACCGGCTGCGACTCGGTGGTCGAGGGGGCTTCGCGTGTCGGGTCTGTGCCATGGCCGTGGTCGACTGAATGCTGGTCGAGATACTTGACGATGAAGTTTCGTAGCTCTGAGAGTATGAAATTGACAAAACTTGAGTCGGGTGGCCGTCCATGTTATGTGTGCAGTAATAGGAAGCACATGAATTCAGGGAGGACAATGTTTAATTCCCCCAAGGCCCGTCACCACAGCAACCGCTGGATTTCATCCACCACGTCGCCCCTGTCTAATTATCGCCAAGGTCGCTTCACTGTTTAAATAGACGCGATTGACCAGAGGGTACGTAATCTGAATTCAAAACTGTTTGATACAGTGGCTAGCGAGACTGCTGTTCGTGTCGCAGCTGTCTCAAGGCCTCAACTTGATACGTAGTGCCACATGCTTACGAGCTATCAAGTCTAGCTATCATCAACGTGAATACAAAATAACCACTCTCGTCGCTGAGAATATACAAGCGGAAAGCTCCAGCCCATGAGATTATATTTCACAAGGACATGAAAATGTGAAGAATGAGATGAGGCGATTGAATGAGTGTATGTCGTCGGCTTCGTTGCCATGAGTTTGACGTCCAGAGAGAGAAAAGAAAAAGAAATAGAGAAATCCATAGTGATGCGCCATGTCGCACACATATATATACGACGCAGAACTTCGATGCGCACGACACCGTAGTGCCTGCAAGGCCGCCAAGCAATAACCACCCAAAAACGCCGTCCTTGGTCCCGTTCATGTATACTATCAGGTATCGTGTGTAGCGCTCCCGAAAACTTTCAAACCGCTGATTGTACCAGAATCCGCAAGTCGCGTCTCTACAAGGAATCTCTACAAAGATCCTGCTCAAAGCCAGTGAGCAAATTGGGCTTGCTCGACGTATCCATCGGCTCGTGAGAAATGGCCCGTGTCGTGAGCGTAGCGAAGGCGGTGTTGGCCACCAAAGTGTGGATCGAGTTGACGCGAGCCGTTCCTCACGGCCCGGTCATCTGTGGTGAAGACATGCTCGTGTTTTCGCTTGCCGCCCGTGTACATCTGTTCCGGCTCGGGGTACGGCCCAACCTGCGCCTCGATGGGCGGTGATACGAGGTGGGAAATCTTGATGGTGTGCTGTGGCGCTGGCGGGTGTGGTTGTAATGGGGCGAGCCCGCGGCTTTGAGAATAGGGCGCTGATGGGCGATTGTGTGCGTCGGCGTCTCGGGGCGATGACATCGCCACCGAGGGCGAAGATGGAACGTAGTTGCCGGATGGGCGACGGGCCTTGATGTCCACTGATGCGCGTGGGATGTTGCGCATTGGTGTGAGCCCGTAGTCTTCGTGTTTGACGTACGGCTGGTCCTCCGCCTTGATGTACTGGCCATCTTGTGCAAAATGGGCCGATGGTGAGATGGGCGCGGAAGCAAGGTGGGTAAACGGCCGTGGCGCCGCATAGGGATAAGGCGACTGGGGATGCGGTGCCGCCGAGAGAGCGGGAGCCCCCGATGGCCGACGTGAACGAGCGGACGCAGACTGAGGAGTCTGAGGCTCCGCGGAATCTCTGTCGCCGCCGCCGCCGCCGCCGGCCTTGTCGCGCCTCCTCATCCTCACGTCCCGTCGAATGCGCACTCGACAGCCCTGTTCGGCAAAGTCGCGGCTGAGCTCAGTGCTGCTCCTGAGTCCGGGGAACTTCTTGGCACTGTAGACGTGGAACCCGTTGGTTTTGACGTCCATGCGCCAATCGACGCCCGGTGTGAAGGAGCCTGCCGTCTGCTCCATGTCCATATCCTCCGGGTTCTTGGTCGTTTCGTACAGGCTGAAGCTGAGGTGGTACTGGCCCTCGTGCCGCACGGAGAGGTCTGGGAAGATGAAGTAGCCCGCTTGCCTGGGGCGATCGAGGTACGCCATGCCCGAGGCCGGGACGCCCGTCAGCACCGGAGGGTTGGGGTTGGCCATGCCACGACCGGTGACGATCTTGCGGTCATGCTCGAGGCTGGCATAAAGGAAGAACTGGGCGGCGTAGTCAAAGGTGATGTCCTGCCCGCGCTCCCACGAGTCGCCCTCCCTGATCCGCAGCTCGACGACCGGTGGCGGGTCGACGGGGCGCCTGTCGCTGTTGGCCTTGTTCCCGGAGCCGCACGCACGGGCGCGCTCGGGCTGCTGCAAGATGGCCAGCTTGTAGAACAGCTTGCGATTGCCTCTGGTGATGCGCACAATGTCGGCTTCGGCGGGTCGCATGCTGGCCGACTGCGTCTGCAGCGTGCCCACGTTGGGGAAGGACATGGTGGCGGGTCTCGCAGGTACGTCAATGGCACGAGGGCGTGATCCTGAAGGCGGGCGAAATGTCAGTTATATCGAGGCTGACGGCACGCGTCGGGACAAGGAAAGTCAATGGCGGTGAGTGACAAGCGTCTGGCATGGAAAGACAAACGTGGGTGGCCGAAACTCAAACCTCGCGGGAATGGGGTCGAGGAATGAGGCCCCCCAGGTTCTTGGGATGGCAAGGGACGACCGGCACGCACTAACCTGGAATCTTGCGATGCGACGAAGCGCTGGGTCTCGGAGGTTGCTTCGAGATGGGCAATGGTCCGCCTTGTCTCAAAGGGCGATGCGTTCAATGAGGCGCGGTGATGGTGGTGGTGGTGGTCGTCGTCGTCGTCGTTCTTGTCCTCGGAAATTCGTCCGTCCACCAGCAAACGGAGCAAGACAAAAAGATGTCGAGGCTGAGCCAGGAATTTTGGAGGGAGGTCGTGATAATCCAGATAGATGCCCTGCGCCTCGAGTCCCGCGTCCGTTGACTGGGAGTTCCAGTCGCTCCCAAAAGGCTGTGATGAGGGTTGAGGAAGGATCGAATGGAGAGACTGGAGCGACCACCGCCAAAGCAAGTGAGTGACTGGAGTTGTGAGTGACATGAACGGAGTGCTCTGCACACACGGAGGGACGGGGACTCCAGGCATTGGGCCGCCCGTGGGTGGGTGGATGGACCAACTGGACCAACTGAACGGGGGGGAGAACTGTGACACACGGGCCACCCACTGACCTGGTTGAGGTTCCATTGGAGCCTTCGATCCCTGGACTCCAGCTCCAGTCCCTGGAGTGACCCGCTCACGGTATCTTTCCGCCTTCGGCTGCGGGAATCGCACTGTGCCGAGGTGGGTACTGTGCGCGCTGGAGGGCCCAGCCCAACCGTGCCGTACAGTGCACCGCTTCTCGCTGACAGCCCAGTCATGTCCCAGTCGCTGGTGCTGGAAGCCTGGAACCAGTGGTACGGTGCGCACGCGGGCGCTGGCAGCCCACACGCCTGGGCTCTGGCCCCTGGGCACTTTGCTCGAATCTCACGTAGCATCAGGGCCCCGGTGTGACCAGGACCGGCCGCCTGGTCATGTGGAAGAACACTGTGCCAAACCTCAGCTGGTGGCACCGTTATTGGTTGGGCGTGTCGAACGAAACGACTGTCTTGACAACGGTTTGTGCCCCGGCGGTAGCTGAAACTGGACATGATGAGCACATATCACAGAAGATGAGGGTAGCTCAGACTGGACTCGGGAAATTTCTCATCGTCCTCATTCTTCCCTGGCCAGCGCGAGGGTGCGCATGCACTCGTACGGAGCAAGGTGCAGAGTGACGTGACGCACGGTGTGTCTGCCCGTCAGTGGAAAGCGCTTGGGCGCCCGTCCCAGGGACTTCAGGCTCCGGCCAGTCTCCCAATTGACAATGCCTGCCGTGCATGCAGCAGCGGAACTGCAGCAGTGCAGCCAGCATATGCGGCAGGCACAGCGTGCGTGGACGACACGGACTGCTGGTACGTACGGAGTACGTAGTACAATTGTTAGGCACGATGATAGTATTGGCATTAGTAGATTCCATCAAGACCGGGACATGAATCTGCAGCCAGTCTAGGGCATCCCACCAGGAGACGGCCCCGCCAAGGTGCCAGCCTGACGCTAATCCTTATGGCAGAGGTGTGAGCCCTCCAGTCCTTCGGAGTTTGGGACTGTCATGACTCGAAATCGATGCCTCGATTTGGCTAACTTAACCTTTCACAGCGCCCATCATGCCATTGGAGGTTCATCTGGCCCCCCCTCGCTGTCATGCTCAATTGCACAGAACTATTTACAGTGTACACATACGTACGTGGCGTGGCAGAGCGTCCGGTCTGTCTTTTGACTTCTCACGGGGCGTCTTGCCGTCTGCCGGGTCCGAAACCGCGCTTCAACCGCTTGCAGACATCTCCGCGGGCCCACAATGGCCCCCCCAATCCAGATAAGCGAAGTCATAGTGTGCTGTGCTCCGTGGCAGAGGGCCAATGATCGCAGAGAGGAGCTTGTTCTGGAATCGGACGGGCACTGTGCGGCCAGAACTGGGGCCTCCCGCTTCACAGTGAGGTTGAATCTACGGATACGCTTGTCGATGAGGAGTGTTCTTCCTGTGCGAGTGCCGACTGACCATTTACTGATTAAACACAATAGACGCAGTAGCTCTCGGTTTCGGTGACGATTTGCGTTGCTCATGGTCAACTCACGACAGAGGTAAGGTACGCATGGATGACTAGCCAGCCGCGTGCCGCCTGGCGCTTCCTCAATGGGGGGTCCAGTCCGGGCTGCCCTCCAGTCCGGGCTGCCCTCCAGCCTCCAGGCTCCATGTCCAGGCTCCAGTCAGCCTGGCCGCCCAGGAGCTCGGGTCCGACCCTCCCGTATAGCCCGTACACATCAGGCAAGCCGCAAGGTATCATTACTGCATCATCCCAAGGGCGTTCCACGCTCCTGGTCGACGCACCCTGGCCGGCGGCTACGTCCAGTCAATAACAGCAACGTCTCGACGTTAGACATTGATTGACTCTGCAGAAGATCCTCTGCGCTGTGGCCGACACCCGGTGGCACGGCGAGCGCTAATTACTCCGTACTGCTGCCTCATTGACTGACTGCCCACAGATGACATTCCAGCAGCGTCCAGTCGCTCGTGAGCCACCAACCGTTCGCTCATGGCATGACGCTCGGTCGCTCACCGCTCGCTATTAACGCGCTGGAATGCGTCTGGTTACCACGAGATTCGTCCTGGCGTCCCCGCATACCAGCGATGAGAGAGCCTCCAAGGACTCTTCCAAGATGTCTCGAGTCCCCTGATTGCCTGCTTCCGCGTGGCTCGCCCTCAGGCTGGCCGCTGGCTGGCCTTGCAGACTTTATTGATGCGAGGTCTCTTCAGAATGGGATCCCGCATGCGGCAGCCACCACCACCACCACCACCACCACCACAACCCCCCCCACAACCCCCCCCTGAAGGGTCTCAACTCGTCTGTCCGTCCATCCCTCACGGCGCATGGCACATGTCGTGTCCAGTTCCCCGTCCCTGGCCCTGGGTGCACTCATCAATGCACTGAACCCACGGGCTTGGTTGGTCCCTACTCAACACGTACGTGTACTCCCAGCTTCCAGTCCTCTGGTACGACTGGCGTTATGGTTCACACAAGGCCGAGCCGCACTACCACACCACCCGCCTGTTTCTGACAATGGGAGGCGATGCCCGTCTGTCTTCGTCACCGATCTCCGTGCCGCTGGCAGTGCGCAGAGCCTCGTCGCCTTAGCCTCGAGTTTAAGTTTATTTTTCCGCACTTGATGCATTTCGCTTACGACGATTCTGGAACAAGACAGATCCTCGTCGTGAGCGTTGGCAGATCTCGTGTGTCAGCGCCACCTACCCACAGCTGCAGAGCCACTGCGCTCATCCTGTCCCAGCGGCTTGGGCAAGATATTCATGTCCAATACACACACTCTATGCGGCTACTACTCCTCAGGGTCTAGGGTCTCGGGGCTGCGAACACCCGTTCCAGATTGTCTCACAGCGATGCGGGCGCTCGCTCGGCTGACATCTGTCTCGGACGACAGTGGGGCTTGGGTTCAACAAGTGCACGGGAATTTGTTAAGTCATGTGCGGACAGAACACGGGTCAGGACTGGAACGTGCCCTGCCGTGCGGCGGAAACCGCATGCTTGTCGTAACCGTGTCTCAGACAGACAGACAGGCAGGCAGGCACTTGACGTTGCCTCGTGGGGCAGGGCCACCATCTTCACTCTTCATTCCTCGGACAAACATTAAGCAACGCATGGTCTCAGATGTGGAAGCGTTGTGATGGCCAGATGGCTTTCCATCTCACCGCTTGGTTGGTTTGGTCTGCGGAGGAAATGACAGTGAGTCGGAAATCGCATATGCAGACGGTATGTGACAGCTATACATACGTACGGGCGTAGTGATATAGTCCTTGCAGCTCTACGCATGTCCACGTAGTTGATATGATGAGACAAACAAGCACGTATACAGCTCTCGTTCGAACACTACAAATAATACTTTGTATACATGCATTAGGTTCCTGTCCAACACCCAGCAAATCCTACTGGGCTCGACTCCCAAGGACGCGGCCTCCCAAGCGCGATCCCATCAATAGGCGTGAAACGCAGGTATTTGAATCGCCGTCAGTGCTTCCTTGGACCGCTCCTTAATGTCCAGGTCCCGCGTCTCGCCTCTGATCTCTTCGAGCCGGCCAGTGAATCCGAACTCATTCAACTCAGACGCGCGCGTCTTGGCCTCCTCGAATGTGGACCGTTCGTCGAACTCCATCAGGTTCATGGCCAAGTGGCATATACCCAAACGAACCTGCTTGTCCTTGGTGCTTTGCTGGGTGACAGATTGTAGCAGTTCCCTCTGCGACATGATGAGTTTTCGGTGCTCATTGTCACTACCTGCAATGTGGACGAGTACGTGGATGACGGCTGCGATGATTTGCGGCTGCGGATAGACAACCCGTGAGTCGCGACCGGAGCCAGCACGGCGCCGGGAGAAGGGTTGCGTGTGTCTCGGGCGGAGCTTGGCCTTCAAAACTCCAAAGAACCGGTCTTCCCCAATCACCCTGAGGAGGTGGTCAATCATCGAGCTCATGTCGTCAGACGTATAAGCATAGGCGGTGCTCGGCGGTCGCCCAATCATATTCCTGATGAAGTCGAGCGCCTGCTCCTGGACCGCAATGTCGTTGTTGCGGGCCTTGCGTGCAGGATTCAGCTCCCTATCCCGTACCTGGGCAAGCTGGTCTTCCGCCGCGCGCATCCGAGAAGATCCCGAGGCATCGAGCACCACAAAGTCGCCGTCAACCCCACTGAACCAACGATGCTGATGACCCATCGAGTCCTCGTCTTCCTCTTCCTCCTCCTCCTTCTCCTCTTCATCTTCATCATCCTCTTCTTCATCCATGTCATCCTCATCCTGCGAGCGGTTGCCGTTAACGCGGGAAAGGTCGTCATCAGGGTCGTTGTGTATCAGCTCCATCAGCCATGCTGGCTGCAACTCGCGAAGGCACTCCTTCTTCTGGTCGGGGCCCAGTGCATCAACCAGATGCTTGAGGGCCCAGAGGGCGCTGAGACGAAGTTCAGGGTCGTGGGCGTGAGCATGCTCACACAGCACGCCCATGACGCCAGCTTCAACCAGTGGCTGCAGCATGTATTAGCTCTGCGTCGCATTCGATCGAAAATGGACTACTTACCTCGCAGACCGGGCTCGCATCCACAACAAGGTTTGTGATCGCCGCAGTCGCCGGGATGGCCACGCATAGCTGGGGATGCTTCACCAAATCGAGGATACGGAAACCAACTCCGTGATCCACAAGCGCCGTTCGCAAGGAGCTAAGGGACCGAGAGATTGTTCTGATCACATGGCATGCACCGATGAGAACGCCCAAAGAGTTTCGTCCGTATCCAGGCGTAATTTTCGACGCCCGTCTCGAGCCTTTGGAGTTGCTGTTCTTGGCTTGATCTTTTGCTGCTGACGGCGGTGGCTGTGGCTTCTGGGGATACTCAGTCAAAGACTCTGTCACATAAGGCAGAAAGTCTTCGGCAATGAACGCCTTACGATACTCCTCCTTTCCTGAAGCCAGTGCCGCAACGGCCTTCAGCGCGCCCTCCCGCACTCGGATCAAATGCGCAATACGAGGGTTTTGGCCTTGATCTCCCAGTTGCGTTTTTGGAGAGTTCGTCTCGACTTCCATGTCGCCATCTGGGTAAGGTGTCCATAAGCCCGGTTCTTGAAGAACGTCGGGAGGGGTGTACGACAACTTTAGCAGCCTTGTGAGCACCGACACAGCTTTGCATTTGGAGGCGACCCTTTGCAAGTGCTCCGAGTCTAGTATCAACCGCGCCAGGACCACGGGACCTTGCTCGAGGATCTGACGCTGCCTTGCTTGTGCCGCAACTCCTGCCGCTGCGGGTTTCTCCATGGCGGTCGCAATCATGCTGACCACAAGCGGCACAACGAGCAGCCCAATGCTCGCTTCGCGAATAGTCGAGTTGCCCAATCCTGCTCGATAAAGCAGCGCAAGTAGTGACGCTGCCACCAACCGCTCCTCATCCTGCCGAGACCGCACAAGGTGCACAAGCCACGGGAGGAGAGGGCTCTCCGGCTGATCTTGACTTGTGTGCGTCCCGTTTGCAATGTCTGCGGCTCCTCTGCCAAGGCCATTGAGAGCGGTTATTCCTCCACTGAAGGAAGCTAGAGGTACCGCGGGCAGGGCGTACTCTAGAGGCGACAAATCCATATTCTCGCCGTCATCCTCGACGGGGTAACCCAACAGCGCTCGGCTCGTGTTCAACCACTTTGGGGCCGGGAACGGAAGAACAGGAAAGACAGCCAGGATCGCAGGCGTAAGAGTGAGGCGCACTGCACGATATTTGGACTCCCCGACTATAGCGGCAATGGCTTGCAATACCGGGTCCAGCTTTGCGCTCAACGGGGCTGCCGCTGGGAAAGCCTCAAACAGCCCGTCTCGCTTTGCTGCTTCAACAGCGCCTGGGACTGCTGATCCATCAGCGACTGCAAAGCTCGCTAGTCGCAAAGCAAGAACGTCCAATGTGCCACTCATAGTCAGCGCTTGCTGCTGCTTTTCTTCATTGCATAGTTTCGATATCAAGTTACAGACCGCTTCTATCTGTGCTTGGATGATATGGTTATCCGTCGATCCTGTTAGTATCGCGTTGAAAGATTCGATATAGGGCGCCACCAGGATCTCTTCGGCGAGTGATTGCGTATTGTGCGGCGATGACGGCGTGGCCAGGAGCGAAGACTCCACGACTCCTTCCAGAACGCGCAGTGCCGCAAGCACAATTCTCCCCGGGTTCGCATATGGACAGATTTTTGCTAGAACCTCCGGTAAGGCGTCGCTGGCAAGTACGGGCGCGAGAAAAGCAGGGCCCCCTGTAGTGTGGTCAGTTCGTGCTCCATGTGTTCCACGATTCCATGATTCCATACCATTGGCGAAGCTAGCCAGGCACTGCAGAGCTTGAAGCTGCGCGTCGTCTTCACCCGTGAGCGGTCGCGAGGAAAACCGCCTGTGCTTTGATTTCCCATTCAGCTTTGACGAGCCTTTATCGGCTTCTATCGTGCGGACAATTGGCTCCAGGACCCCGAGGCCGATCCACTGCTCCTTTTTCTGGACATGGCCAACCGCATCGTTCTTCAAGGCCCGCAGCGCAGCGGCTTGCTCGGTGGTTGTGCGCGCAGTCCGAAGCTGGCCCAGTATGGGAGGATCATGAGGGCGCGCCATGAGATCTGAATCGTGCTAGCTCGTCGTCTCGGTGGCAGAGTTGGCTACGTTGAGCATAGAGGTATTCGGAAAAGTAAATGCTTCGCTGGAGGGCGGAAGTCGGAAGTCGGGACACGGCGACAAATCCGGAACCTCCCATACGCAGAAGACCCAAGGCGGTTAATAATTTGTGCAGCGCAGTGCCAAGCCTATTGTCGATTATCGAGGATGGTGCGCATCAATATACTGTGATTGTGATGATGTTCGGAAGCCACCGCGCATTAATGAGTGTGGTCAGGACGTAGACGCCGCATGGCGTCACGTTGGGAAGGAACCTTAGCTCATGGATCTTATCAGCCTTATCGCAGTGTGTCTTATCGATACCGATTTCCGCTGCCGCTGCAAGCAGCATCTGCGAATGTTTACTCATTCAAGGTACGGAACATACTACGTATACCGTGTAATAATGGTTCATGCCTCATCTCACCCTCTCTTGGACCTCAGGAATATCTTCCCGTGTGCTTTTGGCAACCAGAAGGCCCCACGCCCTCAATTATCCGCCCCTTGTCCTCGTTACAGCTAGACTAACGTCAGAGTGTCGATCGTCGTTCCCGTTGAGGGAGATGGGCCGATGGCCCAACCGAAGCACCAAAAGATCCAAGCTGTAAGTACCGCCGCGCCTCTTTCTCGCTGAACAGCAGTCTGGTCGACGGTTTCAGACTGCTCAACAATGAGGCAATTGACCGATTCTCTCTTGTGTCCCTCTGTCTTGTCATCTCCTCGCGCTGGTGCAATGCCAGCCCATTTACGTTGCACTTAGCTCGCTAACTCACATGCAGCTGATTCAAGCTACGTAATTAAATGTTTGTGATCGATACTACGCGGTCTAGGCTATTCCATCGCGCATGTACCGCCTCGCAAGGCCAGTCATCTTTCACTCAGTCAAATGACGAAGCGGAAGACGTCGACGACCTTGGTCGACGTCGACCACTCCTTGGCACTCCGGGTCTCCGCCCAATCGGGGCTGCCAATGGTGCTCCCCACAGCATGATTTTATGGGGCTTCCACGGCTGCCTCTTCGAGTGCTGCCGGCTTGCATATACCAAATGACCCTTGGTGTGCCAAATAAGTATCACGGGGGTGTTCCTGCAGATTGTCTAATGCCAGACATGTCTACTTGACAGGTTGCCGTCACTACGTTCGCGAGGACATCTCTGCAACAAATGCATAAAGTATAACCTTGGAGCGAGCTCCTGGACTTACACGACACATACCACTCCCTACAGCTTACAACATGTCTTTTGACAGATCCTCTGATTGGGGAGCACAGCTCCTCTACGCTTGTAAGCTTGACGTGAACACTCCCGAAGATGAAGGCTAATCAGCCATTGTAGTCCCTCTCGAAGCGCACCAACAACCCTCAATACCGGATCCATCAACTTGGGCGCAGCCACTGCACAGTGATTTCCTCGGACAAGCCGTATTCGAAAATATCGTCAGTCACCATGTTATGTCTCACGCGCCCCCTCAAGACTTCAATGCGAGTGCCTGGACCACGGATTATGCCTTCCCTCCTGACCATGGACCAGAACGGAGGTTCCCGCCTACAGACATGAGATCAGGTAGCTTCGATTCATACCAGAAGCAAGCTACAGCCAACTCCACGAGCTATCCACCTCAACGCCAGAATCTACGAGCCCAAAGTTACTCCCAGCCATCGGGAAGAGTCGCCAAAGCTCGCGCTTCTTTCTTGCCAAGACAGTCACAACCGTCAAAACGGACTCACACGTCGTCAAAGCAAGCTCCAGCACACAAGCCAAGGCGCCAAAGCGCGCCTCTTGGTCAAGTTTGTTACCAGCGTTGGGATGAGTTCCTGAAGCAAAGTCGCCAAGGACGAGAGAAAGGGCTTGCGGCACATACCTTCTCGGACGAGCGTATACATTGTCAGGACGTGGATTCTTGGGCAAGCGATATCCAATGGGGCTCAGACGGGAGATTTCAGAACGCAAGCCCCCAGTCTCAAGCATCCAGTGTTGACAGCCAGCTTGAGCTGGCTCGATACAAAGAGCTGGTCGTCAGCAACGCATTCCGGGTCGACCAAGCCGAATCGAGCATCGAGATCCGAATTCCGAGCAACATTCTGCTCTCACAGCGCGAAGATTTTGTCGAATATCAAAGGCCAAGATCAACGGATGGGCTTGATGTATCTTCTCAGAAAAGCCCCTACTCCATGGACTCGGAAGACGGGTCTGTTGCCACACAATCAGACCGCAAAAGTGTGAAACCCCACTCACAGAGAGTGCGGCCACCACGCAAGGCCATGCCGGAGGAGAAGAGACGACAGAATCACATTCGCTCGGAACAACGGCGCAGGTCAAGGGTAGAAGAGCTATACGTTGATCTCCGTAGTCTTGTTCCTACTTTGAGCGAAGCACGCTATACAAAGAGCACGACGCTGGAACTAACAGCAGAATGGGTGAGGGATCTGTCTCAAGGAAACGATGCTTTGCGACAGCAACTTGCTAGGCTCCGAGGGGCAAAGGCTGAGTGATCTACCTAGGTTAGTAGTTTCTATGTTAATTAGCTACAAATAACAGCCAGAATAAGGTCACTCAAGGTTGACACATACTCATGCTTCGAAGTGAGCCCAGCTTCCCATGTCAATGTCTTGTATGTAGGGCCTAGACAAGTCTCGAAATATCATTGCATTGGCGTGGTCGACGTCGCCCAGCCCGAAATGCTTGGCAATTCACATCAGACAGTACGTGCGTACATGTGTTTCACAGGCAGGAACAGGCAGGAGAACTCAGGAGCAACGTACCCCACAGTTACCCCAGATTGTCGAACGCTCCGTAATACCCCACATCAGTCATTTCCCCTGCTGCGCCCCTCTCTTGATTGACCCAACAACAGTGGCCACTACGTACCGAGTCTTTTCATGCCACCAGCTCCGCATGTGATTCACGCGATAATACCAACCACATCTCGTTCACTACGCGATGACAAAGGAAAAGCCGACTCCGCCGCGGCGGACACGTAGTGACGCGCAGCTGGCCCAAAAGCGACATAGTGATCGCGTCACGCATCGTAACAATCGTGCAGAGGCGAAGCAACGCATGCTCAAGGTCGAGAGGGATGTGGAGAACACTGCGCAGCGTATCTCTAACATTGAGAGCAGCGTGACATCTCTCCGTGACGATCTCCGCGCTGTTCTCTACCAGTTGCATCAGGGCCAGACGCCTGGTCACGCAGTGTCCCAGTCCGATTCTCACCAGCAATATACACCTCAACAAGCAGCCACCCAAACAGTGAGTTTATTCTTTTCCGGATCTGACATGGCTCAGTCATGGGACGGTACAAAAGCGCTGACTGCCAGTTCACGGGAGTTTCCGGGCCGATGAGCACGCACTCCGCCAACCAGCAACCATCCCCCGCCGATGTACAGAGACCAAAGACGCTCAGCGCCTTGTATCCACATGCTGGACTGCAAGTCGAGTGTCGCTGCGGCAGAGAGCACAAAGCGCGAAGCGAATGCGCTGAGTACTCGAGCTTTGCCCTGCTGTACCATCAAACGCAGGCTGCTTTGCGTGAGAGTCCCGCGATCAATGAACCCTTACCGCGGAACCCAGCCTTGGAGGATCTACTATCTCGCCCCAAGAGTGACAATGGTCTGGCACTGGGCTTAGGATCCATGATTCGGCATTTCAACATGGCCAATGTCGAAACGCATCTGGGCTTCATCTTCCTCGCCTATCGGTTCATGCGGGTGAGTCAAGCCCATTTCCGCTCCCAAGATTTGAGACTGACGATGCACAGTGGCGATTACATCCAGATGAGGCATCTCTAGAAGATGTGCCAGAGTGGCTGCGCTTGACATCCGTTCAAGAGTCGACGTTGCATCCTCTCATCATCGACTACATACCTTGGCCGAGTCTACGCGACTTTCTCTGCCTGAATCAGCGCCAAGACGACCGACACAACGCTGAGCTGTACATGAGATCATTCCGGCTCAAGTGGCCCAGCTCTCAGCAGCTTCTGTCCTTGAATGTCTCGGGCAAAGTGACTCTCCATCCCGAATTCGAGAACGTGGTGTGTGATATCAACAACTGGACAATGGGCTCCCCTTGGACAGAAGTTTTTCCTTACTTGCACATGCACGTCGGCCTGTGAAGACTGGAAAGAATCCTGCGGAGTGCGGAACCATCCAACATACGACTAAATTTTATTCATGAGACCCCGATATTGAGTTTGAACGCCTTTCGAGACGACATTTGGTATCGGTTGCAATACGGGTGTCTTCTGATCTCGCTTCGGAGCAGCTGCACACGTCTGTTGCTTCCAGCCTGTTCAGAATATATGAAATGTGTTTCTCACATCTCTCCTCGAAGCCTGGCTTGACACACAACCAAGGATGCGTGGTAACCTTTCTTAGGCATGATTAGGCTCATTGTTTTGTATTTGTGGTAGGGCGCAGAGGTGTATGTGGCCGTGGACGTTTGAACAGAGCGTTATCCCAGCGCCAATCTCAGGTTGTCCGTTCTTTTTTGCTTAGAAATACATCTTATCCGATTCAACGAAACAGCCCAACCCAAGCGGCCATAGTCGCTCAGTCTCCAAGCTGGTGGTGATGTATAGGGTAGGGCGACTACGCTTGGCGGATGCGAGGCAAGCCTGTGAGCACCTGGATGGATGCATGTGCATCATGAACGACGACAGCCGTTGGAACTCTGCGTGTCTCCCAGGCTGGGATTTAAACTCAACGTTGACTGGGGGTAGGCATGCTGGCGCATGTCCCCCGTATCAAACAGAAATCCAAGCATAGAGGCACGGGGTACAACGGCCGGCTGCCATTGGACGCCCACCTGACTGTATGAGTATGCACGCTCACAGAAGTATGCCTATCAAGAGGACGAGGAATTCCACTCTGGAGAATCCATGACGGGAATCCCTGCCGGATATACGGAGTACTGATAACGAGGTTGATGGCATTGTTATGTTGCGATTCGGATGCCTTCAATTGCAAGTCAGGCCAAGCGGGGGGTTACGAATCCCACAGCGCTGGAATAATAGCCAGTTTGGGTCCGTTCGGCTTTTACGTATTACCAACTGTGCGGCTGCGCGTGACGCACAACGAACGAACTTTTCTCCTTCCATAGTCTCCCGCACCACCTGTGCTTCCGCGAACAGATGATTGTACCTTACCTTAGTTAACGGTCGCTCCACCATCTCGTCCACTCACGCTGTCCTCGAATCGAAGAAAAGCAAGTTCTGTGCATTCCAAACCGCCCACGGTGGCCATGACTGGCGGTGATCATGCGCTGGCGGCTTAGACCTGGAGCACCAGCAGCATCACCATGTTGAAAACATCACCATCGCCAGTTCTCACCAGCGCCTCCATTCGCAACGCCAGTACCAGCGCCTCGCCATCCTCGAGCTTCCGCAATGCCCACCAGAGGCAGGCGCAACACACCCACGTCCCTCAATCACCACATGCCCCTGCCCGAGATCCCACGCTATCGGTCGCGACAGCCCCGCCGATCTCGCACCGCAACAGTTCTTCGACGATGGCGAAGGCCTCTGTCTCCGCCACAACGTCCAGCCCCCACGGTGCCTCCATGAAGTCGCCCGTCACATTGCGCTCCGAGCGCAAAGAAGACGACGAGCGTACAGGCGGGTCCGGCCCCGTTGCTGCCGGTCACCCTTCGATCTCCGAGTCGACCTTGGATCCCCCACCATCCCCTCGCCCACAGACTACGGATACACCGGCGCCTGCAGCTGCGAAGACAGCCACGACACCATCGCAGGCACATCCGAAGCCGGCGGGAAGCACGATATCGACACCACTGTCTCCCAACAAGCGTCGAGCGTCACCAGGTCCCCTTCCCAACGTCACACCTTCACCTGCGGCCAATGCCATACCAAAGCAGAACGAGTCTCCCTCATCGACGAAGCGCGCAAAGGCAGAGCAGGATGCGCCGAAAGCATTACCTCTCAAATACGAGCATTGCGCGGTGGAGGACTTGGTCGAGTTAATAGCACATATGCTTACGGAATTAATTACTACAAACGACCACATACAAATGCAAAGCGGGCGTCTCACGCGCTTTCACTCGAGGTTCGCTGGACGACCAGATGCTGGAATGTACGATTGCTGATCTTTCTAGAACCCCTCCTGGTATATCGGTGCGCGATTACCTACACCGACTCGCCCGACATGCCACTTTGATACCGCCTATCCTCCTCTCAATGGTGTATTATATCGACCGACTCTGTGCTATGTATCCCGAGTTTACGATCAACACACTCACGGTCCACCGCTACCTGATAACAGCAGCCACGGTGGCGGCCAAGGGGCTCTCCGACGCCTTCTGGAACAATGCAACGTACGCCCGGGTAGGCGGAGTGCGGTTACAGGAATTGAAACTACTGGAGCTCGAATTCCTACACAGGGTCGATTGGAGAATTGTACCCAACCCCGAGGTTCTCGTCGCGTATTACAACGGTTTGGTGGAGCGAAACCCGCGCTACACCTTGGAAACTGAGGAAGAGGACGATGGCGAGCAGGATGAGGAGGCCGACATTATCTCTGCCTAGGAGACGTCAGCGGTGGAGTAGGCTGTTATGTTTTGGGAGGACGGGAGCTTGAAGTTTCCATACTCTACCAAGGATTACGACTGCATTACATTAATCGGCGTTCAGGGTTTCTGGAAAGATGGGCTGTTTTTCATAGAGGCATGAATGGTAAATGGCCCAGCAATACGGCCGAAGAGTAGGAAATGGTATGTCTCGTGATACCTACTCATTGTGAGATGACGATGTGGGTGTGATGGTTCAAGTTTGCATTATCGTTGCCGCGCGATGCGATGATGCCATGAGCCATGAGCCGTGAAGACTTGCTGAGGTCCGATCCTGCATACCTAATAGAACTTACCCCTTCAGAAGCCTGCTGGAGTTTTGAAATGTATATGAGGTGATAATAGGCTCCCAAGCGGTGCTGGTCTTGGTCCATAATTACCCGATGAACTCCCGCCGCAGAACATCCACGGAGCTTGCACGACCTCACCAAGCTCCCATCAGTTGTCTCTGCCGCCTCGAAATTTAATGATCTAAGGTAGGCGCAATCATCTCGCACAACCTCGCCATGCGTCTGTCGAGTCTCCTCTCCGGACTTTGCGCCGCGACTCTGGCCCTAGCCGCCCCGCGGACCGCGCAGATCTACGTCCAACCCATCCTCACCTCCACATCATCGCCTGTCCCCCTCGCCGAGGTCGCCTACGATCCATTCTCCCCCGACGTAGCCCAGATTGTCACCTACGAGCATCCCGAACTGCCCGCGGAATCCAGCCTTGTTCGCGTCGGTCTTTACGAGACCAAGTCCGCCACCTGGCTCGCAGGCACGACGGTTGCCTCCACGGAGAACTTTGCAAAGGGCTACTCGCCAAACATTCTTCTCACGGTAGACCGGATCGGCGGCAATGTCATCAGCGCAGCCGTAAAGGGCGTGGCGATCGACGCCGGGCAGACGCGGGATTTTGGGCCCAAGGCAATCGTTGTCGTTGAGAGCATGGGCAAGCAGCCGGAGCTGAACAAGCCGATTGTCCTCTCGCCCGAGGGCAAGAAGGTCGAGGAGGTGGAGAAAACGTTTTTGCAAAAGTAAGTTTCCCCTACGTGTGGGATGGGCGAGGCAGAGCGAGCAGCAGCTAATACAATGCAGATACTGGTACCTTCTGGCCATTGGAGCTTTCCTCCTGATCAGCGGGGGTGGAGGTGGCTCATAGACGACGGCAATAATATGATTGTTACGACTGCGCAGGCTCGGCCTGAGTGACTTGTGACACTGACTGCTTTGGTAGTAGGTCTTTGGCCAGCGAACCACGAATGCTAGATGGCCTGGTGAGGCTGCGGTACAGGCTGGACTCAGCGGCCTCGCGCTGTATTCAAAGTGACTGTCAGGCAGTGTATCACTCGCGGCGACACATTGTTGCACAGCTGGGCGTACGTACTTGTCGGTGACTTTGTAGCTGCCTACCCCTCCTCAAAAAGTCATGCCGCACCGTGGCACACGAGGAATGCTTCCGAAACACCGTGACCACGACAACGACATTGTTTATCAAACAGTCACGGATAACCCGTGGTTGCAAATTGACAGCATGAACTGTATTTGATTCCAATGGTTTACAAACGTAACGCAAGACACGTGATTCATGCGATGCGATCGTGAAGTGAGGGGGCGCTAGTCTGAAACAGGCATAGATTTGTTGCGTCTAACATTCGTCCCGCCCAGCTACCACCGCGTGAAGCTCCCTTCACTTCTTTCTTCTGCGCCAACTCACGACCCAGCTCTCATCTCAGACCCATCGCGTTCACCTACATCCAGACCGTACCTCCTCACATCTTCCAACTAGCTATCTCACATAAACTCTCATCATGGCCGATAGTATTCAGGACCCCAACGCCCCTCAGGGTGTCGCCGAGGGCAAGGGCAAGGGTGTTGCCCAGGACCAGCCCCAAGATGTTCACGCCGATGACCGCATGGACGACGATGACGATGATGACGACGAGGACTCTGGCGAAGAGGTAACGTTTTGAACAACAATTACTTTGTCTCGTCACATTGAAGCTAATGCAAAACTACAGGACAACCTGGAAGGTACATGATTCCCAGTCTGCGCTTCTTGGTGTTTACTAACAATGGCACAGAGGCTGAGCCTGAGGACCGGTCTCACCTGGACACCAGCAACATCATCTCTGGCGAGCGCCCCAAGGAGGAGACCGACTGGGTCCAGAAGAACCAGGAGCTCGGCGACGACGCTGATGAAGAAGAGGACGACGACGACTACCAGCCCCCTGACACGGAGATGTCCGGCTAAGTTGCCGCTCCAGTGCCATATGCGGGAAACAAAAGCCTAGCCTGGTGTGCTTTGGATGGGAAGCGTGAGGAGGAGGCCCAAAAAAGTTGCTGCGTAGGACGCTTTTTGTATGAGGGAATCATAACGCATCTGGACAGGGATTTCATGATGAGACGAGGAACAACTTGGAAGCATCACATCGTATCTCTGTAGATACTGGAATACGGAATGACACGGATGATTTCACTATATGAATGCCCCCGGGCTGCCTGTCTCTCTGTGCTGTTCCTGTCTATTTTGTTGACGTTGGAGTGGTGCTAGAGAGGCACATGGATCTGAGATGGACGCTCAGACGCGTTGTGTGACGCGCCTCTTGCTCTAGCTTTGTTATCGACCTACCCTACAATCAGACCTCATCCCCGTCAATCACGAGAAACAAACCGAGGTCTATAAAGATTCGGTAGTAGTGTACACGATTTGAGAAAACCAATGCTGCAGTGCAATGGGAAACCCAATCTCATATCGCAACCGCGTCCAAGTATTTCGATTGACTTGTGCAATCTTTGGCCACGTAGCCTTGCCAACCCCTAACCGTGGTGATATGTAAACATGTTCCTTTCGGGAAAACGTACCGCGATGTAACGAATAAAAAGAAAAAAACGAACCACTGAATACATGTGGGAAGGAGGTGATCTTTAAAACCCTAGATGCTCATGATGGTTACTATCAAGCTACAGTACATACGGCCTTCGATGACTTGAGTGCTACCTGGACAGGGGTTCAGAGCGCGCCAAAAAGGAATCGGGTTTGGAGGTGGGACAGGTGCAGCCCAACACCGCTTCTTGAACAGTCAATATGCTCTTTTGAAAGCCCCGAGGTAGTATCAAATAAAATATATTAGTCTCGATCCCAATCACGGCCCAAAAGCGCCAGGCATCATGTGTGGTGTCGAAAGTGAACGCTCTAAAGCCACGTGACGATGCCATCAGTGGCGCATTCGCCCCGTCGAGTCTCGAATCGCATCTTGAAAAAGACCACCTCGCATCCCTGGCATCATCGCCAAAAGGGGTACCCGCATGCACATCTCCCAATCGGATCCCCTTAGTTTTCTTTCAACACTTGACGGGTTTGTCGCGTCTAGAGGCCTTCATCAGCCATGTCGCAAAGGTTTGATTATCGTCAGTCGAGAAGAAGCGACCCCACGCTAACAACGTGTAACAGATTCGGCACCTCGTCTCTCCATCAGCGCGATCCGCGATCACAACTCTTTGCGGGTTACACGGGCGATCGCCACTCATCACCGCGAGCGACACCGTCTCCAAGCAGTGGCGGGTACGGCTACCCCAGCGGTTCATACAACAATGGCCCCTCGTTGGGAGTGAACGATCCCAGCAGAGGCGGCTTCCGCCCCGCAACACCAAACAAGAAGGGGCAGTACAGCGATGCAGTGCTCAACGAACTGGAAAGCCAGAACGACTCGCAGGTGGCTGGCATACTGGGCAAGGTGCGGGTGTTGAAAGATGTAGGCGCCCCGCCCCCTGAATGGCGTACCTGAGATGGGAGTTTGCCGCTGACAGCGACAGATGACGAGTGCCATTGGCGAGGAGATTCGCGATAGCTCAGCTCTGGCGGACAAGATGAACGACACCTTTGATTCGACACGCATACGACTACGAGGAACGATGAACAGGATGCTGATCATGGCGCAACGGAGCGGGATACCGTGGAAGGTCTGGCTGGGGTTCTTCGCCATGGTGATTCTCATTTTCATGTACGTCTGGCTGTTCTAGTCGTGGACACAGCGGGTGGTTACTTGGTGCATTGCTGGCCGGCGTTTGACTGACACACACTTACTCCTCTTGGGCGGTTCTCTGCTTGAGAAATACACGGATCACTGCGGGCGGAAGACCACAAACATACTATCCTAATAATGCATATACGCCGAGCTGCGTTCATCTTGCTTGTAACCTGGGGGTATCTATGTTCTCTCCGCGACGCGAAATTTCAAGTGCTGCCGCATCAGCCATACCGCGCGCGTCGAGCTTGTGCGGGGCTGCTATCCATGAAGCTGCTCTCATCCTGTGATAAAATTCCACTGATGTCTATACTGAGCCGGGACGCTCCAAGAGTGCTCAGGCCCCGCATCGTCGGCGACTGTGGTTCGGCCATCCGGACTGTCCTCGGTGCGAAGTCATCACTGTCATCTTCCTCGACTTCCACATCCTCCTCCTCCCCTTCTTGTTGCTCCTCTTCGGCCGCATCGTCCGAGGGTGGCTCATTCTCACTACTGCTGAGCTCAGCCCCCGAGTCTGTGTGTTCATAACCACCGAAGCTGTGCTCTGCCTCGGGGATGTCATCGTCCAGATCAGCATCCATGCCCAAGTCCGCATCATCGTCTGCGTCCACCCCGACGAGATCCTCTTCGTCCAGCATGTGCCCTTCTAGGTCTTCCTGCACTTCCTCCTGACCACCGTACATATCGTCACCATCGGGATCGCCGCGTATCAGCGCTTCGCGGTAGGCATCGTCGGTCATTCGCATGCGGGCCGCAATCAGGTCGTTTTGACGTTCTTCGCGGAGCGCTTCCTCGTCCAGCGGGGGATATTCCTCCTCGCCCTGTTCACTGCTTTGGTCGGACGCCTCCTCCTCTGACACGTCCTCGTCATCCTCGTCCATCATGAAGTCCTCGCCAGCCTCTGGAACCTCATCATCGAGATCCGCCGCGCCGTCAAGCTGCACGTCATCCATCTCGCCTTCGGGCCCTTCCGTTCCCTCTGCAGCCGCGAGTTCCTGCTGGAGTGCTTCCCGACGCATAGCCTCGGCATGTTCTTCTTGCTCGCGCTTCTCCTCACGCAACTGATGGAGGGTCTTGGGCACGCCAGGCGGCTTCATCCATGTGGTGCCGAAATTGGCGACATTGAGTCGTCGGCGCGCATGGTAGCGTTCATCGAGTGCGAGCTGGTGAAGCGGCGATCGTTCGATCAGGGCTTGGCTGCGATGCCGCGACGATTGGTGGTGTTGATTGGGATTGGGTTGGTCGGATGGAGCGTCGGGCAAGGCTAGAGGCGTCCTGGACGAGGTATACCATAGAGAGTGTGACTGGAAGCTGTTAGCCTAGCCGAGTGCATAGGGCTTTGAAATACTAACGTCCCTAGGTGTGAAATCAGGCAGCGTGCCGAACATTGGGGATGTTGGTCTGGGGATTGTATCTTGTCGCGAAACTGGAGCGCGTTGGAGCTCTGAGGTCACTAATGTGATGGTGGGGCAGGGCATCAGGGTCTACGACTCTTACGTCTACATCTAATTACGCTCTTCAACAGCAAATTCCACACCGGCCACATTTCATCTTAACAAAAGACACACAGTGAAATCTGTTCCTCAAGACGAGCTGAGTCCGCTTGAAGACGCGCGCGCTACGCTGCGAGACAATGCCCAGGCCGTGGTTGTGTTTTTGCTCTTTTTCTGCAAACCAGACTGATCCCTACGAGCCGATACTCAACGTCAAAGCCTCGCATTTTGCCGTATATTAAGGCAACAATCTTCGGCAAAGGTACCCTTCAAATCTCTGCCTTCAGTCTTCGAGCATTCGCGCAGAGGGGCTTGTCCCTTCAAGCCCCAGAAGCAGCGCTGTGCGCATCGAAGCCGAGACCAACGAAAGCACAACGAGGCGTGTTTTCACTGCACTGTATGCATCATATCGCTGCTTGCAGGTCGTCAGGGCTCTGGTCATGAGCCAAGTTAGGTTCTCCAACAAGTCCCGCGAATGGTAAGTAGAGGTACTATAACAGCTCATTCGTAGTCTTAGCAGCGGGCGTCTCGGTTCCACTGCCTTCTGATATGGCTTTCAACTGTCTCAAGGAGTCTCAAGTATATTGTCATTGAAAGCGCTGACTATTTGGTCGTCGTGTTATCCCCTTCATCTCTATGGGTATTTCGTGAGCACCCATATACACCCTTGGCCACCAGTAAGGCCCTCCCAGCATGTATCAGTGATTGGATCGACATGTATGCTTTCCGGCAACGAGAGGTATCTGAATTCAGGTACAAAGTCACCATAGCTGGTCGTACGAACCCAATCGGAGGCATGGCTTTTCGACATTGTCAGGAAGCCCTCAGATCTTTGCTGTAGGGTACAGAAGGGGGCTTTCTGTCTGGGCGTCCGTTGTACCTCAAGCACCTTGACAATACCGTCAACAGTTGTGATCACTACACTGACTGCAATCCTGGAGCCGAGCTATGGCACAGAGGTATGACTGAGTCTTTGTTGGTGCTTCGCGATCAAGATACACCAAAAGATGCTAGAACACGGACAACGACCGATGATGAAGACTGAATGGGAGTCTCTGCCTGCATCCGACGACAGCGACAAAATCCCCCGTAGCACTAGCACGATGTAGCAATATCGCAAGTATGGGGATTCTTTGGCTACGCTCGACACATCAATATTATAGCTTCAAAGGGCCTATTGCTTTACGTCAAGTCAGGGGAAACTTGGCGAGGGTAGAACTTCGAGTGCACCCGTGTACCACTTGGGTTCTCCAGAGTTTACCAATCGTCGTGGATACCATAAACCGCGGTATTCTCAAATAAAGGATCTCGGGGATGTTTCTTCAACATTAGGGTCGTGGTGTGATGTTCGCGAAGCCATATACAATGGTAGCGGTCCCTGTGTAAGCGAACATGTGTGTACATTAGGTAGTAGCATCATCTCGAGTGTGATCTAAAATTGCACTAACCAAGACCCGGCTGCTCTCTAATGACGCTTCTTCGAGTGGGATCTGTAGAATCTCACTCTGTGCTGAAGGGAATTGTCAACTCGGTGTCTCTCTGTAATTGGTATTGAGTGCCGGAGAGGTGTCTCGGCCATCTATTTTGGCTCGGGACATATCGGGTGAGCGTCAGCCACTAAATTCTGTACGAAGTACGTACGTGCGAGTATACCACTAGCTTAGTTTCCGTCCATCGGGCCACTGGCGGCGGTGTCCGTGAACCATAGGGGTGCTCCGATCAGACTCGTTAGTAATGGCACATGGCAAGCCATTACGCTCGGGGACTATCGGGACGCTCGATGTGGTGTGGAGGCAGCTCCGCAGGCCGACCTCGGAAATATAGGACGAATAGAGTCTAATCATCATGCTAGGAAGAGGAGCGCACAAGGTTGAAAGCTCATCCGTCGAGAGGGGCATTCGTAACCGCCTGTCTTTGATTTGCGCACTGCGTTTCGCATGGTCAAAGAGAAATGTCACGGGGATTGAAGGCAAGAATAACAAGTCTGGAGTTTTGATACCCTGGCCCGGTTTTGCATTGTGGCCTCCACACTATGCGATCCGAGTCGCCCTACCCCCTCGAATGGGGTTGTAGAGTTTGGAATTAAATGAGACAAGGTAAGGTTGACAGGGCACCAGCCACTGAGCCAGGCGACAGACATGTGATCCGTGCAGTGATTCGCCAGTCATTTGGGGGAAGAAATGTGACGTCTTCCCTATTTCTCTGGTTGCACTTCCCCTCATCCATCTTGCGGCTGCCCTGCGTGATGCGAGTGAGCGTCGGCACGAACAACAAGCAGCTGCCCGCCACCACCTCAGTCCTCTTCCGCTTCATCGGCATTTCAAGGTGGGCTACAATCACCGCCTGTATGGTTGTTGTCGTCTGTCTGGGTCGAACCCTCCGTCCAAGCCAAGGCGAGTGCCAGTCGGCGATCCACCTATGCACCTCGCTAGTGTTTAGATCCGGCCCAAGGCGCAGATAAGGATTCTGGAGGGTTGCAGAGGCGGCCCTGATTGGCTCATTGCCATTGTTTCTTGATGTCGATTTTTTGACATGTTCGAGACAGGGACCCTGCGGATTACTGCGAGTCAGGGGTCGGGAATTTGCTACGTAGCAGATCGTTTCTCAGGACAGCCGCACTAATTAATGGCTCGTTCTGCATGGTGTTGCTGCTCTGCTTGTGCCATTGGACGGGGTCGCTGCTCCTGCGCGACGTTGCTCGCCTGAATGAGTCTTTTTATTCTGTGCGTTTCGAGCTGGATGGACTTGCTGACGATGACGCTGTGACTTTGATGCAGAGCATGCCGATCACGGACTCGCGCAACACACCACGGGCAATAATTACTTTTCACATGTCGAGAGAGACTTACACGACCTCAAAATCAATCGCGACTCCAGATCTATACCAACGCGACAATACCCAATGGGCCGGAGTCCAGTGTGGGAATTTGTGGAGGAAATGGCCTCTTTCGGGCTCTTGGAGCTCGAACACCGACATGCCCACGCCCACGGCTCCATCGGAGTGCATTGCCTACGTCAAGACCACCGGGGTCAGCGCGACATCGGAGGAGGCCCCTCGTCGTTTATTAGCAAAAGAAGGCCATTTATTGGCTTGCATAAAGAAAAGCACCATGTTCTCCATGTGCGGTTGAGTGACGGCGTGAATGAAGGTGGGGGCGCCACCCCCCCTGCCGCTGCAGGTTGCAGCATGCATGCGGAGTGGCTCGATGCACGCTGTCGAACCGGCCAGATTTCTGTTACAATCAACATATTGGCAATGGTATAATATCTCATGCTGGCTGCCAAGCGGACAACTTGGCGCTGTAGTCAGCTGTATGAAACACCGACAAAGGCTCATGAATTCTTGTCACTTGGTTTGCGGCCGAGGCTCAGGGTAGGGAGGACTCGTAGGCAGAGCAAAGTTCTGAAGCGAAGCGGAGGACGGATAAATGTGTACAAGCAGATGTCAAATTCCCATGTTGCGCCACCGAGACACAAGATCTGAGACGAAATTCGCCTCTTGCCCATCACAACGTAGGAGCCAGCTTGGTCGGCGCGAGCGCATCCGAAGGTGAAGCGCTCCGTTCATCGGCGAGTGAGTGCAAGCGGCAACGCAGTCAGGCACATCGGTCGTGAGCTGATTGGTGCCTGTCGCATGTCGGCTCAGAGTTCTCGACGGTCCAGGACCTGCGCGCCGTGGCCTGTTTGCGGCGTTTTCAGGTAAATCAGCAACAGGCGAGCGAAGCGCAATTAATGTTGGCCGCTAAACAGAGCCGCGGTCCGTGGGAGCGAATTGTCCCAGTTGTCCTCCATTCAGCCTACGTACGTACGTCCCGCAGGAAAGGCCCCCCACCCCATGTCTCGCCTTTTCCCAGTCTCCAACGACACCTGGTTAAACGTTATTGACAGGAAAAATAAGGCTACAGTAATAGGAGAACCCGTCCCCGACTTGCTGATACCGCTGCCGCACGCCAGTGCTATACAGATATTGTAGATATTGTGAGGATGTGCTATCTCTTGGAGACAATACTTACGAGCGAAACGTAGCATCGAAAGGACAACGAAGTGCAATTGACCGCCGCAGTGTGTATCATCCGACAAGTAGGTGGTTCTAGGCTACCTATAACACAATTAGACTCCACCCCATCTAGTGACAGTCAGACTAGACGCTCGGCTCGCCTCCTCCAAGATCCCCTACGTGGTCTTGGCGCTTCCAGGGCTGGTTGAGTTGCGAGGTGGCCAGACAAGTCCCTCGTTCCGAAATAAAAACGAAGCCAACGCCCACTCCCACCCTCCGCCTGGCCTTTTTTCCTTTCCTGCTCCCCCCTCTCTCAATAGCTGTTCTTCACTCCTCTTACGATTCGAAGCCATTGCCACGATACCCCATAGAAGGCTCTGACCGAGGGACCGAAGCAGCTTGGTAAGTGATGTGATACTCTCATGACAATTTCCCCCGCGACATCACGCAGCCGATGCTGTATCCCAAACGATTCGAGTTGGAGGCGGCGACGACACCGAGCACAAGAACAAGAGACAAGCGACCACACTTATCGCGCTTGTCGGTCGGATTTCCAGCCTGTCGAGGACTTTGGCCCTGCGCTGCCGCTGCATTCGCCCGCCTGGCAGCTTGCGGTCATCGTGCAGCACGCTCTGCATGATTCTGCGGTCCGTGGTCTGCCGCCTCCGTCGTCTCGATTAGCGCATTCACACAGACCATTGGGAGAGAAGTGCACGAGCGCAGAATTTTGAATAGTCTGCGTCTTGAAAGCAATATGAATTGGCTCTAGTTCATCGCTCTTTCCTCCTCTGGTTGTGTGCGCGCGCGACTGGTGAGCCCAGGCTTTTGGCCTGTGAAATAGAGGGGCATCGTGGGGGAGCGAATCCGGAGGCAGGCATTTGCGGTTTCCAAAAAATTTATGGGCGGGACGAAAATGGAGGCTCAGGGTGGCCCAAGCTTCTTGCAGCTCCCCCCACTTTCCCGATGGGGGGCAAGCGCTTTTGCCAATCAACGCCTCGCCCAAGCCAGTCCGCGCCAGAGTCTCTCGCTTCATTCGATTTCCCGCCTCTGGACAAAACTTCCTGTCCTCTCCGTTCTGGCCACCTTTTGCTTCATTCTTCACATTTCAAATTCACTCGAGAACTGCTCACTGACTAGCATCTCTTAGCTTAGCGATCGAGCGGCCTTTTGCTGCTCTTGCCGGTATAACCCGAATACCGCGCCCTCACGTCACACGAAGAATCGTCCACTACGCACACCCCCACCTCCCTCACCACTACACCCACCTCCTCCCTAGGCGTCCACAAGGCCTCGCCTAGCATGGGCCTGAACGAGGATTTCGACGACCGACAGATTCACCTCGAGGCTGAGAAAGAAGAATATACGCCATATGAGTACCAGACCGAGAACAATGGGTCTTGGGCTGGTGCCCTGCCCGTGAAGCAGGGTCTTTACGACCCCTCGCTCGAGAAAGATGCTTGCGGTGTCGGCTTCGCCTGCCACATGAAGGGCAAGGCCAGCCATAAGATTGTCAGCGATGGTGAGTACCAGTTCCCTCTCGCCGCTGGCCAGAACTAACATCAAACAGCTCGCAACCTGCTGTGCAACATGACCCACCGTGGTGCCGTGGGCTCGGATGCACGAGACGGTGATGGCGCCGGCGTCATGACTTCAATCCCCCACCGCTTCTTCATCAAGAACTTTGAGAAGGAGCAAGACATTAAACTCCCGCCCCAAGGCCAGTACGCCGTGGGCAACTTGTTCTTCAAGCCCGACGAGGAGACCTTTGTTGAGTCAAAGAGGCAGCTGGAAGATGTTGCCGAGTCGTTGGGCCTTCGAGTCCTGGGATGGCGACAGCCCCCCGTCGACTCGACCCTCCTGGGTCCCGCCGCCAAGTCGCGCGAGCCCATCATCGCACAGCCCTTTGTTGTCCTCGCTTCGGCCTATGGAACCGGCGTTGTTCCAGAGAACACCGACCCCGAGGAGTTCGACGAGAGGCACTTTGAGCGCCAGCTGTACGTGTTGCGGAAACGTGCCACGCACACCATCGGTCTCCAGAACTGGTTCTACATCTGCTCCCTGTCGAACAAGAACATTGTCTACAAGGGTCAGCTTTCCCCCGTCCAGGTCTACTCCTACTACCACGATCTTGTCAACGCCGACTATGAGGGTCACTTTGCCCTTGTGCACTCGCGTTTCTCCACCAACACATTCCCATCGTGGGACCGCGCGCAGCCCCTGCGCTGGGCCGCTCACAATGGCGAGATCAACACCTTGCGAGGAAACAAGAACTGGATGCGCGCCCGAGAGGGTGTCATGAACTCAGACGTCTTCAAGGAGGAGCTTGAGCAGCTGTACCCCATTGTTGAGGATGGCGGCTCTGACTCGGCCGCCTTTGACAACGTGCTTGAGCTTCTCACCATCAACGGTGTTCTTTCACTGCCCGAGGCTGTCATGCTCATGGTTCCCGAGGCGTGGCAAGGCAACGACGATATGGATCCCAAGAAGGCTGCCTTCTACGAGTGGGCTGCCTGCCAGATGGAGCCTTGGGATGGCCCAGCTCTGTTCACCTTTGCTGATGGTCGGTTCTGCGGTGCCAACCTGGACCGCAATGGTCTGCGCCCTTGCCGTTTCTACGTCATGGACGACGACCGCATCGTCTGCGCTTCCGAAGTCGGCACCATCCCCATTGAGCCCGAGCGCGTCATCCAGAAGGGTCGTCTCCAGCCCGGGCGCATGTTGCTTGTCGACACGCAAGCTGGTCGCATGATTGACGACAAGGAGCTCAAGGAGGCTGTTGCCAGCCGTCACGACTTCCGCACATGGCTCGACAACCAGCTGATTACGATGCCCAAGGTTCTCGAGAAAATGTCGAGCTCCATGGACGTCGCTGCCAAGCTCGATGACAACGTCATTCAGGAGGACCCCCTCTTGCTGTCTTTCGGATACACTCACGAGCAGGTCAGCCTGTTGCTCGGCCCCATGGCCAACGACGAGAAGGAGGCCCTTGGTTCCATGGGCAATGACGGTCCTCTTGCCTGCTTGACCCAGGCTCCCCGTCTCCTCTATGACTATTTCCGCCAGCTCTTCGCCCAGGTCACCAACCCTCCCATCGACCCGATCCGTGAGTCCATTGTGATGTCTCTCGAGTGCTACGTCGGTCCCCAGGGCAACCTGCTCGAGATGGATGCAGGCCAGTGTGGTCGTCTGCTGCTGCCCAGCCCCGTCCTCTCCATCCCTGAGTTCAACTCGATCAAGAACATGGCCTCTGTCTGGCCCGAGTGGACTGTAAAGACGATTGACCTGACCTTCCCCAAGGTGGAGGGTGTCGAAGGTTACATCAAGCACCTTGACCAGATCTGCAAGGAGGCCGATGCCGCCATCGAGGCTCGCGACCGCGTTATTGTCCTCTCTGACCGTAACACCTCGGCTGACCGAGTCCCTGTTTCCGCCGTCCTGGCTTCCGGCATGGTCCACCACCACTTGGTTGCCAACAAGTGGCGTTCCCTGGCTGCTCTGGTCGTTGAGACTGCTGAAGCTCGTGAGGTCCACCACATGTGTGTCCTCCTCGGCTATGGCGCTGATGCTGTCAACCCTTACCTCGCTATGGAGTGCATCCTGAAGCTGAACCGCGAGGGCCTTGCTAAGAGGCCACTCGACGACGAGTCACTGATCCGCAACTACAAGCACTCTTGTGACGGCGGTATCCTCAAGGTCATGAGCAAGATGGGTATCTCCACCCTTGCTTCATACAAGGGCGCCCAGATCTTTGAGATTCTGGGACTCGATGACGACGTCGTTGAGCGTTGCTTCCGCGGTACCGCGTCTCGCATCAGGGGCATGACCTACGAGCTCATTGCTCAAGATGCGTTCCGTTTCCACGAGCGTGGTTTCCCTACGCGTGCCACTGCCAACATCAAGGGCCTTCCCGAGTCTGGCGAGTATCACTGGCGTGACGGCGGTGAGCCTCACATCAACGATCCTACCTCGATTGCCAACATCCAGGATGCTGTACGCACCAAGAACGACAAGTCCTACGAGGCATACTCGCGTTCTGAGTATGAGCAAATCAAGTCTTGCACGCTCCGCGGTATGTTGGACTTCAAGTTTGAGGACCGTGAGCCCATTCCCATTGACCAGGTTGAGCCTTGGACC